CCGGAGCTTTCGTTAGCTCCTGCGAGTTGTATCGGCATATGCCCACACGCAGATGCCCCCCACTCTTTGATTCTTGGTACAAACGTGTGCGCAACCCTCGACGTGTCTTTATACCCCATTCTCGTTTTAAACGTCAACGGCACGGAGCAAATCAAATTCGAGCTTCGAACGAGTTCTTCCATGCGCTTTGGTTTCTCGAGCAACATCGACCCCGCGCCTTTGTTACATATTAAATCAATAGGGCATCCCATGTTAATGTCAATGAAATCGCACTCGATGGTGTCGTCTAACGCTTGGACGCATCTCCCCAAAGAATCGGAATGGCCACCGCAAATTTGGACGCCGAATATGTCCTCAGATTTATGTCGGCGCACCAACGCCCACTCTCTGGCGTCGCCTTTGAGTAAGCTCGTGGCTAAAGCCATCTCGCCGCACGTGATGTCCGCACCAAGCGTTTTACACAATCGCCGAAACGGTAAATTGCCGACCGTCGTTAACGGTGCCAGGTATAACTTGTTCTTGAAATCAATCGTCTTCTTCTCTTTCGGCTTGAGCAGTTGATCGACGGATGCCGTTTTGTTTTCGTCTTCTTTATCAAAAGCTGGTTCAGAAGTAACGTTGTTGTTGTTGTTGTTGTTGCCGTCGTCGTCGTCGTCGGAATACTCGTCCGCGTTTTCAGCTATGACTCTCTTCTCGTTCTCGCTTGTTTTCATTCTCTTGTATTTTTGTTGCTGTTGATTTTTGCCGTCGTTGTCCTTCCGATTATTAGTACTGTCATCTCCTCCGCCCCTCACCTCATCACTCGTCCGTAACCCCATAGCCTTCAAAATACCATCCGCGCGGCTAAAATCAAACGTCCTCCTCGCCAGTGCATATTTCACGTCGTTCGTCACGTCGTTCGTATCGTCCCTCGGATTCGCCACCGGCGCCTCAAACAACGCAATCGCCTCGTCCTCCTCGTCCGGCGCGAAACCGTCCTCGTGTGAACCAGAAAACCGACACGCGAGGCCAAACGGACACTTCTCGCTCCCAAACGGGCACCATCCCGGTAAGTCTTTCTTCTTCATCTTCAGTCTGTAATAGTCCGCGTCGTGCGAAAATCGACACGTCTCGCCTTTTGCGCAAGAGGCGTTCTTCAGGAATTGGAAACACATTTGCACCTCTTCGTTGTCCTCTCCGCCTTCGTTTCTTCTCTTTCCTTTCTTCATCGTCATCGCTTTGTTCATCTTTTTCGTGCGCTTTTGGAACCCGCCGGACGTTTTTCCTCCTGCTCTTTCTTCTTCGTCTTCGGGAGTCGTCCCAACTGTTTCCGTCGTTTCCGTCGAACGTTTCGCGCGCTCGCGGATGAACTTTTCCTGCACGGGAACTTCGCCTCGTCTCACGCGCGCTTCCAACGCGAGTGGTTTCCAAGCATCAACGACGTCGTTTTTGTCGAGAGTATCATCGTCGCTTTTTGATGGCGGAGTCATCTCTCGTCGCGCGGTATGTGTCGTTCGTGCGTTTCCCTTTCCGCGCGCTGTTTTTGGGGAACTTTTGGGGAAATGCATCACAAGAAGCGCTCTCGAGAAGAGGGGGAAGAAATGGCGCCGAATGTGCGAAGAAGCGAGAGGAGGAGGAGAACAAAACGAGAAAACGATGGTTACGCTCCCCTCATTCAATCGTTTTCTTTGTTTTTCTTCTTTTCTCGCGCGGTATTCTTCGTCTTCTTCTTCGAAAAGAATCCATCCGCGAGGATGATGATGATGATTGGAAAGGTGGACGCGTACTCCTCCGGCGCGGGAAGTTGCGACTTTGACGGCGTTTTACACGGCCTTCCATCGACGAAACCGTCCGATTTGAATCACGACTTCACATTTACGCTCGGTTCACCCGGGATTAACGTCCCAGGCGCGGCCGTGTACGCGCAAATATCTGGAAAACGGAACTATAAAGGGTTCATGATATACGCGGTCGATGAAAAGACGAACAAACCTGTTGGAAAATGGCTGCAGAAAGACATGCCGAATCGGGCGCAGATCCACCCGATGTGCGGGCCAACGCACGCGACGCACGATATTTCACACTCGAAAGATGGAGGGCAAAAGAGAGACGTGTTACCTTGGGTGGTACCGGTGGATGTTCCCGAGCGCGTGACGTTTAAAGTGACCGTGGTGGAGGAGTACGAGACGTGGTACGCGTTTGAGATGAAGTACGAGAGAGGGAGCGCGAGAGCGGGAGGGGTGGACGGGCTGAAGCTGATTGAGGAAGATGTGCGAGAGATGGATAGAAATGGGAATAAAGCGCCGAGTTTAGGAGCGGCGATGCGTGGTGGGTACGCGCCAACGGTAACGGACGATGCGAGCGGGAGTAGCGACGGCGAAGAACGAGAAGAGGAGAGTCGCGAGGCGTTCTTAGCGGCGAAAGATCCAGAAGGAACGCAATATAAAGCTAAACACGGACAGAAGAAGGAGTTCCACAAAACGTTTCACAGCAAATTGGCAAAAGGAGGCGACAACAAAGACGTATACATAGTCGACCCGAAACTGAGAGCGAAGAAAGCCTCGGATCGAGTTTCGGAAGAGACGAAATCGTTGCAACGAAGAACCTTCGGCAGAGTCGCGCACGGCGCGTGCATGTTTATTTTATGGGTCGTGTTTGCACCCGTTTCGGCATCTATCGCTCGCTACGGTAAAGGTAATGCCACCGGTTGGTTCACCGTGCACAAATCTTTGAGCGCCGTCATTCTTTACGGCACTCTGTTTGGTATCTTTGGCATCCTCTTCCTCCGAGGTTTCTCCACGCCGTGGGGGCCTCACGGTACCTTCGGCTTGAAAACCTTAGGTCTGTGCGTCGTCCAAATGACGCTAGGAAACATCCGCAACTGGATTCCGCGTCCAATCTTTCGTTTCATCCACCGCTGGCTCGGCGTCGCCGCGTTACTTTTAAGTTGGTACACCTGCCGTTTAGGCGCTCGATTGCTGAGCAACATCGAGCGCATGCCGAAAGTGCCGACTCTGACGCACGCATGCATGTTCGTGGTTTTGGTTTTCGTCTGGCTCATGCAACGTAATCACACCAAGTCGAAGATTGATATTAAAACCAAGTTTAGCGTTTGAAAGTTGTACTACTACTAGGACTACTACTACTACTACTATAGAGAGTTTGTTTATGAATTTTACCTAACGGGGAAACGCCACAAAGCTGCCTCTTTCTCGCGCTTAGTCTCCAATCTAAAGAGCCGAGCTAAACATGTCATCTCCTCAAAACAACGAAAACTTTCATCCTCCTCCGAACGAGGAGGAGTACGAGGAGGATATTTTTAGAGCCATCGACGCCAACGACCTCGCGCTCGTCCAAAGAATCATCTCCGAACAAGGCACAGACTGCGTCTTGAAGAGAATCTCCAACTCCAAAACCACTCTCATGCGCGCGTGCGAAACGCACGGGAACGAATCTATCGTTGAAGTATTACTCTCATCTGGGGCACCATGGAACGCAGTGGACGACGATGGGCACTGCGCGGGAGAATACGCGGCGGAGAAGTATCCTCACCTCGCGTCTCAGTTGATGGATTATGGCGTGGAGGTTGAATTGCTATTAGGGGATGAAATCAGGGCGAGTGGAGCGTACGAAACGGACACGTCGTATCTTTCGGAAAAGTTGAAGTACGACGCAAACGATCGATTGCTAGACGCGCAAGGCGATGCGGTGATGATGAAATGGGAAACACCTCTGATGAAATTGCACGCGGAGAAGATTTGCGATGTGGAGCATGGGAAGGAATCAGAAGCCGTCGTGTTGAACGTCGGGTTCGGGCTTGGTATAATCGACGGCTTCATTCAAGATTTGAAGCCGAAGACGCACGTGATAATCGAAGCGCATCCGGATGTGTACGCGCACATGAAAAGGAAAGGCTGGGATGAGAAAGAAAATGTCGTCGTAGTGTTTGGACGGTGGCAAGATGTCATCGAGGACTTGGCGAAAGAATACTCGTTCACGGGGGCGTTTTTCGATACCTACGGCGAGACGTATAACGAAATCAGAGAGTTTCACGTACATTTACCGAAGTTGTTTCAAAAGAGTAAAAAGGAAGGAAAACGGTGCACGTACTCGTATTTCAACGGTTTTTGTCCAGATAACATCTTCTTTCACATGGTGTACAATAGACTCATAGCGAAAGAATTGAAGGACTTGAGCGGGATGTCGACGACTTTTGAATCGGTTAAAGTAGACAAGATTGATTGGGAAGGTGTTACTGGACACGGAAAGTACTGGGAGATGGAAACGTATTTCCTACCAACGAGTACGTATTGTTAATCAGCACAGGGATGTAGATGTAGATGTAGATGTAGATGTATAGCTTTGGAAAAGATAGCATTAAAGTAGGAGTCACATTTTCTACCCTCCTCCGTTTTCTTCTACATCTTGCGCCGCTATGCTCGTCGTCGCAATCGACAAAGACCGCGTCACCCTCTTCGTTCTCTTTCTACTTTGTTTTTCCACATCTGCTCCTTCTTTCTTTTTCTTACCGCGCATAATCCTAGGTTCTCCTACATCCCTCCTCGTCTTTTCCACGTCCGCGCTTCTCGCGAGCGCGTCCTGCGGTACGCCCAGATCTCGCACCTCGTTTACGTCGTCGGTCTTCTCCTTCTTCCGTTTCTTTTTCTCTAAAATACCACTCTCACCACCCCCAACGACTACGGGTTCATCGAAGCTATATTTCACGTACTTTTCCGGGAACTTTTCGTGATCTGGAATCACGCGTCGCTTCCGCTTTTTCCTCACCACCATAAAGTCTTCTTCCGTCGCTCCAACTGCCATCATATCGTCTCCGTCGAACTCGTTCTCTCGATCGAGTCGATCGCATTTCCCGATCGATTTCCGCGTTTCTTTCTTCGTGCCGAATAAGCAATCGTCGTTTCTCTCTTCTTTGTCTTCTTTATCTTCTTCTTCTTCATCGTCGTCGTCTTCCGTGACGTGTTTTCCCGGGAGACGAATTGCCAACACTGCGCTCGTTCTCCAAAACTCCGACTTTGAAGACGACGATGGATTCATGGAGTGAAACGCGCGGTCGACGCGGTCGTGGAATAAATCGAACGACTTTACCACCACTTCAGTCGCGTCGTTTTCATCCCTTGAGGCGGCAGTTAAGGGGGACATTCTTCTCTCTAGGAAAGCGTTCGTTGTGGGGAAATTGCATCAGTTCGTTGAAGGAAAAACGCTTCATTACATCACGCGTCAAAAATGTCCAACCAGTGGCACCGAGGCGGCGGTCGAGGTCGAGGAGGATCCGGAACGCGAGGAGGAGGGAGAGGAGGATTCGGAGGAGGCACGAACGCGGGAAACCAACCGAGACGAGACCTTTTAAGAGACGATTTCGGCGTCGAATTTCCTCTTTGGCCGCTCACGAGTTACGGCCCCGGAGCGTCGAAAAACAATCTCTTGGGCGGGGACACGTCCGTGGAAGAACTCAGATGGGTCAGTGGAGCGACGCGAGCGAGAACGGGGAATCACGTGGTCGTGTTTGATGCGTTTAAAGAGTACGCGCGGTTGAAAGAGAACGATCGGACGGTGTTGAAATCGATGCCGGAAACGCAGTTGAAACAGGTGTTTGATTCGGTGGACCAAGGGACGATGAAACCGGCCGGGCTGGAGAGGAAGATTGAGCATCAGATGGTACCATCGGGAGGAGGAGGGAAAGCGTACGAACGGATTTTACCGACGGCAACGAGTAGTGGTGTTGGTGGTGGTAGTTTTGGTGCGTTCGGTGGAGGCGCGACGGCGGCTTTCGGCGCGGTGAGTTCTTCTCCCGCCCAACCGTTTGGCGGCGTTCAACAACAGCAGCAACAACAACAACAAACATCTTTTGGAGGAGGGCAAATTGGATTTGGACGGTCGTCTGGTTTTGGGAACGTACCACCGACGCCGAGTGCATCTCCTCCTTATGCAGGTTTTACGTCGACCGTGCCGGCGGCTAAGCCAGTCGTCACGGTCACGTCCTTGGCGCCGCAGAATCAAGCAGCCGCCGCGAATCAGTTTACGCCCGATTTTAATCCTGCCGATCCGTTCGGCTCGAGAGATTTCGCAGTTGGACAGATTCCAGATCAACCGCCTCCCCCCCAGTATTGTACCTAGATATAGTATTCGTAGCAGTAAAGTACACGTAGAAGATTTGTAATAGTAGCAGTACAGTGTTTTTTAATAACAGAATTTTAAGATTTAAGCTTCTTAGCGGCGAACAAATTCCGATTGATGGCGAGTTTCCGTGCGCTCTTTCTGCTTCGCAATATTTCGCAGTCTCGCCTCGTATTTCGCGACGACGCGCCTGCGTTCTCTTATGGCGTTGTTAAAAGCTTGCGTCAAGCGATAATCGCGTTTATTCGCCCACGCGATATCGTCTTTTGTGAATACGAGCGCGCGCGTATTTTCTTTCGCCTTGACCGATACCGAATACGTTTCCGCGTCCGGATCGATTTCGCCGACCAAGTTGGACGCTCGTCGAAATCTCATTATTTTCCCCGTCTCGTCATCACTTTTGCCTTCCTCGACAGTGCACTCACCGCTGGTGATCAAAAATGTCTCCAAGCACGGCTGGCCTTTGACGCATAAATACTCGCCCTCTTCGAACCTTCTTTCGGGGAGTTGATGCTCCACGTACGAGTACGCTTCCAATTTTCCGTGGACTCTTCGCAATCGCTGCGAATCGTTCTTCTCGTGCACCGGGTTGAACCACTCGTGTTCGAGCGCAGCGGCCGCAGATAAGCGTCTCTTTGGATTCGGCTCTAGCAATCCATTCAATAAATCTTTTGCCGTTTCCGAAACGCCGCTAAAATCAAACAAGAAGTAATCAATGTTCGCCTCGCAAATGAGTTCAATCAACTCGTCCTCGTCCTCATCCTCGAACGGCCATTCGCCGGATAGTAAAACGAACAGCGCGATGCCGCACGCCCACACATCTACGCCTTGACCATATGTGCCTTGCAACAAAGCTTCGGGAGACACGTACGCGACAGTTCCGTCCACGCCCGCGGACGTTTGTCTGGTTCGTAAAACCTTCGCTAAACCGAAATCGACAATCGTCGCCGTGTCGTAATCGTCCTTCTCTTTCAAAACGATGTTCTCCAGTTTCAAATCGCGATGTATGACACCTTTTGTGTGCATAAACGCGACTGCGTCGATGAGATGATGGATAATTTTTTTTGCGATGTGTTCAGGGAATCGACCGTTTGGTTGTTCTGCGACCGCGTCTTCCAGTTCTTGACCTTTCAACAAGTCCATGACGACGTGAATGACCGCACCGTTTTGCTCCGTAAAGAATTCGCGGATTGTAACAATGTGCGGGTGACTGGAAAGGCGTTGCATTAAAGCGAGCTCGTTTAAGACTTCTTCAGTAGTCATCGCTTCGAACTCTTCCGAGTTGCTGCCGGCCTCGCTGTTGTCGTCGTTGTCGTCGTCGTCTGAATTTTCATCGGAGGATCCGTCCGATTTGGACTTTTTGGAATCGTCGTCTGATTCCAAAACCTCTTTAATCGAAATAGTCTTGACAGCAATGATTTCGTTGGACTCTTTATGTCTAGCTTTCCGAACGACGGCGAAGCCACCTTTACCCATAGTTTCACCAACTTCGTAACGATCGTTGAATGGTAAGTAATCGTGGACTTTACCGACATCGCTGACGAAACTGGCGAGTTCGTCGAGTTCGCGCAGACCCCCCGGGGCGGAGTGCGAGCGTCGTAAGAACGGTTTGTTGTTCGTCGCAGCAGACGCCTTTTTGTTTATTTTCGCATAATACATGGCATTATTCCTACGCCGCATTTTCAACGTCGTGCCTTCGGCGACGTGTTTGGTGTGATTATCTCTCGCTCGCATTTCGCGAAGCGTGCGTAAATGCTCCTTGTTCAAGGAAAACTTCCTCCGCCACGTGTTTTCTTCACGCGCTTCGATACCGCGTCTCCTTCTTTGAGAACGTTGTGATGTTGACTCTTCTCCATCATCGTTGTCAATAATAGCTCCTCTGGTTTCATTCAACGATCGGTGCATGAGGTGCGTCGACCCAAGTTGCGCTCGAAGCATCGCCACGTCAACCGCGTTATTTTGCATCCGCCTTCGATTTCGCGCCCCGGATGGCGATAGCCATCCACCCGCACTCATCGGTTGAGGAGATTGCGAACGACTTCGGGCGCCGCTGTCGGATTCGCCGGAATCACCACTCGTCGTGTTTTCTCCTCCGAAATGCAACGCTTTAGTTGTCGTCGCCGCCGATGATGTTGACGACATCATAGTATTTCTTCTTCGGTTCGTTCGCTCGCGAAACCTCGCCGAGGATGGAGACAGTTGTTCACCTCTCGCCTGTGCGGCTACTTGCGACGCGGTTCCCTCGGCAACACTGCCTAACGGCGATTGGTTATACCTACGCCTATTCTCGTGCGCCAACGCCAACAAATCTTCCGCCGAGTCTAATCTCAAAAGCTGTTTACGTAATCCCAGCTTCTTCGCGTGCGAACTCACGTTTCTCGTTTTCAACGTCGCCCACGAGCTCAACCCGGTCGGTAACAATCCTCGCGACTTCGCGGTTTCCGCCAATCGTTCGAACGTTTCTGGAGCGTTTGGATAATCCAACGCCAACTCTCTCAATCGTATCGCTGTCCGTGCGAATCCTTTCGCCATCTGACTCGAATTCACCGCGCCTTCTTTGCCTAAATACTTCAGCACGTCGATAGTTTGTTTCCCGCACGCAAACTTATCGATCGCGTCTCGTTCAATCGCGACCGACAATATCCTATACACAAACTCGTGATGGTAATACGGCACATTCAACGCTCTCAAATTTCTCGAACACTCCTTGCAATCCAACGATTGAAAGTACTCGTTCGTCAACCGTTTCACGCGTTCTCTCAAATCGTCCGCTCTGTTCTCGCACAACCCCTCGCCGCCCCACACCGACCGAACAACCACATCCCCCCCGGGTTGCTCCAACAACTCCTTCCCTTTCCTCGCGCACTCGCATCCTCGCGTGGAAATCTCCGACGGTCTCGACAAACACGCCTCTAAATACGTCACCGAAACGACGTCGTCGATCACCGCGCGCGCTAAAAATCTCGACACGTCCTCCATCGCCTTCGGGACGTCGATTTCCACGTCCGCTAACATGGACAGTAGATAATCGAACGCGTTTTCAAACGCTTCCGGAGGGAAATAGAAATTAGACGACGCAGACGCCTCCTCCTCGTGATTCTGCCTATGTATTACTCTGGCAGATGATGACGACGATGTTGAATGACTCCTCGTCCTCGTCTCCTCCTTCTCCTCCTCGGGACCACCCTTCACGCAGCACACACCGAAGGCTAACCGTTCCATCAATCTCGCGCACATCTCCCGTTCCTTCATCCCTCGGTCTAAGCTCAAACGAATCGCTCTTGCGACCACCATCTCGCCAACTTCGAGGATAAAAGCATCGTCAGAGTAGTTGTTGTTGGTGTTCATCATCGCGTTTGTCTTCTTCTTCCTCCGTCGTTGTTGTTGTTCTCGCGAGACGCATGATTCCGTCAAGGAGTTGACGAATTCCAAAACGTCTCCGTGATGGGAAAAATACTCCGAGAGTAAGGAGGAGATGCGCTCTTTGAACACCAACGACCGCCTTTTCTGCTGCTGCTGCGCGTCGTCGTCGTCGTCGTCGTTTCTCCCCATAATCTCCTCCTCGACGAAAGCGCTTCTTTCGCGAGACAGAGAGAAGGAATGAAAAGCTTCCGCGTAAAGTCTCGCGCAAAGTTTTTCCTCTGAGGAATTTCCCCAATCTTTCCTCAGTAAAAGTGCGCAAAGCACTACCACTGCTCTGCTCTCTCGTATAATAATGGGCATTTTCGACGCGTCTCTTCCTCGTCTGCGTAAAAACGAACACCCTCTGTTCAGCGAATCCTCGCGATTTTATGAAAAACCGCGACGACGACAACAGAATGACGCGCTTCTCACTCCTTCGTCGAACACCAAGGACGAACACCTTTTGACGGCGGCGATGCGAAAAGCGAAACGCGTTTCCTCGAAGAAGAACAGAGAGGAAGAAGAAGAGTTGAACGAGAAAAAGAAAAGAAGGGATAAGAGCATTTTGGCGGGAAAGACGGACGCGAAGATGCGGCTTTTACATGCAGACGATCGTGAAGACGAGACGATGAGCGATTCGGACGAGTTTTACGAACAAAACCAAGGCGCTGCTGCTGCTGCCAAGAAGAGTAACGTCAACGCGAAGAAGAAGGAAAAATCGGAGGAAGAGATGCACGAGGAACTGAAGAGGACGATGTTCGTCGGGAACGTGCCGACGAAAACAAAAGCGAAAGAGTTGGTTTCGTTTTTTAAGGAGATGTTGTTATCGTCGTCGTCGTCGTCGAGTAAAAGCGAGAAGAAGACGAAGAAGACGAAAGCGGAGGTGGTTTCGGCGCGGATTCGCTCGGTGCCGCTGAAGAAGAGCGCGGACGAGAAGGACGCGAAGGTACCGGTGAGAGCGAAGATTTTGGGGTCGTTGGGAAAGAGGAAGAAGGATACGGAGAATAGTGGGAGCATCAACGAGGCGTCGAAGAGCGGGTGCACGGCGTACGTCGTGTGGAAACGAGAGAAGGATTGCGAACGCGCGGTGAAGAAGGGCAACATGCAAAAGTTTAACGGGCACACGCTGAGAGTAGATTTTGCGGCGAAATCGAGCCAGACGACGAAAGGAGGAAAAGGAGATGATGGCAGCGGCGTGACGTACGACCGAACGAAATCCGTTTTTATCGGCAACTTACCCTTTGACGTTTCCGACGAGGAAGTCATCGAAATTTTCACCAAGAATAAAGAGTATAAAGAGTTAAAGACGGAGTTGGAGGCGGTCCGAGTCGTCCGGGACAAGGCGACGAGAACGGGTAAAGGCATCGCGTTCGTTTTGTTTAAATCCGTCAAAGCTGCGAGAACGGCGTTATTACTGGACGGTTTTGAGATGGGCAAACGGGAACTTCGCGTCACGAAAGTTGGCGTCGTCGCTCCGAAAAGAGGCAACGAGGTTACCAAATCTCGAGAACGCGGCGGGAAAGCGAGCAATAACTTTAGCAAGAAAGACACCAAGAACGGTAGCCACGAAAACAACAACAACAACGCAAACAACAACAAGCGCAAAATAAACTCTTGGGAAGGCGGTCGTTCGGCAAAAGGGAACAAAGCGGCTAAATTCGAGAAGAAAAAATCGCCAACCGCGAGCGCTCTCGGCGACGGAAAAGGAAAAAGCGCGGCTTTCGTCGGGGCAAAGAAAAAACGCGCATCCTCGTCCGCGGGTGGTAAGAAACGTCCCGCCGTCGCTTTACGGAAAGCAAAGATGAAAGCTGGTTTGTAATAACAACACGAGAGAATATAAATAGCACTCGCAGTATATACGTAGAGTATCCAACAACAACAAACACCAAGCGGTTAATTAAAGAGAAACGCGGATTGAAGCACCTCTTCTCTCTCTCTCTCTCTGACGCTCTCTGTTTGCGACGATTAAATAACACTCACTTCTCCTCTTCTTCTTCCTTCTTCGCTCCTTCGTTCTCCTTTTCACCTTCTTTCACTTCTTTCTTCAACTCTTCGTTGAATTCGTTCGCGGCGGATTGAAAACTCTTCACGGTTTTCCCCAACGATTTCCCCAACTCGGGGAGTTTACTCGGCCCGAATAACAGCGCGGTCACGCCGCCGATGACGACGAGCTCGGGTAAACCGAGGCCGAATAAGCCGTTAGACACGACTAACTCGCCTCGGTTGTTTCTTTTTCTTCTGCTAATGGTGTTGGTGGTGTTTATCTTCTTCGCTACGAGAAGTGAGTTTCTGTCGTTGAGAACGGATCGAATCGGAACCCTCCCGGAACGTGTCGTTGTGGCACCACCGCGAGCGATATTGCGCGCAGCAGTCGACGCAGAGACAGACGAGGACGATGCCATCATCGACAACATTACGAGTGTTCGTGTATCGAAGCGAGTGGTATTGGTATTGAGAGCGTAGTATTCTGGGGAAATGCTCCACTTTCAAACAGAGGAAAACTATGCACTAAAACACCAGTGGAACATCAACATGCGGGGGGTAAACCACCCGCAGCAGATCAACAAGCAACTCTGCGCGTCGTTCTCGCTTTCGAACGTGCTCGCGACGATCGAGAAATCGAGTCATCTGTTCAATATCGTCAACGTGGCGACCGCGTTTAGTCGGTTGGCGAAGATTTTATCATCAACAGAATCATCGTCCAAACGCGGCGGCGGCGCGATGGAGACGAAGAAGAAGATGAACGACAACAACAAAAACAGCGAGAAAAAGGAGTTGAACGTAAAAGTTCTGTTCGCGTTGCTTAAACGATGCAAAAACGTGCTCCGCGCGAACGATAAGAAGCAGTTGGAACCGAGACATTTGAGCACGATTTTATGGTCGATCGGGAAAATGCGATTGGTGATGGTATTCGCCATCGAAGAGGATTTTGAAACATTCGGAGAGGAATTAGTGCACGTTTTAGACGCGATTTCGAACGTTTTTGTAGAGTATTACGAAGCAAAGAGGCAGTTCAACGCGCAGGAGATTTCGAATTTGTTTTGGGCGTCTGCGAAGATTTACGGCGACGCGTCCGCGTTGAAGAAGAAGAAGAAGAGTAGTAGTTGTCATCATCGTCGCGTGTTAGTAGTATTTGAAGGCGTTGAAGATGCGATCGTTCGAATGCAAGCGCCTTTGCAAAGGATGTTTGCGGCGTCCAAATTGAACGAGTGGACGACGCAAGGCGTCTCGAACGTGTGTTGGTCTTTGGCGAAGATGTTGGCTTCTGAAACGGAAGGAGATGGGAAAAAACGAATGGTTTGGGTGGTTGACGACAAGTGCGACTTGAGGAAAAGCATATCAGACGCGGTTGAGATGGGGTGTTCTGGTCCTCCCGCGAAACGATTCAACGCACAGGAATTCGCCAACGTCGCGTGGGCCATGGCAAAATTCAACGAGGCGCCAAACGACGAAGACGCGAACGGAGGGAGAGAAGTTTTGGTGAATAAGATGGCGCTCGAATTGAAAGAGCTGCTCATATCGGAGACTGTCAAAGGTCGATTTGAGTCCAGGCACGTCGCGAATACGTTTTTAGCGTTCGCGAAAGTTAATCAGTGCGCGGAAGATCCAAAATTTTGGTTCAAGTTGAAAACGTTGACGAAAAGTGCTGTTTTAAAGAATATGAACGCGCACGAGTTGTCCATGGTCATGGTGGGTGTTAGTTTAGTAAACGAGAGCAACGGCGAAGTCGGTGGAGAAGACGACGAAGAAGAGGACGAAGAATTAGCGTACGAAGTGTGTCGGTTCTTTACAAAAACAATCGCTTCGTACACAGACGATACGAATAATGAAACCGACGACGACGAAACCGGTAAGGTGGGGTTAATCGCCAACGTCCTTTGGGCACTCGCGAAACTTCCGCAACTCCTGGGGGAAATCGCAAAGAAACAAGAAAAGGTTTTCATCAACGAGATGCTACGCGTACTCGAGCAGTCGAACGGTATCGCCAACATGAACGGACGACAGGCGTCCACCATTCTTTGGTCGCTCGCGAAAATCGGCGACGTGGTTGGTTTCGAAGATACAGGAATCAAATCTACGTTTGAACACTTCTCAAGAACGCACTTCTGCGATGCGAGGTCTTCTCTATTCTTCAAAACCAAAACCGATGCTCGATCGTTCTCTATGATTCTTTGGGCTTTTTCGAACGGCGTGCCCGATGTTGCCACGAATGAAAGGGCGAAAGACGTCTTTGAATCCGCGCACAAAGACTTGCGTAAAGAAAACTTTATCGACGAATTCAACGCGCGTGATCTCGCGAACGTGACCGAAGCGTTTGCAAAAAGATTGGATACGCCTGAAAAAGTTTTGAAGACAATTGCTAAACGCGCTGCGGAAATTCTTGACACGTTCAACGCGCAAGAGTTGCTAAAGTTTCTCGGCGCGCTCGAGAGAGCCGGAGGAGATGTGCACAAGTACGAAAAATTGAACGAACTTCTGCGCTCGAAAAGGACGGTTAAGATTCCGTTCCCTGCGCTCGGTTTAGTCGACGAGTCGGCGATAAAGCTGCGCTCGGCGACGCCATCAAACGACGCGTCTAAACAAATTGACAGGGTGGACGACTCGTGCGGCGGATTTGGGCGCCAAAATACCGGCGTCGCTCTTTGGGAAGGCTCGAGAGTCTTAGCCGAATGGATATCAAGACTTTCCACCGTCGATTTGCACGCGTTTTGCAGCAACGATGCAAAATGGAAAAAACTTGGCGAGGATGGGTTTTTTACGCCTCATCTGAACGCACGCGATGCTTTCTTCGGTAAAGGAAAAGTTGGCGTCGAACTCGGTGCTGGGCTCGGATTGCCTTCCATCGTGGCTTCGAAACTCGGCGCAAACGTCATCGCAACCGATGGTACGTGTATTTTTCGTTTTTTCACAAATAGTAGTCGTCTCGTTTCTTATTCTTTGTGTTTTATGTTCTCGTATATTCGCTCCGGTTAATCCCTCGACTGGTCTTCCTTTGTGGCCGTTGAGTTTCAGAGAGAGCGTACAAAAGAGTTGACTGAAAAGTCACCGGGGAGTTTCGCTGACAACATCCTTTAATTTGCCACGGATGCGTCTGATAGTAGCTCTCGTACATTTTTTCATCTTGGTACTCTTCTTTACATTTTCTAAGCAAACTTACGTTATTATACTTTTCGTTTCGTTTATTTTCACTCGCACAGGCGACGACGACGTCCTCTCGCTTCTCAAAAAGAACGTGAAGAAGAACGCGGGCGAAGGATCTTCGACGAAGAAACTCGTCTGGGGCGCAGGCGACGCTCGAGAGATTCTCGAACTGACGAGACATCCAGACTTCATCCTCGCCACGGACGTCGTTTACGGCAACGATACGAGTAAATGGAAAGCGTTAGTGGATACTATCAAACGCTTAGCTGGAAGAAACACGTTGATTCTCATCGGCAACGTTCGCCGGTACCCCACGGGGCATCCGTTAGCTGAGACGACGTTTTACACCGAGGCGACGAAGGAAGATTTCGACCGCGCGGAAGTCCCGGTGTCCAGTTTACACCCAGACTTTCGAAGAACGGGCGCTGGGTCGTGCGTGATTCACGCTATGCGATTGAAATACGATGCTCAGCCTTTCGTTGCCCTCGGAAAACGGAAAAAAGAGAAGAGGAAGAAAGAGAAGAAAGAAAAGAGGAAGAAGAAAACGATTTTAAATTAGTAGTAGTGTAATATTAGTAGTTTGTATTGATAAAGCTCGCGCTCGCTATACCGATAATAAGAAACTCCGTTATCGTAATTATTGTCCTAGTGGCTTTTCGAGCATAAAATGCCCCACCTCAACCAGGCCAACCGCGGCGAACGGATTCCATTCGGTACTCCTTTGCGCGATCTGCGCTTGCGTCAACCCTTTTTTCGCCCACTCTGGCTCCGCGTACCCGCACTTCTCGAATAATTTTTGCGCGCCTTTATTATCCACTTTCGTGTGCGTATACATCGTCGTCTCACCCATCTCTCTCATCGTCTCTTCCGCGGCTAACACCAAAGCTTTACCGATCCCTCGCCCTCTCTGCGTTGTAGCGACGGCGACGTCCGATAAATACGGTTTATCCGCCGGTGCTTTCGGTCGGTAGTTCTCCGCGCCGAACCGCTTCCCGTTCGGCAACGACACCTCCGCGATGCCGACTAAATTCGATCCAACTTTTGCCGCTATTAAAACTCTGTCCGTCGCATTCTGCACCCCGTCCAATAACCCCGCGTACACTCGATCCGATTGTGCCTTCGCCAACCTTTTCCTCGCTAAGAAATCTTGCGGTCTCACCTTAAAGAATAAATCCATCACTAAGTTCGTCGCGTCCATGCAATCGTCCTCCTCCAAAGGACCTATTTTCGCCGACCCCATGTCCGCGAGTTTCACCTCCGACCGTTTCACCGCCAACGCCAAAGCGCCTTGCAGTTTCGCCTTGTCTCGTCTTCGGTTTTTCGCCAGTTTCACCGTGCCTTTTTCCATGTCCACCACGAGCAAAGGCGTCGCGCCTTTACTCGTCGCTTTACCCCTCGTGTTCTTTCCTCCTCCTTCTTCTTCTTCTTTCGTTGTTGTTTCTGTTGGAATCGTCGTCGTCGTCGTCGAAGGATCTCCTCCTTTTTCTTCTTCTTCTGCAAACGCGCGTGCTCTCGTTTTATCTCGTTTTGTGCTGATATTATTGAGCGCATTAAAACCGATTCTTCTTTTCGCTTCACCCTCGTCTTCAGCGAGGACGACGATGCGTTTTCCCCCACGGGTAAAGCATCTCCTTCCCGAAGTCCGCGATTTTGCGTTCATCTTCGAACTCGTGTTGAACGTAGTACTCGCAGCGGCATCTTTTACGCGACGGCAACGACCACCACCCGACGACGCAGAGGACGACACCGAGAAGACGTTTTGCGAGAAGAAGCTCATGATGACGACAAAAAGAGAGAGAAAGAGAGAGAGTTTAGTTGCGCATAAAAATGTGGATAAAATGGAAGCATTTTGGATGCCTCACTTTTTCCCCGAAGAAGCAGCTTTTTCTTTGAAACAGAGGGTCGGTTATTCGGTCGCTTTCCTTTTTCCTCCTCGAACGATTCGAAGAACACGACGCGACGCGCGCGTTCCGTCGTCCCTTCCTCGTTGGACTGCGCAATACTACGCGAATAATTTCTTTCGCTCAAACAGAGGGAAAGAGTAGAAGTAAGCACACGCACACTCCGACCTCTCTCTCTGGATTGCACACCATGTCTCTTCTCTCGTCCAAGACGAAGAAGACACCGGGAGGAGGAAAAACGAGCAGCAGATGGGAGAGTTTGAGCACGGACAGACAGTTGTTGGTGTTTTCTTTGCTCACCGTCGTCGGTTTGATCGGGAAATCGATGTCCGAACACGAGAAGTGCGCGCACGCGCACCACCGGATTTCCATTGGTGATTATTCCTCCTCCTCTTTTGCCACTGGAAGGGGTGGTGAAGGCGATGGATACGATGGATACGCGAGGACGGGACATTTGTCGTCGTCGTCTGAATCGTGTCCATCCGCGGACGAGTTGTGCCCGTCCAGCGACTCGAAACGACGCGTGAGAGACTCGGCGATACAAATCGAGTTGAAGAGGAAAAAAATAGAAGTGGAGGAGCTTCAGAGAGCGCTGGCGAAGAAAAACGGAAACGGATCCAAAGAGGATCCCTTGGCGAAAGAGTTGGAGACGATGTCCTCGGAACTGGCAAAGTTACGGGCGAAGTTGCGAACGTATAAAGTGAGCGAGCAACAGGCGATATCGGACCGGAAGAATTGCGAGAAGACGCTGGAGTACGGCGGCGACGGATGTCAGCGGCAAGAGTTACCGATCGGGATGGAGTCGTGCGAAAAGCTCGCCGAATATAGAAAAGGGTTGGAGAAGAAAATCATCACTTTGAAAAGAGAGGCGTGGACGAACAGAGATAAGAGCGCGAACCAGTGCGCGGGAAAATTAGCCGCGGAGAGGCTGTTATGGATGGATAGAGCGACGGTAGTGATGACGGCGGCGATTGCAGCCGGGACGGACGAGAGAACGCTGGATTCGACCGGAATTATTCAAACCGAAGCGAGGAGAAGAGTATTAGCCGCGGAAAGAGAAATAGCGTATTCGAAAAAGTATCCCGGGTCGCCGGTATTTAACGGCGTCGGGAGTGCGGCGAATGAAGCGGATTTGTCCATCGTGTTCAAGAGAGCGCTGTTGGAAGCAAGGAACGAGATGTTGGCGGAAGATAAGAAAATCGACGAGGCATGGATCGACGAGTTGTTGCAGATTCCCGAGTTGAACGGTGGGAAGAGAAACGGCGCGAAAAGATGGACGCCAGACGAGCGGCAAAAACACAGCGAAGAATGGGAAGAAGCGGTGAGGAAATTAACGCCGTCCATCGTGGAAGGCGTTCAAGTGAAAACTAAAAATCCGAAAGACGTGATTAACTATTTCGCGAGAACCGTAGAGGCGGAAAGAGCTATGCCGCATGTGTTTGGATTAGTCGAGAGAAAGGGAGGGCCTTTGCAGTGGGAAGGCAAATTCGCTCGATACGCCGCGCGCAAAAACGCGCGAAGGTCGAAAAATGTCAAAGGCGGCGTCGTCAAGAAAGCAGACGGGAATTCAACCGGCGTTTCAAACACATTGTTTCGTTCCGCGTTAGTCGACGATGTGTTACCGGACGTCGCGCCTCCGCCAGAATACAAAAGATGCGCGTTAGTTGGAAACTCGCAAAGAAATTTAATCCATGAGTACGGCGAGGAAATCGATAGCCACGATACCGTATTTCGCATGAACAACGGACCGACTTTAGGATTTGAAAAGTACGTCGGCACGAAAACAACGCATCGAATCGTGAATAATCTCTGGACGAAAGCGTACGGTGCATCGGTGTATAACTTAGCGCGACTTCCACTAGAATGGAACGCCACTTTACTCGTTTCTAGAACCGACGGCGAGGATTTCTACAACGTAGTTTCCGAGTTGAAAAATCGACGACCGGACGTCAATGTCGTTCGCATCAATCCACCCGGGGCAGCTGCGGCGAGCGATTTGTTAGACACCTTGCGCAAACGCATTGAATCGAAGAGAGGTTTAACCTACCCAGGAAGAGGATCTCCCTCCTCCGGTTGGCTCGCCGTCTTCCTCGCTATTCAACTCTGCGAATCCGTGGACGTTTACGGCGTCGGTTTAGGCGGATGTTGGGGCGCCGCCGGAGGCGGGTGCATCGGAGGGAGCGCCTGGCACTACTTCGAGAACGATTTAGCCGAGCTCTACAAAAACTCTCGAGAATTCGGCGAAGATCCGCACCACTCCTTCCAGCTCGAACACGACATGTTGCGAGCGCTCGACGAAGCCAGCCACATCAAACTCCACGCGCCGCAAAAATACGACTCCATGGAGAAAGAAGCTACGTATTTAAGAGCCATGCAACCAACCGTCTTGGACGACGCCCAAGCCACCGCGCGAACTTTATCCGCGAAAGCAGATCTCATCTGCATCGCCTCCGTCGGCCAAACCTGCGGCTGCGAAAAGAGGTGCATGTCGCCGACCGAGTTGCACAATCGAGAGAAAAAATCGAGAATGAAAGAAGCCACGCAGGTCATCAAGTCCTTGGAAAGATACGACGAAAGTAGCGGTAGTAGTAGTAGCGGTACTAGCGGTAAGAGTAGGAGTCACGACGGCGACGAGAATAACGAAGATGATTAATTTGCAATAAAAGTACCTAAAAGTAAAGCACAGTACCAGTTACAAGTACATATTCTCACACGCAACATAAACGCGCACTTCTTAAGCTCGGTTCGCGTGCGTATTTTATTTGGAGCGCTAAAGCACCTTTCGGAGTTTAGATGAGGCGTGTGTCTTTTCACTCGAAAAAAGCTTCAAAAAAGAACAGTTTGACTCTTTTATTCCATCACTTTTATTCCACACCCACACAAGGACTCTCTCTCTCTTTATACACACACAGAGTCTCTCGAGATGGCGACGCCGCCGGTGAACGTGAGCGAGGCCATACAGGTACGAATACTGCGACGCAGATAGATCGATGCGAGCGTTTTGTTTTTTGTTTTCTCTCTTTGATGATGGGGCAGTTAATTGACCCAATTGGGTGCCGCCCGTTACGTCTCTTCGATCACCTTTTTTTTTGTAAAGAAGACTACTCTCTCTCGCTCTCTCGCTTTTGGGGAGGTTTTCGCGGATGATCTAATCGTGTTCGAAGTACTGACGATGTGCTTTTCTTTTCTCGCGCGTGTATTCTCGCGTAACAAACACAGCTGACATCTTTGGGCATCAATCCGTCGATGATTTCCTTCACCAACGTGACGATGGAATCGGAAAAGTTTATTTGCGTCCGGGAAACCGGGACGGCGAACGCGGTGGTGATTGTCGACGTCGCGTCGCCGTCGCAACCGTTGAAACGACCGATCACGGCGGATTCCGCTTTGATGAATCCAGAGAAGAGAATTATCGCGTTGAAAGCGACCACGGCGGAGGGCGATGGGAAAGATCACTTGCAAATATTCAACATCGAGCAGAAGGCGAAAATGAAGAGTCACCAGATGGACGAGCCGGTTGTTTTTTGGAAGTGGTTGGATGCGACAATGCTAGGGGTGGTGACGAATACGTCGGTGTATCACTGGTCGATGAGTGGGGACTCGACGCCGGAGAAGGTGTTTGATCGAACGGCAAATTTGGCGGGATCTCAAATTATTTCGTACAAAGCGAGTCAAGACATGCAGTGGTTCGCGTTGATTGGGATCGCGCCTGGCGATGCGTCGAGACCGGCATTAGTTAAAGGGAACATGCAGCTTTATTCCGCAGCGCAACAGAGATCGCAGGCGTTGGAGGCGCACGGCGCGACGTTTGGGACGTTCCACGTGCCCGGGAACGCGAAAGAGAGTCAGATTGTAGCGTTCGCTCAAAAGACGGTCAATCCAGGGGACGGGAGCGTGCAGGCGAAGATGCATATCATCGAGCTCGGGATGCAACCGGGAAACACGAACGCGTTTCAAAAGTGTCAGACGGAATTGTTTTTCCCGCCGGAGTTTGCGGACGATTTCCCGGTGAGCATGCAAATCTCGAAAAAATACGGGTTGATTTACGCCGTCACGAAAGCCGGTTTGTTGTTCGTGAACGACATCGAGACTGGGGCCGCGGTGTATAGGAATAAGATTTCGAATGATCCGGTGTTTATCGCGTGTATTTCGGAAAAGACCGGGGGCATTTATTGCGTCAACAGAAGAGGGCAAGTCATTTTGGCGACCATTAACGAGAGCGCGGTGGTGCCGTTTGTATCTCAGCAGTTGAATAACATGGAATTAGCGCTATCGATCGCTGGAAGGGCGTCGTTACCTGGCGCAGAGGCATTGATTACGCCGAGATTTGACGCATTATTCAACTCTGGCGATTTCAAAGGCGCCGCCGAGTTAGCTGCGAAATACGGGTCCTTGAGAACGATGAACACCATTCAAAAGTTTCAGCAAGCGCCGCAACAACCGGGTTCATCTCCTCCAGCGTTGCAATATTTCGGCGCTTGTTTGCAAATGGGCAAGTTGAACAAAATTGAATCGGTGGAGTTGACGAAGTTGGTATTGAGACAGAACAAGAAACAACTCATCGACCAGTGGTTCGCGGAGGATAAGTTGGAGGCGAGCGAAGAGTTGGGCGATGTCATCTCTCCAGTCGACAGTGACATGGCTTTGAAGCTATACTCAAAGGCACAATCCAATCCGAAAGTGTGCGCGGAGTTGGCGAAAAGAGGTGATTTCGAGACGCTCACGGCTTACTGCGAACGCGTGAACTACACGCCAAACTACATGCACATGTTGCAAAGTTTGATGATGTCGGACCCGCCTTCTGCGGTTTCTTTAGCACAAAGATGCTCGAAAATGACGCCACCGCCGCTTGATATGCAGGGCGTGGCGGATTTGTTCTTACAACGCAACATGATTCGCGAGGCGACGTCGTTGTTGCTTGACATCTTGAAGGATGATAACGAAGAGCAAGCGGCGTTACAAACGAAGGTTTTGGAAATCAACTTGGTCACGTACCCGAACGTCGCCGATGCGATTTTAGCGCAAGGTAAATTATCCCATTACGATCGCCCGAGAATCGCACAATTGTGCGAAAAGGCCGGTTTGTACGGACGCGCCTTACAACACTACACGGAATTGAGCGATTTGAAACGGTGTGTTTCTGCGACGCACGCGATTGAACCGAACGCGTTGGTGGAATTTTTCGGTACCTTATCGAAGGAATGGGCGTTAGAGTGCTTGAAAGAGCTTTTGAATGCCAACCTGAAACAAAACTTACAAGTTGCGGTGACCATTGCCAAAGAGTACACCGAACAACTCGGCGTTCAAGAGATTATGTCGTTGTTTCAAGAACGCGACTCGAACGAGGGGTTGTTCTTTTACTTGGGCGCGTTATTACCAACCTCGGAGAACAAAGAGGTTCACTTTAGATACATCGAAGCCGCGTCGAAGGTTCAGCAAATTAAGGAAGTCGAACGGGTCACGAGAGAGAGTAACTTTTACGACCCGGAACGCGTAAAACTGTTTTTGATGGAGGCGAAATTACCGGACGCGAGACCGTTGATCAACGTGTGCGACCGATTCGAGTTTATTTCCGATTTGACCACCTTCTTATACAACAGCAACATGTTGAGGTATATCGAAGGGTACGTTCAGAAAGTCAATCCGAAGAACGCGCCGAAAGTTGTCGGCACGTTGATCGATTTAGAGTGCAGCGAAGAGTTCATCAAGAACTTGATCTTGTCTGTGCGTTCGTTGTTACCGGTTGGCCCGCTCGTCGAAGAAGTCGAAAAGAGAAACCGTTTAAAAATGCTCTCGGAGTTTTTGGAGCACTTGGTGAACGAAGGTTCGCAAGATTCGGAAGTACACAACGCGCTCGGTAAAATGCTCGTCGATTCCAACAACAACCCGGAACACTTTTTGATGACGAACAAATTTTATCAACACGCGGTTGTCGGTAAATATTGCGAACGACGCGATCCAAACTTGGCGTGTGTGGCGTATAGGTTAGGGAACTGCGACGACGAACTCGTCAAATGCACGAACGTAAATTCCATGTTCAAAGTGCAAGCGCGATACGTGGTTTCGAGAATGGAACCAGAGTTATGGGAGAAAGTCTTGACGGACGAAAACCAATACAGACGCCAATTGATCGACCAAGTCGTCTCTACTGCGTTGCCGGAATCGAAGAACCCAGAGGAAGTTTCCGTGACGGTCAAGGCGTTCATGACGGCGGAAATGCCAGAAGAGTTAATCGAGCTGTTAGAGAAGATTGTTTTGCAAACCTCCGCGTTTTCAAACAATCCAAACTTGCAAAACTTGTTGATTTTGACCGCCATCAAAGCGGACAAGACGAGAGTGATGGAATACGTAAACCGATTGGACGATTTCAACGGCCCGGAAGTTGGCGAAATTGCTGCTGGGAACGAGTTGTACGAAGAAGCGCTGGCGATTTACAAAAAGTTTAACTTACACGTGGACGCGATGAACATTTTGATCGAGTCTATCGAAGACATCGAGAGAGCAATGGAATACGCCGAGCGCGTGGATACGCCAGAGGTGTGGTGCCAGCTCGGTAAAGCGCAACTGTTGCAAGGCGGTAAAGAAGGCGTCAAGGCGGCGATTATTTCGTTAATCAAGGCGAAAGACATTACCACTTTCGATGATGTCGTCGAAGCTGCGAGGAAATTCGACGAGTACGAAGCCATGGTGCCGTATTTGTTGATGGTGCGAAAGAGTTTGAAAGATCCGAAAGTAGACACGGAAATCGTGTACGCGTACGCTCGAACGGATGAACTCTCCGCGTTGGAAGATTTTCTTTCCAAACCAAACGCGGCGAATTTACAAACCGTCGGCGACCGGTGTTTCGAAGAAAACTTGTTGGAAGCTGCCAAGGTATTATACACGTCATTATCTAACTGGGGTGCGTTAGCTTCTACTTTAGTTCGCTTGCGCCAATTCCAAGCCGCAGTGGAAGCCGCGCGAAAAGCGAACACGCCCAAGACGTGGAAAGAAGTTTGCTTTGCGTGCGTAGAAGAGGAAGAGTTCAGGCTCGCGCAGTTGTGCGGCTTGAACATCATTCTCCAAGCGGACGAATTAGAAGCACTCTCGGACTTTTACCAACAACGCGGGAACTTTGAGGAGCTCATTCAGTTGATGGAAGCCGGCATCGGTCTCGATCGCGCGCACATGGGCATCTTCACCGAACTCGGTATTTTGTACGCATATCACAAGCGAGACAAATTACACGAGCACTTGAAGTTATTTTCGCAGCGCATCAACATTCCGAAACTCATCCGCGTTTGCGAGGACGTTCACGCTTGGGACGAGCTCCGTTTCTTGTTTGTCCAATACGACGAATACGACAACGCCGCCGAAGTCATGATGAAACACCCAGACGCCTGGGAACACATCCGCTTCAAAGACGTGTGCGCCAAACTTTCCAACGTGGACGTTTACTACAAAGCGATCAAGTTCTACCTCTCCGACCATCCGAAAGAGTTGAACGACCTCCTCGTCGTTTTACAATCTAGAGTTGACCACGCTCGAGTCGTCGCTTTGATGCGCAAACTCGAAGCGTTAGCGCTGGTGAAACCATATTTAGTCGCGGTTCAACCAGCGAATTTAGCCGCCGTCAACGACGCCATTAACGAGCTCGCCATCGAAGAAGAAGACTTTGAGACTTTGAGAACGTCCATCGACACGTACGATAACTGCGACCAGATTTCCTTAGCCGTCTCTTGCGAAAAGCACGAGTTGATTGAATTCCGCAGAATCGCCAGTCACATTTACCAACGCAACAAGCGATGGCGGCAATCTGTCGCGTTGTCCAAACGGGATAACTTGTTCAAAGACGCCATGGAATGCGCCGCCAAGTCCGGCGAACGCGACATCGCGGAGGAACTCCTCGAATTCTTCATCGAAGAAGGTAAAAAAGAGTGCTTCGCCGCGTGCATATGCACGTGTTACGATTTACTCAAGCCGGATTACGTCCTCGAAAAAGCTTGGATGAACGGTCTCTCCGAATACGTCATGCCGTACATGATCCAAGTCGTTCGAGAATATTCCACCAAAGTCGACGAATTAGTCCAAGATAAAATCGACAAACAAAACGAGAGCAAACAGGAAGAGTTGAACAAAGAGAAGGAGCAGATGCAACAAAATCTGTACGCGCAACTGATGCCGGCGGCGTTGCCGGCGCCGCCGATGGGCGGCGGCGATCAATACGGCGGTATGGGTGGTGCAGACCAGTACGGTGGTGGTGGTGGCATGGGTGACCAAAACGGGTACGCGCCGCAACCTCAGTACTACTAATACACATACTGATGAACAGAGAGAGAGAGAGAGAGTATCATCACGAGATCACATATTAACATTTTTTTATTCGACACAACGACGAAAATCTTCACTTCTTTTACAGTCGTCATACCTGCTACACTTTTGAAATGATGACTTCGCTGAAAGCAACGTCTTTGTCGTCGTTTACGTCGTCACACTACTCGATGATGATTAAATACGACAGACGATATTCGTCGCTCTCGGCCTCCTCATCTGAACCATCGTCATCATCATCGCTTCTTCGTCGCTTTACGCGTTCAAGACATCATCGCATCTTCGCGTCGTCGTCACCGACGACGTCGTCACCCGAACGACGAAAACAACTTCTCTCGCCACCGCACGATATCTCGGTCCCTCTCCCGTCTGCGGGGAAAAACAAACCACCGTTATCGATTGAACGGGCAATAAGCGAGTATCCGTGGAGAGGTGGATTAGAACCGATCGAAAACTCTGCGCATCCCGTCCAATGTGAAACTGTTTTCGGGGCTGTCCCGGAAGAAGTGAAAGGAGGCACGTTATACCGACTCGGGCCGGGGAGATGTCGATTAGGATCGAAGAAATACGCGCACTGGTTCGACGGCGACGGGTGCATGCACGAAATTAGGTTTGGGAAAGAGAACGGAGAAGTGACGATGCGTTCGGCGATGGTGGAAACGGAACGGTATAAAGCGCAAGAGACGCGAAAGGCGAAAGGCGACGACGATATCGTCGGGGCGAGAGGCGCGTGGACGCAAGCGACGGACATCATGGACAATTTAGGAAAGTTTCCAACGAATCCAGGAAATACGAGTCCAGTTGTTTTCAACGGGAGTTTATTAGCCTTGTGCGAAGGCGGACCACCGATTGAGATTGATAAGAAGACGTTAAAGACGAAAGGCGAGTATTCAGGGAAATTTACGGGCGATTTGAGTGGCTTTCCGATGGGTTTTGCCGCACATTCGAAAATAGACGCGAACGATGGGTACATGTACGCGTGGGGTCTAGCAAAGCCACCGGCGTTGGGGCACAGGTTTGCCAAAATCTCGCCGAGTGGGGAGGTTTTGAAAACCACCAACGTGCCTTTACCGGACCCGCTCGGTTTTTTCCTCTTACACGATGCGTGCGATACGGAAAATTATGTCGTTTTTGTCGTCGTTCCGTGGAAAGCGACGGTTGGGGAAATCATGCCAGCGTTAATTGGCGTGGAGAGTTTTGGTCATTCGTTTTCTTACGATTCAAACGCCAAGACACGAATCGTTGTCATGCGCAAATCGGATTTAACCGTCGCGATGGAGGTGGACGTTGAAAACTTCAGTTCCTACCACAATGCCGGGGCTTATGAAGACGAGCAAGGGAACATTCACGCGTTGGTGTGCAAATTAAAAGGCGATCGAGAGGATCTGGAAAAGAATTTTGCGGACATGTACAATTCCGTGTGGACGTCGAAACAGTATAATCACTTGTACGACGTGTGTTTATCGGTCAAAGAGAAGAAAGTTTTATCGCAAACGAAAATTGGCGGCGACGGTGCTAAACCGATGGAATTTCCGATTTTATCTACGAAGTGGACGCAAACTGCCGCGAAAACGAAATCGATGCCTGCGTTTATCTACACCTTATGTTTCGGTGAAAGCGGCGGCGGTTATTTCGATACCGTCCAAAAAGTAGCGACGACTTTAGGGGCGAACGAAAACCACCTCGAATACCGATCCAAACCTGGATACTTCCCAGCCGAAGTTGCGTTTGTCCCTAAGAACAACGCTCAAAAAGAAGACGACGGGTATTTAGTCTTCATCGAATACGCCGCCAATCGTCACGCCAGCGACGTGGTCGTTCTCGACGCCGAAACCATGGACGAAGTCTACCGAGCGGAATCGAGCTATCACGTTCCGTATACTTTCCACGGTTGCTGGGAGTCGTCTGCAAACTAAGAAAGCGGCGATAAAAAAGACGACAAAGTGTTCCAACACGTTTAGAGATTTAGAGAAACAACCATTTTAGACGACAGATGAAAATACTTTAAAGAGTAGTTCTTCTTTGCGCAGTTGTTTCAAAGCGCTTTCGTCCCCGAGCGTGACAAGTTATTTCCTCTTTTTTCTCTTTTCGAGGCTAAAAATTCCCCTAAAAACGACAGTTACCCCATTGAAAGGACACGCACCATCATGCGTGCATCCTTCTCTCTCTTCGCTTCTTCCTCCAGCAGCGGCAGCACGGAGAGTCGCGCGAGTCCTTCCTTCAAGTTCACCCCCGCGCCGCATTCTGGCTACCATCGTCGTCGCCTTAATAACACCAACACCAACACCAACAAGAACGATTCGTTCTTCGAAGGGTGGTATTTCCGCCTGTCGATTTCGCGAGAGCAATCCGCCTCTTTGATTTACCACGTGTACGACCCGGACGATAGGAGTTCGAAGAGACACTCCGCCGGGGCACAAATTATTGCACCAGATGGAGAGTACGTGTATAAGGAGACACGCGAGGTGGGGAAGAGTTTCCACGCGGAAGGACACGAATTGGCGTTACGGTTAGACTTTTTAGACGACGACCACTCCGAGATTACGCCAAAAATAGACGAAAAGAGAAGACGAGCAGATTTTTACCGAGTGAGCGAGAGAGGCACGAAACACGCGGGGTATTTGTCCACGAACGAAAGCAACAGAAACGATATGGAAAGTGAAGATTCGCCGTGGAAAAGTTCCGCGGTTTTAAAGTACATCGAATGGGACATCGACGTGACGCCGTTGAAAACGTACGGGTCCGGGAACGGAGGAGGCTCGGCGGGGAAAGAGAAGGAAAACGATGGTGGTGTTTCGCCCGCGGGATGGTTGACATCGTTACCGCTACTCGAACCGCACTATCAGATTTTGTTTGCGCACGCGATAGCTAGTGGGTACGTGGAGTGCGATGGTAAGAGGACGGAGTTTACCGATGTTCCGTTCTACGCGGAGAAAAATTGGGGCGGCGGAGGGTTCCCTCGTAAATGGTTTTGGATGCAATGTAATTCGTTTCCTCAGTATCCAGACTTATCTGTAGTATGCACCGGTGCAAATCGAGGAGTGGTCATCTCTCCAGGCACGTACGAAGACGTCGGAATGGTTGCGATTCACTATGGAGATTTGTTCGTGCAGTTTTCTCCGGTCGGCGCGAACAAGTCGACGAAAACGAACAGTTCATACGTCGGTGAGAACGTTCTTGTGAAATCGACGACGTTTGAATGGAAAGTACATCCGTGGGGACGCTGGGAAGTTGTCGCGAAAGGCGACGGCTACGAGTGCATCGTCACGGGCGCGTGCGAGCAAGATTTGACCAAATGTAAAACCACCGTCCTTCGCGCTCCGGCGCCTGATACCGAATCCGGCATGTTACCTTTGTGTCGCGAAACGTTTTCGGGCGACATGACGGTCAGTCTGTATAAAATCAACGCCAAGAAGGAACGAAAACCGATATTCGAAAACGCGTCGAGTGGCTCCACCGCCTGTCTGGAAGTCGGCGGCGGCCCCTGGGAAGCGCCTTGGGAAATCCAAGCCGACGTGAAGGATCCTCTCGCCGGCGCTTTAGCGATGACGGACGTAAACGTGGAATTAGTGCAAAGCGTCGGTAAGTTTTTCGGGTTGGACGTCATTCCGGGTTTGTGATAGATAACGATGATGATGTTTCGCCGCCTTTTTTTGTCCTTTTTATGCGCAGCGGCAATAGCGACAATAGCGCTTAGAGTATTTAGATAATGAAAGTTAGTTGGTTATTTCATTTTACACCTCATTCCAAACACAACACATCACACGCGCAGAATACACCCACCTCTTCGTTTTCGTCACCACACGCGTCCTCGTCATGCGCAGCGTCGTAACCACCGACCCTTTCTTCTCCTTTCGACGCGCTCTTCTCTTTTCGAACGTTGGTGTTCATCCTCGTAAAGTGTCAGCGGCGGCGGCGGCGGCGAATTCCTCTTCCAAATCATCAACGGCAAAGACGACGACAAACTCTTCTTACGACGTCGATTCTATCCTCGAGTTACAGTGTCACGCCATTGCCAGCGATGGGTCCGGAGTGTGCAAACTTCCGGACGAACGGATCTGTCTCGTCGCAGGGGCGACGCCGGACAGAGAAGGGGTGAAAGTTTTAGTGAGAATCACACAAGTGAAGAAAACGGTTGCTTTTGGGGTGAAAGTTTTCGCGAAAACAAAAGGGGAGGAGGAAGTCTCACCCGCGGGGGTGTCGTCGACGCATTATCAGCAACCATTTTGCGCGCATTTTTACACGTGCGGAGGTTGCTCGTGGCAAGACGTGAAATACGAGAGACAGTTGGATTTGAAACGAACGATGGTGGTGGAAGCGTTCGCGAAGAACGGAAAGTTAGGCGTGGACGCCGCGGACGCGTTGATTGAAAAGACGGTTGGATTGTGGGCAAATGATGATAAAAATGGTGATGATAATACTAAAACGGATGCAACGCCGACAAAGTTTCGGAATAAGATGACGTTTGCGTTTGGGGTCGATAACGGTGTGGAGAAAGGCGGCGCGAAGATTGGTTTGCGTCCTCCGAAATCGCACGATGTGGTGGTAGACGTGACGTCGCCGAGCGGGTGTTTGTTGCAGTCGGATAGCGCGAACGAAGCTTTAAAAGCTATTAGTAAGTCGTTGCGAAAAGCGGGGAAATCGTTACCATCGTTCGATAGGAAAACTGGGAATGGGACGTTGCGTTCCGCGACTTTTCGCGAAAACTCGAACGGGAAAATTGACGTGGAGATTGAATCCACGTCGAGAGAGTCCGCGGTGAAGACTGGTCCTTTGAAGGAATTGATGACGGAAACGTTGGCGGTGGCGAACGTAAAATCAGTCACGCACGTCCAAATCGATCGAGTCGCGAACTTAAAACAAGCTGGACGTGGGAGAAAGCAAAGCAACGTGAAGAGTGGGAAACGTCCAGAGAGTAACAGAAAAGCTAAAACGACCATGATTGACGACGAGGAGGAAGATGTCGGAGCAGGGTCAATCGTCGACGACGCGTGGGAGGTATCTTTGGGCGGTTTGAACTTTCGAGCGAGGCCAGAGTCGTTCTTTCAAACTAACACGACGCAGGCGGAAGTTTTGGTGAACGCCGCGGTCGAAGCGTTGCGACCACTTTTTGAAGAAAAACCGACAAAGCAAAAGAAAATTGTTCTCGATCTCTTCTCCGGCGTCGGCGTGTTCGGCTTAACAGTTGCACATAAAATACCAAACATCTCCAAAGTCATCGGCTACGAGATTGTCAAAGAAGCCGTACTCGACGCGAATGAAAACGCCATCATGAACAATCTATCGAACACGTGCGAGTTTTACGTTCGAGATTTGACCAAACCCGGTCCATTGGAAGGTATCGACGTCGACGACACGAACAATTCAAACGACGAAGGCGACGCAGACTGTATCGTCGAAGCCGTTATCCTCGACCCGGCTCGACCGGGGTGTTCCAAAGACATCCTCTCCGAAATACGAAAGTTACGACCAAAACGAATCGTATACGTTTCGTGTAACCCGGACACGCAAGCGAGAGACGCGAGCATTTTGTTCGGGAACGAAGACGAAACCGGCGGACCATCGTCTCTCCCCACGTATTCCCTCGCCTCCGTGAAGCCTTGCGACATGTTTCCTCACGCCTTGCACGTCGAAACCGTCGCCGTGTTTGACCGCGTTGACTAATAATTTTTAGAATAGTAGCTTTGAACTGTTGCAATAGTAATACTGATAGGACTCGCCGACGCAACTCCATAGCATGTGAGCACTTTTCCTTTCCTTTTTAAAATTGCCACGCTGTCACAACTGTGAGCCACGCATTTTGAGAGCATTAATTGACGACTGCTCTCTAATCATCTCGAAACCATCTTTCATCCACCAATGACGTGCGCGTGCACTCGTTTTCTCAAAATCTGTTCCATTCCATCGCTCGAGTAGACTTTATGCGATGTTTTGGTGTGGTTTTCTCGTGCGATTGAATTCGATGCGTTGCGTTCTTGGCAAAGTAAAGCGTGGAAATGTGCGTGGATTTGGCGACTGCGATGACGTCTCAAAAAGGCAGTTACGAGGCGAAATCCTTCACTTTCGCACACGAATACACCTACACACACAACATAATAAACATGCAATCAATCACCCAATTCTCTCAATCTGCCACTCTCAGAGTGAACGCCAACAAGGCTTCCTTGAACAAATCGTCCAAGAAAGTGTCCGTGCAAGTCCGCGCGGCGGTGAGCATGCCGTCGATGGACTCGCAAGACGAAGGCGACGACGTCGTCGCATCCAATCCGGAAGCGTTCGTTCCGCAAGCGCCGGCGGCGCAAAAGGGCAACGCGGTTTTCTCGTAAGTAATCGTTCTCCCTGATGTTGTGACTTTTGTGTTTTTGTTCCTTTTGAGATCTGTCTCTGCGCGAGAATGATCATCATCATCATCATCATCCGTTTATGAAACTGACCAACGTTTTTCTCTTCTCTGACGACGTCACCATCTCACGATGTGAACACATTTGAAACAACAGGGAAACCGCGCAGCTCATCAACGGTCGCGCGGCTATGGTCGGCTTCGTCTCCGCCATCGCGGGTGAAGTCATCACCAAGAAGGAAGCCTTCGAGTTGATCTTCCCGGCCAAGATGGTTTCTGGCGTCCCGACGCACGTCATCGACGCGCAAAACTTCTCTTTGTTTGCGTTCACCATCGCCATCGCGACGTTGGGCACCATCACGCCGAAGTTTACGCAAGACAACTTTGACGAGAGCAGAGAGTTTGCCATCTTCAAGACGAACAGTGAAATGTTGAACGGGAGAGCGGCAATGATTGGTATTGTTTCTTTGCTTGTTGCGGAGAACGTCATGGGCCACGCTTTGTTCTAAGATGATGCGTCGAATTGTACCGTGCTTTTCCGCAGCGTACAAAGTGGAACACGTGTTTAGAAATTAGCTCCTTGATAAACATTTAAATATACCAGCAACACCCTAGTTATTTTTTGTAAGATATAAACATACGGCATACAATATTAATATAAACGCGCACACGGAGAATGTAACGTTTCGCTACCGCTAATCTACCTATCTATTGCTATCAGTCGTCTTCATCTTCGTTTTGGTCGCTGGTCAACTTGACTTTACGTCCGCCCACCGAGTATACCCTATTCGAATCCCTATCCTTTCTCGTCCACGCCTCAAGATTTTTCCTTTCAAAACTTTGAATCTGTCTCTTATACCCCCACTCGCTGCACACGATCGGTCTGGCGGTAAAACAGTGCGCCCAGTCGTCTCCGCCGCTCGAGATCCATTCTCGTAAACTCAACTCCCACTTTCGAAAAGGCACGTCGAGCAACGTCAACCTCAAACAGTGCGCGAACGCGGACGGACACTTCTTACACAACGTTTCACACGACACTAAATTCACGTTCACTTTCACCCCTCCGTCTTTCGAAGAAATACTGTACGGGACGATGTTTCGAATCGCTTTTCCAATCGCGCGTTCATCGTATCGCAAAAGTATCGGCGCCTCCACCACGAGAACGCTCAAGTTGTCCTTCGCGAACGGTATCGCACTTTGCAAAACTTTCAGCTGCGTTAACAAAACTTTCGAGTCCGTGGACGAGAGAATCTCCCGGCCTTCTGAAGTGGACAACATCGTGTCCAAGCCTTGGTTGTCCACGCTTAAGAGAATTTTTAAGCGCTCGCACGTTTGCGGCGAAAGCGTGTGATGCTCCTTCCGTTGTTGTTGTTGCGCTCGGTTCGTTTTGTCTGCGATTTCCCCATCCTCTTCGTCGTTGTTTTTCTTTTCCAAAGAAGAAGAAGAAGAAGAAGAAGAGGCGAACGCGTTCGATTTGAGGCGAGACTTTTCGCTCTTAAAACCGTTCTCCTTCTTTCGACGAAGCGATGAGACGAGACTTTCGCGCAAAAGAAGGCGCGATGATGATACTAAGCGTGCCTTCATTTGATTTAAGTGAAGATTGGTCTATTTAGTACGTTTACAAAAATTTACAGACGCACACGCGCTAATACAATGTAGCTGTTGTTTAAGAAGTTTAGTTACCGCTCTCACACAACCGGACGAAACTCGTGCGCATTTTCCTCACGAACTTGCTCAAATCGTCCGTTCGATTGCACTCTCTCATGTACTCTCCAGCTTCTCTCACCGCGGGTTCGCACTCGATTAACTGGTACCGAGTCGACCCTTCCTCAACGCGAATCGTGAACGAAAACTCTCTGTCCATCTCGAACCGATCGATCAACGTGAACGCGAACTTCATGTCGTCGTCCTCGGTTTTCATGAATTCCAACCCCAGTCGATCTTTGTACATGTCGTTCGCGACTCGCAAACTGTCCACTTGCTTCAGTTGCTTCCCTTCTGACTTTTCCACCGCGCCGGCTTCCTCCTCCGTTTTCCTTCGCTCTTCGCTCACCGTCGCTCTCAAATCCTCCAGCTGTTCCGGTAAATCCGCGGCTAACTCTCTCGCTTGCATCGCTTCCTCTTCCATCTGCTTCAGTTTATGTTCTTGCTCTTCCTTCTCTTCCTCTAACTCTTTCGCTTGATTCGAGAGCTCGTGCTCGCGTTCGACCAATTTTTTGTAAAACTGTTCGCTTTGTTTCATCGCCCCGTCGTGTTGTGATTTCAGCGCTCGTTTCGCGGAGAGACGTTCGGTCGTCCATTCTTGGACGATATCTGAGGCTTCTTTGAGTTCTTTTTCTAAACTGTCCAGTTGGAGGAGTTGGTCCACGTCTACGATCGTATTCCCCGTTTGTTGATTATTGTTCGCCGTGTTACTGCTCATGGTGTTGCTCTTCTTCGTCTACCTAAACGTATATGCAAGAAGCGCGTTGGGGGAGATTTTTGAATTCCAATTTGGATGATTTCCTCAATTCGTTCTTCTTCTTCCTCTTCCTCCGCGTCGTATTTTGGAAGAAGGCGGCGGCGTAAATCTCTCTCTCTCTCTTTATCGCTCGGTTTTATGCGTGGGGCGTTTGTGCTTTGAGACAAAAGAGTGCGCGTCCTCGTGTTCTTCCGTTGCGTCTCTTCTTGGGCGTGTTCTTTTTTTTGAGGGGAAATTTTGTGCACATGGGGGAGAAAACATCCCAAAGCGCGTGCTGTGTATTATGGCGTTCTTTCAATCTACGCGTGCTAGTATCCTAATTTTTCGTTCAAGCGCGTCTTACCGTCACCTCTTTGATCGATAGGGGCGACCCAGTTGTCATCTTCTTCTTTTTCTTTTGCGTTTACTTCTTTGTCTTCGTCGCGTTCATCTTGACCGAAACCGCCGCTCAAGATTTTACGCATCTCTAATTCGACTTTGCGTTCAGCTTCAGAACGGATTTGTTCGTCGGTTTTGACGTTACCGAGGTGAGATGTGGTTGTCGTCGTCGTTCGCGGATTTGACGAGGGATTTTTGGCGACGGTTGGTTTTTTGCGGATTTGGAGACCAAAGCCGCCTTGTTTATCCGCCAAGGCTTTGACTTGAGCCGGCGTCAAGAAACCATCTCCCGGATCGTCGAGTTTGATTGCGTCTCTTTTCGGTTCTGATACGATTGTCGCTGGTGATGGTGGTGGTGGCGATAACGATTTCACGCTTGTTTCCTTTTTGCGCGTCTTTTCCTCTTCGTCAACCACCACGGGCGCCTCGTCTTCCACGCGCTCGATAATTTTTCTCTTCTTTTCCGCCTTTGCACTGTCTTGCCCCGAGCCGCCATTTGCACCGCCGATACCATCAGCACCTCCCGTGAACGTCTTCTTTTCCAACAGTTGGCCTTCTTTTTCCCACTTTTGTACTTTCAGTCGCTCTTCGTGCTCTTTCATTTGTTTCTCTTTTTCTGCTTTCATTTTCTCAATCAACTCTTGCTTGCGCTTCCTTTCCGCTTCCTCTTTCTCTTTCTTCTCCTTCTCGACGACGGCTTTGAGCGCATCGCCTTTACTCGTGCCAGGCTTGAACTCCTCGTGCGGGTCCGCAATCTCCAACAAAGACGCGTGACGTTCCAACTCTTCTTCCTTCTCGTCGATGGATTTTAGCAAGCGTTGGATGGTATCTGCGCACGCCTCTTTTCGAGCGTCCGAGGTGAAAATATCCATCGCATCTGCATCTTCTGTGGCATCTAAGCGTTCTCTTTCGATTCTGGCACTCTCTTGATCTTTTCTCGCTTTTTCCAAAGACGTTTGCAACGATTTTAGCGTCGACTCGGCGTTTAGTTTCTTCTCCCACAGCGACGCCGCGGTTTCCGTTTCGACAAAGATTTTTGCTTTTGCATTCTTCTTTTTCTTCTTGTTGTTCTTCTCTTCTTCCTTCTTACTCGCGCGCTTTTCCGTGCGATCGTAAAACCCGTCTTCCTCCTCGTCCTCGGAATCTATCGCTTTCCTCTTCTTTCTCTTCTCCTTCGTCTTATTTCTACTCGCTAATCCTAAAACTTCCCTCAACGACTCGTTCAACCGCTCGTCCGCTTCATCTATGTGCTCTTGAAGCAACTCAAGCGCGGTTTCGTTTTTGTGCATTTGTTGCACTTGCCCGTGCGTGAGACCACCTTCTTGGGAACTTTCCTTTCGTTTGATGCGTTCAATCTCCGAACGCATGTTCTCCGCTTTCATCTCCTTCTGCCTCACTTTCTCAATCGCCTTGCGCATGTTTTGCGTAAACTTCGCGACGTCGTGCGTTCTCCAATCGATGTCGTCTTCGTCCATATTTTTCTTTTCAAACTCTTCCGAGGCCATCCCCCACGCCACCGCGGCTTCTTCCATCTTCTTTTCCTCCTCGTCTTTCCTCTGTTCCATCTCTCGCCTCTTTTGAATCTCCTTCACCTTCTCTAGCTCTCGGTTCGTCAACCCGCACTCGGGCATTAAAGCCTCGTCTCCTTGCACGATGTAATCTCTCGTGCTCTCCCCAAACTTAATCTGATCGCCGACAAATATTGGCGCGTGTATTCCTTTCTTCAATTTCCGTTTATTCACAAACACCCCGTGCGTCGACCCCGGATCGAACAGGTACATTTCCTTCGTGTTTTTCTTAAATTGCAACACGCAATGCAATCTCGAACTCGACGGGTGCTCGATGACAACATCGCACAGCGGATGTCGCCCAAACGTGACGTACGAGCGACTCTTAGGAACCACATCATCATCATCCACCTTCGACGTTGTTGTTGTTGTTGTTGTTAAAACGATTAAATCCACAACTTGGCCGCTCTTTAACACTTCCAAACTGAACGACGTTTGTCCTTCTGGCGGCCCGGACCATTCCGGTGCGACGTACACCGGTAACGGCGGCATCATCTCCTCTTCCTCCGGGCCACTTTCACGAACTTCTCGATTTTGTTGTTCTTGTTGTTGTCCTCCTCCTCCTCCTCTCGGTGGTGGTGGTGGTTTTTCTTCGAAGAACGTCGGCACCGGTGGTTTCTCTTTCATCGTAATTTCGCTTTTTCTCGCAATTCGTCTCGTCCTTCCCAACTGACGTGTGTTTTCTTTGGTTGTTGTGAGGTGTCAGTTTGGTCCATTTTTAGGGTTTCAAAAAATGCACAAAAACATCACACGAGAGATATATCCATTGCCAGAAAAACAATCTCGATTTCTCTCTCGTCTCTCCAACAACACGCGACGACGGAAGAAAGAGAGAGAGAGAGAGAGCACCACCGGTGGTCGCGCTTTCGTGGTCTCTTTTTGCTCCTCTATATATAGTGTTTTCTTTGTTGGCGTGTTCTTTTTGGTCCATTTTTGTCTGTTAAAAAAAGACCGCGCGTTTGTGGTCAATATTTTTCCATTCCAACGGTAACTTATATAGAAAACTGCGACGATGATGATGATGGAAGAACGCTCTTCTTCCTCGGAAGACGCGATGACGACTCAGACGACGCGTATCAAACCGCCGAGAAATTACGTCGGCGAACTGTTTAAGAAATCGCAACAACTTGGTGGGACCAAACGCACGCACGAGGTGACGTATAACACGAACGCTCTGAACGTTATTCGCGCGTTTTTGCAAAGGACGTCGTGCGTGTCCCCGGACGACCAGACGGTGTATAAAATCGAAATAGTCCCGACGGTGGCGCCTTCGAAAGATACGAAAAATGGCTGGCACTTTAGGAAAAGGAAATTTTGGTCCAGAAACGACGCGCCGAAGTGGTTTTCGAAGCTCCCGTTTAATGCGGTCGCGAACAGACAAGCGCCGCTGGAAGGGTTGGAGATGTGCGAGTGGCGCGAGGAGGAGAAGCGATTGTACACGTACACGAGGAATATTAGTTTACGGAAGATGATCGTGTGCGAGGAACTCGCGGTGATTAAAGAGTGTCCGGAGGATGCGAGTAAATGCGTGAAAGTGTGCGAAGTGCGTTTTCGAGTGGCGTTTCGAGGACCGTGGTTGTTTGGTCTGCATAAGATTGCCGAGCGGTGGGTGGCGAAGCGATACGAGAGGTTGGTCAAAGAGACGAGTCAAATGGAAGTGAATAGAATCGAGAGTTTGAAGAAGATGGAAGAATACGTGCGGGAAATGCTCGCCGGGACGAAGTGCTCGCCAAGTTTGGAAAAGATTGAAAAGTTTGTCAGCGCGTGCGAGAGAACGAACTATTCCATGGCGAGTTCGTTGGATTCGAGCGTAAATCTTTCTTTGAGTCCAGACAAAACTTTTTCGCACGCGAATAGCGCGATGAAGAAGAAGAGAGATAAAGAGGAAGAAAAAGGAGAAGAAGAAAAAAGAGAGAAGCAAGAACACCTGCCGCAATCTGAAACGCCGCGCAGTAGCCATGGGACGGAGCACATGGAACCCGATTTCTTCGGCAATGAGGAGGAGGAGGAGGAAGATGACTTGGAATATCAACCGGGCACGGCGTCTTCGTTGCGCTCCTCCTCGGTATCCGAATCCAACAAAGAAGAAGACGAGATAGAAGAAGGAAAAGAGCACAAAAACCAATCGATTTCAGAGAAAGCAGAACGCAATGGCGGCGGCAAAGAAAACCTGACGCCATCCTCGTCGAAAAATTATAACAAAACTCCGGGAAACAAACAACCTCTCCGGTTACTCTTCCAAAACCAAACCTTCAAAATCGAAATCGAGAATAATAACGGGGCCGACGACGATACTAATACTACTAACGTCAATAAATAGTAATACAATAGCGTTGTAAACTATACTAAAAATCTAACACACTACTGCTAAATCATCTATGCTTCTTGCTATTATCATAAGTTTTCCAGCCAATCTACTTTTAAGCGTTCCTGTTGCCTCTCCAGCTTTCGAAACTTCTCCTCGATTTCCTCCTCGGTTTCGTACGGTAAATACGAAGCACGCCCAGTCCTTTTACCATCGCACTCATCGTCCAAAACCTTCTCCAAAGCTTCCGCAAACTCTCTCTGCGCTTCAATTTTCCTCACCAACTCTTTCAAACCGTCTTTCACCACCACCCTATCTCTCGCAATCTGTCGTAACTGCGTCTCGTCGTTCCGTTTCATCGCCAGTTTCGCGCCAATTTCGAGATTTTTTAAGCGGTCCATCAATCGACTTCCCCGCTGAATCATTTTCCTCGCCTTTTCGTGCGTTTCGGAGAGTTCTCGTTTACGAAGTTTTCGCCACTCATCGTTGTCCCCGTTCGACGATGACGACGCGTTGCAAAATTGTCGTACTCGCGTTTGTGATCGGAGAGGAGCAGTAGTCGCCGTTTTTCGGGCGACTACTTGAATACCCGCACACGAAGAGTGCATTATTTATTCATAATGGCGGATGTTTCTTGCCAGTTTGCTGCATGCAGAGAATTTTTTTGGAAGAGAGATGAGTCTGCGTACGACGCGGATGCTAAAATTCATCGCGCGTTCGCTTTTTTGCGTTCGTTCCCACCTGATCGTGCCAATGCCATCTCGTCGGCGCGGTGGCGGCGCGAAATATCGCGTCGCCCCATAGTTTCGGTGCCTCGGGGTTGGCGACGAGCTTTTCGTGGTACGCGGTCTTGATGCGTTCGCGAGCTCGCAGCTTCGTTTCGCCGTCGGCGTTGGCGAACTTTGTCGCCACAGAAACGTATTCATCCGCCGTGTCGACGACGTAATCGAGGATGCCCATGACTTTGTAGTATGCTTGCGTCCATCGTTGTCCGATCGTCTTACCGGGAAGCGTGACGACCGGTGATCCGACCTCAAAGGCCTCGCGCGTCGTGGTGTCTCCTCCGAAATACACGCTGTCGAGGACGACGTCCGATAACTTGTACATCGCCATCAGCTGATAGTGCTGCATACGTGGAACGAACACGACGCGGCTGAGATCGACTCCGCCGTGCGTCGAAAGTCTCTTGATTACCTTGAAGTGTAAATCTTCGAAGGTGTCAGACGTGAGCTGCATCAGGATGATGACGGCGCTCGAATCGCGCTTCTGTATTTCGCCCAGTATCCTATCAAACGTGACGTGATACTTGAACGCTGCTTGCGGGCAGAAGTACCACGTCGCGCTTTCGACTGAGAGCTTTCTCATTCCTTCATCGGGGATGAAGTCGATGTTTTCTCGAGTGAAATGCGAGAACGGAGCGTGACCCTTGATTACGGAAACCTCATCCTTCGTCCTCGGCACAAAGTACTCCCACGCTTGCTTGTTACTGTTTATCAACAGCAATTTCTCGGTGTAGAAAGTCTGCGCCCGCAACTTGTCGGGAAGTTCGGCGAGATCCCAAGATAGGAAGTAATCCATGATGAGCTCAGGAATGCCCGATGTCACCGGATGTCCGTGCGTGGTGATCTGCACGGGCGCGAGCTTTGCCATGGCGTAATCGTGCATCTCACCCGTCATGTGCAGGTCAAGATAGAGCAGAACATCAAACTTTCGCGCCTCAATCTTTTTTCGGTTCGCATCCAACACCGATTGACCCATTTGATGTGCCTCCAGGTAAATGTTAGACTCGGGATGCAGAGACAATAGCTTGTCCTCCTTTGTGATTGGGTTTCGCGGGAAGTAAACAAAATCAACTTCAAAGCGCTTGTCTTGTTGCAGGCCGCGGACGACGTATCCGAAGTTCCCCCAGATGCTCGAGTCGGGCGTGAAGAAAGAAGAGACGACCCCCAATTTAATCTTGCGGCTTTTGAGACGTTTCAAACTCGCTTTGCTTTCCCGGCTCGTTAAGTACCTGTCGTCGCGCTCGTACGCGAGTCGCGGAGAAAAGTACTCCAAGTTCTTGTTCAACGTTGCCTTCAACCGAACCCATTTGGAGTATTCTTCCTTGTAATCGCACTCGGTGTAGTAATACGCGACGGAGAATGCGTTGGCCAGTGCGTTTTCGCGTTGACAAAAGAGGTCATCCCGGGCCAGAAGCGCATCGACCATAGCGTTGAACCCTCGAATCGTCTCTCTCTCTTCCTCTGGGCTCAGCGGGAAGTGTGGCACCATGGTGGCGCGATACACGTCCCAGCAGTCGCTATCTCCAGCTTGCGACGTGTTCAGTCCCAAATCGAAACTCTTGACAGCGCGAGCGTGCTGATAACGGATTTCCCGATAATACCCGCTACGCACGGCGGCTCCGTAATACGCCGCAGAATCCGGCTTGAGAGGCGGACTCAGACGCTCGGCGTTATCAATGGCGAACTCGAGATACTCGACCCCGCGGTTTGCCATCTCGCGATTGCCCGTATTATCGCCCGATGTCATTTCCAAGACACCTAGGCTAACGAGCGCGTAAGAGTTGAGCTCGTTGAGCTCGAGAGCCCGACGATACTTCGCCATCGCTCCATGGACATCTCCACGATTTTCTTTCACTCGACCTGCGACGAAGAGTGCGTCGGCAAATTCCGAGTCCGAGTTGAAATTCCGTCGTTCGAGCGTTCTCTTGCCGTTGAACAGCTCGTGCGCCGAGCCGAGGACTCTGACCCAATCGTCCGCGCGCCCGGCGAATCCAGCATTTCCCCAACCGAAAACTTGAGACGCGTACACCTGTTGCGTGCGCCGCATGGAGACCTTCTCTCGCGACCAGTAACTATCGATCGCCTCGCTCAGTGCTCGCTCAAAAGCGGCGAGATGTTCTTCCGCGTCCTCGACGTATTGGTACATCGTGGCGAAAGTACCGAGCGTCTCTGGAAGCGCGCCAAGATTCGAGGTAACGACGTGCACGCCCGCACTCAGCGCCTCGATGGCGGCAATACACGACGTCTCCTGCCAGATTGACGGATACGCGAAGATGTGCGCCTTCGTGAGCGCTTCTCGCACCTCTGCGTTCGACACGGCGCCGTGATACTCGCACCCGGGATGCTCGCGACAGACGTCGAACAGTTCTTCAAACGGCTCGTCTCGATGACCCCATCCGTAAATTGAAAAGCTCGAGTAAACGTCCAAACGTAGTTTACCTTTTCGCGCCTCGTACGCCCGCACAAACGCCCGCACGAGCAACCCGAGTCCTCGATGCGGCGTCGTGTGATAGATCAACCGGATCGTCGTTCCGTCGCTCTCCGTTCTCCTCGATCGAGCGAAAGGTTCGATCGCATTCCGCAGCACCACCGCCTTCTCCTTGAACACGTCCCCGAACACCGACTCGTACGCCTTTCTTTGCCACTCGCTCACGAATACGAACAAATCAAACCTCTCCCTCGACCACTGCTGTTTCAGGTGCGCGCTTTCCACGTCGTTCGGCAAATCGTGAAACCATAAAGCGTTCGGCTTTCTCTTGTCCTCGCTTAAATCTCGCACGCGCGACTTCACCACGTGCCATCGGTCGAGTAAGACTTTCGGGACGCGATCTTGTAGTTCTTTTGACATGAGTTCCGTCCCTCCTCGTGCGTTTGCCGTCGTGCCATCGTCTAGAAGAACTCCTTTCTTTGATGATTTTTGCTCGCCGGTCATCTCGTTTAACTGCTTCTCGAGTAAATCGATTGTATTCTCAATCCCATCGAGCGCATCCTCGTTCGCGCTGATTTCGACGGTGAAAACGCGCGTTAAAAACGTCAGAGCGAAGAAAATCGCACTCGTCGTGGTCGTTCTTTTGCGGGGTTTCCATTTTCGCGGTTTCGGCATCTCTCGCAACCGGTCCGTTCTGTTTTGATATCTTTCTGAAGAAAATTCCAATTAATTTCCCTCAGAACAAAAACAGTTTGAAAGACATGTCGTCTGACGACGATTCAGACGAGGACGAGAGGTCACGATCCTCCGAAAACGACGACTCAGAGGAAGAGGAAGGAGAGGAGCTCTCAACCTCGCGCTTGCTCGCGAGAAGAAGAAGAAGCGCAAAAGCGAGAGAGAAAGTACTCAAACGTGCTTCGTTTGCAAAACTTCTCCAATTGGCGAAACCGGATTCCCGATGGATTCTGTTCGGCCTCCTGTCCTTGCTCTTCCGCTTACCGTTCAGCGTTTCCATGCCACACTTCGTGGCGATGACTATAGGAGCCGTCGTCGACGGAAACCAGCAAAAATTTATGAAAAACGTTCGGTACTTTTTATGCGCCGGCGTCATCAACGGATTGTTAGACTTTTGGAACGTGTTTCTGTTTTCCTTTGCGCAAACGAGAATAGTGCGACGGTTAAGACGAGACGTGTTTCGTTCAATCTTGAGGAAAAAAATCGAATGGTTCGATTCGAGGACGACGGGGAGAGTGGCGTCGATGCTCTCGTCGGATTGCGGGGAAATTGCGAGCGATTTGTCTTGGGTGTTTCGAAACTGCGTGGAGTGCGTGGTGCGAGTTTTAGGGGTGTCGGCGTATTTAGTGTGGTTGGATTACCGACTGGGCGCGTTGGCGACGGCGGCGGTGCCGGCGTCGGCGATAGCGAATCACTTTTACGGGAAGTGGATGGCGAGGAATAGCGCTCGAGTGCAAGAAACGTTGGCGAGCGCGAACGATGTCGCGCACGAGGCGATCGGGAACGTGAGAACGGTGCGAGCGTTTGCGAACGAGGCGTACGAGAACGACCGATATGGATTCGCGGTGAGTCGATGGTATAAAGAAAGCGTCGAGCAAGCGATATTTTCGGGAGGGTATTTTACCATATTTTATAGCTTGATATCGTCGTGTTTCGTTCCGGTGATGATATTATACGTGGGTGGGAGATTAGCTTTAGACGAGGACATGGGCGCGGAAAAGTTGGTCGCCGCGATGTTGTACCAATCTCAGTTGCAAGAGTATTTTGGGCAGCTTTTGAACGCGTTTACGAGTTTATTCAAAGCGAGCGGAAGCGCGACGGAGGTTTTTAATTGTTTAGAAGAAGAAGGAGAAGAAGAAGAAGAAGAAGAAGAAATAGGAAAGGAGAAGAACAAAAAGTTGATGAAAATGGACTCGTTCAAAGGTCACGTTCAGTTTCAAAACGTGACGTTTTCGTATCCTTCCACTTCTTCTTCTGCAACAACAACGAACGTATTGAATTCGGTATCGTTTGAAGTCAAACCGAACGAAGTGGTCAAATTACAGGGCGTTTCGGGACGAGGCAAGACGACGTGTTTGCACCTGTTGCAAAAATTTTACAAAGTAAATCGAGGCGCGATAACGTTAGACGGTGTAAACATCGACTCCTTATCCTCGGAATGGTTGCGTAAACGCGTCATATCGATCGTCTCGCAAGAACCGGTGTTGTTTTCCGGGACTATTTTCGACAACATCGTCTATGGCTCGGATGAATTTGATGTGGTATTTGATGGAAACGGACGAAACGAGAGCAACATTCCAAGAGAGGTATACGAACGCGTCGTCAAAGCGGCCAAAGCGGCGTTGATTTACGACGACATCGCGTTGGATTTATTTTCCAAAAAGATTGGTGAGCGAGGATGCACTTTATCGGGCGGGCAAAAGCAACGCGTAGCCATCGCTCGAGCGTTGTTCGCGGATCCGAAGATTCTCTTGTTGGACGAACCGACGTCGGCGTTGGACGCGGAGAGCGAAAAGATAGTCATCGAGGCGTTGAAAAGAGCGAGTAAAGGAAGAACGGTGTTAGTCGTTAGCCATAGTAATAATCATTTGATGTTGGAGGATAGAGTGGTGCGTTTGTAGTATAAGGTACTGCTTTATTGGTATGTGTATGTAAACTTGGACTTTAAAAGAGTTAATGTTGAGTACGCATGTGGTACTTTAAACTACTAGTATGACGATACCTCTTCTCGCACACATGGCATTCAAACGGTTTCTCGTTCGTGTGAATACGCATGTGTTTTTTTTCAAATTACCAAGTTGACGAAAAGCTTGAAGGAATAATAATAATACAACTGCTGCAAAAAAAAAACGGTGATCTTTTCCAATCAAATTCATGTGTCATCCTTGCGCAGGGGCCATGCTATAGGAGTAATCGAATTAATATCGACTGCGCGATGCAATGAACTTAGGAATGTCGTACCTAATCTTCTCTGTATTTTTATCCGTTTAACAAATGCCATCGCCGAAGCGATGGCAATGAATTAGGGTTTAGGATATGTTATGAATTTCAATTATTTATTTAGGGCTTCAGAAAAATAGACAACTGTCTTTTGTTTTTTGTCGTCCCTCACTTTTGTCCGTACGACAAAATGTCAACGACGAAGACGACGACGAAATCTCTCCAGCACTTCATCAACCGCGCGAACGTTTTAACCTTGTACCGAAAAGCTTTACGAATAGCCTCCCAAACGAAATCTGGGAAAGAACATAAACAGGAATTGTTCGGGGAAATTCGAGAGCAATTCGAGACGCACAAACACTTGAAAACGGACGACATTGGACACTTGTTATCGGACGCGCGATTACGATTACGAGCGCTTCGCGAATTAGTCGACATGACTTTATGATGTCTTGTTCGTTTCGAAACTCGTTAGTAGGTTCAGGTCGGAGAGGCGAAGCGTTGCGTGCGCTTTTGTCCGACGCGAAGAGTTCGTTCGTGGCTTCTTCAAACGTCGTCGTCCGCAGAGAAGAAGAAGAAGAAGAACAAACGGAAGAAGAATCTCTGGGAGTGTTTGTTGCGAGTGGTAGTGAAGGAATTAAAATCAATGCAAAGATATTCACGTTGGAGAAGGATTTATATTACCCGTTATCGTCCGCATTCGCCATAAACTCGGCGCGGACGAAAGCGCCGCGGTTCGTCGAGGCGGCGAAAAGAGTGGCGTCTGGATTTGAAGTGCACGCGTCGATGGCGTTGAATTTATTGCTCGATTCGAGTTCGTATCGCGCATCGTGTCCTCCTTTGACGGGTCAACTGGACCCGTCCGTGCCTTTGTTATGGGACGCTTCACAAATCGCGCTGTTGCGAGGCACGCCGACGTTTGAAAGCGTCGTGACGAGGAAGACGTTTGTGAAGAACGCGCACGCGGGGATATTCGGGGAAGAGAATAAGGCGGTCTCTTACGAGATGTTTGCGTGGGCGATATCGACGGTTCTCTCGAGAGCTTTGTCCGTGTCTTCGGAAAACAAGAACATTGATTCTTTGTTCTATTCGTTCATTCCCGGCGTAGATTTACTCAATCACGACGCCAACGCGAACTGCGAGATTCGATTAGTATCGAACAAGAATAACGCATCAACAAGTATTGAAGTGTACGCGATACGCGATATAGAGAACGACGAAGAGTGCACCATATCCTACGGTAATCATCGCTCGAACGACGAATTATTGCGAAAATACGGTTTTTGCGTGCCAAACAACCGGAACGATTCCATCGACGTTCGTTTACGCGCATCGAATACGTTTTTGAAAGTAGATCGAAAAACCGTCGACAAACTCTTTCTGGAAGAGAACAGAAGCGGGCAAAAACAGGACGACTTCGTCTCTAAATACAACCGCAATGAAGTGTTAGACTCCATAGCAGAGCAGAAAGCGACGTTGGATGAAGTCGCGGTAAGAGAACCCGCGTTGTTAAAAGGTGGAGAAGAACGGAGCGTTGGAAAAAAATGGCTCCGGGCGATTCGGTTGCTGAGAAAAGGCCAATACGAACTCTTAGACGCGACCGAAAGGGCGTTTCACTGATTGAACAATGAGTGCTAGAGTAGATAGAACGTATATCCTCGTGCTCTCTCTTCGATTTTTCACGTTTTCTTTCGCACAAATACGTACTACTAAAACATCCTCACATGTTTCACTTCTCGTTCGCACGGAAAGTGTCCTCACATAATATCCAACATGTCAACCGAGAAGAATAAAACGACGAAGGATAAACCTCCGTCTGAAATTCTTCTCACTCGCTTGGGACATATCAAAGACGTCCACAAAGTCGTCTCGATTTTGTTTCCAGACGATGCGGACGACCCGGTCTTGACGCGTTCGCAAACGTGGCTGCGTCCTACACATGCAACACCGTTGGGGAAATCTGCATCGTCTGCATCATCAACAACATCGAGTAGTCACGAGGAGAACGACCGAGTGAGGATTGCACTCAACACGAACGCGACTGTGATAGCTTTAAGTCGTTTAAACGTTTTGGTCGTGTGCTCGGTTTGCAACGACGACGCCGACGAGAAAGGTGGTGATGATAACGACACGAGACAACACCAAGGTGTGATTGAAATACAAGCAACCAAGAAGAACAAAACGAAGAATAAAGATATTCGCACACACGGCGGCATTTGCGCGCGTTCGTTGGCGTTTGTCGATTTTGCGCACGATGAAAAGCCGTTCTTACTGGTAGGGTTGTCTACTGGTCGTTTGGAAGGGTACGATTGTGCGGATGTTTGCTCGCCGCGATTGCTCTTCTCGAGGAAGGTTTCGAGAGCGCCTTTGGTTTCTATTCGAGCGCGGCCGTACGGGCAACGCCTCGGGCCGAAGAAGGAAAGCGACGACGACGACGAAAGTGCGGTCTTAGAAGAAGAAGAGGACGTGACGATTTTCGCGGAAAATGGGGACGTGCTGCGAATAGATGCATTGGAGATGAAATCACATTTACACCGGTTACGAATGGCTCGAAAGCAATACGCGCAAGATTTTCAACCGGAAAAGGACGATTACAACACGTTAACCGGGATGGTCAAATTTGACGGATTTAAAAGAATCGCGCCTATTCGCGACGGCGTGTGCGTAGGTAACGTGCCTTTGACGTGCTCAGAAGTTGGTTTGCGCGAGAGAAGTAAAAGTCGTTTGAATACATTGTTGTTTAATACCAGCGACGACTCGGACAGCGACGACGACGAGAAGGATGAAAACAAGTTTGGCTTCGTCGCTTGCGGCAAGTTCGGGACGATTGCGTTCGTGCAAGCGTCTGGTGGGTCAAAGTTTGGCGCCGTGGAAGCTGTATCCATGGCGGCAAAGAAAGTATTTTCGTTTTTCGCGAAGAAGACGAAAGATATTCAAAAAAAGCGATTCGATATTGTCGCCGATGGTGATGATGGCGACGATGATGAAAACGAATCCGAAGAAGAATCTGAAAACAAGACGGCGTTGAAACCGTCGAAATGGAAATCCGCCATCGTCGACGGACCGAGAAAAATCAATACTATTCTCAACTCTCCCGACGGATCTTTCCTCGCAACGACTGATTTACTCGGACGAGTGAGCACGTACGATTGCAAATACGGCAATTTGAGTATGCGGAGTATGCTGAAAGGATGTCGCGACTCGGACGTAGGATTCATCAACCAAAGAGATTTGGTCGTGTTGTCGCCACACCGAGGTGGCGGTGTGATTGAATACTTTCCCGCGCGGTTAGCGTTCACGAAAGCCGTGCAAATGGAGAAGGAACTGGTCGTTGGAAGAGATTCGAGGATACTTTCTTCGGCGCGTGCGTTTGGAACTTTGTTTAATAATAATACAAAAAAAGCGGAACCAGAAGAATTGTACAACACGAACTCGTACTTGTTAGGACCGGATGGTAATATAGATAGAATTAGCACATTAGTTAGTTAGTTAGTTATAGTTGCTAAAGTATTTGTCTTCAATTGCATATTTACTACTGCGTTGTACTACCAGGTACCTGCTACGCTATAGATAGCTATTCGTAATCGTCTGGATCGAACGTGACTCCGTCGTCATCGTCCTCCTCTTCCTCTTCTTCTTCCTCGACGTTGTTACTTTTGAACGATTTTCTGTTTCTCTCTTCCTCGTCTTTCTTCTCTTTCTCCGCATCTTCCATCGCTTTCTTCCCTTGGTCGTCGGCGTAGAATGCCGACGTGTCTGGATACGCTTCTCCTTCTTTCACCTGCGCCATCATCTTCTGTTCCAAGGCGTCCTTCGCAGACATTTCTCTCTGCTTCTTTTCAATCCCACGAATAATCGCATCCGCGACTAACGTCTCGCGTTCTCTCTTCACTCTCACAATTGCCACGGGATTAGGATCGTCGTTCGCCCATCTCACGGATAACGGCAACTCGTGAATCTTTGAGTTGCCAATCCTCTGGCCTTCCATCGCTTCTTTCGCAAACTCCGCGCTCGCGCGAAACTTATACCTCACGAAGCAAAAAGTTCGATCGTGTTTCACGTCCACGGCTTCAATCGCTCCCCACTCGCCGAAATCTTTCCTAATCTCTCGTTCCATTCGATCCGAACCCCAATGTTCCGGCACCGACCCGGCGTAGTAAATGAACAACGTCCTCACGTCTCTCAAATAACTCCCCGCGCCGCTGTTGTCCGCTTTTTCTAACGCATGCTTCGACCTCCCGAACAAATCGTACATCAAATCCTTTCTCTTCGCATCGTCCAAGCCGGTTGGCAACCTGTGTATATACTCGCAACAGTTCCCGTACGTGCACCTCCCTCTCGCAAAGTGCAAACACCAATAAATACTCGTATTCTCCGTCGTATCCGCCAACGCGTCCGCTTTCGTCGTCCCGCAATCAAACGCCGCCACGCACCTCGTCGGTGCCGGTTTCCGATCGTGATACGACATCGCCCCTGGTGTCGTCGCAGATTTCCCGTACCAAACGTTAAACTCCCCGGTTTGCGCTTTCATTTGCCTCTCTCGCGCGTCCTCGCACGGTAAATCCACCTCTGGATTCCATTGCACTTTCGCCTCCCTCGATAAAGCCACCGATCGCGCCTCGAGCGTCCACCAGTGCGAATTTTCGTTCACCTCTGCAAAGTCATCGTCGTTTTCGTTTGGATCGTCGCCTCCGCTTCGTTTCAAAGTCGCGTCGTTCCTGTTGTGCGACCAAAGCGACGCGTGTACCGCTGCGGCGGCTTTGACGATTTGTTGTTGTTGTTGTTGTTGTTGTTTTCCATTTCGGAGCGATGGTTTTGGTGGTGGTGGTAAACTCGGTCCTTTGTACACCTCCTCGTCGTCCTCTTTTTCGAGCATCGTCGCTTCGAAGGCCCCGTTCGAGCGCGTCTTCTCTTCTCGCGCTTGCTTCTTTAGAACAACAGCAAAGAGAGAGATGTGATGTGCGAGAAGAATGGAGAATTCACCTTCGAGAGAGATACATCACACAAACACACACGTCTTTTTTATCCGTCCAAAAATTTTCCCGCCTAAATTACGTACGTCTTGAAAAGTCTCGAAAAGTCAACAACAACTTCGGGAGGAATTCAAAACATTTTCCTTCATAACTTAAAGAAACGCACTACTAATACACGCAATAATGGAGTACGTGGTGACTCCGAACACGCGCAGGAGGAACACGAACGCGTCCACGCCTGGGGTTTCTTTTTCTTCCTCTGAGAACACGAATATTAAAAAGAACAACAACAAAAATGTCACCCAACATTCTCGCGCATTCATCGTCGAAGGGAAAACGAACGAACACTGGGACCCGATGACCGATTTAGACGTCTCGAAAGTCTTGTTTCACGAACACGTCCCGGTGGCGATTCGAGGAAAAGAGGAAGAGGAGCATTATTCGGAGACTACGAATGAAGAGGAGCTCGAAGAAGAGCGGGTGGAAATATGCTCGGTGAGAGTCATGCTCGGCCCAACGGGGAACACGCAAACGAGTTCAAAGAGCAGAGTGCTGAGAGTGCACGTGCAATCGGAGAAAAATCCATTCTTCAGTCACTCGATGGAAGTGAACGAGGAGGAGTTTAACTTTCGCTTGAAAAGAGAACAGAACATACGAGTGGATTTTAACCAGTTTCCGACGCATTTTATCGATTTGTTGAGAGAGTGTTTAGACGGGATGGCGGAGGACGATATCGGCGATAAGGACGGGAACGGAGAGGAAGAAGAAGAGGAGGAAGATACCGCGGCCGACGAAAATGTGTTGTTGTTTCGAAGGACGACGAGGAACAGTTCGAGGAAGTCGCAAAAGGTGAACAAAAGTACGGACGGGAAGAAGAACGCGTTTTTTGCGGTGTTGACGGTGCCGGAGGAGAAGAAGATGAAAAGAACGACGGACCCGTCGGAGGCCGGGCGAGAGGACGGAGGGAGTAGCGTTACTAATAATTTCTCGTTATTTACGATATACGAAACCAACAAATTCAACACGGTTGGACGGTTGTCGTTGCGATTCGCGCGCGCCTCGGACGAGCAGCTGAAGAAGTTATTAGCCGGACGCTTGTTTGATGCGAACGAGGACCGAAACATGTACCAAAAAATAGCCGAAGAGCTTCGCGAGAGTATAGCCGACGCCGAGAAAGAAGTCAAGATCGCGAGAGAACAAGAGCGATTGGCGAAAATGCAATACGCCTCCGAAACGGCAGCAAACAGAACGGAGTTGGAAAACGAACGAGCGCAATTGCACACCAAAAACGAAGCGTTAGATAAACAAGTGAGAGATTTACGCGACGAATTATTTCTGCGCACGCAAACGCAAACCGAAATCGAAATGCGCAATCGCGTTTTAGAAGAGGAGTTGCAATCCCTGCGCGACGAGGTTGCTGAATCGCGCGTGCAACTTCGAAACGCGGACGTTAAGCTTCGCGATAAAGACCAAGAACACATGGCTAGACTCCACCGCGTCGAATGGCTCGAATCGCAACTCAACGACAAAGACGAAGTCAACGCGCTCGTTAAACGACGATTAGAACAAGCTGAAGCGCACATTCAATCCCTGGATAAATCTTGGAACCAGTCTCGAGAACAAACTGAGAAAGCAGAGTCCATCGCCATTGAGTACGCGAACGAAATAAAAAAAGGGAACTCCGTCATCGAACGCTTAGCGAACGAACTGAAAGCGGTCAAATCCAAATCCAAACTCCGATCCACCGTCGTCTTACAACAAGAACAACTCTTAGAGGAACAAAAGCTCAGACTGGACAAAGCCTTGGACGCGAAACGGCAAACCGAGGAGGAAAAGGACATTTTACTAGAAGAAACCGAACGCGTGAAGCTCAAACTCAGCGAAAAAGACCGACGCATCTCCGAACTCGAAGACGAAAAAGCGAGCGACGGCAAGATGATATCCTGGTTGAACGCGCAAATCAACGACGCGCAGTTAAGACGGAGCGCACAAAGCGACCTCGAAAAGTTTGCGTTCTGAGTATTCGTTGTTTTTTTGAGTTCGTTTATAGCCAGTGTAAATTCAAAGTGTTTATTATTCTGTTTTATGCACTACCGCGTCAAAGCGCTTCGCGTCTTGCCTTTCCGCCCAGATCTCTTCCTTCTGCTCTTTTTCTCAAAATGCAAGACAAAAAATTCTTCATAATTCGTATACGATACACAACATTAACAACACAAACGCAAACGTTTAAAAACAAAACTTCGTCTCATTTTGACAACAGGTACGCTCTGACGATCCACCTTTGCACGGCGTGTATTTTCTCTCTCTGTCTCTCCTTTCTCGGACGAGGATTACGATGATGTTTCAATTGGAATTTGAAAAGGCGCAAACGATCGAAATTTTAAATTAGGGGTGTTCCCTATTCCTTCTCTCTCTCTCTTTCGCAAACGAAAAGCGTTAAAATAAACATCCGATCAACAACAACCGCGCGAAAGAGGTGTTTTTGAATGCGCGTAAAAGGTGTCTCTGAGCACGTACCGATTTTGATGGAGAGCACTGTGAGAACTTGCACGTGCATTCAAAATTAATCCAAATTCTGACCCTCACTCGTCCTCTCTCTCTCCAAAAACAACACGAAACGCACTTTGGCGAACGCAGAGTAAAGATAAAAACATTCAATTAAAAAATGGCCATTAAAGCGTCCTCAATCTCGAAGAACCCACTGACGTTGATCGGCGATTTCAGCAATCCACTGGGAATTGCCGCCACGGTAGTCGTCATCGCTTTAGTTTTAGGCTGCGCGGGACAACTCGTTCAGTTGATCAAACCGTTGTTGGTATCGTCGACGAAGGCGAAGAAGGGCGGATCGAAGAGAGCGGCTTCGACTCGCTCTGCGAAGAAGCCGACGCCGAAAGCGAAAGCGGCGGCCCCGGCTTCTGCGTCGAAGAGAACTTCGTCGTCCGCGAGAAAAGCGACGCCGAAGAGCTCTTCGGCGGCGAAGAAATCGACGGCGGCGGCGAGTTTGGTGAGCCCGACGAGAACGAGCACGAGAACTAGAACGCCGGCGAAGAAATACGCGGCGTAAACGAAAACTTTACTGAGATTTACAACTATTACAACAAGAACAACAAGAACAAAGAGAAAATCATCAAACAGAACGCGCGGCACGTTCGCGTGAGAAAAATATTCTGAAAAGTAGATAGCATTTTGTATTAATCATGCAGATATGGACATAAGCCATCTTGCGGGAGGAATCATCTCGGTAACGTTGTGTTTTTTGTTTAAAAAATCGTGTCTAGCTTAGGATATAACTTAATCAATCGTGCGCTTTTCATAGTATTATCTCGCCACTGGCGCCTCCCCGCGAGCCAAGTGGTTGAAATCTTCCGATTTTAAGCCAAGCTGCGTTAACAAGCTCGTCCATCTCGGTGGTTCTTCGTCAAACACGTACGTCATAGGAAAGACCAAGACCCCGCTGCCGCCCATTCTGCGTAAACTCTTCACCGTTTCGTATATCCTCGTTTTCGGGACGCCGATAGAGACCGCGTAAAAATGACCTTCTTTGACAGCTCCGTCACTTTGTGGCGTGTAAATCGGCGACACCGTTGGCCCTTGTAATCCTCTCAACAAACTCCCCCCGCCGCAAATCTTCTCCGCCACGCTCTCGGCGCTCGAGCCTCGGACATTCGCCGTGACCATAAACACCCCGTCCGCTCTCAAATGCGCCTCCAATCTTTCCAACATTTCGTGAACAATCTCTAACACTCCCGGTCGTTTCAACAACGCCTCTCTCGAGGCTACTAAGCACCCTTGCGAATCCAACACTCTCCCGCCTTCAATTTCTTTCAAGTTATTTTCTCTCAACGTGGTCCCGCTCGAGACCAAATCTAAGATGCAATCCGCCGCACCCATCGCCGGTGCAGCTTCCAACGCCCCATCCGCGGTGGAAATAACCACGTTCTCCATGCCTTGATCCTTAAAAAACTGCGTCGCGACGTTCACGTACGCCGTGACCACTCGCAACGGTCTCTCCTTGGAAAATCTCGGGTCTGATTTCAATTGGCTCAACGAGTTCACGTTCTCCCACGCCTGCGGCACCGCCACGGCTAAATGACACCCGCCAAACCCGAGCGCGTCGTGCACAATCACCAAATCCTCGTCCTCGTTACCAATTTCCCTCAACATGTCGTACCCAACAATCCCAATATCCACGTCTCCAGTCAACAACTTTCTCACGACGTCCGTCGCTCTTTGGAACCACACCTCCATGCCGGGGACGTTTGGAATCTCCGCCGCGTATTGCCTCGGGTTTAGTTTCCGCACGGAAAGTTGACACGATTTCAATAACCCTTGCGTGTCTTCCGCCATGCGGCCTTTGGATGGAATGCCCATGCGGATCGCCTCGCGCGCTTCGATCGGTTGTCTTTTCACTGCGACGTCGTCGCGTCGTAAAAATTTTTGTGTGAGAGTTTGTGTGTCAGTTTTATCCAAACCTCCCACCAGAAGTGGATAGAGATGAGAGAGAGAATGTACTCACGGCGGCGTCGACAAAACGTCTTCTCGATACTATCGCGTCAACACTAAGAATACTCTAATAAACGAGAAAGAGAGAAAGAGAGAAAACAATATATAAGACTCACGTGGTTGCGCGTTTCCTCCTTGCTGCGGGATGGACATCGCAACGAGAGGCACACGACATCGGCGTTGCCTCCGGATCCCCTTAAACGCAGTAAGCCTTTTCGGGTGAAAATTGTGTGTCTTGTTCTGGTTGTGCGTCGTCGTCGTCGGCGCGGCGGAGCTCATCATCATTCGCGCGGGGGTAAACATGATTTTAATGAAGGAGAAAGTGTTCTTTCTCGCGAGAGTAAGCTTTCCAGGCAGGAGTTCTCTCTGTCTCGGGGCTCGCACAAGACGAGAAAGCAATCAATGAGGAAAGGAAGCAAATTTTTTGTTTTTTGGCTGCCACGTTTCAACACATTCTCGTCCAAATTTTTGGATAAAAAAAAGCTTTTGACACAGAAAGAGAGAAGGAGACCAACGAAATGGAGAGAGAGAGAGAGAGAGAGAGATTTTGTTGATTTTGTTAGTTGGTGTTTTCTTTCGTGGGAAGAATGTTTCTCTCTTTTCTTTTTCGCGCGTTGTTTGTTTTTTGATGTCGTGTGTTCTCGAGCGGCTTTGCGCGTTCAAAAGAGAGTAGTGTATTAGTAGTAGTAGTATTGCACTATTAATCATCATCTGCGATTGGAACGGCGCCAAATCCGAGTAAACACTGCTTAACCTCCGCGTGTTTTCTGTGGTGCGCGATATCCATGGCGTCGCATTCGAGCATGACGGAAAGTTGGGCGACGTCTGCGCCTTTTCGGCACAACGTTTCGCAACATTTTAAAGAAGCAAACTCTGAACAGAGCATCAAGGCGGTGTATCCAGTTTTCGTGCTCTCTCGATTCGGTTGCACGTGCAAGTCGGTGAGAAGGATGTCGGCACCGACAAAGTCGTCGTTTTCGACGACGACGTCGAGGGAGGTTTTACCGAATGCGTTTTCGTGAGACGCGTCGGCCGAGAAGCGGAGAAGCACTTTAGCTTTCTTTCGCAGTTCGTTGATTGCGTGATCGTCGCCTGGTTGAGGTTGGTTGTCCACGAATAGAGTGGTCAACGCGGTTTGCCCGTTGAACGCTTCGCAGTTTGGGTCGAACGCGAATATTTTCTCGTTACGTTTCAAGACGTCCAAGACGCCTTCAAAGGCGTTTTTGGAAGTTTTGCTCGCGCCCATAGAGGCGGCGATGATCGGGTGCACGCCGTAGGAGTTGTTGAGTAAGATTTTGCCTCGATCGTCGACGGAAAAGATATCGTCGCTTGACTTTTGCGCGGCATGTTCCAACAACACTTTCAATGCTCCGACGGATCCGTTTCGGCAGGCGGCGAGAATCGCCGTGTCGCCTCGCGAGTTTTCGAGATGGAGAGACGCGTTCAAGTGTTCCAAAATAATTCGTACGGCGTCTTCGCAGTTGTTTTCCGCCGCTGCAATCAACGGGGTAAAGGCTAACAACGTCGATTCACGGTTGGCGTTGATTTTAGAAACCACGGCGAGTTCGCATATGACCTCCGATCTGTTCAATCTCGCCAAGAGCGTGCACGCGGTTTCGCCGGATTCCGGCGCTTCAAAATCGGCAGCGGCGCCTCTGTTCACGAGACATTCCAACGCGTGTCTACGACTGGCCGCACCTTTATCGCGCGTGGCGACATACATCAACGGTGATAATTGTAATCGGTCTGCAGAAGTTTGAAACGTGCACGTGTCGAAACTACTCTCGCAGTTCGCAGCGTTCAAAGTTGCTTTGAAGTCTTGGCACAAGAGACGCAAAATGTCGTCTCGATCGATTAAGGCAGCCATGGAGCACGCGTTCGCGCCTTCGTGCGTTTTTGAGCACAAATCCACGTTCGCACCAACTGATGCCAACGTTTTGACGACGTCGAGTTTACCTAGAAACGTCGCTTCGACGATCGGAATCGTCGCGCCGTCTCCGTCGAGATTGCACTTGTGCTTGGCCAAAACTTTGATGGACTTATTCGCTCCAGATCGAACGGCGTGTAAAATAGCCTTCACTCGTTCACTCGATCCGTCGTCGTCGTCGAGAACTAAAGAAACGCTCGCGTCGCGAACGGTCCCTACCGCCAATAAACCATCGACGGTTTCGGAATCGTCCTTCGCGATGGCGTTGAAAAAATTACGCAAAGCGGTGATATCCGAGACGTTATTTTTCGCCCCGACGGAGGTCTTCTCTTTCCTTTCGGTACCGCCGCCTTCGCGATAGTATTTGGATAACGCATCTCTAACGACGAGATTCTTTCGAAGTTGACTCCAAGAAAACGCGTGGTACCCGCTGGGTGCGCCATTATCGTCAAACACTTTCGTCGGATCGCACTGGCCTTGGTCAACCAAGTAATCAATGATGGCGCTCGCGACGTTCTCGTCCACGCCTTCAAAATCATTTGGACGATCCGCCAAGAGCATCAACGGAGTCCATCCGGCTTCAGTTTTGGACAACGATCCGTTTACTTTACCAATCTCAATCAAAACTTTAATCGTCGCGAGTAACTTGTCAATTGGGCACGCCGCGCACGCGTCGCAGAGCGGATCGACTTTGCCGTTTTCACTCGGAGCGTACGAAGCGTCCGCGCCTGCGTCGAGAATCAAGGCTCGCGCAACCTCGCTGTGGCCTAAAGCCGCGGCGAGGCAAAGCGCCGTGTTCCCAGACGTAGCATCAGTTAAGTTTAGGTCAATGTTCGTAAATTCTGTGTCTTTGAATTTAGAAATCGTCGAGATGGCTTGAGCGCAGTTTCGTCTGGCGCACATGCCGAACATGGTCTCTCCCGCAGTCGTGAACGGATACTTGTTCACGTCAACTTTCCCGTCGCGCAGGACTTTTAAAATTTTATCTTCGTCGTCGGAGTCGAACGCGACGGAAACCGCGGAATCCCCAACGGATGTTTCCAAAGTCGCGCTCGCGTTGAGGTTATTCATCAACGCGTCCGTTACTTTTCGCCATTTTTCAGATTTCAACGCAACCGTCAACGCCGTCTCGTGCGCGGAAGTTTCGTTATCGACCGAGGCGCCGCATTTTTTAACCAAATGTATCATGGCAGTCGCGTTGTCCGTGTCCGCGCAATACGTCAGCGCCGTGTGCTCGTTGATTCGAGATTCGGCGTCGACTTTTGTATGGGCCGCGATGAGATGCGACATGGCATCGTTTCTATTCAAAGACGCGGCGAGTTGTAAAGGCGTCAAGCCGTCTTGATCGGAAGATTCAACGTTGAGGACGTTTTGGCCGAGAGAAGCGAGCGCGATGAAAATCTTCGCGTTAGATTTCGATCGAACCGCGGAGTGCACCGCGGTGTCACCGATTTTCTCGACTTGAGTAGTCTTCCCTTCTTCGAGCGTCACGTCTAATGTCGCGTCCGCGCCCAACTGTAAAAGCTTTTCAACAGCCGGCGCGGCGACGTCACCACACCCGCACGCTCTGATCAATGCCGTGCGACCGGTGCGCTCGTCGTTCACGTCGACTTTCGCGTGTTTGATGAGACATTCGACGCCAAGTGCGTCGCCATGTTTGGCCGCAACCATCAACGGTGTTTCGAGCGTCACTTTATCGATGGCACTTGGATCAACAATTTCAGTCGCGAGAAGCATGTTTACGATATTCTTCATGTCGTCAGCTTTCTCCGTCGAAGAGCTCGAAGTACACAGCGCTTCCAGAGGTGAAAGACGAGTCACGGAGCTTTTTTGGCTCGCATCGGCACCTGAGTTGAGTAACAGTTTCACCATGGATACGTCGACATTTCTACACGCAACGAGTAATGCGATTTCGCCGCTGACTTCCGTTTCTACGTTCGGATCAGCCTTGGTTTTCACCAAGATGTAGTTCGCCGCGTCGACGTCGCCAATACGAACGGCTCGTATTAACGGCGTATCGTGACTGATCTTATCACCGGCATGCGCGTCGGCGCCGAGTTCAACGAGTAAAGCGCCGGCGGCATCTGCAGAAGCTTCAATTGACGCCGAAAACGCAGAAATACCAAACTTGTTTTCTCGATTCACGTTTGCGCCAACGTCGACGAGTTTGCGGATGATGTTGTCGTTGTTATTCATCGCGGCAACGATGAGCGCTGTTTCACCGGTTTCGGTTTCAAAGTCGACGTCCGCTCGCGCGTCGTTGACGAGAACATCGATTATTTGCAAGGCATTTTCGATGTCACCACCGACGACGTTCGCGAGAGACGACTTCTCAACTCTATCGCACGCCGCTATTAACGCCGTTCTGTGTGAAGTTTTCGCCGCGGAGTAGTCCACATCAATACCGGGAAGTTTGATTAAAGCTTTCGCACCATCTACTAGGCCGCGACGGCAGCAGTACATCAACCCCGTCTCATTTGACATCGTTGAAACGTAATTGACGTCACCGCTCGGGTCGCTTGCACTCGCCGTGTAGACTAGAATATTTGGCGCGCACCAATCGCAGTTGTTCGCAAACGCAACATCCAAAGCCGTTTCGCCACTTCCGCAAACGCTCGTCGCGACGCCACCCAAAGCGACTAAGGCGTCAAAAGCTCGCGATCGTTTCGTAATAGTCCCAGCCATAGCGAGTGCCGTCCGTTTCGTACTCTTTGGCTCGTACGAAATGGTCGCTCCACACGCGATGGCAACTTTTGCGACATCTTTTCCTTTTTGCGCGGCACAGAATAACGGCGTCTCGCCGTTACCGAGAGGATCTGAGTCCCAAAACCCCGCGCCGGACGGTAAAGCTTTCATAGCTTCAATCGAACCCATCAAACAGGCTTGTAAAACGGGAACCTTGTTCGACCTGGACGATTTCAACGGCTTAGCGCCAAGACTCAACAACATTTCGACGCATTTCGGTTTATTCGCCGTCGCCGCGCCGGCGAGTGGCGTAACGCCCAAGGAGGAATCAAACTCGACGTCTGCGCCGGCAACTTTCACAAGCGCTTCGACCGTCTTCGCGTCATCTCTCGCTATGGCGTACAAAATAGCAGTGCGTCCATCTTGTGTTTCTCTGTCGACGAGCGCACCGTTGGAAACCAACGCAGAAAATGCAGATGTTTTACCTCTGAAGGCGCAATGCGTAAATACCGTGTGTTTCGATGCGACTGTTTCTCGATTGACATCTGCAGAGCACTTCTTGATTAACGTTTCCACAACGGTAACTTGGCCGTATTCTGCAGCCGTCATCAACGGTGTTGTCGCGTCTCGAGCACTCTCTCTGTTCGAATTGGCACCGTATTTCAAGCACATGGCGAGTACAGCTTCTTCGTTACCGACTTTACACGCCTCGTGTAGAGCTGAAAAGCCTCGACTCGTTTCAAAATCGACGATGGACGCGTCGAAGTCACACAAAGCCTCCAAGCAGCGCATCCGAGACGGCTTCTTCGCAGCTTCAACGAGAGGTGTGTAACCTTCGGCGCTTTCGACGTTGATAGGGACACCGGCAAGAAGCATGTGCTTCACCGCGTCGGCATCCTCATCAACCACCGCGCGGATAAGCGGCGTCGTCTTATCGCTCAAGCCTCGCGACGGATCGACGTTGTGAGAAGAAATCAAACGCTGAATGACATCCTTGTGACCTAAACGACCAGCTAGAACAATAGCGGTATCACCTTTCGTCTTTCCATGTTTAACTTCGTAATTCGCATCTGCATTACCGATGGACATCAACGCGGACACGTGGTCGGCTCGTGATGCTGAAACCGCCGCCATGAGCGCAGTTTCTCCAGCCTTTGTCTCGTAATTAATGTCAGCTCCAGCCGCTAAGAGTTGCTCGATTTGAAACACGGAACCACGCTTGGCGGCTAAAATTAATGGCGTCAACACTTCCGCGGTATTTTTGCGAGTTTCGTAATTTACATCAACACCTTCGACAATCAACAAATCCACCGCATCGTCGCAGCCAAACTGAAGCGCATCCAGCAAAAGCGTCGACCCTTTCGAACTTTCGACGTTTTTGTCCGCTCCGTGATCGAGGAGTAACGCGAGAACTCGAGGATTATTCGAAAATGCGCGCGCGGCAAACATAGACAGAGTTACACCGTTCTTGTTCTCGTGATTCACGTTCGCTTTATCGATGGCGTTGGTAAGTAGAAATTTCAAGACATTCTCGCCGTTGATATCGTCTTGGTAGGACTCCTCTGTAGCCATTTGAATAGGCATACCAAGCTTTTTAATCACCGCAGACATAGCAGTTGCGCCTGTACGCGTTTCTTGATTCGCTTTTGCACCGTTTCGTAAGCATAAAGCGACGCGATCAGTGACACCGGATAAGGCAGCAGCGATGAGAGCCGTGCGGCTGTCTCGTGTCTCGTGCTCAATGTTTTCGCCGAGACGTAAGAGTGTCGGAACCGCTTCCATGCAGTACGGAGAATTCAACGCGTGAATCAAAGGTGTAGCACCGGTAATGATGGACTCTTCATCTCGCACGGAACCGAGCGAGTGGTAAATGAGTTCTAACATTTCGCTGTTGTCGGGCGCGAATGACGCCACGAGTGCGTTTTTACCTAAGCGGGTCTCAAAACGAGGATTCGCTCCTTTTTTTAGCAAAGCAAAGTATACGCCTTCATTACGATTTTCACACGCTAACATCAACGGCGATAAACCCGCGGCATTTTCGTGATTGATGCTGGCGCCCAGTTTGGTGAGCTGATATATTGCCAAGACATTGTCTGTTAACACAGCGCACATCAACGGCGTGTAGTTGCCATATTTAGCAGAGAAGTCGCTCGATAGTTCACCGTCCACGTTGGCACCAACAGCTACGAGCGCTTCAATGCACGCGTTACGACGATGCATCAAAGAGGCATAATGCAATGCTTTGACGAATTCCGGTGCGTTTCGCGTCGTTTCGTAATCTACGCAATCGAGAGAAGCTTCATTCGCACTGCCTTGTTTCTTTTGCTTCGAGGAAAGTGATGCGAGTAATCGAATCATTTCGGGGCGATCCGCAGACACCGCCGCGATCAACGCAGTCTTCCCCGAATTCGATTCGTACTCGATTCGCGCCTTGCCATCCAAGCACAAACTCGAAACGACCTTCTCGTGACCATTTTCAATTGCAAGCGTCAACGCCGTGTCCCCATTCTTCGTTTCGTGCAAGACCTCGTTGGCCTCTTCGAGCTTCTCAATCAGAGCGTTCACGCAATCTAAACGACCATGAGTAGCAGCGAGTGTCAACGCAGTATCACCGTTTACGTTCACGAGCTTAGTTTTTGCAGAATGTGGCTGACGCAATAAGAGCCCTAAACATCCGAGCTGACCAGATTTTGCCGCGTGCATCAAAGCCGTCTCGTGCGTGATCGGATTTATCGCGTTCACGTCGGCGCCCAAGGAAAGTAACAACTTCGTCGCATCTCTCGCGCCAAAGTTCACGGCCACGTCCAACGGTCGATCGCCTGTCATCTTTGACGGCACATCTACGTCAAGCTTGAAATCCTTTTGTAAGCACAAGATTGACGATCTCGAGTCGCATTTCGCCGCGACAGACATGGCGTGATGTCCGAGGCGGTTTTCCTTCAATGGATCTGCGCCAAGCTTTAACAGTTTCGCGCATGATTCGTATAAATCGTATTCTAAGCACGACATTAACGGAGTCAACGTGAACTTGTTCTCAAGGTCGACGTCGGCACCCAAAGCCTTGACGAGTATGTCTAGGTTTTCGAAATTCTTCTCGAGGCTAGCAAAGAGTACGGCAGTGCCGCCTTCCACGGTTTCAAAGTTGAGCTTTGCGCCAAGAAATACGAGTCTACGCATAGTTAATTCCCTCGTTCTGTACTTTGCGCTTCCAGCTGCGCTCATGAGCGCAGTTTGCGGTCTTTTGGACATCTCCGGCGACATCGCGAAGTTCGCCTCAAGATCGATTTGTGCATTTTCTTGGACAAGCAACTCGCACGTCGCAGCACATAACTCATCGTCTTCGATGCCAATAGCGGCAGAAATCAATGCCGTGCGCCCGTACTTAGCGTCTTCGTTATTTACCGATGCACCCAAGGCAATCAAATGTTTAATGGCGTCATGCGAAGCGGAGGCTGCCGCAATCGTAAGCGCAGTGAAACCACGAGCCTTCGTCTCGTAGTTCGGATCGGCGCCGAGTGCGACGAGTGTTTTACAGCACCGCGGCAAGTTCAACTCCGCGGCAGTGAGAAGTGCCGTGAATCCAGTGGAAGACGCTTCGAAGTTTGGATCAGCGCCACACTCAATCAAGGCGACAATGCTATCAATCGCACTCGCTTTCACGCAAGCTTGAAGCGCCGTTTGCTTCGAAACTATCTCATCTTCAAGTTCTGGATCCGCCCCGAGATCAATTAAGGTTCTAATAACATCAGGTTCGTTGATGGAGCAGGCTACCATGAGTGCGGAAAGACCGTCTGATTTAGTCACAAAATCTACTTCCGCGCCTGCAGATTCGACGAGTCGCCTACACATCTCCGAGTTGCCGCTTTTGGTGGCACAAATCAACGCCGTTTCTTTGAAGATCTTCGACTCAAAGTTTACATCAGCTTCGTATGCTTTGGCGAGAACGTCTACGCATTCGAATCTTCCCGTCGATGCGGCTAAATGCAAGGGCACTATGCCGGTGGACGTTTCTTTGTTCACGTCGCACTTTCTCTTTGCGCTTACTAAGATTTCTAAAATGGTCGCGCGTCCAAAACGAACGGCTAGTGTCAAAGCAGTTTCCCCTGAGCGTAACTCAAAACCTACGTTCACGTTTGCATCTACTAAAGTTTGGACTACGGAAATGCGGTCGTTTTGAATCGCAACAGCGAGCGCATTCAAACCAGTCTTTGAGTCGACGTGCTCGATATCCGCCCCTCGTTGAATCAATAAGGAAACAAAATCATTTCTCCCACTTTCCGCGGCGCTGAACAAAGGCGATGCTTCAGTACCGTTGCGTCGAACGTCAGCACTGCAACCGTTCGATAAGAGAGACTCAAGAACCTCGACTGTGGTATCTTGCGATTCGCAGCAAGTGAAAAGCGCGGTGCATCCGCGGTGGTTGAAGCGGTCGAAAACGGCACCTTCGCGACGAAGAAATTTGATACAATCTATGTGATTATTCAAAGTAGCCGCAATCAACGCAGTCTCGCCGTTCCTAACAGACTCGTAATCGACGGCACTCACTCTTCGACAGACGTCCGTTTTAGTGGCCTCGTTAGATAAACTTTCGTCATCAGAAGGTACCAGAAGCTCTTCAACCATCGCCACGTTCCCAAGTCGAGAGGCAACGATCAAAGCTGTATCTCCAGTGGAGGTTTCATAGTTCATGTCTTCACCACACTTTCTCAACACTTTGATTGCCTCTATATTTTCATTCATTGCGGCTTTAACTAAAGCGGTGTATCGCGCGGAGGTTTCGTAATCTTTCTCTTTCAGAGCTGTCGCCAAGAACGCAACCGCTTCTAGTTGATTATTGTCGACAGCCTCAATGAGCGCAGTTCGACCAATCGTTGGTTCCACGGATGAATTCGCACTGTTGTTGAGAAGGAATTGAAGCGATTTCAAGGCGCCAACTTTTGCCGCAGCAGTCAGCGCGCAGTGACGGTTACTGGCACCAAATCCAGAGACAAAATCAATCGCGCAGTTCACTTCTAATAACACGGAGATGGCTTCCGGGTCGTCATATTCCGCTGCGTGTATGAGCGCAGTTTTCCCGTTCGATTCTCCGACATAGTTCACGCTCGCGTTAACTTGGTTCAAAGCGTGTACGGAAGAAAATGCGCCAGATATAGCGGCTGCGCCGAGCGCAGTCATTCCTAATTTGAACGATTCCAAGTCGACACTCGCGCCGCGCTCGACGAGTGTCCTAATAGCTGCCGGACGACCGTTCTTCGCAGCCATGATGAGCGCAGTCACGCCCGACACTTCACATTCGTAGTCAAGAGCAGCACCACGATCGCAAAGTAAGTGAATAGCATCCACACGCCCCTTTTCACTCGCGGCGCATAGCGGTGTCACGCCGGCTGAAGATTCCTTATTGACGATTGCGCCAAGGTCTAACAGACACGCCATTGCGCGTAAATCACCCATGGCAGATGCCACGCAGAGCGGCGTGAGTCTCTGCGAGTTTTCCGCTTCGATTTCGTGGCCAGCGCGCGCGAGAAGTTTTAAAATTTCAACTTCGCCCTTTTCCAGCGCCACAGAAAGCGCGTTTCTCCCTTTCGTCGCTTCGGCGTAGAGCTTCGCCCCTTTGTCGATTAAAAATCTTGCGGCATCGACCGATCCAAATTCAGCTGCGCGCATGAGCGCGGTGAATCCGTGCTTATTAGACACTTTATCAATCAATGCGCCCTTGCTGACCAATCGTTCGCATTTTTTCACGTCGTTCTCCTTAGCCGCCATCATTAAAAAGGTCTCGCCTTTTGTGTTCTCAAAATTGATGTTGGCTCCTCGCTCGAGCAAAATTTTGCACGTTTCCTCGCGCTCAGCGTGAATACCGAACACTAAAGCGGTTTCACCAAATCTATTTTCATAATCTACGGTCGCTCCGGAATCTAAAGCAGTTGTGATGGCATCGACGTTTCCTTCTCGCGAAGCGACGTTCAAGGGCGTTCGCCCATCTCTGGTTTCAAAGTTCATCGTCGCACCGAGCTGATTCAGCTTCCGCAGAAGTTCAGAATCGTTCACCGTCGCCGCGACTATTTGGACTACATCATCGTTAGACGTCTCCGCGTCTAATCTTGCTCCAAAAGATTTCAGCACTTCGATAGATTCAATTTGTTTTGCAAGCGAGGCGACGATGAGCGCCGAGCCAAGAGGCGTTTCCTTATTCACCGCCGCGCCGCGAGCGATGAGCGTTTTTAGCGCAAAAATATTACCTAATCGACCCGCCTCTTGAAGCAACGATAAACCAGCCGCATCAATCTCTTCAATATCTGCACCTGCGTTTAAACAAGCGTTTATAGACACGCTATCGTCCCCTTTTACGGCAGCTCTCAAAGGCGATTCAAACGCAGTAGGTATCATGTTAATCTCGCATTTTTTCGAAATGAGATAGTTCACGAGCGAATGTCGCTTTCGGCGAATAGCCGCGACGATTGGCACAATGCCGTTCGACCCAAAACTATCTAATCTCGCTCCAGATTCTACTAAAGCCTGCACGATCTCTTCGTGACCGTTAAAACACGCAGAAACAATCGCAGTTTGCTTTTGAATTGGGCACTCAACTTCACTATCGATGGTGTTAGGGAACGAGAGCATTGTACGACACGGCTCCGCCGCCGATGCATCTCCAGACGCGATTCGACAAAGAATCGTAGCGTGTAAGCTTTTCTTGGCCATGGTTTGAGTGGCGAGTAGCGCACAAATGGCACTTAAATTCCCACCATTCGCGGCAAAGTAAATGGCGATATCACCATCGAGTGTTTCGCGTTCGTAATCGCACCCGAGATCGAGCAATTTCTTGACGACGTTGTTCGGATCGTCCACCGTAGCCGCTAAAGTTAAAGCGGAATGCGATGCGGCGCACTCCATTCCTTGTGACGTTCTTCTCGCATCTTTTCTAGGTAAAACTTTATCTTTCTCCGTCTTCGGATGTTCGCACAACCCCTCACACGCGGCGAGATTCCCGAATTCTACCGCCCTCATGAGCGGCGTGAACCCGAGGCTATCGATCGCGTTCGGATCGGCGCCTAATTCGATCAGAATACTAATCGTATTTTTGTCTTTGCAATACTTTGCCGCTTCATGAATCACGCTATACGCGTGCGGTAACGGTGTTTCTTGATCAAGCTTAGCGCCTGCTGAAAGGAGAGCTTCAAACGTCGTTTTCGGGTCAACTCGAAGGGTTTTATCGCCGTTGCGCCAGACGCACGGAAACGGTCCAGCTCTAGCCTCGTTCGCATATCGAGCCGCTAAGGTCAAAGCCGTTCGACCATTTCTATCTACAAGATTCGGATTAGCACTGAAAGGCATCGCGCATATCGCTCTGATACTATCGTTCTTCCCAGCTAAAGTGAGAATGGACAGAACTGTCAAGCCGTCACGATTTTGCGAGTCGATGTTCAATTTTCCTCGCGTTTTCGATTGTTGCTTCAACAAAAACTTTGCAATGTCATACTTTCCACTCATAAAAGCCACGGATAACGGCGTGCGACCATCGCTGGTTTCAAACGCCGGGTCTTCACCGAGTGTTACGAGTAACTTGACCATCTTTTCATCTACTGCGTTTTCAACGGCGGTAATGAGCGCAGTTGTGCTGTTTACTTCAACGTCGCGCTCTGCGACCGAACGGTTCAGAGATTCAACGATATCGTAACTTTTGCTCAAAACAGCAGCGATTAAAGCTGAGTTTCGTGAAACATTTGGCAAAACTGAGCGCTGCTCACTCGTCGATGGTTCTTCTATTTTGATCGCTTTTACTTCTTCTACACTCGATGATCGAGTTTCTTCGCTCATCGACTTTAGCGTCGCTTGATTCACATCGCCGCCGTAGCCGGCGAGGGAAACGATGATTTGCGTCCGGCCTAAACTCGCTGCGTGCATGACAGCGGTAACCCCATCTCGGTTCGTATAATTGATATCGCATCCTTTCTCGAACAAACCGGATACAATCGGACGCGCGTTTTTACCTTCAATTGCGGCAAGAAGTGGCGTCAACGTGATGCTCGCCTCGCCAGCTGGTACTCGAGATTCTCGGTTCACATCGCACAAGTTTGCGTCGAGTAGAACTCGCGCACAATCCTGGTGGCCGAGCAAACACGCTTTAATTAACGCCGTATGTCCAACTTTATTTTCGTAGTCGACGATATCTTTTGCAATTTTCTTCAACGTGGCGTCGCCCTCGTCACCCGCAGTGAGCAGACGAGAGAAGAAAAACTCCAACGTCGTAACTGCGTCTCCGTCCACGGCGGCTACTAACGCCGTTTGCGAAGTCGCGGTCGTTTCTTGTGTCAACAAAGTCGCATCGACGTCGAGTAAAACTTCTACAACATCCACGTAATTCAATTTGGCCGCTATAGTTAACGCTGTTTCACCAGTCGTAGATTCAATGGATAAATACTTGTGCAAATCGGATTCGGTGTCTACAATTTCGATGATCCTTCGCAACGCGTCGCAATTCTGCGCTCTCGCGGCTTTCATCGCAGCCGTTTCGTTCGTCGCGTCTACTTGTAGAGCGCTCGCTCCAGCTTCTAGCAAAACCTCCACGCATTCGATATTTTTGTTTTCAATAGCAATCATCAAAGGCGTGTAAGCAGACTCATGTGTTGTCAAGCCATCCGCAGCGCCGTGCGACAACAATGCCAGCGTAGCGTTTACTTTATTCCCTCGAGCGGCAAAATATAACGCCGTTTCTCCGAGTTCGTTTTGATGATCAACCACAGCACCGCACTGGCCGAGCAAACACGCAATCGTATCTTCGTCGTCGCTCAGTGCCGCGCAGTGTAACGGTGTTTCGTGAATAGCGTTTTCTAAAAACACATCCGCGCCTTTCTTATACAACTCGGCGCAAACGCGCCAAAACGCGTTTTTCGCCGCCACGCCGAGCGCGAAATCATTTGTTTTCTTGGCAATTTTATTCACGTCGGCACCTAACTCGCACAACTTCCAAACGGCGTCGATTGCACCTCCTCTCGCTGCAGAAACTAACGGTAACTCGCCCGTGCCTTCGTTATCGTCGTTTACGTTCATATCGAAAACTTCCACGCACGCTTTAATTCCCTTCACGTTGTTTTCTCTCGAACAGACCGTCAAACAACTTTCACCAAATCTGTTGCGTTTCTTCGGATCTGCTTTCAACTCCGTAACTAAGAACTTCAACGCCTTCGTCGTGTGCTCGCTCAAACTCGCGTTTAAAATCGGCATCACGCCCGTGCTCGTTTCAAAATCTACCGACCCGCCTTTGGCTTTCAAAAACCGCATGGCGTCTGCGGCGCCGTGCAACGCCGCTTCGGACATGGCCGTTTCGCCGAGCGCGTTTTCCCTATCTACTCTCGCACCGCGTTCGCACAACCACGCGCATGCTTCTGCGTTGTTAAAAACCGCAGCGTCGTGTAACGGCGTCCTCCCGGTGTGCGTTTCCAACGTCAATCGTCCTCCGAGTTTTCTACATAACTTCATCGCGTCCACGTCGCCTCGCGCGGCGGATTCGCAAAAGATGGTCCGTCCTAACGGACCGCACACGTTCACATCCACCTTTCCTTGTTCGACTAAAACTTTCGCCGTCTTTTCATCTTTCGCCATAACCGCAACCAATAGCGGCGACACGCCCGTCGTCATCCCCCACGCGTTGGCATCCGCGCCGAGCGCGACCAACGCCTCTACCGCTTCCGTCGCTCCGCTTTGACTGGCTACTAAAATAGGAAACAGCTCTTTCTCGTTTTCAAAATCCAAATTGGCACCGCAATGATGCAAAGCGTGTATAGATGCCACGGAGTTATTCGCGCACGCGTGTAACGTCGCGTTCGAGTAAAAAAGTTCTTCTTCTTCTTCTTCGTCGTCGTCGTCGTCTCGAACGCGCGAACTCTTCCGCACCTCCAAATTCACATCCGCCCCGAACTTCTCCTTCAATAAAACCACAATCTCTGGTTTATCGTTTTCGCACGCTGCCATCATCGCCGTTCTCCCTCCGATTTTCGTGATTCTATTCGCGTCCGCTTTGTATTCTTCGCACAATTTTTTCACCGCTTTTTCGTACCCCATCGCGCTCGCAGCGATCAGTGCCGTCTGGTCGTTCGCGATGGATTCGTACTCCACGAAACCTTCGCCACCTTCGCCGTGATGTTCGGCAAATTGACACAAAACATCGATCAGTTTTAAATTATTCGCAAAAGTTGCGGCGAGTAACGGCGTCACGCCGTGCATCTCCATCGAAACCAGCGACGGTTTCTTCTCGAGCAAAGAGGAAATCATCTTTTCCGACGAATTTGACGCATCCAACGCTTCATCACCACCACCTTCTTCACACAGGCGAATCAACGCGCATAAATCTCGCCGCTCCTGAATCTCCTCGGGGACTTCTGTGTAAAAGAACGAGGACATTAGTAACAATAACAATGACGAAAGATACACTCGACGAGTTCTTTCGTTCGAGTTTTTTTATCCGGAGAGAGAGAGACTTTTTATATTTAGGGTTTGAAAAAAGTAGGTGAATTTTCTTTCTTTTTTCTCCCTCGTCGGTCTGTCTGGGGAGAAAACATCTCTCTGCAAGACATATAATTATGTTTGGATTCTGCCCGGTGTGCTTCTCCTCTGAAGCCGCGTTGAACGCGACGACGATGGCATCTGTGAGAGGTGGTGATACTGGTGGTGGTGGTAAAAGTGGTGTTTCGATTTTAATCGTCGGCGCGGGGCGATTGGGGACGTGGTTGGCGGTGAAATTCGCCAAAAATCAGAAAGACGCTGGCGGGGAAATGCGAGAGGAGAATGCGAAGGTGTTTCTGAAAGGCTCGGGACGACGGAAACGAGTTGGCGGTGATAAAACGAGAGATATAGTGGCGAAGTTGGTGGAAGAGCACGAGATTTCGCACATCGAGTCGTACGAGGACGAGAGGTTCCAGAAGGTGATGCGAGAGAAGAAGAAGGGAAAAGAAGAGTTTCGATTTGATTACGTTTTCGTGACGGTGAAAACGTACGCGTTTGACAAAGTGGTGGAGGAAATGACGCGAGCGAATATTCCGACGCCAAAAATAGCCGTCATGTTGCACAACGGGATCGTTGAGCCGATATTTAAGGGGTTAGGAGACGGGTACGTACCGTGCGTGATTCCGCAAAGTTACGACTTTGTCGACGCGTCAGACGGGAAAGGCGAGAGGTTTACCATCAAAGTGAAAAACGAAGAGAAACCGTGGGCGATGCCGAACACGGACGAGGCGAAGAGAGTGCACGCGCTGTTGACGTCGATTGGCGCGAACTCGCAACCGGATGAGGATTTTGAGTACACTCTGTTGAGGAAATACTTCATCAATTGCGTGGCGAACTTGTTATCCATCGTCGGCGACTGCAACTGCGACGGGTTGTTGGATACGAAAGACTTGCGAACGCGCATGGATGTTTTGTACCACGAAATGTACGCCGCGTTACAACCATCGCACAAAGAAGGATTCAAGAAAATGCCTAAAAATTTCTACGACGTCGTTTTTTCCGGTTTGCGTACGTACGGCGCGCACTTCCCGAGCACAAAGTTAGATTTCGACGCCGGCGCGCTTTTAGAAATCGACTCCTTGAACGGATACGTATGCGTTCGCGGTAGAGAGAACGGAACGCCGTGTCTCGAACACGAAAAGTTGATCCAGGAAGTCCAGCAGCTCGTGAAGCAAAGAGACGACAAAATGATGAAGAAATAATAAAGAAGAGAGAGATTAAGAGAGAGATTAAGAGATTAAACGTGTACATAAAACCACCGCCCGCGAAAGCCTTCACGTATTCAAATCTGAGCACTTTTTCCTTCCCAAGTTTTCGAATTCAAAACGAAGCAAAACGATCGCCATTTCTCCACACGAGACGACTTCTCCGCACGCGCAAACACACAACACACACACACACATCATCATCATCATCATCATTTGAATGTCCTCGCCCCCTACGTCGTTAAAAGCGCTCGTTTCTTGCACGCTCGTCGGTGCCGGAGTTGGTTTTTACGTCCAAAACTATTACGAGACAAAGTTTAGAGACGCGCAGTACGAACGGTACACGCGATTTCTCGAGGAAGAGAATCTGAAGAAGACGAAGAAGAAGTGAGAGGCGATGATTTTGAATGGCCGCGTTCTGTTCGGAGTAGGAGGAGGACAAAAACAACAACAACAGCAACAACACAGAAGAGGAAGTTTCGCGAGAGAAAGCGCAGATTTCGGGTCCAGCGTGAACTGCGAGCCGAAAGTCCCTTTTGTTTTAAACGGCTCTTGTGAGCGCGAAGAAGAAGAAGAAGAAGAAGACAAAGAAGAAGAAGAAGACAACAACAACAAAGAAGACAAAGCAGATGTAACGACGAAACGAAGGGCATCGTTATCATCGTCAAAAGCGATGATTTTGGGAAAGAGAAAACAGATGAATGGTAAACAATTCGCGTGCGTGTTTGATTGCTCCTCGGTGAAAGGCGAGCGGCAATACATGGAAGACCGATGGAACGTCGTTCGATCGAAGTGTAACCGCGTGGCGGTGTTTGGCGTGTACGACGGCCACGGCGGATGCCAAGTGAGCGAACTGTTGGCGAAGACGCTCGGGGAGAAGATTACCAGAGACGTCGGTCGATTGAAGAGGAAACCGAAGGAGACCATCGCGGAGGCGTTTCGAGAGGTGGACGAGGTGGCGGTGAAGGAAAATCCGGGGAAGTGTCGGAGGAGTCAGGTGTCGGGGAAGTTGTTGGGGAGCCCCGGGGCGGGGTCGACGGCGATTGTCGCCGTGGTGTGTTCGTGGGGGAAGGTGTATTTCGCGAACGTCGGAGATTCGAAAGCGACCGTAGTTCGATTAGAAGAAGAAGAAGAAGAAGAAGAAGAGGAAAGAGAGAACGACGAAAACGACGCAAACGTGCGAGCGAGGGGAAAGAATAAGGATAATAACAACACGCCTACGAGAGCATCGTCGCGGCGACAGTCGTTGTCGCACAGCAACCGGTCGACACCAGTGAAACAAAGATCGACAACGCCGGCGCGAAAACGACAACAATTGAAAACGACAAATAGCGATCACGCAAAGAATAATAGCAAAGTATTTTTCGAAACGCCCGACCAGCGCCCGGCGAGAGAAGATGAGCGAACGAGGATTAATAATATTGGAGGGAAAATTTTGAAATCCAGAGACGGTTCGGCGCGCGTGGAAGGCATTCTTGCCGTGACGCGAGCGTTCGGCAACGCCGGGATTAAACAGTTTGTCGAAGCGGTGCCGGAAATTTTCGAGTTCCCGATTGAACATTGTGGGACGGTTGTTTTGTGTACGGACGGTGTGACGGACGTGATGAATACGGAAGACGTGAGCTCGTTGGTCGCGAAAACCATCGAGGACGACAAGCGCGCGCGGATAGAACGACGGAAACGAAGAATGAGTTTAAACAACAACGAGGTAGCGACAAAGAATGGACGAAATAGTAGACTGGGATCACCGCACAAAGACTTGACTCTTCGAAACGAGCGCACGTCGTCGGAAACGTTGACTTCGGTTTCCATCAAGCGACGATCGAGAGACAACGTAACGGCAGTCGTGTTTCGATGTAGCCAGAATTTATCCTCGTTCGATTACATTTTGGCAGAGACGACGACGACGACCACAACAGCGGCACATATTCACTCCGCGATTGTGAATCACGTGCGGACGGTCCCAACGTCGCCCGTACTATCGCCAATCAAGACCGACCTATCGAAAGGAGGTGTCGAGAGCGATGAATTAGCCGTGCACTTGCGAGAGTCTGTGCAAGCGATTTCGGCGGCGAATACGCCTTCGCCAAACAAGAAGAAGAAAGCGAAGAGTATTTCGTCGCCAAATTCTCCGTTACCGTTGCCTCTGTCGTCAAATAAGAAAGAGAAGAAGAAGGCGACGGAGCCAAAGGCGACTAAAAACACGAAATCGCCGTTGGGTGTTTTGAAAAAGGAGGAGGTGCGTTCACCGACATTGAACGCTTAATCGGTCGGAACGCGTCATGTGTTACTTTCTTGTGATTTGTATTTTTAGCGTATTGACATTTCTAGTACCCGTAAAGAGCTTGCTGCTGCTCCTGCTGCTGCTGCTGCTGCTTGGCTATGTGTTTTATTACAATACTCACTCAATGATATGAGAGAGAAGGCTATAAATACTACTAGTTATACATAAGCTACTTATCTGCTGACCGCTTGAAGGCTTTTACGCTTTTGTTTCTCTGCTTTCGTTTTCTCGATTAAACTATCGGCGTACCAGAACGCGACTCCGGCTAAGATGTACATCACAGGCGCGAATAACATCGCGTCTTTAATTTCCAAACCGCCTTTGCTAATCAACGCCGCAACGGCTAACGGTCCAAGGCCTGCGGTTAAGTTTCTCACCGCCAGGTGCGCAGCAACCGTCGCCGATGGGTTTTCCGGGTCGAGTTCTCTCGTCATCACCGCCGTCGGCGATCGAAAAAATTCAGAAAACATAAACCCAAAGAATAAGTATGTCATCGAAAGTTGGTACGAGCTTGACTCCAACGATTCCGCGATTAAAGGCGCGCACAATATGGTGCCACCAGCAACCATAAGTTTACGCTGAAACGCGTTTAATCGATCGGAGAAATACCCAGACGTCAAACCTCCGATGGCGCCGGAGACTGGAATGACAAACGCCAAGAGATGATTATACTCCGAAGCTTCCAATCCGTACGTTCGTTGGTAAAAAGTCGCTTGGAATGCAATCATCGACCAACTCGCAACATCGGTTAACGTTGCCGCCAACGTCAGCGCGCGAAAGTTCGGATTTTTAAATCTATTCACCGCGGAATCGAAGAAGGATTCTTCTTTCTTCTCCTGCTCCCCTTCTTTCTTCATTTGGTAGTCTGCGCGACTTTCGATGATATCGGACAAGTCCTCTATTTCATCCGCTTTGATGGCTTTGCGCATGACTAACGCAGTTACGTTTGCAACGGCTTCCTCTTCCTTCTTCTTCACTTTTCGCATCATCAAGTCCGTCGTTTCGTCTTCGTCGTACGAGGCGACGAGAGACACGATGTTCAAATCCGATACGAGTTTTTCTTTCGATTTCCCAGTCATTTCGTCTTTTAACACTCCCGAAAATCTCGCTTTACGAATTAATCGTTTCGCGTCCGACATTCGCTTCTGCGAACGTCTTTGTTTCCTTCGCACCGCGCGAGACGATCCATCTTTACTCCTTCCGGGATCAGTCACGATGAAAAAGAGTGCCGGCGCTATGATGAAACCCGGGATGGCTACGGCTTCAAACAATTCTCGCCACCCCAAACCAGTATTCGCCATCAACGCGTCTCCGACAGATTCCATCGCCGTTCCTGCGTTTGGGGATAACACGACCGAGTCACCTGTGACGTATAAAATCGTATGCGAGCCAAGATTTTTGATATCGCTCAAAAACTCTATCGGCATCGTAATCGGCAAGTCAGGATTGAACACCGAATCCGTCGCCATTTGCGGCGCGGCGACCATCGCCCCACTCGCGAACGATATCGCGCGACCGAAATGAACGCCCATGTTGTACAAACTCATCGCCGCGTTTTTATTCCTCGGAAACAGTTCCGGCAACAACGAAAACGCGATTGGATTCTGCGGCCCGTTGCCGATGGCGAAGACTATTCTCGCCACCACCAACTCGGTAAACGTGTTTGCGTTTGCAGTCATAACCGTTCCAGCGGTCCAAATTGCCGCTCCAGCGGCTAATAAATTCTTTCTGTTCGTCTTATCCGCCGCTAAACCAATCAACGGCAAACATAAACTATACACGACCGTGAACAAAGTCGTCAATAACGCGCCTTGCCCGTCGGACAACTCTAAATCACCGCCAATCGCCGGCAACAACGCGGACACTAAAAACCCGCTCGCCGCGCAGTGAACGTACGCAAACGTTAACAGCGATAACGTAAACGTCGCTTTGCTCTTCGGCGAGTTTATTCTCTCCACAATCTTCAACCACTTCTCGCTCTCTTGCGCGTTCTTCTCCGGATCCTCCCCAAAAGGTTGAAACGATTGATACGAAGGGTAAAACTCCGTCAATTTGGAAGACAAATCAAACCTCTCCGACCGGTCCCGGTGTCGATTGTATCGATAACCATCATCGTCCAAACCCATCGTCGTCAAGTTCTTTTCTTTCTCGCCCAAAAACGCAGCACTCATCTCTCCCGCCGCTCGTCCGCCTTCTCGTCTGTGTTGGTGTTGGTTGTGGTGTTCCTCGGTTTTACTCTCATTTCGCATCATCATCATCACCTCGTCCTCGTCGTCTTCGCGGGGCGTCCTTCTGTTTCTTCTGCTTCTTCTGCTTCCCCCGTCGTTCTCCTTCTTCCGCGCTCTCCTTGTCTTCTTCGTCGTCGTCGGAATCGTCGTTTGAATCGTCCTTTCCGAGGAGGAAGAAGAAGACGATTCCCCGCAACTCGAGATACGCATTTTTAGATATCTTTTGAGACCTCTTCTCGAAGAAGAAGAAGAAGAAGACGAGGGCGCGAAGCGCTGCATCGACCCACCTTTAAAACCATTCTCAGAAAACAACGACCTCGACGGTGTTACTGTCCTCGTCGTCATCCCTGACGCTCTTTCTCTCTCTCTCGTTTGTGTTCGCGCAAGTGTTGTTCAGAGATATTTGTGGGGAAATTCGTCACTTTTGGAAAAGAAGAAGAAGACGACGAAGAAGACGAGACGACGATGGAGTCTCCCGGAGGACGACAGAAATCGAGGAACGCGAAAGACTTTCTGCGCAAATTCGACGCGTTTCCAAAATTCGTCGACGTGGATTTCTACTCGCGCTCGTTCGGGGGTGGGATAATCACCGTCGTCACCTATATCGTCGCCGTCTCGCTCCTTCTCGCGGAAACGAAGTTGTACCTCAAAACGCACGTGAAACACGATTTATACGTCGATAACGGCAGAGGAGAAACCATGCGAATTAACGTGGACGTGTTCTTTCCAAACTTAAGCTGTGGAAGCTTAGGGTTAGACGTGATGGACGTGAGCGGGGAAACGCACCTGGACGTGGTGGATCACGAGATGCGGAAAATAAGGTACGATCGGTACGGAGTGAAGTTGGCGGATGCCTTGAACGACGAACACGGGAAGGAAGAGGTGGTGAACGAGAAAGCGTTTGACAGCAACGAGACGGAAACTGCGAGTAGTTTAAGAAAGAATAAGACAAAGAAAACGGCGAAGGAGTTGATTCCGAGATATATGGAAGACGGTAAAACGAAGTATTGCGGTTCGTGTTACGGCGCGGACGTGAGCGGAGCGAATCGAGGGCGAGAGCAAAGGTGTTGTCAAACGTGCGAGGAGGTGAGAGAGGCGTACATTGAAGTCGGGTGGGCGTTTACTGGCGCGTCGAGTATGGAGCAGTGTAAACGGGAAGGGTTTTCGGAGGTGTTAGGGAACGTGCACGAGGAAGGGTGCGAGTTCAAAGGGTTCTTGGATGTGAATAAAGTGCAAGGCAATTTTCACATCGCGCCGGGGAAGTCGTTTCAACAAGGCGAACAACACGTGCACGATTTATCGCCATTTCCGGACGGGAAGTTCAACTTTTCGCACGAGGTGAGACACTTATCGTTTGGAGAAGGGTACCCGGGGAAAGTCGACCCTTTGGATGGTACGAAACGAACGCTGAAACTTCCCGCGGAAACCGGCGTGTACCAGTACTTTTTTAGAATCGTCCCGACGACGTACACCTATCTCAATCCGTTCAAGAAAGATATCAGCACGAACCAATACTCGGTGGTGGACCATTTCAAACCCGTGGACGCGGCTTCCATTCAAGGAGGTAGCAGTGACTTGCCGGGCGTGTTTTTCTTTTACGATTTATCGCCGATTAAAGTCGACATCGCCGAGTACAGGACGAGCGTTTGGAAATTTTTAGCCGAGGTATGCGCCAGCGTCGGCGGCGTCTTCGCGGTGAGCGGAATCGTCGATAAGGTGGTGTATAAAGGCTCGCTGGCGATTAAGAAGAAGATTCAGCTCGGCGTTCAGGATTAGTTGTTGAATAGAGAGAACTTGTATAGATAATAATAGTGTTCGTAATACCGACGAGCGAGCGTGAGAAGAATTTTTAAGAACCTCTCCCCTAATCTTCGATGTACTTCTCGACACACTTTTGACGCGCAAACACGTCATGTCCTTCTCCTCATCCGATGACCTCTCCTCCAAAAATACTCATAACAATAAAACCTGGTTCCAGCAGAACAAGCTCGCTTGCGTCGGCGGTCTTTGGCTCACGTGCATGACCGGCACTTTTTTCTGGCAACACGTGTTGCAAAACTCCAAAACGCGAACTTCCGTGAAAGTTATTCACTCGCGTTTGTATTCGCAAGCGATAACTTTATCCGCTTTATTGGCCGCGAGCGGGGTGGAATATTACGACCGAAGGTATAACAACAAAGGACGAGGAGATGTTGAAAGAACAGATCCGTTCGAGTATAAACACAGGAGAGCGGCGGCGGCGAGTACCGATGCGGCTGCTTCGAGCAGATGATTTTTTTCCCAAGAGAGAGAGAGAGAGAGAAAGAAAAAATCCGAGGGGATTGAGAAAAAAAAATGTTCCTCATTAAAGAACGCGCTGCTGCTTCGGACGAGGCGTGTTTGGAGCGATGGAAACCCCGTCTGCCTTTCCTGCGTCTTCTTCTTCATCTTCACCTTCAGCGGGAGCGAAATTCTTCACCCGAATCGCCAACGGGAACCGGTTTTTTTGGACGCTGATTATCTTCTCGCTGTTCAAAATCTTGGACGTCGTTTTCAGCGGGTTCGGGTTGCTGTACCCGTGCTTACTGCCAATAAGCGCGTACGAATCGAAAGATGCTGGGAAGAAAAAGGCTCATCCAAAGGTTTTACGATGGCAAGAGTTCAAGTTGAAGGTGTATTCGCTCGCGCATTGCGTCTTCAATGTGGAGATTCCAAGACGATACGTGGATAAGTGTTACGAAAAGTTGATAAAGGCGAACGAGAGCGTGCCAGATGCGTTCGTGCAGGAAATACCGACAATTTACGACGCGCATTTATCAGGGTTTGATTGTGAAAAGTTCTTTCACGATTTTGTGAAACGGCCGCATCCGGTTGTGTTGAAAGGTTTCGCCAAAGAGACGGCAGCGGCGACCCAATGGACGTTGGATTCTTTGATCGCGCGTTTCGGCGAGGACGAGGTGAAACTGAAAACGAAGGACGGTGATAACGTTCCAGGGAAAATGAAAGATTTGAACACGTTTCCAAACTATTTGCACAACTGTGAATCGTTATTTCTGGAGCATCCAGAGTTGGCGAAGCAATTACAAGTGAACAGACTGGAGAAACTCGCCGGGAATAAAAGAATCGCAAACGACCATCCGACGCTTGGTCCTTTACCGTTGCAACTCTTCGCGGGCAGAGGCGGTACAGGTACCGCGTTTCATTGTGCCAACGCGTATAACTTTTTCTTCCAAATCGAAGGCGTGAAGAAGTGGACGTTTGTCGATCCGCGATGGACGATGTTCATGTTCCCGGCAATCAATCGAAACGCAATTTACCAAAGTTGCGCGATTAAAGATCCAAATACGCTCCTCGAGCGCTATAAACCGTTGTGGCGCGTTGTGCCTCGTTACTCCGCGGTTCTCGAACGCGGCGACGTCCTCTTGAACCCACCGTGGTGGTGGCATTGCATCGAGAATCTATCTGATTCCTCCGTTGCGGTGGCCACGAGATGGGCGGATTCGAAAACGTTCAACCCAATCACCGGTTTGGGTAGCGATGGCAATCGCTTGTTCACCTCGTTTCAACTCTTCTCGCCGATTTTTGTCAAAATGACCTTCTCGATGTTTCTCGCGGGGACTAGCGGACTGGTCCCAGAAGACGAAATCGAAGGCGAAGAAGAAGAGACCACCCGTCGTTCGAAGCAAGGCGTTCGTTTCGAGCAAGGGAATCGCATGCTCGACGCGTTTAACGAAAACGCAGAAAACGACGCGTACAAAGCCTACTACGCGAATAAAAAAAAGAGCAGTGAAACAAACAACACGTTTGATGATGTTGGCGTTTGAATGTGCATTCGTGCGTTGTAATCTTTAAACTACCGAATACTTGTTCTAAAAAATACTAGCTAGCACTCTACGACTTTCTATAAAACGAATCCTAATCCGGCGTCGGCGGCTTCTTGCGCTATTTGGTCAAACGGATTGATATCGAGAACTCGTCTCGGCGCGTCCGCCTCGAGGCGGCTGAACGCGTCGTCGTCGTTGTCATTTTTCTTTGCACGCTTCTCCTTCTCTTCCAGCGGGGCGTTTGATGATGCAATGTCCTTGAACGATTTCACAAACGTCGCGACAAGATTGAGCGTTTTGTTCTTTGGCACGCGCACTTTTCGTTCATCTGCTAAATCTTTAATCTCCGACGTCGGTTGCTCGGTTCTCACTAGTCTACTCTCTAACTCTCTGGCGGTTTCCGCGGCGGTAGCCACCGCGCTTCCACCGCCTTGCGCGAACTCGCTCATTGAATTCAACGCGGCGCTTTCCATCGCTAATTTCGCGCGTTCGTCTCGCTCGCGAATTAATTGCAACTCCTCCTCGTCCAAAATCATCGTCTTGCGTCCGAGTATGTCAATACCGAACGTTCTCTTTTTCGCCAACTCTCTCTCTCTTTGCTGTTGATCCATCGCGTCGCGTTTGTGTTTCAGAGCTCTTCGCTCGTCCTCTGCCAACCACGCTTCCGCGTCCACGTCCCCGTGATCGTACCACTCCGACTGGTCGTCCACAACCTTCGTTCGACTCGCTCCGGAACGATCAAACGATACCAGCTGGTCCTTTAATCTCTCCGCCGCCGCTTTCCCGCCTTCTGTGTCTTCCTCTTGTTCTTGTTCAGTCGCGTACCCGATTTCGCCGTTCCAAACCAAACCGTCGCGTAACTTCACATTCACAAACGCGTCGCAAAACGTGCACTTCCCCGAGCTCTCTAAAAACACCCTCGCGTCGTTTTCGGCGACCGCCCCCGACGCGTCCAAATCGAATCGAAAAATCTTCCCGCATCGCAAGCAGTTCGCGGCGCGCGGCTTGAGCAAATCGCCAACCTCGAGAGCGTCGCCTGGATTTTTCATCCGGTCCTTCCGCTTCCCCACGTCCTCCGCGCTACTGCTCTTTTTCTTCGACATCTTCACCAGTATAGAACGATGTTCTCTTACCACCGAATGTGTTGCTTTCGACGACGTTTGGTCGTTAGTGCGCGACGGTTTCTCGATCGAGTCGTATTTCCTGTACGCTTTCGCTTCGCCTTTCTTTTGGTCCTCCTCTTTCCCACCATCACCATCACTCGTCGTTTTTGTCTTTTCTTTCACTTTTCTGAGCTTTAATTCACCATCGTCGCGAAACGATGACGACGACGGCGAGTTCGTCTTTTTCTCCTCTTCTTGATACTCTTTCTTCTTTTCGAAGAGCATCTCGCTCAATCGCAGCGCTTCCGCGACGGCCTCTTCTTCTCCCATAAAATTCCGCATGGCGTCGCACATTTCTTCAACCGACCTGCTCGCGACGCAGGTTTGAGATAATCCGTCGAGCAACCAATCCTCTGCGAGAGGGAAGGCACGTTTGAGCTCAGGTAAGAACCAAAGTTGGAGAGAAGACAAAGAAGAAGGTGAGGAGGAGGAGGAGGACATTTTCTCTCTACGTTGCCATGTGGTGAAGTTCGTGTTCGTATTATGAGGCGAAAATAGACTACGCGAGTGCAATGTTAAAAGTTAAACGCAGTATATAGATATGGTACCAGGTACGTGTGGTTATAATAGTAAATTAAAACGACTTTTACGCTGTGTTCGATAGTATCATTTACAGAAGATGTTGTGTGCGTGAATGTGCACGCAGCGCGTATTCGAGAACGCCACTCTTACTTAGCCAAAGACATCAAGCGACGGCGTTGGACTTTGTCCACGCAGTTGGAAGTCGCCAACATAGTCTTCGCGACGCACTGTCTCGCAGCTACCGCGATTTGTTCTTTACCGGCAGCTTCTTCGACTTCGCCAGACTTGACTTTGTCGTTGATTTGCTTGTACGAAAGTTGGCACTCGGCGGTGACTTTGGAGAGGGCGCCCGCGCATCCGGAATCGGCTTCTTCGTCGACGGCTTGTTCTTCTTCGGTTTCTTCGGGTTGCTGTTGTTGTTCTTTTTCTTCTTCTTCTTCTTCTTCTGGTTGTTCTTCGATGGTGGTGGTGGTGGTGGTGGCGGTGGCGTCGGCGGCGGCGGTCGATAAAACTGGTTGCGGCACGCTCAACGTCTGCACGGTAGCCGTCGGCGTCGTCGTCGACACAGTCGTAGCCGCCGGTTCAACTTCCTCAACGTCTTCTGTAACGACCGGTAATTTCATCTTCGAGAGTGAGGAGGAGTGGTGTCGAGCAACAATCACCGGCTTGGACGCGGCGACGACTTCGACTTGTTCTCCCGGCTGCGGCATCGTAACGACTTCTTCTTTCTGGGCCAAAGTAGAAGAGGAGGAAGAGAAGGACAAGTCCTTCATGGATTCATTCACTTTGTCTTGAATCTCTTTTTCTTTTTTAATCTCCTTCGCTCTTTCTTCCGCTTTGCTGTCAATCATCGCCAATTCCTTCAAATCCGGCGAGAGCGTTTTCGATTGCTTCATGCACGACTTCAACAAAGAAGACGCTTGCGCAGCGCACCGTTGCGCTGCGGCAGATGCGGAATCCAACGCCTTGTTCAACGTCAACTCCTCGGAGCCGACGATGCCTTTGGCGCATTCCTTCTTGATCTCTTGCACTTGGCTCGAGCACATCTCCGCGATCGGCTTCACGCACTGCGTGTTGATCACTCTCGATTTGTCCGCGCACGTTTCTCGCAACAATTCCATCTTTTCCGTGGACTCGTCCGCGGACAATTTACCCGCTTTCACGTCTTCGTTGATCGCGCTGTACTCTTTAAAGCACGATACGGCGACGTTTCTCGTCGCCTTCACGCACGAGTTGTTCGAAGACACCGTCGTCCCGGTCGACTCGTCCACGCCTCTCGAAACTTCCATCATCGACCCGAGCATGGTCGCAAACACGGACGAGAGCTTGTCTTTCTTGTTCAAGACCGCGTTTTCAACCACTTCGCCACTCGCGGTCGTTTGCTTCTCGAACGGTGTCTTTTTCGTGCCTTCCAACGCGGCGAACAAGTCGAGCGGGTTGAACGACTCGAATTCGTCCGCTTCTTCGAGTTCGGACGCTTTCGGCGCCGCGTGCGAGTGCACTTTGACGTGGGAGGAGGAGGAAGAAGAAGTCGTGCTTTTGGTGGTGGTGGTCATACCATCGGTCTCCTCCTTCTTAGCGGCAGACTTTTTCAGCGGCACCATTTCTTCTTCGTCATCTTTTTCCGCCACGGCTGCTTTCTTCTTCGAAGACAACCCCAGTTTCCCTTTGGCTTCCGCTTGCATTCGTTCCACCTTTTCAGTCGCCGCGAGTTTCTGTTTCGCGTTTCTTTCGAGCTGCAATCTTTTCTGTTCCGTCGATTGTTGCTGCGCGCGTCTCAGATATTGCGCGCGTTCGTGGTTCGTTATCGGCGTTCGTACGAACGCCGCTCTTCTCGGCGTTTGATTCGATGACGATTGGACCGATCCTTGTTGCGCGGCTTCGACCATCGATGATGAGGACGAAGAAGTCATCAACAAAGCCGTCCCAATAACGGCACACGCGATTTCATTGCGACCACCCATATTTATATTCTCGGCAAACGAGCGGTCTCAGCGGTTCTCTCGAACGATCGTTAGATATATCTCGCGAGTAGATGTATCTCTCGCGCGGGAATGCCGACTGATTCTTCCGCGGCCTTCTTTTCTTCTTTTCTCTTTTGGTGTTTAGGGTTTCTGGCTTTTCTAAACCCTAATTTTACTAAAACCCTAAATGTTTGTCACGTCATTTTTTTCACACGTTTCTTTTCGTGGCTCTCGAACGCTCATATCAAATATCCTGATAGATACATTGTTTAGAGAGAAACTCCGTGCGCTAAACAACATCTGCCAGAAGAAGAAGAGAGCGACGAGAATAACAACAAAAACAACAATGATTCAGACGATTCAGACGATTCAGACGAGTTCTTCGCGAGTCGTGAGAGGAGGAGGCGTTTTTTCCAAACAACAATCCAAACAACAACACCGACGACGACAAAAAAGCATCATCGTCACGAAAGCAGCGACGGATGATGATGACACTACTACTAAAGAAGAAACAGAGGATGAGTTCGAGGCGAAACTCGGCGCTTTGAGAGGAAAACGATCGAAACGATCCAAAGGAAACGACGACGAAGTGTCCATGGTGACCGGTTTACCGAAAACGCAGACGAAAAGTTCTTCATCGAGACTTCCCGGCGTGAGAGATTTCATGTCCGATTTCACCGAGGAACCGAAAACGAAAGACTGGGGACCAGAGCAGATTTTATACGAAGGCCCGCCAGCTCGAGGAGAAGTCGTGGCGAACGTGTTGATGTCTTGGACGGTGGTTTGGTTACCGCTGACGATTCAAGCCGCGGGGAGAGCGCTGTGGGCGTCGTATAAGATTACGGATAAGAGAGTGTGCGTCATATCGAACTCGCCGTTGCGAAAGGAACGCACGGACGTGCCGATGGATCAGATTAAGGACGTCATTTCGATCGGGAGAGGTATTGGCGCGTGGGGGGACATGGTGATTACTTTACGAAACGACGAGAAGGTTGAGTTGAGAAGTTTGCCGAATTTTAAAGAGTTGGAAGGGGAAATTAAGCAAAGAATGTACAAGGAAAAACCGATTGAGTTTTAATTTTTCACATCATTGCCGTTTTGCGTACTACACGCGCGTCGCGAACGAAGAGAAGAAAGAAAGAGAGAGAAGACGAATGCTACAGGAATTTATTACTCAGACTTTGATGTTATGTGACATAAATATGCATTTTACCTACTAATATACCTTCTATTGCTTCTATTTTGATCATATATTTACGTATCTACGACGTGTATTCAATGAGTACTACCGAGGAAGAGGACGTCGACGGTTCTAGAAACGCGCTTGGATTTTGCGCTTCCCAAGCGGCAAAGTGCGCTTTTCTCTCGTCGCTTTTCAGCTTAAACACTCTCTCATCATCGTCCGCCGTCTTCAACGATATCACTTCCCTTTCAGGAACTTTCTCGTCGTCGTCATCGCCGCGTCTACCGCTAAAACCAGAACTCCTACTAAAACTACTGCTATAGTCGCTAAACAATTCTCTCGGAAAATCGCGCGCGCAACTCGGTCGCTCTTTCCAAAAGTTCACCAAAAGCGTCACCCTCTGATACGCGTCTTCTTCGCCTTCCTTCCTCTCGCTATTTTCTTCTCGACAGACGCCGTGCCACATGTCCCCCCGAAACGTAAACAACCTGTTCGCTCTCGGTTTCACCAAAACGCACTTCCGCATGGCGCCGTACTCTTCCTCGTCGAACGCGACCGTCGCGCCGCCTCTTTCCGTCTTTCCGTAATACACCGTCGAGAGGAGCGGATAATATTTTTTCTTCCTCTTGTCTTTGTCTTCTTCTAAAACGCAATCCGTGTGATACGCTTTCGGAGGTTCGTCGTGCGCGACGTCTTGCACCCACCACTCGCACCCTGCAAAACTTTCCCAAGTTAACAGTTTTTGTTCCTCTGCGACAAATTTCGCGAGCCGTTCGCAATATCTCTCGATTATCATCCTCTTCTTCTTTGTCTTCTCCTTCTTCTCCTCTTCTTCTTTGTTGTCTTCTTCGTCTTCTTCTTTCGTCTTCGTCTTCTTCGGCCAAAAATACGTTCCCGAGACGAACTCTTCCCCGTCGATGAGGGATTCGGATTCGTTCTTCTTCTCGAGCAAACCTTGGTCGAACAAGCGCACGTATTCGGTTAAAAACGCATCAATCTCGTCCAACGCGACTACCGCGTCTTCTGCATCGCAATCGCTTTTGGGTGGTCGTAAGAAATTCTCCGTCACGCGCACGGAGTCCTCGAAAGAAGAAGAACGATTCATTTTGTTTTCGCGTGCATATTTGGGAGAAGAAATGAAGAAAATGAGACATTTCAAAACGCCTCGTTAGTTGTTCTCAGAGAGCGTAACGACACACCGATCTGTGCTCTCTCGCGCGCTCTCTTTCACCAAAATTGCGTTCATTTGAGAGTGAAAAGTGTTTGAGTTGTGCGTAAACTGTTTCGTTACAAAGACAGAAGAACACTATCGAGGAACATATTGGACGTTTCAAAACTCCCCCCATTCGTAGTAGAGTAAAGAAGAAGCTTTTGTTGCGCGCTGTTGTGCTCACCAGAGAGTAGCAGAACAACAACAAGCGTCTCTCTCTCTCTCTCTCTTTCAGAAGGTGTTGTTGTTGTTCTCGTCGCGTCACAATGGGCCCCAGGATACAAATAAAACACGGGGGACGGCAAACCGCCGAGGAGAAAAAGTTAGAAGCGAAGTACGACTTGTTGAGGAAGAAAAAAGAACTGAAACTCGCGAAGAAGATGGTCAAAGACGCGGAGAAGAAAGCGAAAACGGAGAAGACGATGAAGAAGAACGAACGCGAGGACGACGAAAAGGACGACGAAAAAGGTGAAGAATCTCTCGACGGGAAGAAGAAGACAAACGGAGGAGAAGGAGAGGAAGACGTGATGAAAGAAGGAGGAGAGGAAAAGAAGAAGACGACGAAAGCGATGAAACGACCGGGACAACAACAATCTCAACAACAACAGATGATTTTAAAGACCACGATGAAAGAAGAAGGAGATGATGGAACAAACACCGCCGAAAACGAGAAAAATGAAGAAAAAGCGGTTGGAGCGAAGACGACGATTCAGACGAGGACGACGACATCGAGAAACAACGGAGAAGATGAAGACGATTCGAAGAAAACGGTTGAGGAGGAGAAAGGAGAAAAAGAAGAAGCAATGATGACGAGAAAGGACGCGACGACGACGACGGAGGGAGAGCAGCAAAAGCGGAAAGACGAAGGAAAGGCGAAGGAAAGCACCGGCGCCATGAAAATTACGTTCAAGAAGAAAGCGCCGGCGGACGCTTCGAAAGAAGACGCGAGCGCGTCTGCCGCCTCCAAGAAGAAGAAGAAAGAAGAAGAAGAAGATCCGGTGGCGAAAGCGATCGCCAAAGCTAAGCTCGTGATGCAGAAAGAAAACGAACGGAGAGAAAAGGAGGAGAAGGAGGCGGAGTTGAAGAAAAAAATGAAGGAGGAAGAAGAGGCGAGGCGGAAGGAGGAGGAAGAGCGAGCAAACGCGGTTCCGAAAATTATCGTTCCGAAGTTTGGGAAAAAGCGAGAGTTGGATCCGGAATGGTTGAAACAGGAAAACGAACGGTACGAGCGAGAACAGAAAGAACGAGAAGAGCGAGAGCGGATAGAGAAGGAAGAGGCGTTGAAGCCGAAGAAACGACAGCAGAAACGACCGAAACTGGCGCCGAAGAAACTTTTACCGCCGGTGCCGAAAATCGTCCCCGGCGTCGGAAACCTCGAGGAAGGAAACCTCGACACCGAGGCCGGTGATATGGCAGGAAGTGAAGGAGCGACGGTAAATGGAGATGTCGAAGCCGGTGAAATGGCCGTCTTGGACGACGAAACCGCGAAAGCCGTCGGCGTCGGTCAGAAAATACACGAAGAAGTCGACGACCACGAAGACGACGATCATCGTGGAGATTCAGGCACGGAAGTATTCGTCGGTGGTATTCCACCCGAAGCGAACGAACGCGACGTCGGCGACGCGTTCTCGCGTTTTGGAAAGGTCTCAAAAGTTCGTTTGTTTGATATGCAGTCGTACGGTTTCGTAAAATTTTACGGCGTTAAATCCGCCGCCGCGGCGGTGAAACATTACGAAGGCTGCGACGGTACCGGCAACAACCCAATAGAAGATCCAGTGCTCATCTGCGACGCACCGGTAAGTATCGTCGAATTTGCAGCTTCCGGTAAAGACCTCGTCATACAAAAAGCGAAAGAAATAGCGACGAAGAAGCGCGAAGGCGAATCCGTCGAAGAAGATGAAGCGGCGAAAGCGAAAGCGAGAGAGGTCATGACGTACGAAGTGATTTAGAATAGTAATGTAGTAGTAATAGATTTGGGCGCCGCGTTTGGCGTGATATTAAATGCTTCACCTCAAAACCCGTCTCGCTCTCCCGCGCCATCCGCTCCTTGTTGGCTCCTCCTCTTCCTCCTCCATAATTTTGACGACGACGACGCTCTAAAATTCACTCGCGCATCATCATCATCATCGCGGAAGACGAAGACGACCACGAAGAAGCGCGAGAGCATCGGTATTAGCAGTTTAAATGGACCGAGACGACGACGTGGACGACGACGTCTCGCTCCTCGTCGTCGTCCTCGAAACGAATTCGCAGTTTTGGTTTCCCCGTTCCCGGAAACAACGAGAGACGACGACTCCTTCGACTCCTTCGACTTCTTTATACGCGTTCGAAAAAGTCTGCAAAGACATCGCCGCGTTTTCCTCCGCGTATTTAGCGTGCAATCGTGCGAACAGAATCGCGGTCGTGGCCGCGCACGCCAGGAAAGAGTGCACGTTTTTGTTCCGGTCGCACTTGGAAGGTGATGTTGTTCTCGAAGACGAAGAAGACGAAGAAGACAAAGAAGGAGATAACACGAAGAAGACAAAGAAGAAGAAGAAGAAGAGAAAGAAACCGCCGACGAACCCGCGAATGACGTTCGTCGGCGACGACGAGTGCGACGACATCGGCGGGTTCGCGAACGATGCGCAAGACGTGGACGCTTTAGATATTTCGAAAGGTTTAGAACCGTTACAGACGACGTTTCGGAGAGCGTTTTTCGACGGATTGAAAGCGTTGAGCGATGAAAACGTCGTCGTCAATTACGACGACGACGACGACGACGAGAATCGGGAGCAGCAGCACGCGACGCCAATAGCTGGCGCGATATCGTTAGCTTTAACCTACGCGAATAGAATAGAACGAGATCCGTCTTTACGGGGTCGCGTAAAATCGAGAGTGTTGGTCGTTCAAGCGTCCGAAGACGACGCCGAACAGTACGTGCCGATGATGAACGCCATGTTCGCCGCGCAATCGAGCAACATTCTCATCGACTGTTTATGCCTGAATGAGAAAGAGTCTAGTTTTTTACAACAAGCGGCGTTTGTCAGCGGCGGCATATACGCGAAACCGGAGAAATCGAAAAAAGGAGGAGGAGAAGAGACGCGAGAAGATTTGCTCGAGAGAGCGTTATGTTCGTTTCTCCCGGATAGGTACACTCGACGCTTTTTACGTCCACCGAGAGCGGGTTCGATCGATTTCCGTTCCTCCTGTTTCTGTCACGGCAATCGAATCAGCAAAGGCTTCGTCTGTTCCGTCTGTTTGTCCGTCTTTTGCAAAAAAGAAGGTGCGTGTCAAACCTGCGGCGCCGCGTTCGTATAAAACAACACGGAGAGAAAAAGAAGGCGCGCGCGTAATAAAGTAGCATTCACGCTCGCGTAGCTTTGTTGTGTGCTCTAGAGAGAGATCGGCGTTTAAAGAGTGTAGTAGTATCGCGAGCGCGAAAAATCTTCCTGAAAAATAAGACCGTCTGCTCTTTTGTGTCTTTTTGAAAAGCTCTCTCTCACACATGTGGGCAAACAAACACTCGAAGAAACCACAACAACCCCCCACGCGACCAGCAGAAAAGAAATTTAAAAAAAAAAAAAAAAAAAGAGATTTGGCGAAAAATCATCTCACTCTCACTCTGCTGCGAATATTCTGTTCACGTCACAAATTTAAACTAAGGCCACGCACGCTTCCTTTGCCCGACGCATACACAACAACAACGCCAACTCTTTGAGCGAGACGACAGAAGACGCTTCTATTTTTTGTGCGTCGTTTTTGTTGTTCTCTTCTCTGCGTTGTTGTCTTTGTATAAAGCGCTTGAGTAGTATCTGTCATGTTTCTCTCGAGCACGCATCGCCTTTCGGGAAACGATGGAATGAAGATGTGGTCGTTAGGACGGAAAGGACGAAACGACGCGTCGAGAGTGATGAGAAGAGAAGATGTTTTAATAAAAGCGGCGACGCGCAGTTTTAGTCACGATTTGAGCAACAACAACAGCAAGTGCAACAACAACAGCAAGTGCAACACCGCCGAGCAGCACGCGCGGGAAAAACAAATGAGAAGAGCAAAACAAACGACGCAAGGGAAAACGACGACGCGGATTAGTAGCTCTTTCTCAACAATGTCGAGAACAAATGCAACGATCTTGAATGAAAACATGTACGAATTGCGCGAGGAAGTGGAAAAGAGCCGAATCATATCCTCGCCCTCAGACTTGGACCAACGAAGAGTGCTCGTTTTAGACGTGGCGATGCAAACGAGCAACATCGTGAGTTGGCAAAAGGCGTTGATTTTAGCCATGTTCGATAAGGTGGACGTTTTGGAATATTACGAAGAGATGGTGGCGTCGGCGTATTCGGCGTTTTATTTACCCGCGGTGGTGAAAACGAGAGTGTATGATAAACAGAAAGGATCGATCGCGTTATCGAGGAAGAACGTGTTGATTAGAGATCACCATTCGTGCACGTATTGCGGCGCGAGGGACGATTTGACCATCGACCATATCGTTCCGGCGTCGAAAGGCGGCGAGTGGTCGTGGACGAATTTAACGACAGCGTGCGCGAAATGTAACAATCGCAAAGGAGATAAGATGTTGAAGCAGTGCAGCGGAATGAAGCTCGTCCGTCCGGCGAAGGAGCCGTGCGTCGCGTCCGGGGAGTTTTCGCAGTTTTCCAGGATCGTGAATCCGCCGGACGAGTGGATTCCGTTCATCGATCCGAGACACGTGAAACGAATACCGGACGGCTTCATGGACGATTTGGAGTTTGGGGACGTTTCGATTAAAAACAACGTCGTGGACGTGGAGAAGACGCTGTTGAAAGTGACGTCGAAGAACTACAAGAAGAAAAAGTCAAAGAGTAGCAGTTCTTCTTCTTCTCCTTCTTCCTCTACTTCTTCAACGCGGTAAGGAATGTATCCCCTCCCCGTCTTCGTTTTCGAGAGTGTACTACTATATCAAAATATTTACCCATTTATATTATAAAATATCTGTAATAAAAAACAAATACAAATTAAGGTTTTAATTCACTACTTGAGTTTGCGTTAACGCCAACAATTCAACAAACTTCTCCACGCACACTTTACTGCTCGCTGGATTCTGCCCTGTCACCAACGTCCCTTCGACAACCGCGTGAGCGCCCCACGCGCCTTCCGCCTTCGAGTACTTGGCGCCTTGCGCCACCATCTCTTTCTCAATCAACGCCGGTACCTCTTCTTGCATCCCAACATGCCCCTCTTCCTCGTCCGAAAAGCCAGTCACGGACATTCCACTCACCAACGGTGTCGTCCCGTCTGCTTTTTTGCACGATAAAAGTGCAATCGGCGCGTGACAATCCAGCGCGACGGCTTTCTTCGCCGTTAAAAATTGCTCGATGGTTTTCGCCAACTCTTGGTTTTGGTAGAAATCAGTGCAACATCCGTGGCCTCCGGGTAAGAAAACGCCGTCGTATTCTTCCACGTTTAATTCGGATAAACCTTTCGATGTCTTCATCAAAGCTTGCGCGGTGTCGTCTTTATCGAATTTCACGCACTCTGGCGTGTAAAACCCTTCGCCTCGCGATCCTGCGTCTATTGGGATTTCCCCGCCTTTGATAGAGAAGAAATCGACTGAAAATTTCTTTTCCATCATGGAATAATACGGCACGGCGATTTCTTCCAACCACACGCCGGTTGGTTTCTTCTCCGCGGATTTGCCGAACGTCGTCGCGGACGTGCACAAGATGGCAATTTTAGTCATTTTTGTGTGTGTGTTCGTTTGTCTCGTCGAAAAGTGTTGACGAATCAGATCTCGTTAAGATTTTTGTGACGTAACCAACGCACACACACAAACAACTTTTTAGAAGGAGAAAAAAATTTTTTTTCGTCCTCTCTTACACATCTCCAATCGACTCAGATGTTCATCCGCGCGCACTTCCATCGTCTGCACGTCACCAGAGAACCGAACTAAACCTAGCCAAACACACAAACGAACACCTTTTTCGGAGAGATGTTATTATGTTTTCGTCCTCTCTAACATCTCCAATCGATCGAGATTTTCATCCACGCGCACTTCCATCGTCCTCACGTCACCGGATAACCGAACTAAACCAGGTTTGGCACCTTTAGGTTTGCTCACTTGTCTGCACCGAACGACGGAGACTTTCACGCGACCAACGCGAGAGGCTTTGCTAAACTTGGCGGCGAGCAACGCGGCGTCGAAAAAGGCGGCGTCGGACGGCGCGGTGGATTTGATGACGACGTGGGAACCAGGACATCCGGCGGCGTGCATCCACCACTCGTTCGGGTCGTTGGTTGGGTCTAAGGAGACGATGTCGTTGTCTTCGGACGTGCGGCCGACGCGGATTTCGGTCGTCGGTATGTCGTCGTCGTCGTTTACGTCGTTCCCCGACGCGTACGCGAAATACGGTCGACGAGGTCCGGTTTTGCTCACATTTTTTACCTTCTTCGGCCCTCGTGGAGGTTTCGGCGGTGGCGCGTCCGATATCCCTAATTTCATCGCAAACTCCGCGCACTCTTGCCATTTCGAATCGTCTTCTTTATTCTTTTTCCCTCCCGTAAAGTTCTCCACCATTGCCAGCAGCGTCCGCACCTCCTCCAACCGCTTTTTCTTCTCCTCCACGTCTGATTCCAAAAAATCCACGTCGGGACATTCTTCCAACATCTCCGTCGTCGCGTTTGGATTTTCTAACAACTCGTTCATTTTTTCTTTCGACAGTCGTAATTTCGTCGTCGCATTCGCCACTTTTTTCAACGCTTTCGTTTCTTGCCTTTTGGTTTCCTGGCGTAACCCGGAGACGTCCAAATTCACAACGGTGTTATTAGGGGTTGGTTTTGAGTCATCATCAACATCAAAAGAGGAACAACACGGACGAGATCGACGCGGGTTTTTGAGCGCGAGTTTCAAAGAAAAAGAGCGAGTATTCAATTTTGTTCTGGTAGACGACTTTTGGAGGAGGAGTTTTGAATCAGCGACGACGACGAGAGGCATACCAATCATCGCGCGAGGAGGAGGAGGAACCGTTGTTGTGAGGACAAAAATTTCCATTTTATCCAAAATCTAAAAATTCAACCAACCATTCCGAAATACTGCGAATCGTTATTCGCCAACGCGGTGGAGTACTTTCGATTCATTTTCACCTCCTCGCTTTCTTCGTCCGAGGAACAGTCGACGTTTCCACCACACTCTTCCTTTAACTTCTTTAAAGCGTCTTCGACGTCTTTTTCGGTTGGGATTTTCCTCGGTTTCAAAGCTCGGACGGCGTCCTCGACGGTGGCGTATTTCGGCAACGGCTTCAAGTTTAGGAACTCTGGCGTGCGCGAGGCGTTGTTTTCGACAATCATGTCTGGTTCGGAGATGAGGAGGGAGTGGAGGATGTAGTCGCGGAGAGTAGCTGGTTGGTCTTCGAAGACGTAGTGGGAGGCGTCCGGGATGGATTTGCCGCGGATGACTTTCTTCGAATACCGGCGCAAGGCGGACACGACGTCCTGGAGATCCTTTTCGTCCATGAACTCGGAGTGCTCGCCTCGGTAAACTGAGGCGTGACACTTAACGTTTTCCAGAATTCGGACGTATTCGTCCGCGGATGGGACTTTGAATAAGAATTTACGGTCGATGCGAAACTCGTATTTCGCCATGTTTTGGCTGAATAACTTCATGACGCCGGTGACTTCGTCGCCTTTAGGTTTCCGAAATTTAGAGAGCATGCGTTTAATGCACTGTTTCCCGTTTCGTCTCTCGTTATCAGGCCAAATGGGTGCGATTTCAAACGTTACTGCTTCTCGCAAAGACCCGAATATGACGTTTTGGAACCTATGAAATGCCACCGCGTCTTCTCGACACTTCGGGTGCGACTCGATCAGAGTCAGGCCGGCGACCAAGTGTTCGTGCTCTCCAGCAAACGCCGCCGCGATGATCGCGCCTAAACCAAAACCAACTAAAGCAACCGGGTGTGCATACAAATCCAACTCGACGATGAACGATTCTATATCCGCCACGAACGACGGGACGTCGTACTGTCCTTCCCGCGAATGCGTGCTATCGCCGTGTCCTCTAAAATCCACGCAATACACCGTAAACCCTCCTTTCTCTTGTATCTGCTTCGCTAATCCGTAATACGACTCCCCGTTCTCCCCGGTGTCGTGTAAAATAAACACCACTTTGTCGCACCCTTCGGCTCCAAACCTGGCGTACTTCAACCGCATCCCAGTAGCGCTCAAATCGATATACTTCCCAATCCCTCTCTCCCTGCTGTTCACCAACACGTCGGATTCAAATTGACTCGCCGCTTTCTCCATCGCCGTCCACTTCTCCTCCGGAATCTCCACAATCGCCCCTCTCCTCTTCTTCTCCAAATCACTTTTCATCTCCATCGTTTCCATGATCGCTTTCGCGACCAAAAGCTCGCTCGTCACCATCGCCTCCTCGCCGTTCGTTGGAACACCTAAATCAAATCGTTCCCGACAATGCGAGATCACGCGCTTTTTTTTTCCATGGTCCTCCTCCCACATTTCAATCGGGCCAAGCTTGTCTAAAACCTCGTCCAAGTCGTCAAAGTTCATCTTAATTTCGCGCGTATATTATGTCTCCCCTGGATTTGGCTCTCTTCTCTTTTCACAAAAATGCGCAACGCGCTGTTGCGTGCGTGTTTTCGTGTGTGATCAAAAGTTAAGAAAAGTCAAGCGTTTTTACAAAGGCGTTTTCAGCCGTTTCGAGAAAAAAAGACCAAACACCCTAAACACTTTGCATTTGCCTACTTTTGAAGCATACATGCGCCAAAAGTACCTGCTGCGTTGTTGACTCGCAAAACGCAGTAAAGCAGAGCGCTGCCTACTGTTACGAGCACGGGGGGGGGTCGCTTTTTTGTCTCGCAGTAATAATGGACAAAGAGACGTTCAGGATGACACCGAAACGCGAGCGACGCGCGAGGCGCTTGGTGATGATGATGATGATGTCGCTTCTGATTTTGGGTTTGGTTTTGATGGTGTTTAGAACGACTGCGGCGACTACAGGCGGTGGTGAAAATGGTGGTAAAGGTCGTTACGATCATCCGTCGTCGTTGGCGTTCTCGTCGCGCGTTTCTACTACTTTCGGAGGTGGTGGCGGTGGTGGTGGTCGTGATGCGATGATGAGTGAGAACGTCAAGGATGGATGTCACTGCGCGACGACGACGAGAGAACGACAACAATGTCCGGATTGCTCGGAAGAGTGCGAGTCGATGAAATCGAGCAACACAGCGATCGACGAATCTATCGCCGGTTGCGATGAGAAAGCGTTGAAGAAAGCGAGTTCGTCGAAAATTGACGTGGAAATAGCCGCGTTGCGAGCGCAGTTGCGAGAGGCGAACGAGAAGGTGAAAGAGTTGCAAGATATCATGAAGGCGAAGTGTCACGTGACGGATTACACGCAGTGCTCGTCGGCGTGTTATTCTAGAGTTATGCGGATTAAAGAGCAAAACGCGCAGTGTCAGAAGAGATTGCAGAGTCGAGGGTGCACTGATTGTACGGTGGTGGCGGCGAGGTCGATCTCGAAGGATAGGATTGCCACGAGGAGAGCGGCGTATCATTTGATTGCGACGGCGTTGAAAGCGGAATCGAAATGCGGAGGGAGTGCAGGAACGACAATTGATGCGGATAGGGAAAGAATGAAATTAGACGTGACAGATAGAGAACGCGCGAGTGAGATTCAGGAGAAGATGACGAAGAATCAAAGAGAAGAGATTACCGGCGAGGCAGATATGGATGATTTTCTCATATCAACGATTGATAGATCGACGCTTTTAGACGGTGCGTTGGCGCACGCTCTCGAAGATTTGAGCATCGGTAACGAGGAGGATAAAGTCACTGCGGAGGCGTACGAGAAGGCGTTGAAAGAAATTCGCGCGGCGGCGTCTGCCGGGGCGTCAGCTGAAAGCAAATGGCTCGAACAACTGCGAAATCGAGCGGAGGACATCAATCGCGAGGCAAATTTGAAAGACTTGATGATGAAAAAAGCGGACGTCTTTCGACGCGATATGGCATCGGAGCTGTCGTTTCCGTCCATATATGGCATTCCACAAAGTTTAGGTCGAGCGTTATATAAAGTTGCAAACACAGGGGCGAAGCACGCGAGAGAAATGCTGAAACTTGCGCCGAGGTACAATCGCGATTTCAAAACGTGCGCGGTGGTTGGTAACTCGCAAAGGCTTTTACTCGACTTGAACGGGAAAGAAATCGACGGGCACTCTGCGGTTATTCGGATGAACAACGCTCCAACGGTTGGTTTTGATCGTTTTGTCGGGAATAAAACTACCTTGCGTACGCTCAACTCGATTTGGACGCAACGATATTCAAACACGCAAATCGATAGTAATAAAGTTGCCAACGTCATGCCGCTCGAGCTCGGGGTAACGTTAGTTGGTACTCGAGTTGTGCCGGGCGATCACTTCGCGTTGCAACAGCGTTTGCGAAAATCTGGACGCGGCGACGTGAGTTTTGTGAAAATGACCGACCCGTCCATCGCGCAGGCGGGTAAATTGCTCCAAAATTATAAAACCGCGTTAGAGAGCGTGCGCAAACTAGAGTACGCCGGAAAAGGAAGTCCGAGTTCAGGATTTTTGGCTATTTTTGCAGCTTTGCAAATTTGCGACCAAGTAACCGTCTATGGCGTCGGAACGGAATCGGATTTACGTTCAGGGTCATCGCAATGGCACTACTGGGAGAAGGCGGATTATTACCAAACCTCTAGAGAATTCGGCGAGGCGCCGCACCACAGTTGGGAACTTGAACGCGACGTCATGCTCGTTTTGGAAGCGACGAAGAAACTGCGCATCGTGACGCCAAAATCGAGAGACGATCAGGCAGCGACAAAAGCCGAGCGAATTGCTACGGCCGCGATTTTGGCCTCGGACGCGGCTGTTCGACGACATCGCACGAAAGCAAACCAGCAGTGTGCGCGAGTCGGCTTATCCGTGTGTGGATGCGACGCCGAGAGCGACGCGTTGCACGGCGGTAGCGGTATCTTGGAAGTTGCTGGAAAAGTATCTCATGGGAACCGCCCCGCTGCGAAAGCATCGGTCACTTTGCAGAAGTTTGATAAGACGGTTGCGAAGAAGGACGACGTTTCAGTCGTACAACGCGCGGCAATTGCGTTGGCACATTCGTACCATCTCGAGTTGCCGGGCGTTGCCGCCGGCAGCACTAGCAAGAAGAAGAAAGGAACAAGCGCGTCTTCAAGCGAGGAGGCGGATGGTGACGATGCATCGAATGAGGAAGAAAGCTCTGATGGAGAATCAAATGATTCCGTTTTGGATGCTGCGAATAGCGACGACGTCGTGTCCGAAGACCACCACGCGGAGAGCAATAACGGTGCGAGCCATGGTGGTCACGGGTTTATGTCGAACTTTTTCCACGGCAATCACGGTGGGAATTAATGTTTATTCATGCTTTAGCAATTTTAATAGTAGTGTGTTGTAAGTGTTGTCGATTGTTACTGCGATATGATGTAGATACCTTTAGGAACGGGATCTGTACGTACGTTTGTTAAAATAAATTTACACGATATTTAATGAGAACTTCTCGCGCCCGAGTTTGAATCTCTGTTTTCCTTCTCTATCTCGCCGTGCGAGTCGATCGCGCTCGACACGCGATTTCGTCTCTCTCGAGCTTTCAATTCAATCGCTTCCAATCGATTAACTGCCAAAGCTTCTTGCTCTCGAGCGTCTAGAGCAACGATTTCGAGCAGTTTCACGCGTTCAATTAATTCTTCGTTTTCGCGGACGAGCGCTTCCATTCTACTTTCTCTACTCTCGCCCGATGTTGAAGAAGACGAAGACGCTTCTTCTTTTCCGACATTTTGCTGCTCTTCCACGAGACGAGCGTTGGACGCGCTCAGTTCGAGCAAGGCAGAATCTCGTTCCGTCTCTGCGACTTCGCGCGCACGGCGTTCGGCCTCGCACGCGGTTTGCGCCAGTTTCACTTTTCTTTGCATACCTTCCAGGTCGTCGCGCATCTGCGCGTATTGCGCATAACGCTCGCTCTCTATATCTTTCGTATCCGTCACAAAATTTCGTTTATGCGCTTTCGCGTTTTCGTTTCTCGCGAGCGCGTACAGCGCGTTTCTCTCCGCTTTTGCTGCTCTGCGCGCGGCTCGAAACTGCGTCTCGAACGATACCTGACGCGCGGTCAAATCTTGCACGTTCTTCGAGAGTTCCTCTTCGTTCTTTGTTCTCGTGATGAGCGCCCTTTCGATTTGAAATTTCTCGAGGTTGGATTGCTCCAATTTCTCCTCGGACAGTTGGACCGCTTTCGCCCATTGTTCGACGGAATTTTTCATATTTACGACTTCTTCGCGCAATTCTTCTTCGTTTTTCGTTCTCGTGATGAGTGCTCTTTGAATCTGAAACTTCTCTAAGTTGGATTGTTCCAGCTTCGCTTCGGTATATTCCACCTCTTTCGCCGCTTTCGCGATTGAATTTTTCATGCTCTTGACTTTCTCTTGAAGCTCGTTTTCGTGCGCGGCGGAGGAATACAACGCCCTCTCAATCTGATGCTTCTCTAAGTTTGCGTGCTCTAACTTTAATTCCAACTCGTGCTCGACTTGTTTTAATTTGGCATTCTCCGAGAAGAAATCCCATTCGGCTTGCTTCAACGTCTCGCTCGAGCCTTGTTCAACGCGTGCAACTTTTGCCTTCTCCTCAAAAAGCGCCGATTGCACCGTCTTCAACTCTTCGACAATCTCGCGCTCTTTCTCGTTCGCGTCTGATATTTCAGTTTTCAGCTTTTCAATCTCTATCGCGCGAGAAGACGATAAATCGGAAACAACGTTCAACTCGCGAGCGTATGAATCTTTCGCCTCGGCGAGTTCCCTCGCGATGGCTTCGATTTTCTCCTCCGCCTTCTTCGAATTCTCGACAATCTCTCGCTCTTTAATCTCTACCGACGCTTTCAACGCTTCCATCTCGTTTTCGTGATCTCGGACAAACTTATTCTTCAACACGGTCATATCGTGTAATCTCTCAAACTGCGCACGAGCGACTCTTTCGATGGTGTTGACGATTCTCGTATCCGCTTCCACGGAAACTTCCGTTTTCTTTTCTTCGTATTCCTTCTCCAACTGCTGACGCGCCAATTCCATTCTATGCTCGACAACGGAATGATCAATGCGTAAGTCCATCACCTTCTGTTTCAAACTTTCGATTTCAGCTGTCTTTTCGCTCCAAATGCGTTCTTTGCGGACCTCCTCTTCCGCCGCTTCGCGTTCGAGCGTTTGAATCGAATCCAACAAACCGGTAATAATCACGTTCAATTCCTGGATTTCAGTTTGGTGATGATGGTTCGCACTAATCAACGCTCGCTCTATTCTTGATTTCTCCTCGTTTGCCATGCGTAACTTCACCTCCATACCCTCTATCATCTTCTCCTTCTCCTTCAAATCATCCTCGTACGCGCTCAACTGCGTTTGCAACTGTGCGATCTCGTGATCTTTCATAGCGATATCTCTCACCAGCGTTTCGTACATTTTATCGAATTGTTGCGCCGTCTTCGCCTTTAAGACCTTCTCCGCTCGGTCGCGTCGTTCGATTTCAAACGTATGCGCCTTCGCCTGTTGCTTTTTTGCGTGTCTCAACAAAACGAAATCTTTCGTAAATGTTTGGTACATCGAATCAAACTGCTGCTCCGTTTTGCACTTCAACGCGTACTCGTTCTTCTTGAACTGTTCCATCTCTTCCTTTTGTATCTCCACGAGACACTTGAACTCTTCAATATCCTCTTGCATTTTCCTCACCAGCCCTTTCGTCTCAAACATCTCCCGACGCGTCATCTCCGCACGACTTTTAACCGCCGCGTTTTCTCCTCTCATATTGGCCAATTTTCCTTCGTACTCCGTTCGTTCTCTGTCGAAGTGCCTCTCCAACAACGCTCGGTCCACGGACATCTTCCCCTTCACTCGCTCCGTGGCCAACGCAACCTTCCCTTGCCAAAAATCGTTCAAAAAGTTCTCCAATCTATTCTGTTTCTTTTGCTCGCTCACAAACACCAACAAAGCCTGCGCGCTCACGCACGCCTGTATCGGTCCGAGCGACAACATCGCCGTCCGGGAACACCCTTCGAAGGCGTTTAAAACCAACCGCAACTTCTCGTTGCTGTTTTGCCATTCGTTCGGGAAAGAACCCAGGAACGATGGAGAGAGCGGGTCGATCATCGTGTATTCGTCGTCGTCCTCGTGGTCTGTGCTCGTCTTTTTCAACGAGAATGTCTCGTCCCGCTCCTTCGTCGTCGTCGTACGCTTTGACGGTGGTGGCGGTGGTGTTTTTGCACCAAAAACGCCTCCTCCTCCCGAAAGGGAATCAAAAAACGACTTTGAGAATTGCACTCTTTGCTGCTGCCGTGGTTTCGTCTTAACTAATAAAATCCGACGACCTTTTGGCATTCTCGGCGGCAGCACAACCCCCGCGCCGTTCTGGCGCTTCCCCGCGTTGTTGTTCCTGGAGGAAGACGACGTAGGACCGCAGCGAACGACCATCATCACGGACACCATCATCGATGGAAACATTTTTAACTGAATTTTCAAATAAATAAATACAAAACGTTCCCAAAGAGAGACGACAAACGTATTCGGTTGTTTTAGGTTATCGTCGTCGGACAGAGACCACCGCGAGTTTTAACGACGCGTAGGGGAGGAAGAGAGGCTTTCTCCGTCGTTTACGTCCGTATCGTCGTCGTCCCTTTTTTTTGTATCGCGTTTCGATGATTTCAAAAATTTTCGAACTGACAGCTGTTGCTCTCGGTTTCAAATTTTTTCTTTTTTTCTTTTTTCAAAAAAAGCGGTCAAACTTGCTTTAAAAAACACATGCAATACATGCGATGAGACGAACGTCGCAAACAACAACAACAACAACAACAACAACAACAACAACAGCGCCGCCGGCGGGAGGGCGCGCGAGCGAAACGTCGACGTCCTCTTTTTCTTTGTCTTCCAAAAGCGCGGTGGTGAAGAAGAGTGCCGCTGAAAAGAGAAGGAAAAAAGGAGGAGGAGAAAGACCACGAGAAAGGAGAATCTCCTCCGGGAACTCCTCCACGCACTCCTCCTGCACGAGGAAGAGTTTGACCAAAAATACTAATAATACCGCGACGAATAAAAGTCTGTTAAGAGGAGTGGTGGAGAACGAGCGAGTGATACGCGACGAGAACGGGAAGGACGTGACGCCGAGGTCGCTGTTGGAACCGTGTCGATGGACGAGAAAGAAGAACGAAGTCTTTCGCGGTGATGGTGGTGGGAAAGAAGAAGAAGAAGAAGAAGAAGAAGAGGAAGAGGAGGAGGAGGAAAGCTTTTTCGACGCGAGCGAAGACGAGGAAAGCACGAGTAACTCGAGCGAAGACGAAGAAGAAAACAGTAGAGTGGAAGGGAATGATAATGATATCGATTATATTTTCAACTTTGACTTTTCCAAGCTTTGGGAAAGGCAAAGTTCGAGAGAATCGAAGCGCATCGAGTTGGCGCCTATCGAATTCGCGACGCCGCCGACGGCGACGAGGAGGAGGAAAAAGACGAGAATAAAGAAGAAACGAGTTCCGTTTGATCCCGAAATACACGTGCACCGCTCGACTCAAACATATACTACCCCCTGTGTTGTTCGCGAAACGTTTACGGATTCACCGGAAACCAAGGAAAGTGAGACGTGTTGGCAAAAAGAGGAAACGCGGAAGGAAGGAGGGAAAGCACAGGGACGGGCGAGAAAACGCGTTGGTCGCGCGTTCTTGAAACAGGCGGAAATCATCGCTGATCGCCAGATTCGGGCAAGTCTGATGCTAGAGCAAACGTTGCGGTATAGAGGGACGCTTCACGATGGGGATGAACTACCCTTCGATGCTTCGAAGCAACTGACCCGTTTGTGCGAGTACAAGTATCCATCGGCGTCATCCTCCGAATCTGGAAAAGAGAAGAGAGTCAACGCGATTCGATTCCACCCTCGTTTTGATGGCGTCGTTGCCATCTGTCACGGATCTGTTGATGCAGGAAATATTGTTTTGCGTGGTGATGACTACGACGAGAACGTAGATGAGAACAAACGCAACCTCGAATACTTCAATAAAAGGGATCTGGAGAAACGTGGCGCCGTACACGTTTGGACGCTTCGAGACGCCACGAAACCAGAGGTATCACTCACTCTCGAAAGTTCCGTGACTTCAATAGCATTTCAGAGCGTCCATTACAACGACGCAGAAGAGCATTTGAGGAATAAAAGCAGGCGCATGCTCTGTGGATGCCTCGATGGTAGTATACGGTGCCTCGATATCGCGTTTCGAGGCGACAAGAAGGGTAGCGCCTCCCACCAGCACCAAGGACTCCTTTACGAATCGCGACCGGAGCATTCACACAAAGAAAAAGTTTGGGCGGTTGAATTCTTAGATGATAACGTCGACAAGGAAAGTCACTGCGAGTTCTCCGCTGTAAGTTGCTCTACAGATGGTGCGATTCTCAAAATGGACGCGCGCGCATTAATTCCTAGCGAATCAATAGGCACTTTGCGCATCTTACGCGACGGTCAAGATCGAGGCGAAAAGCGTTTTCTGGAGTCGAGTGGCGAAACAATACTAGGAAAAAGTCTCGTCTGCGATGATCCTCGAGAGATTCAAGCGACGTGCTTAGATGTCATCGACCAATCTTGCCTTCTCGTTGGAACCATACGCGGAGATATTTTCGTTTGCGCAAAACGCTCGCTCGATGAAAATGACGGGCACAGCGAAATGTTTACGATCACTAAGAAGATAAAAGCGCACTCGATTTCATCGTTGTACGCGGCGATATATCAAGTTAAGAAGCATCCGTCAGTTCCCGGCGTCTTTGCGACAGCTTCTGCTGATGGAACAGTCCGTGTTTTTCGGGTGTCGGATCTGGAACACGAAGCAAACTCCGTCAAGCGAGCTCGAGATACACACGCGAACAACGCAAACGATCTCTGGCAAGAAACATCTTCATCAATCTTCAAAGAAACTGATACGTCGCAAATATTTTCATTCGCACCGGTACCTTTGCGAGTTCAAAACGGTTATGGTGCGAGCAGCAGCAGTAGTAGTAGTAGTAGGTCGACGGCGTCTTCCGTATCGCTCCCGCCAGTGAACGATATCGCGTGGGATACAAACGACGGGAGGAAACTTGCCGCGGTGTACGACGATGGAACGTTACGTATTTGGAAGTGCGAGCGAGCAGTGGCGCAAAAAGGCAGTAACATTAAAAGCTACAACGCTCGAAACGATGCATCTTTGACCGTAACTACCCCGTGGTTTGAAGAGAAGTTTGACGAAATAGGTATTCAGCAAAAAAAATCGAAGGAGCGAGGAGAAACGAATGAGAAGAAAAATGCCATACGTCTCACGGCGGTCAGTTACTCCAACACGAACGCGTCGCCAATATTAGCCGTTGGCGATAATTTGGGAAGCGTTCACTTATTCTCCGTCGCTGCCGCTCAAAACGAGGAGGAAAGACAAGAATTAAAAACCGAGATCGACCACGTATTCTCCCTTCCCGATTACCACAGTAGGTAGGTAAAGACAAGGAATGATAAAAATTATATTTTATATTTACAACACGCATATTTATAAAGATGACATCAACTACACGCACGAACACCTGCGCTCATTTTACTCTCTCTTAACGATGATCTCGTCCACGATCCCAAACGCTTTTGCCTCCTCCGCACTCATGAACGTATCCCTCTCCAACGCCTTTGCGATCACGTCCTTCTTCTGTTTCGTGTGCTCGGCGTAAATATTCGTCACCTTCTCTCTCAACTTTAAAATCTCCGACGCTTGAATGGCAATGTCCGACTGCGTCCCTTGCACACCTCCACTCGGCTGATGAATCATTATCCGACTGTTCGGTAGCGCTTTTCTGTGCGTTCCCGCGGACAAGAGTAAACTCCCCATCGACGAGCACTGCCCAACCGCTAACGTGTGTATCGGTGCTTGCACGTAATTCATCGTATCGTAAATCCCAAGTCCCGCCGTCACGCTTCCACCGGGCGAGTTGATGTAAAAATGTATCGGTTCCGTGACGGATTCAGACTCTAAGAACAATAACTGCGCGACGATTAATGCGGACATGTCGTCGTGGATCGGGCCGTTTAAAAAAACCACGCGTTCTTTAAGTAATCGACTGAAAATATCAAACGCGCGTTCGCCTCTCGGGGAGGATTCGATGACCATCGGGACGAGCGAGGCGTAGCTCGAGCGAGCGGCATTGACACTCGCCCGCTGCCGATGCGCAGCACAAGCCGATAACAGAGACCTTTTGGCGGCGCGTTGGAGGCTTCCGCGGAACATGTCTGTCGTGCGACCGTGCGTATGTGCGACCAAATAAAAAAAGTGACGTCTGTTTGTTGTAACGACTTCTCTCTCGTCTACTAATAAAAACGCGCGTATACGTGCTGGTGATGCTGGTGAGGTATTACTACTACCATACTACTACTACTACTACTACTACGTGCTACTTTGTCTCTTTGTCGTCATCGTTTCTCTCCTCCCTGCGCTTAGGGTCCTTCCTTCGAAAAAGACTCCTATCTCTGAGAAGATCGACGTCGTACCTTCTCCGCTGGAGAATCTGGAGGCTTTCGAGTTTTTTCGCGTAATAGTCGCCGAAGAAGAGTTTCTCGCTTTCTTGGACGCGTTTGACGACTGCTTCGAAATTTTTGGGACGAACCGAGCGGGTTGGGTGCATGAGGTTGTCCGCGAGTTGACGCAAAGATGCGATGGTTTTTTCGTGGCCGTCTTCTGGGAGGTTTATGGAGACGAGTCCTTTATCTGCTTCGCGCCGCTCGTGGGTTCTTTTTTGTAAGTGTTCGTCTCGTCGTCGTTCTCGTTCTTCTCTGCTTTGCGCAGGCGTGAGTTCTCCTTCGGTTTTGCCTTCGTCGTTATCGAGGTGCGTCGATGGTCGGTAACTCTTCGGTTCCATAAATATTTTGTTGCCGGCGTATTGCGTTTGGCCGGCTTCAATGTTCTCGCGAATCATAACGGTATTTGAGCCGCCTCGCGTGCCGTCGTAGTTGACTAACATGTCGTCGAGTAAACACCCGAACGCTCTGGCTTCGTTCTCGCGAACCATTTGTGAAAATTGAGGATTCTCGTCGTCGTCGAAAAACATCGCGGCACCGAAATCTCCTAGTTTCGCCGAAGGGTAATCCTCGTCGCGGTCGATGAGAATGTTGTGCGCGTAGATGTCGCCATGGCAGACGCCATTTTTGTGCAGCTGATTGATACCTTTGGCGACGTTAACGGCGACGGCTAGAATTTCTCGCGCGGTGAATTTTCCCTCTCTTTCATCGAACACGTCTCGGGTAACTGTTTCGAAGCTGGGCGGCCCGCCCAAGTTTTTCCAATCCGTCGGGTCTAAGTATTCCATCACGAGACCGCGTTTGCCGTCTTTGGTGGTGAATTTCGCCAACGTTTCGATGACGCCGCCGCTACCAACGGTTTCCTCTTGCTCATCTTGTTCTCCCTCGACTATATCACTCGTTGTCGACGTCGCTAAACTCGCGGCGGCCATCTCGTCTTCCGGCCTCCCGTCGCTCGTTTTCCCCATGTTATTATACACTTTAATCGCGACGTTGAATCCGTCCATTTCTCCTCGATACACCGTCCCACTCGCGCCGCTGCCCAATTTTTTCCCTTCATCCACCCCTAAATCCTCAAAATTAACGACGCGTTTGACCGCTCGTGTACCTCTCTCCATCGCGTTCGCCGCCGCTTTTTCCGTGCACGGATTCGCCGCGAACGCCAACCACGCCAGCTTCGGCAACCGGTACAAAAACTCCGGAAATACTTCGATCCGATTATCGCTCGCTCTCAATAACTCCAAATTTACCAATTCGCTCATAAAAGTCGGCAATTCCTTGATTTTATTCCCGGCTAACATCAACTTCCTCATCTTTCGACACTTTCCTAAACTCTTCGGCAACACTTCAATCTCGTTATCGCTCAGAATCAACCATCCTAAAGACGCAATCGGTAACGACTGCTCCGGTATCTCTCGCACTTTATTCGCTTTGAACGAAAGCATGAACAAGTGCTCCATCTCGCCCAGAACTTCTGGAACTTTCCTGAACTCGTTCGCGAGGCAGAATAAGATCTTCAGGTTCGGTAAATCCTTCGCGAACGAATCCGGCAGCGCGTGCAACTTGTTTTTCCCGAGATTGAGAAATTCCAGATTTCGTAACCGCAAAACCTCTTTCGGTACCGCGCGCAAACCGCACTCGCTCAAATCTAAACGCGTTTGTCTCTCTCTCTCTGATTCGTTCATCGAGCGGAGATGGTCGAGGATTTTCGCGCACTTTTGTTGTGCTTCTTCTTCTTCATTGTTGTTGTTGTTCGTCGTCGTCATCCTCTCGAAGGAGGAAAAGACAGACGACAAAGACGACGAGAAGAACGCGACAGAAACGAGAACGAGGACGAAAAAGAGAAGCACACCGAGCGTATTCCTTCGAGTCGCGGTAGTCTTCCACCTCTTGTTGTTGTTATGATAAAGGTTTCGGCAAACGAACGACGACGAGACCCGAAAAGGATGCCGTGACATCGAAGTGACGAATCCCCACAAACTTTTCCCCTTGAAGATGGACCGCTTTTGAGAGATGGTGTTCGTCCTCTCATCATCCGCGATGAAAACAACGACGACTCATAAGCCTCGTCGGGTTGTTTGTTTTTCGTCTCCCGGACGATTTGAAGAAGCAAAAGAAGCGCCGATTCCCCCGGCGAGATCGAAGAACGCGCCTTTGTATTACAACTGCACTTTGGAAAAAGGAACGCACGTGGAACACAGCGGCGACGTTATTGTCGTCGGAAACGTCGAAAAAGATGCCTCGATAACGACGGAAAACGGGGACATCGTCGTGTTTGGATCGCTGAGAGGAGAAGCGATCGTGAGGAGGAGGAATAAGAGGAGGAGTGATGATTTAGATGATGATTTAGAAGGAGGAAAGATATTCGCGTTGGACATGCGACCGGAGGTTTTGGAAATAGACGAAACGCAAATGCCGCCTCCGGAACACTTACTGGATACCGGAGTGAACGTGAAGGATAAACGCGCGATGACTGGGATACCGATGGTGGCGGAGAAGAGCGAGAGGACCGGGGAGATTACGTTTTCGAAGTTTTACGGCGGCGCTTCGAACGACGACGACGACGACGCGGAGCGGTATTACGAACGGAAGGAAAAGAATAGTTTATCCGCGGAGCAGCTGGAACGGTGCAAACGCGCCGCGATGGTCACTGGGACGTATATTTTAGCTGTCGGCGTGTGTTTATTCCTCTTCCCGAGACGTCTTTTCCACGCGGTCGTGCCGATCGGCGAGACGTTGTCCTCGGCGGTTTGGCTTCGCGTCGTCGCTACCGCCGCCATCGCCTTTGGTCTTTACTATCGCGCGGTCGCCGAAAACGGCGAGACTGGCTTTTACAAAGCTACGGTCACTGGACGCTACTTCGTCGGTACTTCTTTACTCTTCTTAGCTTTGTTTTCGCAACACGCGAATTTAGCGCTCTTCGCCGTCGGCCTCGTCAACTTCCTCGGCGCGTTCGCCATGAAGAAGAGCCTGGAGTTTGGAAAACGAACGAAAACCACCACCACCACCACCACGCGTAACGACAAGAACAAGAACAAGAACAACAACAGCTGGGCAAACCCATCCATTTAGTAGAAATTACTGCTCCTCGTTTAATGAATGCTACAGAGAAAAGGCAAATTAAAAGGGAAAACGAAGGACACCCGTTTGGCACTTTTTTGCATTTTCGCCCAAATTTTGGTTTCTTTCGTTTGGGACTTTTTTGAGCAGTTGAGCATTGAGCGAATAAATTTTGAAAATCTCTTCATTTTACAAAGTCGTCTTTTACGCGCAAATTGCTTTGCAAAGAACACCAAAGCAAACACCATGCGGTGCGTCTCTCTTCTTCGTCGTTGACGTCGCAGAAAATATGCGATATAGTTTTAGTCGCGCTTGAATATCGTTGTCTTTCGCGCTTTTCTCGTTCGCGTCGTGGTCGCCTCGTCGGCACATTACACACGACGGGCAAAATGCTCTTTTTTTTTTCCGTTGCTTTTCCTCTCCCCTTGTTGTTTCCAAGAAGAATTTCTCTGACGTCTCTCTCTCTCTCTCTCTCTCTCTTTATGTTATCACAGTGAAATCGTCCACATACAAGCCGGACAGTGCGGTAACCAAATCGGGGCGAAGTTCTGGGAGGTACGCTTTTCGAGAGTCAAACAACTTTGTTCCTTTCTTTCCTTCGACGATGATGATGAGCGCCATTTTCCATTTTTCTCTCTTCCCGTTGGGTGAACGTTTTGAAAAGGACGAGACCAATTGTATGACGCTGAACACTCTTTCTTTCTTTCTCCCAACCACCACTGAATCAAAAAACAACAGGTCATCTGCGATGAACACGGCATCGATTCTACCGGCACGTACGCCGGCGATTCGGATTTACAGCTCGAACGAGTGAACGTGTATTACAACGAAGCTACCGGAGGTGGGTTTCTGATTTTTTGTTTTTCTTCTCCCCAAATTGTTGCTCTCTTTTGTTCCCCTTGATTTTTGAAAATTTCGCGCATCGTCGTCGCGTTTGGCGAATCCATATCAATGATGCCACATGCGCTGACATTTATCATCACTTTCTCTCTTCTATCGCACACAACTATATATTATGTAGGTCGATACGTTCCGAGAGCGGTGTTACTCGATTTGGAACCCGGGACGATGGACTCGGTCAGATCCGGCCCGTACGGCCAAATCTTTCGCCCGGATAACTTCATCTTCGGCCAAACCGGCGCCGGGAATAACTGGGCGAAAGGGCACTACACGGAAGGCGCGGAATTGATTGATTCTGTTTTGGACGTCGTGAGAAAAGAAGCGGAAAGTTGCGATTGCTTGCAAGGTTTCCAGGTGTGCCACTCGTTGGGCGGCGGGACTGGTTCGGGTATGGGGACGTTGTTGATTTCTAAAATTCGCGAAGAGTATCCGGACAGAATGATGTTGACGTTTTCGGTCGTGCCGTCGCCGAAGGTTTCCGATACGGTCGTTGAGCCGTATAACGCGACGTTATCTATCCACCAGTTGGTTGAAAACGCCGACGAGTGCATGGTTTTGGACAACGAGGCGTTGTACGACATTTGCTTCAGAACGTTGAAATTGACCAACCCAACTTTTGGCGATTTGAACCATTTGATTTCCGCGGTCATGAGTGGCATCACGTGTTGCTTGCGATTTCCGGGTCAATTGAACGCGGATTTGAGAAAGTTAGCGGTGAACTTGGTGCCGTTCCCGAGATTGCACTTTTTTATGGTTGGTTTCGCGCCGCTCACGTCGAGAGGGTCGCAACAATACAGATCGTTGTCCGTTCCGGAACTCGCCTCGCAAATGTGGGACGCAAAGAACATGATGTGCGCCGCGGATCCGAGACACGGGAGATACCTCACCGCCTCTGCTTTATTCCGAGGCCGCATGTCGACCAAAGAAGTCGACGAACAACTTTTCAACGTCAAAAACAAAAACTCGTCCTACTTTGTCGAATGGATCCCGAACAACGTCAAATCGTCCATCTGCGATATCCCACCGAAAGGTTTGAAAATGTCCGCCACTTTTATCGGGAACACGACTGCGATTCAGGAAATGTTCAAGAGAGTTGGCGAGGACTTTTCGTCCATGTTTAGGCGCAAAGCGTTTTTGCATTGGTACACCGGCGAAGGCATGGACGAGATGGAGTTTACCGAAGCCGAATCGAACATGAACGATTTGGTCAGCGAGTATCAGCAATACCAAGACGCGTCGGTGGAAGAGGAGGAGTACGACGAAGACGACGACGACGAACAAGCGTACTAAAATAAAGAGAGAGAGAGAGAGTAAAAATTTTTAGCGTTTTAGTCACACACACACACACACGAAAGAGAGAGAGAGAAAGTTTGTATTGCGAGAGAGAGAGAAGAGAGAGAGAGAGAGAGAGAAAGAAAAACGAGGAGGTTTGCGGATGCGCATTTGAAAAGAAACACCACGAAAGAGAGATGGATGGAAATGTTGTCGTCGCTCTACGAACAAGAGGAGAGTTTATTACCTTACATAGCTGTACCATGAAATTTAAGAACACATTTTTGACTTCACAAAACAAAAAATCAGTCTTGGACGAACTTTTCTCTCTCTTATCCAAAATACGAATTCTTCATTAAAGCACAGCACATACGAAGAAACAACCATCATGGCTTTTTCTGTCCGCGCAACGTCCTCCTCCGCTCACCACATCGCACGCAACGTCGTCTCCAAAACGCGTTCCTCGTGTTCTTCGTCCTTAGCCTCGAAGCGTTCCCAAGGGATGCAGGGGAAAAAAATGAGTCCATCCTCGTCCTCGATTCCGTTTCATTTCAGCAGCAGCGGCAGAAAGTCCGCGATGACTGTCCAAGCGGCGGCGGATGGTCCGGTGTGCGTCGTGACTGGTGCTTCTCGTGGCATCGGCGCGGCTATTGCCACGCAGTTGGGCGCGCAAGGCTGCCGAGTTGTCGTCAACTACGCGGCGAGCTCGGGACCGGCCGAGGAAGTGTGCAAAACCATCAAAGCGTCCGGTGGGGACGCCATCGCGGTGCAAGCGAACGTGGCGAAGCAAGAGGAAGTCGACGCGTTGTTTAAAGCCGCGGTGGACGCGTTCGGTGAGGTGAACGTTTTGGTGAACAACGCGGGTATTACCCGAGATACGCTGATGATGCGCATGAAATTAGCCCAGTGGCAAGAGGTTATCGACTTGAACTTAACCGGCGTGTTTTTGTGTACGCAAGCGGCGTGTAAAATCATGGGGAAGAAGAAACCAGTGAAAGGGAGAATTATCAACATCACTTCCGTGGTTGGCGTGACCGGGAACGCCGGGCAGGCAAACTACTCCGCGGCTAAAGCCGGGGTGATTGGGTTGACGAAAACCGTCGCGAGAGAATACGCCGGGAGAAACATTCAGTGCAACGCCATCGCGCCTGGGTTTATTGCGAGTGATATGACTGCAGAGTTAGGGCCAGAAATCGAGGCAAAGATCTTGACGACAATTCCAGCCGGGAAATACGGTCAGCCGGAAGATATCGCGGGCATGGTGAGATTTTTGGCGTTGGATCCGGCGGCGGCGTATATCACCGGCCAAACGATCCACGTCGACGGCGGCATGGTCATGTAAAAGAAGAATGTGAGAGGTCTTATTCTTCCACGTGTCAATCTTATAATTAATATTACCTTAAAAACACCGTATATCATGTGCACGCTTTTCTCGCCTTCACGCCGTTCGTTCGTCGACATCTTCACAAATAAGAAGTGTGCCCGAGGCACGCAAAACTCAACATCGAGAGGAAAAAAAGTCAATGGCTTCCGTCGCCGCTTTCGCCGAGACCACTCATTCTCACCTTAACGCGCTCCCCGATTCGCTCCTCGACTTGGCCAGAGACGTGCATTTGGTCTCGTATCAACCGTCCGACGATGTTTGCGTGCAAATAGTCCGCAAATTTTCGTTCCGAACCATCCTTACAGCGCTGAACAGTTACAGTTGTCCCGCTCCTCGAAGAAGAGAAGAAGAAGAAGAAGAAGAAGACGACGACGACAAAGAAGAAGAAAACGGGGAGAACAACAACACGAATAATACGAATAATCTGGAAGTACTCTGCGAACTCGTCGCAAAAATGAGCAAGTGCGACCGCGTGATAGAACTGCTCCTCTTTCCAGATGATGCAGAGGACGAGAGAGGAAGTCTTGGCGGCGGGTGCGCTCGTGAGGAAGTCTTGGGTGCGCTCGCGAAAGGAATAACAAAACAGGACGCGTTTGAAGAAGGAGAAGAGGAGAATATATACGCGACGACTTTGACGAGTCGAGCGTGCGCGGTGGCGCTGATGGAGATTATGAAGTATTGCGCGAGAAGAAGCGGAAGAAGCGCGGATGATGATGATGCGAAGAGCGGCGCTACTGCGGACGAGATTTTCGATCGGCTTCTTCCGGACGTTCTGGAAGGGATGTTGGAAACTTCCGACGAGAGAGTGCTCGCGGCGTTGGAGACGGCGGCGTGCGCCGCGGTGGGAGAAAGAGGGAAAATCGGCGAAAGAAGGAGGATGCGAGTGAAACAGATGGTTTTGGGGATGGCGGCGACGGGGAAGTGCGCGCACTCGTCGTCGGTGGCGAAAAGTCGAGCGTTGACTGCACTCGCCGCGTTGTCTTCTGATTACTCCGAAGGAGGAGAAAGAGAAGGAAACGAGAAAGAAGAAATTGTGAGGAGGAAAGAGATTGAGGCGTTCGAGGACACCACGCGCGAAAGCGTGAAGTGTAAAGACGCGTTGCTTTTGGCGGTAACGCTAGAGAGTTTGGGAGAGCTGTGTGAACGAGACAGGCGAGTAGCGATGAAAGTGTTTCGTAGCGATGAGTTGAGAGAGGTACTTTTCAAAAATGAGAAAGACGACGACGAAGAAAACGAAAAACGCGAGGAGGAACGATCGATGCGCATTGCCAGTTTAACGTGCGCGGCGAGGGTGTGCGGTAGCGCGGTGATAGTGTTAACAGCATCTGACAGTAATGATATTCGAAGAGACAATACCGAGGATGCGATATCCTTTGAAACGTGCGCGTCTATATTCGTCGAAAATGCGACGGCAATGTCTTCGAACAGACGGAGTAGCGACGAATCCGCCGCTGCCGCGGACGCGTTGGGAACTTTCTGTGCAATTGCGTTGTCGCCCTCTTCCTCTGCTGCTTCTTTTGCTATAGTTCAAGCACTCATGTTAAGCGCTTTGGACATATTAACGACTCGATCGTTCTACAAGTCGTGCGTAGCCTCAATTCACGCTTTGGCGAACGCGTCCTTCTACCCGGCGGAGATAATGCAAGAGACGAAGACGGAGAATAGCCAATTGCTCCAATCGCGCTTCAAAAAGCTTAAAATAGTCGACGGTACCGCTACCATGAGTGTTTCTTCCTCCAGAACAGATGGTAGTACTATTACATTCGAAAAGCAGCTCCGCATGAGTTGTTATTCGGCTTCGTCGTATCGCGGTACTCCGGCTGAAGCCATCGCGAAAGCGCTCGCAAACACTCCGGGGATTCGAGGAAACGAAAACGACGTCCAAAAACGGATAGCTTTATACCGATTGGCGCAAAGTTTAGGCACGCGCGCGTGGTTCGCGAGAGACTGTTTGATGTCGTCCTCCACGGAAGCATTGATAGGCTCGAAAAATTGTTTTGAGCCGACGAGTGAAGCTATGCGTTGGAGAATGTCAGCTTTGAAAGCTATAGCGATTGGCGCGATGGAAGCGAGAGCGTTGGATATGATCGACGAGAGTCAGTACATTCAAATCAAAAGTACGAGCGAAATGAATGCGTTCTTAGGCGTTGGCGGCGTTTCCAAAGCGACCGCAATCCCGGACGTGGCAACGCTTCCGCGGTAAAGTAGTGAAGAAGCTTCGTAATAAATAATAAAATATTGAATTCAAAAGTTGTAAATCGTAGTCATAATCCGAATCATTCGAAAGTCCATCCTCCTCCTCCTCTCTCTTTCTTAAAAAAGAGAAACTTTACGCGTTTGAGTATTGTTTTTGGAGCCTTTTCATCGCCTTGTTTTTCGCGATTATATTCTTCAAACTGTCGTGATCGATATAATCCGATGTGGAAAGTTCTTGCCACTGGTTCAAGGAAAGCGTCGATGCCTCGAGTTCCGCCACATTTTTCTCTCTCCCTTCCATGATGCGATCCGCGAGATGAGGATCCGCAGCCCGCATCAAGAAGAGCGTCATGGAGTGAATTTCTTCGTCGCTGAAGAGCTCTTTTTGTAACTTGCTTTTGCTGTTTGTGCTTGCGAACTGATCGGAAAAGCACGACGTGACAACTCCCTTGAGTTCGGCAAAGTCTAACTGACCTTCGCCGTCTTTGTCGGCAACTTTAAACGCTCTAGACGCCACGATACTTTGCGCAGTGTATCTCGCCGCTTCCAATTGAATGTCGCACTCCTCTTGGATGAATGACTTGTACGTTTTGGACAAGTCACCCAAGCCAAACTTGGCCAGGAGATTGACGATGGTACCCGCGACGCCTAACAGGACCAAACCAGACGTCAAAGTTAAAATGATAAAGACGGGATCCAGCGCACCGACCAAACCGGTTTGTTGAATGTCGAACAAGATGCCATACTTGTACATATCTTGGTAATACCCTTCGGGTGCACCGTCGGCAGCGTCAATCGGATCGGTCAAATCAGTTGGATTTGATCTGTACGTAATTTCCTGGCCTTTTGAGAACCATCCGAGAACGGGCGACACGGTGACGATTGCGTACACGTCGTCGTCGCCCATTTCCGTGTGCACTTTCTTGTGCAAATCATAGTTGAAATATCGCACAAAAATGTTCAAACGAACGCCAGACAAACGCGGGTAAGGATACTTTCCAGCACTGTTCAAAGCAGTCCCCCTTCCTAAATACCCCCCGTGCCTCCAAATAATACTCCTTCCTGAATAATCGGCACCGCCTCCCGTCAACCCTTCCAACGTCCCTTCAAAATTTCCGGGTTGTTGGTCAAACGGTTTGTCCAAATCCACGCCGGCCAATTCCAACCACTGCTTCATGGTCAACTCAACCGACTGACCCGGCGCAAACTCGTACTCATTCACGTCCGAATCTTTCTTTTGAACGTAGGTTTTCGGTTTCGTCCCGGAATACTCTCCAGAAGTCGTATCGTACGAGTGATCGAACGCCATCTTGCTCCCTTCCATACCGGGAATGATGTAGTTATTCTCCTTCAAATGCATGCATCTGCCATCGACAACTTGCTGTGCAGCTTCCCCAAAATTACTTTCCATCGCCGCTTCCGGACACGTATACGTCACCGTTCCATTGGGCAAGACTACTTCAGTCGCTTTGTACCTCGCCACCAAAGACTGGTGCGCGTGCGTCGCAAAAAACATCACGTTCCCGCTCGGTAACTTTGATATCATCTCGTCCGCATTGAAATATCCGCATTTCACGTTGTCATACACAAAACTCTCGGAATAATTGAACATGTACTTGCCGGTGCCGGTGTCGCTTCCGGCTGCCGTATTCGTACACTGCTCGGAGGTAGTATCCCATTCCTTTTGCAAATCGTAAAACTCCTTCTCGCCTTTCCCCCACGCGGACGCCACCCCAGTGGGCACTTCCGTCATGATGTACGATTTCCCATTGACCAAAGACGTCACGACGTACGCGGTGACTAAACCAAGCAACGCGTAATAGAGCAACGCCAAACGCCAATCGCGAATTAACGTTCTCTTTTCCGTCAGGTAGGACAGTTCGAGGACGTTCGCGCGGAGGAATTTCATTAAAGGTGTCATGATGTTGATATCAGAATTTGTTGAGAGATCCCTTTATTCTAATTGTGCAATTCGTTTTGAATTTATACGCAGACAAGATTCCAGACTCTTCTCAGGAGACTTTGATGATATAAAGAACGGTTTCTTGGAAAAAAGCCAAAGAGTAAAAACTTCTTTTTCCGCTCGAGGAGTAAAAGGTCGGGCAGTTGTCGTCGCGAGTCGCGCTCGAAACAGCAGCGGTTGTTGTTCTTTTAACGTCTGCGAGTAAAGAAAAGAAATTGTGTCTCGTTGTTCCCTTGATATTTTCGTTCGTGAAAAAAGTCGGATTTTTTCTTTTTGCTCTGGCAAATTTTTTTTCTTTCGTTCTCCAATTAAATAACAATTAAGTGTGATTGAATATGAAATGTGTTCTTCTTTTTGTTTGTATTACAATGACGAGGAGAGATAATAACACCGATTACGCGGCTGAATTGGCGTCGTGTCGTAACCCTAAAATCTTTTTCCTCGTTTCCACGTCGCACCCTTCCGCGACGGATTCGTAATCCACGGTCATTTGGACCGAGGAAGAAATCGGCATGACGAGTTGAGAAATTTGGTTCAAAAAGTTCAACTTGAAATTCACGTCCGGGCATCCGGTGCCGGTGACGAAGAACGCCGTGTTTTTATCCTTCTTTTTGTTGATGTGCGTGATGTAGTTTTGGACGACGCTTTGGTCGGCGACGCCGATTTTGGCCGACAATTCGCTCAATTTCGGGATGACGTGTTCTTCTAAGAACCCTCTCTCGGCGTCTTCGCCTCGGTAACTCGCCTCGGCTTTTTGCCACACGTTTAACAACTTCTTCGCCTCTTTACTCGGCTTCGCCATGATCATTTTCGTGTTGACCGTCTTCTTTGCGGCGGATTTAAATCCGTAATCCGAAGACACGACCACGTCGTGGTCCAACAACTGATCGTGGATCGTTTGCATCGGGTTGCCGGTAAACACCACGTCCGGCTCTAAAAACACCGCCGTGTAATCCGCGTTGACCAACGTATACAACGCGTGCACTCTTCTCCAACTCAACATCGACTTCAACTCGTCCGCGTCGGCATTCTTCGACCCTTTGTGCAACGCGTCGTGTAAACTCTTATCCACGAAAATATCAATAGGATACTCCTTCGCTTGTTCTTGAATGTACGCCTTGGTCTGGTCGTCGGCGACGACGATGGTCCAATACGGAAGCACCCCGGGCGCGACGTTCTTCAAAGACAACATCATCAAGTTCGCGAAAAACCAATACTGGTGGTTGCAAAAAGTGATGATGCGAAACTTCGACCCGCCGCTCGCCGACACTAACTTGTTCACGTGTTTCACCAACCCTTTTATTTCGCCTTCCTCGTTGGTTAAGTGCTTCTTCCCGAGCGATTCGTAGTGGTCGTTCCCCAACAAACCCGCCGCGACGTCTTTGAAGTTCCCGACGGTATTCCCCCCGCCGTTGGCAATCGCTGGCGCGGAGTACCCCTTGTGCCCGCCTAACGATGAGGAGACCGTCATTTTTTGTGCTCTCGAGGACGAGAGTGCGGCGGATCCGAGGACGAGTAACGCGCACGTGCACACGAATCCAAATCCGAAATGTTTCAAGCTAAGTAACGACGAAGACGCGCGAAACACAGTTCTTCTCTTCTCTTGGCGCTCATTTTCCGCGTCGTCGTCCCTTCTTTTGGTGTTGTTGTTGCTGCTCTCGAGAGCGCTCGTCGTCGTCGTCGCCAATAAAGGCGCGTTCTCGGTGTTCATGATTTGATGTTCTCTCTCGAGGGTACGTCCGCGGCCTCTCTTTTCTCTATATATCGCGGGAAAAATGTCCTTTCCTTTTCTCCTCTTCTTTTCTCTTTACGTGTGTGATACTACGACGAAAAAAGCACTCGCTTCAAAGAGTAGTAGTAGTGTTGATGCTCGGTTATGTGTGTGTTTTGTGCGCGTGCGTGTGTTTTGTCAATACTCGCCGCGCAAAAGTCGTTCGTCTCTCTCGAACGTATATGTGCCGCCCCTCGCGTACAATTTTGCTTCCCTGGTGTTGGTGTTTCGACAAAGATTAGGGTTTGAGACCCTAAATAAGACCCTAAACTGAAGTGTGCAAAAAAAAAGCACACGAAAAGAGACTTGGAGGCGCTTCACTTTCATCGCATCCTCTCTCGCAAACATGGCGAAACGACAGCAACAGCAACAGTCGCGGCGGCAAAAAAAGACCACCGCGACTGTCGCGGTGGAAAAGAATAAGAACCCGTGCGTTGTCTTTGTTTTGTTGTGTTGTTCTCTTAGTATTTTACGTATGATTTTTCTTCTCTTCGCATCAAATCTCAAAGTTTCTTTCAGCCGTCACAACAACTGTCTTTTTTCTCTCTATTCACTTCTTTTCGCTGACGCGCGACTCCTTCTTCTTCTTCTTCTTCTTCCGCGTTCTCGACGTTCCTTTCGCGTTGGTTTCGAAAAAACAGGGTCGTGAAAAGGATTCCGGTGTACTTTACGCCTCGTCTTCTTTCCGAGAACGACGATTTTGTTGGCGACGAAGATGAGGATGATGATGATGACAAGAGAGAGAACAATAAAAAGCGAAGAAAAACGATCGACCAAGCGATCGTGTCGTACCCGCTGAGACCTCCAAACCGACCGTACGCGACGGCGAGGTGCAAAAGAATCTCGCATAAACCAGTCGCGGGATGGTTGGAGATGAAAGTGCCGACCGCGGACGACGGCGTCGTCGTCGCGAAGAAGAAGGGCGGCGGGAACCGCGGTCGAACGCAGAGGAAAGGAAGAGGAGGAGAAGAGGAGGAAGAGGAGGAGGAAGAAGAGACGGTCGTCTTGCGCTCGGAACAACGAACGTCGTGGGAGAAACACGAGGGTCAGAAATCGATTTTGGTGGCCAGGATGAACGAGAAAGGAGAGTTGTTTTTGACGCCGGCGAACGTGACGCACCAGATGCGTCCCTCGTTTACGCACATCGTCGGGGAGAGAGCGCTTCAAAAGCAACACCAACAAAAAGTCAAACAAGAAAAGGAAAACCACGAGGAGGCGACGGAGACGGTGCAAGAGGAAGAGAGAAGAATCGCGAAAGAGGAGCAAGACGCGTTGGAAAATGAAAGACAGAGGGCGATGACGGCGGCTACTACTGCTACTAAAATTGTTCCAGTGAGCGTTTCCATCAAAGCGAACGAAACAGAAAGGCAACAAGAACGGAGAAAAAATTCCTACCAGTTTCAAAACTCCGAGCGTGAAAAAGAGACGTGGAGTGAATTAGAACCGACGTATAAGTCCAGCGAGTATACGAAAATAGTCGTCGAGGACTTATTCTCGAAGAATACGTCGGATTGGTGCGGCGATAGAATGGTCGGCGCGAAAGAGTATTTAGACAGCATCTGCCCGCAGCGAGGTAACGCTCGAAGAGACTTACCAGATTCAGAGAACGACGAGGAAGAAGACAGCGACAGCGACGAAGACGACGCAGAGGAAAACGACGTCGACGATAGAATGGACGTCGACGAGATAGATAACAACAACGAAAACGAAGAGGAACGCTTAATGAATGACAAATCAGGCGATTTCGACGACATTTTCGTGAACGAAGAGTTCCAAATACGAGACGTGTTGAAACTCAAAACGGTCGACGAACGCTTGGATGAACTCTTCGCGCGATCTGGAACTTCCTTCATGAAGTTTTCCGGCATCAAAAAGCTCGCGCCTAGAAATACGAAAGAGAAGGAGTTACTCTCCGCCGTGGCCGCGAAAGCGTCGTTAGTAAACGGCGTGTGGGTTGTCAACTCCGCGTTGCGCTCATTCGGCGACCGGAACTACGAACGCGTCCGAGATTCAGTCCTTTGTAGCTTCTCCCGAGGGAAGAAAATTCCAGTGAACGACGGTCACTACGCGACTAAGGAAGAACAAAGTTTGCGACAGAAAGCGTTGAGCGAACTCGGCGCAGAAGTTCGCGGACCGGCAAACCAAGGAACATTGTTTGAGTTCTACCCTAGCCGCGATGATCTCTTCTCGCGAAAACACGATGGCGTCGTCACGCAACAGAAGGACAGATGGGAACGCATCTTGGGATTTTTCGAGAGAGGGAAAGACTTCTCGCCTTTTGAATATCTCGAGAAAGGTCCGGAAGTACCCGACGTGGACGAGAACGCGAGGAAAGCAGCGAGGCGAGCGTGCGAAACGATACTAAAACCATGCTTTGGTTCTACTTCTGCCGCCTCGAAGAAACTTGAATTGTTACCGTCTGTATCAGACATCCGAGACGTTTTGAAGCGTTGCAAATCCCGATACCACGCGCTTCGCGAGCCCGAGTTGTTGCGTCTCATCTCCTCGGAACCTTTGATTGTTATCGGAGGACACGTTATTGGCTTTCATCGCGTGATGAATATTAACAACGCCACGTCCAAGGAAGAAACGCGAACGAAACGCGCGATCGTTCGTGAACTGATGCTTTCTACGAGCGGTAATATTAAGAAAGATTCGGTTTTGAAAGCCTGCGAGAAAATTATCAACGTCGACGCGGCGAAAGTTTTACAGGAAATGTGCACGTCCAGCGGTGGAGTCTGGTCAATCGATTTGACGAAATAAATCCAGGTAATAACAATAGAATAGTGATAACAACAACAACAACAGTAGGAATACTGTTGAGAGATACACATGTGTAGGTAAAAGCTCATATAATAATAATAGAATACATGGATTGACAACCCCCCTCTTCGCCTAAAATTTTGTTCATGATAATAATAACAATAAATCTCTCCTTCTTCTTCTTCTTCTTCTTCTTCTTCTTCTCCTTCTTATGTAGTCATACATAATCCTACTATTCCGATCCATACACGTCCCCGACACCGGTATACGGAGATACCGAAATTTCACCCGCGCCGTACTTCGCGACGAATTCTTGCGTCGTCAAATCCTTGTCCTCCGGGTCCACCGAGTATGAATCGATATATTTTTGCATCACCTTCACAAAGTGTTGCGCGTGCTGCTTCAACCCGTTCGGTTTGATGGCATCTTTCGTGTACTGCGTGGCTCTTTTAGAAATCGCTTTAATCTCGTCCGGATTATTCATCGCCCAAATGTATTGCTTCTTCAAATCGGACATGTCTTCCATGATCGGGACGTAATGTACCCACGGCTTGACGTCGTCGTAAAATGAATCTCTCATCGCCGTCTCGTGGTGAAACAACACGCCCGGCATGGCCAGAAACTTAAACGTGGATAACCACGACGTACCACCCCCGCCTCCAATGTCCAACAAGAACTTGAACTTCTCAAAATCGCAGTTGTCGTACAACTTTTCGCGATCGAACATTGGCAACTTGTTCTCTAAGCAATTCGACTGCGGCGACCTCATGTTGTTCGCGCTAAACTTACAGTCAAATTTGTCTGGCTCCAACGCAGATAAAATAACCGCTCTCAATCTCGGCGGGCAATTCCACGCTTCGCCTTGTAAATCGCCCGGAATGCCTTGTCGGAACACCTCTCTTTTGATTTTATCCACGTCCACTCCCGGTTCGCACAAACCCGCGTGTTGCGTAAACCTATTCGCATCAACGGTCCCAATATCCGCGTATTGCTCCAAATAGTGCCAATCTGAACCTCTCCACACCACCTTATCGATCAAGTTATCGAAAATCTCGTCAAAAGTCTCCCCGTTTTCGCCGCGCTCGACGATATCCAATCTCTTCCCGCTCGCGCACATCGGCAAATCCGGATCCTCTTTCTCCTGGGAAAACCACTCGCACTGTTCAAACTTCTTCGAATCGTACGCGTGCGCAATGCACGGTGCAAACGGCAACGTCGGAGCTTGCTCTAACCCGCTCACTTTCCACTTATCCTTCGGTACCGTCCCGAACGAAAACATCTTACTCGGCAGCGTCGGGCACCCGTTCAACTCGCCGACGCACTTATCCTGCGGATAATCTTGCGTCACCCACGCGAAATGGAACGGGTCTTTCCCTTTCGTAAATCTATCACCAAACTCTCTCGGCATGATCGCGTCTAAAAACATCAGCGCTCCAGTCGATCGATCGTCGATGTTCTCCGCGTACCCGTTTTGCGCGATCGTCCACGATTTCCACCCTTCCTGTTCGCTCCACGTGGTCAAATGCGTCGGCATTCTTTTCTGTTCCGGGAGTAACATGTTTCTCGTTTCGATGATGTCCGAAAACGACGTCGATCGGCGGCGGTGTGAGCCCAAGTGCGCTAAATCTGAGAGTCCCAAGAGGCTGTAACTTTGCGAGTTCTTTTCCCCGACAGAGGCGGTGGAGGATGCTTTGAGAAGCGCGAGGGAGAACGCGGCGACGGAAACGGTCGCGATCGCGATCGATTTCAGCACGGAGACGTTGATGAAAGACGGATAAAAAGATGAACGCTCATGATTTGAAGTCGTCGTCGACTCAAAATCTTCCGCGAACGACGAAGACGACGTCTCGTTTTCATCGATCACCAACAGGCGCGAATGTTCATCCATCCCTCCCCGCGGCATCACCATCCTCTCGAAACCAATCAATCAGCTCTTTCTCTCTTTCTGTTTCTGCGATGAGAGAATAACAACGCGACGATCGAAAAATAAAACGAGCGAGACACAAAACGCGCTTTAGGACCCTTCTTTCGAAGCTCAAAGCAGCGCGCCGTGCGTTTGGTCTTCTGTGTATCGCTGCGCGAAAGAATACTAAAGAGAGATGGGTTTTTTCCAATCTTCTTCTTTCGAAGGGTGTTGTGGGTTAGGGTTTAAGTCAAAACGACTCCGCACTAAAAACTCTAGTTGAAACTAACTCTGCGACACAACCGCAGCGCTCCTAAAAGAGGTACCTCTTTCCTTTGCGAGAGGACGCTCCAATCACTTTTCTCATTTCACACCCTTTTGGGTGTTTCATTCTCGGGCGGATACCGTTTTCACTCTGGGTGGTGGTACTCTTCGAACGCAACGCTTCCCGAGAGTGCGCGTTTTACGCGCCCCTCCTTCGGAGTCCCGCCGTTTCCGCGGTCGAGAAGCGAGCGCGTAGAAGAAGAAGAAGAAGGGAAAACGTTTCTCTCTCTTTACTCTTTCTTCTTTTTACTGGCATTGCTACTGCTACTCTCTGTTGTTGCATTCGTTTTCATCACTTGCGAATCCGCTATCGTTCTCATCTTTATCGTTTTCTCTTTCTTGGTCAAGAAGATCTCGTCGAGAATAAAATCGACGCCTTTCGCTCTTTTTTGTTTCCTGAGCTTGTGTTCTCGCATGACTTCCTCTTGTCGTTCCTCGGCGCGTTTGAGTTTCATCTCTCGCATTTTCACGTGCTCTTCTCGCAAGCGTTTGTGTCCTTTTAACGGTCTCAGTGCAGGAAACTTCTCTGGTTTCCGCGCTTTGTCGTGCGCTTTCGCCGGCCACGGGACGTGTAACTCGATCGCTTTTTTCCGCAACTCGGCGAGTTTCCGCAAGGAAAACTCCGGTTTTTGCCACTTGTTCGTGTTTTCTAATTTCCTAGGCAGCAACGCGCGCGGGAGCTTCGAGAGGTGTCGCTGGAACTTTTGCGACGCGTTGCGATACATTATTGGGGTACTCTTCTTCTTCTTCTCAGTATTCTTTACTAAATGCGCGTCGTGTGAAGCGCATTCGCGCGCGCGCAAACTCTCGTCGGTTCTTTTTATGAACGATTTTTATCCAATTTTTCTCTCCATTAGTCGAAGGAGGAACACCACATATATACTCTATGTCTCATCATCACAACCGCCCGGCGATCGTCGTCGACAACGGCACCGGGTACACCAAACTCGGGTTCGCCTCGAACACGGCGCCGTCGTTCGTTGTTCCAACGTGCGTGTCCGTTTCTGGTGGAGGGGTGTCCTCCTCCTCCTCGTCCGTTTTAACAACACAAAGCAAAAAGGAGGAGAAGGATGAATCCAATTTCCCCGGTAACGGAAATTCTAAGAAGAAGAAGAAGAAGAAAGCGTACGAGTATTACTCTCATCACAATCACGCGTCGAAGTCTTTGCAGGATTTAAACTATTCCATCGGCGAGGACGCGCTCGCGCAGATTAACTCGAAAACCATCAAGTGGCCGATATCGAACGGCATCGTGAACGACTGGACGTCCATGGAGAAATTTTGGCAAAAGACGTTGTTGAACGTGTTGCGAGTGGAGCCGGAGGAACATTTTTTCTTACTCACGGAACCGCCGTTGAATCCAGCGGAGAATCGAGAACGAATCGGGGAGATTATGTTTGAGACGTTTAACGTGCCTGGAGTGCACATAGGCGTGCAAGCGGTTTTAGCCTTGAATGCGAGCGTGGCGTTGAATGCGTCCGCGGCGGCGGCTTCGAGTAAAAAGAATAGGAACGGAGACGAAGAGAATAGCGGTAATGATACTAGTAAGAGAGATAGAAACGACGGATTAACTGGAACGGTGATAGATATTGGTGATGGGGTTACACATGTCATACCAGTCTGCGATGGGTACGTGGTGAGCAGCGCGATCAAATCGGTTCCGTTAGCTGGGAGAGATTTAACGAGATTCGTGCAAACGTTGATGCGAGAAAGAGGGGAAAACGTTCCGGCGGAGGAGTTTAGCAGAGTGGCGCAAAAAGTAAAAGAAAAGTATTGCTACGTAAGTAAAGATATCGCGAAAGAGTTTGAATTGCACGAGCGGAACCCGAAGGAGTACGTGATACGAATGGAAGGCGTGCGAGCGAAAACGAATTTGCCGTGGCAAGCGGACGTGGGGTACGAGAGATTTCTAGCGCCGGAAGTGTTTTTCCGACCGGATATGATTGCCGAGAAAGAGAACGGTTTTGGGCAGTTTTCGTTGCCAGAATTAGTCGACAACGCCATCCAAGAGTGTCCAATCGATAGCCGACGGAAACTGTACGGAAACATCGTTCTCAGCGGTGGCTCGACCATGTTTAAAGGATTCGGGAAACGAGTGAAGAGAGACGTGAAACGAGTCGTCGATAAACGGATTTCTGAAAGCGAAGTAAAGAGCGGGAATAGATTGAAAGCGAAATCGGTGGACGTGGAGGTGTTTACGCACGATATGCAACGGTACGCGGTGTGGTTTGGTGGGTCCGTTGTAGCTTCTATGCCGGATTTTTACAAGAGCTGTCACACGAGAGAGGAATATTTCGAGTACGGCTCGCAAGTCATGCGATCGAACGTTTTAGAAAAGGAGGAGGTATTCTTCTGAGTGTAAATATATTGAAAGTGCTATATGTATATGTAACAATGTACCTAGATACTTGCACAAGCGAACCTCTTTCTTCTATTTTTCTACTATGTGCATTACGCGAATGGATTCTTCGTCGCGTTCGTGAACACGCTCTTCGCACGTTCGCGTTCCTTCATTTCGCGTCTCGCCCTTTCCTCTCTCATTTTTTGAATTTTCAACGCGCGCGTTTGTTCGTCCTCTTTAGTCTCATCATCCGAGGAGGAGAAGGAGGAAGAAGAAGACGAACGCCGCCTTTTCTTTTTCTTTTTATCTTTCTTCTTTTTCTTCTCCCTCTTCTCTCTTCTCCTTCTTTCCGAGGGTGGCACGTATCCGTCCCTGAGCATGACTTTTGTCAGCGTCGGACGATTTTCAAACGGTTGTTCCTTATCCGCCAATCGCAAGCGTTCTGTTTCTTCTCTTTGCATTCGGATTCTTTTCGGCAACGAGCGGTGCTTTTTGCCACCATCGTCATCGTCATCGTCATCGTCATCTTCGTCGTCGTAAAACGAAGCATCCGATTTCGCGTACCACGGTTGCCTCAAGTGCGTCCCGCTCCCGCCTAATCGATTCCCCTCGTCCTCCTCGCTCTTCTTCGCTTTCTGTTTCCTCTCCAATGAGGCCAGCGCTTTTTCGTGCTCCTCGAAAAAGTTCACGTGTTTATTCTCGTGCACACTCTCTACGCGTCCTTCTCGCCCACTCTCCTTCTCTTCTTCTTCTTCTTCCTTCTCTCCTCGCAACGCTCGCAACCGCTTCTCTTTCTCCTCCTCCTCTTTTCGCGCCGCTTCTTCTCTTTGCTCTCGTTCAAGTTGCTCTTCGTCTCTTCGAACGCGTTCGCGTTGTTTCCGACCGTACACGTTCCAGGACTTTTGCGGGAGAATGTTCAACCCTCCGTGTCCGCCCATTAGTATTCTTACTCTTTCGAGTCGTCGTTCGACTCCGTCGACCTCCTGTACTCACAGAAGAAACGTATCTCAACACGACAGGCAAAATCTCGTGTTGCTTTGAATCACAACGCTTTCCTCTTCGTTAAATACGTCGAATGAGAAGAAAAAGCTCGGCAACAACAAGAACAAAATTAACTCAACCAATCCTTCGCGTTTTGTTCCGCGCGTCGTTTCTCTCCTTCTCCCAGTGTCGTTTCTCTTTTCGCTTTCAGTTCCGATTTCTTAATCGCTTTCCCGAAGCTCGAGTTCGAAAATTTCTTCTCTCTGGCCTCCGCCGCGTGCGCGGCGTTGTCGCGCGCTTGTTGCAACTCTCTCCTCTCGTTCTCCTCTCGGAGCGCGATCGTTTCGGGATCTTCTTTTGGGAAACAGGAGGAGAAGCAGTTGCCCATTTATTTGTCTTCTTCTCAAGTAGTAATATTCGTGGGGGTAATATTCGTGCTTTTTTGTGTCGTTCCGTGTGTTTGTGTTCAACTCTAATGCTAAAACTCTCTTTTCTTCTTCATCCGAGGAGACCAGAGATGCTGATTTTACCCCCACTCTTTTCTACCGAATCATCGGAAACCGTTTCCGTCGTTTTTGTCGTTTTTAACGACGCCGGTCTCGCGTGCGTAGTACTCGTCCGATGGAGAGCTTCCGGTCTCGAAGAAGAAGGCTTATGGTAGTGCGTTCTCGCTTCCGCGCACGTCGGCAACGTTTTTAGGCGTCTCTTGTTTTCGTACGGGTGTTGCTCGTAAAACATCTCCATTTGCTTCTCGTACTTCGCGGTGATTTCCGAGTGCAGTTTTGTGTCGATGGTGTTCATTTCTTCGATCATTTTGTGCAATTTCTCGTCGCCTGCGATGTTATCTTTGTGCTTGACATTTTTCACGTTGGCGTGTTTGCACCAAAGCTGCGCTTTGGTTTTATAAAAAAGCCGTTCGCCGACTTCCGGGAAGAGCGAAGCGAAGATGCGCCAGGTGTACGACTCAAACGCTTTTTCCAAAGGTATCACCGCTTCGAACTTCGAGAGGATTGCTCGCGCGCGATTGAGATGTTCTTCGGTGATTTTCTTCGGCGGCAGCGTGTAAACATCCGGACCTAACAACGTTCGCGTGACAAAATTGTTGATACCGGGAGTACCTGGCATGATGTGACCGAGATTTTCTCGAAAATTCAATAAGCTCGGTCCGAACCACGCGCGTTCACCTTTATTCACACCGGCGTAGGATGTTTCGACAAATCTTTTCGTCGCGTTCACGCCGTCGAATCCGTGTCGAATGCTCAATTCGGATTTATATCTTTTCAACGGATCTTTGAAAAACATCACGTATCGAAATTGCGGACAAATGGTAAAATCATTCGCCTTCTCGCCGGTTTCCGCTAAAAGCATCTCGCGGAATAGAACGCGAAATTTCCACTTTTTCGCGTATTCCGCCATCGCTTCGCAATCGCGTTCGTCCACCATCATGTTTTGCACGTGTTCATCCTTCTGGTCGCACGAATCTAACGTCTTCATTTCTTCTTCGGTCCACTCGCCGGGTCCTTTATAGTATCTCGACCAATGCCACGGCATGTTACACATCAAGTTACAATTCCCTTCGAATGTTGTTCGCACTCCGCCGCCAGAGACCGAGTTACACGCCGCCGTACCCCCTGAATTCGATATGTGAACGAACATCACCGGTTTCTCGCTATCTGTGTTACTATTCACTCCTAAATTGTCTCGATACATATCCCCGTATTTCGTGTGCAACATTCTACTCTCTCTCGCCCATCCTCTCTCTGCCATCGAATATCTTCGTTCCCACTCAGCCACGAGTTCTTTCGTCGTCTTTTTTCGCGTCGTTTTTCTCTTTCTCATCTCTTCCCTTCTTCTTCTCGCTTGCATGTTTTCGTGTTCTACCGCGTAATTTCTGCTTTCCCGCAAGTCTTGCCATCTTTTGATATGTTCGAGTCTCGTCTGCGACCGCGCTTGGCGTTGCAACTCGAGTTTCTCAAAACCCGGGTTCCTCTGCCGTTCTCGTCGTAACATCATTTGTCGAGATCTGGATTCATCCTCTCGCATCCTCCGTTTGTCCTCGTGGCCGTCGCCCTCGGCTTCCTTCTTCTTCTTTTCATTTTGCCTGTTTTTTCTATTCATCATCCATCTCTCGTATCGGTCTTGTCTTTCTCTGGAACTTGCATCCATATACCGAATTTTATTTTCGTTATTGTCGCGGAGTAATAAACGCCTGCTTCCTCCCGCAGCGGCGACGAGAGTGGGATTGAAAACCTCAAAAGCCGCCGACGACGGTTTGTCGGGGCTGCCGCTCGACGACAAGCGCAGCAGCAAGAGCAGCGAAAACACAATCAAAATCATCGTAAAAAAAACGCTTCGTCGTGGTCGTTTTTTGTGCGCTTCTCGTCGTCGCGTTCGACCCAGACGCGTCTCATCTCCTCCTCCTCCTCGGACATAAAAACGCCTCCCGTTTATCGTCGTCTCTCAAAAGATCTCTCGGTCTCTTTCACGCGCTCACCATCATCGCAAGGAGTTTAAAAGTTTGAGTTGTGAAGAAAAAAAGAGCCCATTCGTAGTCTCTTTACCTGCCTATTTCGTCGTCCACATCTCCTCTCAAAAGCCTCTTTTCTCGCAATCAAAGAACAAAGGTGTTTTTTTCGCTTTTTTTTCGCTTTCTCTTTCTTTCCGTTCCGTCTCTAAGTAGCTCTTCAAGGAGAGGCGAGCGAGACGTCCGAGAGAGAGACCAACAAAACGAGAGACCAAAACACCAACAACAGCTTTTTCTTTCTTTCTTTCCCCATTCTAACGAGAAAAAGAGAGCAGAGAGTACTACTACTCTACTAATGCTGCGTTCGAGGATCGTCGCGTCTTCCTCGACGAAGAAGCGATACGCCGTGCTCGAGATCTGTTCTTCCTCGTTCGCTTCTTCCTCGTCGTCTTCTTCTTCTTCTCCGGTGTTGTTGAAACATTCTCATCAAAATTCCCCGGGGACGAGAGCGAACGACGGGGGAGAACACCACCAACGAGGGAACGACGACGACGACGATGCGAACCCTTCTCCTCCTGAACAGAAGAAGAAGAACAACACCACCAACAACAGCGAAAGGAGGAGGAAAAAAGCTTTTATAACCATTCGACGCGCGATTGAAATCAAAAGCGAGGACGATGCCGTCGCGGGGATCGAGAATACGACGCGTTTTGCCGCGCTCGAGAGGGTGCAAAACGTCCTCCTCGATGCGCGAGCGACGACGGCGATCGGAGACGTGCTCTTTGGAATCATCACCGCGGAGCAAAAAAGGAGCTCTTCCTTCGAGGATGCAAAGGAAGAGGAGGAAAAGACGAAGACGTTTACGACGAGGAGGAGTCTGTTTCTGAACGCCTGCCGAGAGGAGAGAGAAGAAGACGTTAAAGACGAAGACGAAGAAGACGACGGCCGAGGGTTGGCGTTCTTGTTGAGGAGGAAAAACTTTGCCACCGGGAACGAGTACTGGACGATAGTGGCCAAAGCAAGGAGAGACCTGTCGACGACTGTTAAGAAGGAAGAGGAAGAGGCGTTCACGACGAAGACGAAGAAGAAGAACGGGAGCAGCAACGGAGGCAACACGAAGAAGAAGACTTTGAAAGAAGAGAACAAGAAGGACGACGATAACAACAACGCGAATTTTGCGAATAAACCGAGCACATCTAGCAGCGACTTTAACAACGGCGATAGCACGACGACGACGACGACGACTCCGATCAAAACTCGATCGTTTCGAATAGACGACCCTTCGCAAGACGCGTCTGTTCTCGAGGCGAAGGAAAGGGCGATGAAATTTTCGTTCTCGAGAGCGTTCAACGAGTGGTTGCACGATCAACCCATCGCGAAGAACCCGAGACGAGCCGGTCTTGGAGGGTCTAGGAAGAGAGCTATGAAACATCCGTGCGCGTATACCGGGGAAATGGGAGAGGATTTTATCGATTGTGCGTGCGGGGATAACGAAGAGTACGGATTTATGTTGGCGTGCGAGACGTGCGGCGCGTGGGAACACGGCGAGTGTTGCGGGGTGAAATCGGAAGAGGCGATTCCAGAAGGGTACGCGTGTTCGACGTGCGTGAAAGAGAAAACGGTGAAGCGCTTCCCCAAACACTTAGTGATGGTTTTAGATTACGAAGAGGAAGCGGATGTGAAAAAGAACAAGAACAAGAAGGACGCGTTCAACGACAACTCGGCGGAGAAAGTTGAAGAAAACGAAGCGCTCGTGCAGGAGATGATTAAAAACGGTGAAATCATCGAGGACGACGATTGGGGATTGCAATCGTTCGTCGCAAAGTCGCTCGGTATTGACTCTAAGAGAGAGTTCGTGCTCCCTCCAAACTCACAGAGTAGTAACTTGGTCAACGCTAAGAGACGGTGCGTGTGCTGCGTGTGCGGATGCGAACACACGGACGAAATCGAGTCGATGGTGAAAGCGTGTAATTGCGTCGGTGGAGGCGCGATTGCACACAGAGACTGCTTGGAAGAGTGGGAAGACGAAGATAAAGGTAATTTGAAATTGAAAAATGGCGATAAGAACAAGAAAGAAAGCACTACCGAGAGCAAAGGCGGCGAGAATAAAAAGAAGAAAATGGTTGACGGAATAATTGTGGACGTGATTGAGGACACTTCGCTTCCAGTCACTCCTTCTGGCACGCGATCGTGGAAAATATTGGACGATTTTCCAGTCAAGAAATGCAGAGCGTGTTGCGGTTTTGGCGGTCTCGCCTGCGGCGGCATCAAAGACGCGAAAGAAGGCGAAGCGATAATCCAAAACCAGAAGAGAATACTCGCCGAAGCGGCGGCAATGTACGAGGCGAACGCGAAAACCACGCGAGGAAATCGCCCAGGCGCAACGAAACCGTTGCTTGACGTTAAGGAAGAAGACGCATCTGGTGGAGACGCAGAGAACGAGCCTGTGAAAGAGAAGAAAAAATCCGGGGGACGAGTAAAGGGAAGCCCGAACAAGAAGGAAAAGAAAACGTCCGACCGACCGCCGAAATTGATGACGAACAAGCAAGACAAGAAGCCGCCCGCCGCGAAGGGTACCACTTTAATCAAGCCGTCAACTGTAAACGGCGTCAGCGTGAAGAAAGAGGAGAAGAAAGTCTTACATCACAATTCCTCGGGCACGAACAACACCACTTCGTCGGTATTGACTCACTCACACATTCCGTTGAAGAAACGGAGATTGATGATGTTCGAAGAAGATTCGCGCAACGGCATGTACAAACAACATTGAAAAACATATTGACAAAAAATAATCGACGACGACAAAAGACGACGACGAGGAGATATATAACATATTTTTACACGTTTAGATCACATTGCTTCTACACTATACGAATATAACTATACAACAACTCTATACCTTCGCTTTCTACCTATCTACTTCATCAAAATAGAGTCAAAACCTGCTCACGTTGGACACCAACCGATGCTAGTTTGTCTTCTAAATACTTCCTGTGCGTTTCGTTGGCGTTCGCCTCTTGCCATTCGAAATACGGAATCGATACTACTCGCCACCCGCGTCGCTCTAATCCTCTGTTTCGAATAATTGTTTTGTGCGTCATCGACTTTTCCATATTCTTTTCAAAATGCGACGGGCCGTCGCACTCGATGGCGATTTTATGGTCGAGCAAAGCAATGTCGATGGACATTACGCCGTCTTCGGTGAGGTATTCGTCGGCAACGTTTTTTATAAACCCGGCTCGAATTCGAGTCGAAACGTGTTTATGAAAGGCTGATAAAGTAACGCTGTGTATCGTTTGATCATCGTAACTCTTTTTCGCGATCGTGTCTAACCATATCGGCGTATCGTGTCGTTGCAGAGCAACTTCTCTTACACCCATGCCGTGCAAAGAAGAAGAAAAGCCTTTCGCTTTCGTACTTTTTGTCGTTGTCGTCGATTGATTCGTGGACTTCCTCTTTTTACTCGTATTGGTCACGTCATCCAATACCTCTTCGTCGACGACATCATCATTTCCCACAGCGTGCTGATCCATCCAATGATCCTGATGCATCACGCATGCGTGGTAGAGCATGTTCAACCCTTCCGGCGCAAACTCGTCGTGGTGCATCGAACTCACTCTCGCCCACAAGTCACCGTATACCTCCGCCTCGAACGCGTCTACCGCAGCTAACGCCCATATCGAATTGCACAAATCCTGCGAATTACATCGTCTCGCGTGCCTCTTCCCACCTAACGCTTTCAACATCTCTTCGTCCATTTTATACCCAAACGTCGCCAATCCTAACAACGAGTTCGACACTGCCTGACTGGCGCACTCCTCCAGCCTCTTCGCCAACGTCTCGCTCACGACGCTCAGAAATGCATCTCCCGGGTGATGCTGCAACATCGCCGACGCCCACGCGATGTTTGAAATCTCTTGCGTTTTAAACTTTTCGTGGTACTCCGTCGTCAACTTCAAATACGCATCCATGATCTTCTCGCCCGGATGACATCTGAGAGTGCCGCACGACCACATGGCATTCCCAATTGCTTGCGTGCTAAACCCACCAAAAGGCACGTCTTTGGCTTCAAACATCCCCCCGGCTTTTTTCACGTCTTCCAGCACTTCCGGCAACATCCTCAGAGCTTGTTGCATCAACAATTCCGCGACTGTTTTGCATCTCAAAAGATTCCACTCTTTCAACCGAGCGAAAGACCACAACGAATTCGACAACGCCTGAGGGTACAACTTATCCACGTTTCCCTCGATAATATCCGCAAACTTATCCAATATCCCTAATCTCGGGGTATACAATATCGTCGCGCACGCCCATAAAATATTCCCAACGTTTTGCGCGTCGAACGCGTCTTCCGCTTTCATTCGACTACTATATTGCCGCCGCTCGTGCCGCCGCTCGGCGGTTTCGCGACTCGTGACGTCGCCATCCTCGTTCCCACGAAACAAACCTTGCATGCACCTCACCGTCGCCTCTTCCAGTAACAACACTCGCGCGTCTCTCTTAAACTCTCTCACCGATGACCGTTCCTCTCTCCCGAGCTTTTTCGCCAGCCTGTGCCAGGCGGTGGAAACGTTCACTCCGTTGTATTTCTCCGAGTTCGTTTCCACGTGCTTTAAAATCTCCGAGCAGGTCACGCACGCCACGATTTCTCGGTTGAGTTGCACGTGCTGGAAAAACGACGAACTCGCCGGGCTGTTGTTGTTGTTCTTGTTCTTTGGATCCCTTCTTCGACTTAAAGTCGTCGTTACGTTCGTCGTCGTCGTCGTCCTCCTCCGACGGTCATCCGTGGAAAAGCGCTTCCTCCAAAGGAAAGAAGAAGAAACGGCGGCGCAGGCGGTGGTAAAAACGCTTTGCTCCGACGAGAGTAAAAAACGACCACCACTAGCGATACTGAAATCGTTGTTGTTCGTGCGAGCAGCGGCGAAACTCAGACGACGAGAGAGAAGACGGAACATATCTCTCACTTTGGGAAAAAATCAGTCATTTTTTCTTTTCTAAGTGGAGAAAATTCCTCAAATCAGACGAAGAAGAAGACAAAGAGGAAGCTCTAAAATGCCTCGAACGAAAGCGTCGGCGAAGCGAGAGGTTGAAGCGGTCGTCGATGAAGGCGAGGGAAAACAACAGGAGGAAGACACGGAAAAATCATCGCCGCTGTCGCCAACAACAAAGAAGAAGAAATTGGTGAAGAAATCATCGAACGAGAAGAAGAGAAAGATCGAAGAGGAAAAGGAGGAGGAGGAGGACGCCGCGAAAGTCGCTTTGAAAGAAGACGACGGAAAGGGGGATGATGATGATGTTGCCGCCGCTGAAAAGTCGACGAAACATTCGACGAAACGCGCGAGAGCGAATAAGGAGAAGGCGGGGAAAAACGCGATGGAGATGACGAAGAAAATTAAGGAAAAACAGGAGAAGGAGAGAAAGATAAAGACGAAAGAGGAGGAGGAGGAAAAGGAGGAGGACGGAAAGGCCGACGCAGACGCAGGCGAGGAGGAGAAGGGAGAACGAGGAACACCACCGGCGAAGAAAAAGTCGAGCAATAAAGTCACGGTGGGTAAGAAGCAACCAGCCGCCGCCGCGAAGGGCGGCGGCCGAGCGAAGCGAGGAAGCGCAAAGTTAGAACCGGCTGTCGTCGAGGAAGCTCCGGTGGTAAAAGTGCCGTCCTCGGTGCCACAGCTGATGGAGTTGAAACAAATCATGGAACGGGAAATGATCGAACACGAAGAGGCGAGCGCGTCGATGCGAGCGGCGGAGATGGAAAGGATCGCGGCGTTGAAAGCGTTGGACGAGGCCAATAAGAAGGCGGAGTTTTCTGGGTCGCATTTGAATCGCGTGGCGAGGAGGATGAAGCAGACGGCGAGGAAGGTGGCTGCGCAAACCGTGAACGCACAGATGTTGGAGCAGACGATGATTACGAAAACCGTGAAGAATTGGGCCAAGAGTAAAGACGAAGGGATGAAAGAGGCGAGCGATATATGCATGTCGATTATGAACGAGTGGATTGATTTGGTGAGAAATACGGCGCATTTGATGCAACAACAACATAAACACGAAGGCCCAGCGACGGAATCGCCGATGGATGTGGACACGGAAAAGAAAGGCGAGGAAACAAAAGCTGGAGAAGAGGAAGAAAATCCCCTCGATGTCAAGAAAGAATCCAAAGCCAGTGAGGAGAACGAGAAGAACGCAGCTAAGAGAGACGACGAAGAGAAGAAAAAAGTAGAAAAAGAGGAGCAAAAACCACGAGGAGGAATGCCGCCACCAAAGAGTTTACCCGGAGGTATTAAAGTCGAGCCTAACCTCCCGGGACCACTCGCGGATATTTACAAAAAAGCCGCCCCCGGCGCGTCGAAAATTCTCGAGGAAGCGAAGAGAAAAACCGCCGCGATGCATTCCATCGTTCCGAAAGAACCCGACCACTCCTCCGTCCGCTTGAAAGTCCTCTCCTACCTCCAAAGTACATTCAAACTTTCCAAGGACGCCGCTTTGACTTGCGAAGCAGCTTTATTCAACGCCAAAGCAGTCGTCGGCCTCGATTACAAAGCGACTTTGAAAAAGCTCAGCGAAGACGGAATGTCAGTTTTAAAATCGGGATCGGCGAACTTAGACGTCGGTCGAGTCCCTCCGGGTTTGACCTTGTTCATGCAACAAACGAAGTCGTTGCAGGCAAAGAAGAAGAGAAAGAGAAAGAGCCTCAAGTAAGTACAGTAGTTGTAAAAGAGTAAATTCTAAAAATCTAACAACATGAAATACTATATACGCGCGACGACGACGACGACGACGACGATCGTCATCAAACTAAACCATACTAAATCCAAGTTTCCTCATCGGTCGTTCCAACGTCTTATCTACTAACTTTGTCCCTCTCAGTTGTCGCCGCTGCTTTGGCGTCTTGCTAAAACCCATGTGTCTTTTCCCTTTTTGTTTCCTTCGGAACAAACCCGACGCGGTGACGGAAAACCGGCCTTTCCACGAGCTGTAGCCTTTTATTTTCGTGCGCGTTTTGGACATTTTGACTTTCTGGGAGGTGGCGTACCCGCGGTGTGCTGTTGCTCCTGCTGTTAATGGTGGTGGTGAGAGTGCTTTCATCATCGTCGGCGGTCGGGGAGCGCGCACGATCGACGACGATGAAGCAAAACGCCGCTCGAATCTTCCCCTAAAACCGCCGAGTGGTGTCGATACCATCGGCGACGTAAACGACGACAAAGCGCACGACGGGCTCGCAGACATCGTCGCGCTGAACGAGGAGGCGCGCCGCAAAACGTTATCGAGCGTTCTTCTCAACATGGTGTGTATTTCTTTTCTCCGGGGTGCGAGAATGCGTGTTCTTTTTATGATGCTCTTCTGTCGGCATCGAGAGGCTTTGAGACGATAAACATATACCGCACGAGAATCATATTAATACGCGACTACATACACTAAAAATTCTTTTCGAACAACGCGTCTCCTTCATTGCTACTGCTACTGCCACTACTACTGCTACCCCTGACGCGTTTGGAAAACGAGCTGTCCCAGTTCAAATCGCCGTCGTCGTCTGAATCGTCTTTCGCTTCCTCGCTCGCTTCGACCGCGGCGGCTAACTCTTCGGCTTCTTCTTTGTTATTGTTGTTGTTTGCTTTAGATTTCCCGGCGCGTTCGAAGAATTCACTGTCGAGCAGAGGTTTAATTTTCCACTCTTTCTTGCGCTCTTCGTAGGTGAGGTCGGGTAATGCTCTCGCGTTTGCGGCGGTGGTGGCGTTTCCCGCGTCCAAACTCGCGCCTTCGTTACCGGCTTCTCCTCCACCGCCGCCTTGACTGGCGTCGCCACCCGAAGTAGTTTTGTCCTTCTGGTTTGAAATATCAAATAAAGAGTTGATGGACGGTTTTTCTGAAGATTCTTCGACTGCTTTTGGACGAAGTTGTCTCGCGATTTCCGCCGCTCGATCGACGACTTCTGGTTTCACTTTACTCGTTTTCTTCATGATGTCTTCGACTTCCGTGACGACCATTTTCTCGGCGGCGGTTTTCGTCGCGTCTAAGAGCTTCGCGACGGTTTCGTCGCTGATTCCATCTCCAGCCGAATCAGAACTATCTGTGTCCTTCTTTTGTTTCGTCTCCTCTCTCGGAACCGATCCTTTGTCTTCGTCCTCTTCCTCTTTCCTTCTCTCGGCCAACTCGCGCGCTTCGTTTTCAACTTGCGCCAACGCTTCCATCAAATCTTTACCTTCCTCGTCGTTACGTCCAGAGTTTTCAATCGCTTTCATAACTGCTTTCAAAACGTTCTCCGACTGCGTCTCCTTCGCTTCTTTCAAATCTGCTAACGTTTTGCTGATAACTTCCGCGGTCATCTGCGTAGTGTTTAAAACGTTTTGAACCTCGTGAAGTCGACTCTGCGCTCGCGCGGATGCCGAGGAAACCCCGGCATGCGAGACGTCCATGGCGCCGATAACTTCCGTGGCGACATCGTGTAATACCGACAACGCAGATTGCGTTTCAAACACGCGTTTGACGGTTTCAGATTCGTCGGCGACGAGTTTTTCAACCTCCTTCTCTTCTTTTTCTACCTGTTTCGTTTCGTTTTCACCGTCTTTGCCGCTCTCGCTATTTTTCGAAGACGACTCCTTAATTGAATCGAAATCAACCACTGTTCCAGTCGCTTCTGCAATCAACGCCGCGTCTTTGTCGCGTCGTTCTTGTTCCTTGTTCTTTTCTTTTTCTATTTCGTTCTTCTCGTCGCTGATTTCATCGGAAAGTTCCTCCAACGTCGCCTCGGCTACAATCAACGAACCGATGGTAACGTTTCCAAATGATTTCGACATTTCCGAAACTTCTTCGATGGATTTCTTCAAGACTTCCCCGTGCGCGTCGTCGTCTGAATCTCCAAAAAACATGTTCTTAAAATCCGAACTGCTACTACCTCCGTCACTTTTTGAGCTCAGCTTTTCCAACGACGCGACGGCGTCTTTCACTATTTGCATCGTTTTTTCCGATTCTGTCTGCGCAATCGACAACTCACTCTCGGCTTTTTCAACTCGTTGAAACTTATCTGCCGCTTCGTATACTTTCTCGTACATCACCGCGGCTTCGGAAGCCTTCGCTTCCGCCGCGTGCAACGAGGACACTAAATCAACCAACGTTTGCTCTTCGTGGACGGCGCGAATGGTGTGTTCGGTCGATTTCACCAACAAATACACGCCAAACGCGCAAAAGAGTCTCGCTATTTGTCTAGATGTTGTCAACCCGAGCGTAGTGATCCAACCGAACGAGCTGACTTTGCTTGAGGCTTTGGCGTAACTTCCTGAACTATCGCTCGTGGCGGATAAGAAAATCAAACTCGGCGCGGTGAAAATCAGCGTCGAACATGACGTCGCACCGACTAAACCAAACACAAACTCCACGTTGGGAATATAAAACGCCATCGCCAACGAGGAACCAAACAAAACGGCATTTAAACCTATATCTTGCCCTCTGGACATTTCTTTCTGAGAATCCGGCGACTGGCACACTCGCAGCACGACCGGCGTTAACGTCTCTCTCAACGTGATAAATACAACCGGAACGCACGTCGCCATCGACACGCAATACAACAACTTCATCGTTCGCATCAACACCCCCCACGAACCTTTCTCCGCTCCAAAGTTTCGCAACACGTCCCCGCTCGCGCTATCTTGAAACGTCAAGTACCCCATCAAACCGATGATAAAATACGCGATCCCGGAAATCCATATGCTCTTATTCGCCACCGATAACACTCTGTTATTCGTCGGATCTTTCAACGTTTGAACCACTGGATACATAATCGGCGACGCCGCGAAACCAAACGACAACACCGGTAACACAATCATAATCTTCTCACTATTCCACGTCTGCACCGCGTTATTCCCAGCCAACTCGTGTTCGGCGTACAAATCCGGATACACTGAACTCTTAAAAAAATACACCACCGCGACGGACAAAGTAAACATCCACGCGATAAAAATCCCAAACGCAGACGTGCTGCTCAACGCTTTCGCCGATCTAATCATCGTCCCTATCGGCACAAACCCAAAACATACCACCGCAACCATGGTCTCCCCTCGACTCGGCTCGGCGCCCGCTGGCACAATCGTCCCAGCCACGCCGGAAAAGATATCCGAAACTATATTCACGTACGCCACCGAACACCCCATCAACAACGCCACCACGCAAATTCTCACTAATATTTTCCCTCTATCCCCTAACGTTCTAAACGCGACTTCTTCGTAACTCCACGCGTCCGTCACCGCGCTCGAAAACAACAAACACTGCGTGGTAAACATCGTCGAGCACGCCGAGACGACAATCAACATCGTCGTCAAAAACACCCCGGTCAATTTGAAACAGTACGGTAAACCCAACGCTCCGGTGCCTAATATGCCGTTGATTAAGTTCACCGTCGCTTGGTTCACAGAATTCGTTCTGTTGTTGTTGTTGTTCGCAAAACCCCCACCATTCGGCGTGGACGGCATCGAATTAGAACCAGGCACGTAATGGTTGTCATTCGTATTCGTATTCCCGTCAGGATGTCCAAAATGTTTCGTCGGCGAACCCGCGCTGCTCGCGGTCCCGAACAACTCTTCCTCGTACCCAAACTTGGACGAATTCGATCCTTCTCCTCCAAACGTCGTCATCATCGTCGCGGCGTTCCCGCGTCTCCGAAACGCTTTTTCCGCGTTAATGTTGTTCGTATTATTATTACTGCTGCTGTTGTTGTTCGAAGCATCATCAGAAGATCCTCGAGGAAGAGAACTCCCGTCGTTGTTATTCTCGTTCGTCCCCTTTGCGCTCGACATAATCTTCGCGTTGTTGTTTTGCCCTCCTCCTATCGTCGTTAAACTCTCTCGGATATTTCCGAAGAAAAAATCAAACGCGCCACCTTTCCCTTCTTCGAACGCGCCTTTCGCTCCTTCCTCCTCCTCGTCCGCGCTCTCGGACATGTGCTCGAGGAGAGAGATGAAAGAGATTCAAATGTGCAGCATTTCGAGTAAAAAGTTTCCTTTGAACACACAGGCTTCGTTACAATACTACACGCGCGCTTTGTTCGTTCTTTCTTCTTTAAGAAGAGGAAAAAGAAGTTTTGAAGTGTTGTTTGTTTTATACACACGCACACAACGCGTGCGCGAGTAAGCGCGAGTGGAAAGAGAGAGAGATGAAGAGGGCAGCGCGTGTTATTCATCAGCGCTGAATTTGATTGATTGGAAAACACGCGTAACGGAGATTTCCGAGCGCGATGAGAGAAGACCAAGACGCGATGGAGATTGCTTTGAGAGAGGAGAAGGAGAGACAGGAGAGTTCTTTTACCAACGCATTCTGGAAGCGAAGCAGCAAAGACAAAGAAGAAGACGAGGGAGAAGATGAACTCGCGACTGCGTTGCGACCGTTTCAAAACCACTTCGCTTCGACTGCCTCTTCTCTGCCTAAAGTCTCCTCCTCGAACGTCGAACAAACGCAACGACGAGATGATACATTTGAAGCGGTGGAAATCGTCAGCTCGAAGAGACACGCTCAGATGCAAGAAATCATCGCGAACGATGGGTCGGAGAGAGGGACGTGCGTGGCGATGGGGCCGTTAGGGGTGATTGCGGTTGGATTCGCGGACGGTACGATACGGTTGACGAGAGCGCAACACGCGGAAGGGAAGGAGGAGAAGAAGGAGTATAACACGACGACGATGCGAACGATACCGGCGATTCAGAGAGAAGAAGGGGAGGGAAAAGTGCTAGCATCGAACGGTAGTGATAATGGTTCTTTTTTGAGAGTGACCGCTTTGAGTTTTGCAAACGGCGGCGAGTGGTTGGTTTCCGGGCACGACGACGCGTCCATAGCGTTGTGGGACGTGAAGAGGTGTTCGCAGTTGAAACGAGTGAAGGCGCCGCCGCCGACGACGCAAAATATGGCATCATCAGATGTGTCCATGGTCGTTGCAATCGTAGCGATGAGTCAAATTCCGAATGCAAGTTCACAGTGCGAAGTCATCGCTGCGTTAAAGTCTGGGCAGGTTTTGCGACACGAGTTTTCTTGGTTCGGTCCGCTCTTACGGAACAAAACGACTTCATTAGGGGAAAAGACGTTTGTCATTGGAGGCGACGCGCTTCCGGCGAAAAGCTACGCGGTAAAACCTCCCGTTCCCGGGACCGTGCCATGGTTTTGGGGCGACGAAAAATTAAAGGAGCAATTGGATAAAGAAGCGGATATGAACAACTCGGCGCTTTTAGATTCTACGATCGCGATGGATTCGGCTGGTGGCGCCAACGCGACTGAAAGCATTTCCGGCGTTTCGAATTTACTTTCCGAGTTCAACGGTAAAACCAGCACGAGCGCGGCAAACGCATCCGGTTTAGTTTGTTTAACCACTGCGAGTGCGTGTTTAGTAATGCGCTTATATCCGGACGCCGAGGTTGTTGCGAAGATTCCAAGACCGAAAGATGTGGACGCGTCCAAAGTCCCCTACGCGAGGTTTCGACCAAAAGTCGTCTCGTACAAAAATGTAAAGAGTAGCGTTAGCGCAAACAATAGCAACAGTAGTAGAAGCAGTAGCAACGAGGGCGACATGGAAACGAGAGAACTTGCGGTCGTTTGGGGCAATCGGGTCACGATTTGGGAGTTAGGTATTTTATCTCCGGAAAACGTGCTCAAAGTCAATCGCGAGATTCAAAAACAGAAAATGGAAAAGAAAGAAAGTTCGGCAGCGGCGAGTTCAAAATCACCCAAAGGGCAATCGGGTGGAAGATGCGTACCTAAACTCCGGCGAGAGTGGCAGCTACCGGAAAATGTTGTGAAAGACTCAGACGGATGTGGGTTGATGTGGTTCGGCGACGAAGTGTTAGGTGTCATTTGCGGACAACGGGTCGCTACGTTGCTCGCGTTTGATGCGAAAAGCAGCTACGGCAAACTTTTAGAGCGCGTCGCGTTGGATGCGCATCCGACCGCAACTTCATTACCGGTACCGTCTCGGGACGCTCCGAAACAACCTCCCTCTTCCGAGCACGTCGTTTGGAGCAGTCACGGGTCGTGCGCGAATCGGGGAGCGGGTGCGGTTATTTTATCCGCCGCGTCTATTCGAGTGTGTAAAATTCTCGGGTGGCGAGAGCGCGCGAATGCGCATCGTAAACTTAGCGACTGGGGTGGTGCTTTTGCAGTGGCGGTGGCGGCGTACAAACAAAGCTTTCGTCGAGACGAAGATGTCGACGATGTTTTCGTCGTCAACGACACTAATAAAGCCGTGAAGAAATCGACGACATCTTTTGCGCCTTATTTGGCCGGAATACCGTCGGATGCGCGAGCTCGCATCATAAATGAATCTCAACTGCCTCAGACGGCCGTGAAATCCGAAAGGGAAGCGGCACGGGAGGTGTGTCTGAAACTCTTGCCACAGTTTCTTCAAGACGCCATGATGGTTGTGCAGGCAACCTCAGGCGAAGACGACCAGGCGCACGTGCACGCTGAATCCGTCGCGCGCGCAACGTTAGCGGTTTGCCTAGCCGTCGATTCGCTCGACAAAATGTACGACCAGTCTATTTACGATCCTTTGATGGAAGCAACGCACGGGAAGGAGGCTTTCATAGAGCGTATCGTTCCGCATATCATCAGCGACGAGTTACAAAGCTTACCACCAGAAGTTATGCAGTCTTTAGTCACTCATTTCGCGTCCAAAGGTGAACATAGTATCATCGAAAAGTGCGTTTTACGCATGGATGTGACGAGTTTGGACGTAAATCAAGTGGCGAGATTGTGCGAGACGCACGGAATGTTTGCCGCGCACGCGAGCGTTTTCGTGAGAGCGTTTGAAGATTTTTCGAGTCCAGCCTTTGCGATGTTCGAAGACGCGGTGAAAAGGGTGAAAGACGTCGTGGTGAAATGTAACGACGACGTCTCGACGATGCGTGATAGTTCTCAGGATAAAAAAGACGATGTATACTTTGAAGTTTCGAGAAAGTCTGCCCGAAGACTTTTGCTCTTTGCCAGCGAGAGCATCGCCGGACGATTGTTTCCGCCGAGATTTTCCGAAGATATGAAAGTTCGCAAGCAAAATGAGCTGGATGATCCAGTCCACGTAGCCAGACGCGCCGAAAAGGCGCGATTCGATTTGATGCGGTTTTTTCTTTCTCAGGACGCGGATAAAAGCGTTCGCGAAACGGCGGCCGAAGTCGCGAAAGGAAAAGACAACGCCGAGCAAACATCAAATGCAAACGCGTTCCGACAGTTTTGGCGCGGCGTTGATTCGTTGCGAAAGAAGCGCTTTAAGAACAGTGATGCACAAAACGTTTCTCCAATGGATGCACTACTAACGTCGTCGCAAATTAGAGAAGTATTCGATACCCCAGACGCGCCGGACCGATTGCTGTTTTTGTTCTCGGTCGAACCGGCGGCGACGACGGCGTTTCTCAAAGATGCGCTTGATTCGTGGGACGCATCCGAGCGCGAGCTTTTTGAAGAAAACGCGAATGACCTCAACAGAACGACAGATCGAATGGCAGCACAGGTGGTATGCGACGCGGCATTGTTTGCGGCGGAATCTATCGAGGAAGAAACAACGTTTACGGCGGAGGAAATACTCAACGTAAGGCTTTTAGAAATTAAAAACAGTCTGCTGACGTTTGCGGCTGCGTTGGTTGGCACCGGACGCGTCTCGGTCGATCGCGATCGGGAATTCGCGCTACTCGAAGCGCTCACGGCTGGACCCGTAAAATCGTTACGCGAGCGGTCAGACGCCGCGTGTCTCATCGTCGCACAAACCGTCGACGATTTGACGCGGCGACATGGCGGCGCGAACGATACGAGCGCTGCCGTCGCGAAATACGCGCAGTCAAAAGTGTTCACATTGCTCTCTGATGCAAATTTTGCGCAAGCTATGACCGTATTACATCTCGCCGAGGGCGACTACGGCGCCGCATTGGAAACTTTAGCCGCGAAAGACGTTTTGATCCGTCCAAATTCAGCCGGATACTTTGCGGACGTTTTACTGGGTTGTGCGCCGGCGGGTGTTGAGGCAGCGAACGAAAACGACGCTGGTCCAGCAGTCGGTCGCGCTCGAGCGCTCCCGGCAGGCGAAGCAAGAGAAGCCTTTAAGAGATCGCTCTTGCACTCGGCGCCGAAAATTGCGGAAGTTAACGCCGCTATCGTCGCTCGATTAGGCGTCGCGCATTTCCCGGATCAGCAAGAAGCTGTTTTGAACGCGCTTTCTTCAAATCCTTTGTTTCAGTTTTGGTACCTGCGCGAAGTTTTAGCCGGCAAAAGCGCCACGGGAGGAGAAGGTCTCTTAGAAGCTACCACGCGCGGTGAGAACGACGACCACCAAACGCTCGCGCGTTTGATTGAAAGATCTGGCGTCAAGGTGACGGAAGAGATGAGCGAGCTGTACGTCAAGTTGATGTGTCAATTCGAGCCGTCGAACGTTTTACCGTTTTTAAAATCGCGCTCGGGTGGGTATCGGTTAGACGCGTGTTTGGAGCAGTGTCAAAGTTACGGCGTGGTGGATGCGTCGGCGCACATTTTGGAAAAAATGGGACGCGTTGGCGACGCGTTGGATTTACACGTTCAAAAATACGAGCAAAACGTGGAAGCGTTGTCGAATTTACGCAATAATCCAACGTCCACGACGGTTAATAAAATGTCAAAAGACGTCTCGCGCGGTTTCGCGATGGAAAGTTCAGAATCTCTCGATGCGGCTACCCGGTTATGTCTCCGTTGCGACACGTACAAGTTCATCGAGAGTGAAGCGATGTGGCATCGCTTATTGGATTGCGTCATTTCTGCTCGAATAACGTACGGTTCCTCAGGTCAATTCGTCGACCAGACGCTCCGCGAACACGTCGAACGCATCCTCCACGATACACTCGAGCGCGTCGCGCCAGAAAAAGTTCTCGGTGACGTCTTAAGAACGCGCGGGAACGAAAGTTTGCGCGAATTGCGTCGCGTTTTGACCGGTATTCTCGAAACCGTCGAAAGCGAGAAAGACGGCGTTCGAAAAGAAGAAAAAGTTTCAGAACGCAAAGTCCTCAAAGCTGCGGCTGAGAAATTGTGCGCTTTAAAAAGAGGTCGCAGAGCGAACGACGTGAAGTTAGTCGTCACGCAACAAATGAAGCAATCATCCTCGTCGCCTCTATCTTCATCGTCGTCGCGGCAAAAACGACCGAGGAGAAAATCGTTCACAAAAACGGCGACGACGACTCCAACGAGAACGCAACTCGCTCCAAAAACGCCGAGCAGCCTCAACCTTGCTTCGAGAAGAAAAAATCGATTGTTATAATCAAAAATGTATTGATAGTAATATTTGTACAAAAAACTACGCCTCGTTGTTGTCTTCTTCTTCTTCTTCTTCTTTGTGCGCGACGCGTCTTAATTCGCCTTGTGGGTTTTCGCTATATACAACCTCCACTTCTCCTTCAGCCACGTCTATTTTGCTTTCCGATCGAGCCATCCCATCAAACTTTGGCACAATCCACCCGCCTTTCACTGCTTTCGTTAAAGGCGGAATAAAATCTTGCTTTCTACTGACTAAGCCTTTCAACTCCATCAAATGCGTATTCCCGTCCACGAGCGCTCCGTCGTACGCGGCTTTCGCCAACGACTGTTCCGTTCTTCCGCACAAAACTAACGCGGACGTTAAATTTACGATATCTACAATAGCTAACAACATCGCGTGCACCTTCAACTCCTCTTTCACTTTACGCATTTCCGGTAACAATTCAATCAACCTGCTCGTCGCCGCTTCCGCGTCGGTCGTTTCGATGACGGAATACGCGATTTTAATCTCCTCGTCTCCGGCTTCTCCGGAATGAAACTTGAACTGTTTCATATCCCCGGAAACTAATTGATACGCGCTCATTACGCTCAAACTGTGCGATTTCGCTCGGAATTGTTTTGCGGCTAACTCGTTGATATCTTTCACCCCTATGTATTGCACTAACATGGCAACGATTCTTCGATCCCACTCCGTGGTCGTCGGCGACTTCAAGTTCAAAGTGTCCGATAAAATCGCCGACAGCAACATCCCGCCTATTTTTCTCGGTAAATATCTCTTGTACATTAAAAACGAGTGCGCGATAATCGCAGACATGCACCCCCACGGGCGAATGTCCACGAATATCGGCTTCTCCGTCACAATCGTGTTCGATTGCAACGCGTGATGGTCGATGATACCCACGATATTCTTCATCGGAATCGCCGGGTTGAGCTGACTTTGTTGTTGAAAATCCACCAAGCACACTTTAGACTCTTCCTCGATTAAATCCTCAATCTTCTCCGGCAACGAACAGTTCCAATATTCCAACGCAAACTCCGTCTCGCTGTTAATCTCCGACGCTCTCGCCGCCACTCCTCCGTGCAAAACCGCCGCCCCGATCGCCCCGGCTATGGAATCCAAATCCGTCACCACGTGTCCGCAAAACAACGCGCCTTTCAACTCCTCCGGTATGAACGAATCCGAACTCGCGTCGCCTTTCTTCGGTAATCGAAACAGTAACTCGTGCGCCGCCGACCATTCCGTCTCCACCGCTTCTTCCAGAGGCGTCTCGTCTCGTTCCGAGTACGCGTGGAAAGAGCGCTTTTTTAAACCTTCTTCACTCAGAAGCTTTTCCGCGCCCACGCCCATCTTTTTCTCTCTGACTTTATCCTCCTTTTCTTTCGCAACCGGGACTAACGGGACGGTTTCGACCAAAAAAAACGAAACCGCGATTGCAAAAACGAGAACGAACAAGGAGAGCGCGACTGAGAAGCGCTTTTGTTGTCGTTTTCTTCCTCCTCCTCCTCCTCCTCGCGATGGTGATGATGTCTCCGTCTTCGCAATGGTGAAAGTGGATATAAAATTATATTCCAATCTTGTGCGAAAGAAACTTTGCCTCCCTCTTTGCGCCTCAAACTCCAGAAGAGCTCTTCGGCGATCGCAGAGAACAACAGTTACAGAAACGTCTCTCGTCCGCGTCTTTCGTTCCCTCCTCCTCCTCGCGTTTTGAGAGCAGTGCTTACTCGTCAGAGAGTGATGAGAGATTAAAAACGTGCAGAAGTTGGGGAAAAAAGTGGCAGCCGAATCGCTCAAAAGACTGCACTTGTATCATGTTTGAACCGTGCCTGACGGACATCGAAATAATCCTCGCGTCCACGGACTGCGTGTTCAAAATCAACGACACCGTCCGCGGGGAAATTTTAATCAAAGTTCACCGCGAGGACGCGCCGTTGCATCACAACGGGATCGCGTTATCCGCAGTCGGGTCGGTTCGTTTGCAACTCAGCGAGAAAGACTCGTCGTTGTTAGACCAACTGTTCGCGACCGTGGACCCGATTGAAATGATGGACGCGTGCTTGGAACTGAAACCACCGGGGAAGTTACCGATTGGAACGCACGCGATACCGTTCGCGTTCGCGCTGAGCCCGACTGTGTTTCATCGGTCCACGTATTACGACGGGTATCGAGCGGTTTCAGGTGGGAGCGGGTCGCACAAGCTCTGCGAGACGTTTCACGGGCAAAACGTGCAGGTGGTGTACGGCGTGGAGGTGGAAATTATGCGGCCGTTACTCAGCGGAGGGTCGATTTCGACCGGAATGTGCGAGTTTCTGGTCGAATCCAGAGCGGAGGAGGAAGGGGTGAAGCGAGTGGAGCAGTCGATGCCGAGGAAATTCGCGTTGGAGAGGTTCGACGAGACGGAGGAGGATTTGAAAACGAAGAAGAAAAAGAGCACGTCAAAGGAGGAGGAGAATAGCAGCGATGGTGGAAATGCAAACTTAAAAGAGTTTGAAATACGCGGCGAGCTTTCCAAGACGTCTTATTTTATCGAAGAACCGATCGAAGGATTCGTGGAAATCGTCTCGCACCCGCGAAATCGGAAAAACCAACTGAAGAAAATCGAAGTTGAACTCGAACGCGTGGAAACTGTTATTTCCGCCGAAGGAACGAGGTCGACGGAATCTTCTGCGGTCCAGTTTACGCAAATCGTCGACGACGGCGCCGATGTCAGCGAGAACGTTCGCGTGCCTATTCACGTGACGTTTCCGAGACTGTACGCGTGTCCGTCGGTGGCGCACGCGACGTTTAGCGTCGGATTCGCGGCGAAAATCATAGCCACGTTCGATGACGGCGTCGACGACGAAGAGGACGGCAGCAGCAATGCGTATAATAACAGCAAAACAACGTTCAAGAAAAAAAGTAAGAAGAAAAAAGAGCGAACGAGCTCGATATCGATTCCTATCAGCGTCCATCGAGCGCCAGAAAATCTTGGTTCCGGAGAGAAGACCATACTCTGAGAGTTCCATCTTTGCAAAAATACGCGACAAAAATGGTGGTTCTAGTAGTAGCAGTAATAACAGTAGGAGTAGCAGAGATAGTTTAGAGCAGAGCAGTAGACAAACGACCAAAGCGTGTAGTAACTGAATATGATGACTAACACGAAAAGTAGATAGAGTATTTAAATAAAAACAACACACAACGCGCCGATACCAACGCGATACGCTATTATTAACCGCTCTCGCTGGTATCGTCGCCCACATCTTCCTCCTCGTCCTCCTCGGAATCGATAAAATCCTTCTCGTACTCGTCGTCCTTCCTCTTCCCACCACCCTCCGTCGTCTTTTGCTTCTTCTTTCTCGACTCCTCCTCCGCGTCCTTCGCTCGCCTTAACGCTTTCTCCTCTTCCTCTTCCTCCTCCTCCTCCTCGTCTCCTCCCCCACCCCCACCGGGTGCGTTCAACCGTTCGCACGCGTCGATCCAATCTGAATACACGTCGATCGCGGCGGATAAATCGTCGATCGTGCACGCGTATTTTTGTCCGCACACCGAGCATTCCACTAACCCTTTGTATTGTTGAAAGTCCAATTTCGCGGTGACCGATTTGTCGTGATTGCAAAACGGACACGTGAATTGCGTGTCCAATTTCGGTTGGACCTTTTTCGGCGGTGGGGCTTTCGATTTGCGTTTGCCCATCTTATTTCAAAACGTACGCACCACCACGCAAGAGTCTTCGTTCGGTAAAAGTGCTCTCGTTGTTCTTCGTTTCGTAGCGCTTAAAAGTCGTCGTCTTCGAAGAGTAGTAGGAAGAGTGAGCACAAAGCGTGCAAGTAGTAGTTCTCTGACGTCCAAATTTGCTCTTTTTTTGGGCTGTCCTTCACATCAGAATTTTTCAGAATTTTTCATTTTTTGGTCCATCGTCCATCTTTTTTCCATCTCGTCTTCTTTTGGATATTCTTCAGATATTGTTACATAAACGTGTCGTTTGTGTGAAAAACTCACTCTCTCTCTCACTCTCTGCTTTGAACACTCACATCACACACGCACACTCTTATTCGGATCGTACGATGATGAGTTTTTCTTCCGTATCTTCCGCGACGACGACTGCGACGACGACTTCTTCTTCTTCCCTGTCGTCAAAAAGATCAGCGAAGATGATGATGATGATGAAAAAAAAACAATCGTCATCAAAGACGATGATTACCACCATAACGCGAGCGGCGGCGGACCGACCGGAGACGACCAGGGTCCCACCGACGAACCCGGAAGGGATGCCAGTCGTTCCTCCGCAAGACTTAGCCTCTCGACCGAGAAGAAACAGACGATCGCAAACGGTTCGCAAAGCGTTCCAAGAGACCATTTTAACGCCGGATAACTTCATTTATCCGATTTTCGTCCACGACGAAGGCGACGAGAACATTCCGATTGGCTCTATGCCAGGTCAGGATCGATTATCGTTTAAAACTGGGATGATTAAGAAAGTCGCGGAAGCGAGAGCGGCTGGGGTGAACCAGGTCGTCGTTTTCCCGAAAACGCCGGATCGTTTGAAGACGCCGTGCGGGAAGGAAGCGTTTAATCCGCAAGGTTTGGCGCAACGATCGATTTCGTTGTTGAAGGATACGTTTCCGGATTTGGAGGTGTACACGGACGTGGCGTTGGATCCGTACAACACGTTGGGGCACGATGGTATGGTTCGATCGGATGGGGTGATTTTGAACGACGAGACGGTGTATTATTTGTGCCAACAAGCCGTGTCGCAAGCGAGAGCCGGCGCGGATGTCATCTCGCCGTCTGATATGATGGACGGAAGAGTTGGAGCCATCAGACAAGCGTTGGACGACGAAGGCTTTACGCATGTGAGCATCATGTCGTACACGGCGAAGTATAACTCGGCGTATTACGGACCGTTTAGAGAGGCTTTGGATTCGGCGCCGCCGCCCGGCAGCGAGGGGTGGAAGATCCCGAAAGATAAAGCAGAATACCAAATGGACCCAGCGAACGTTCGCGAGTGCTTGAGAGAATCCGCATTAGACGAAGCGGAGGGGGCGGACATTATGATGGTGAAGCCAGCTGGTGCGTATTTGGACATCATCAAGATGTTGAAGGACAACACGACGTTGCCGATTTCGGCGTACCAAGTTTCCGGCGAGTACTCCATGTTGAAAGCGGCCGCGGCTGCCGGGTACTTGAACGAAAGAGCGGCGGTTTTGGAATCGTTGATGGCGATTAAGCGCGCCGGTGCGGACTTGACGTTGACCTATTACGCCATCGATGCCGCGAGATGGTTGCAAGACTCTTAAATTTTTTAAATTATAATAAAAACTAATACTGTTTGGTAAAACAACAAAGGAAGCTAATTTTTCTCTCTTCTATTATTATGCTGCGGTGGTGCACCATTCACTCTCTCTTTTCTCTCTCTTAAAATCTTCGACCGAAATTAATAGAAAAACCCGAGCACCTTGCCCCCAACCTTGCGGCGTCTCGCTTCCTCGTGGTCCATGATCCCCGACGAAGTCGTCATGACGATGGTACCGAACAAACGAGACGGCAACAAGCGCCCGACCCACTCCTCGATGTCGTGGTGCGACAAATCATATCTCGGCGAGATGACGCCGCACTTGTTGATTCTCCCGTTCAGCTCGACGACAATCTTACCCGCTCTGTGATCGTCGATGTATTCGAACTCGTTGATGTAGCCTGTTTATTTCGTAAAGACAGAATAAGAGAGGGGAAATAATGTCAATATTCATACAACGACGAACGACGCGGTAAAAATAGAGACTCGAGCGAAAAGCGCGTGGTGTCCTCTCTCTCACTAGGGCCCAGGGGGAGAGAGATCCGTCCATTTCACCCTCTTTTTCTCTCTCTTTCTCTTTTCTTCCCGCGGCAAAGCGCGCGTGAACGCCGTCGACGCACACCATCTCTTCCTTCGTTCCTCTTCTCGCCGTCGGCGATAAGAAAGAGAGAGCGTTGAAAAGAACACCAACGAAAAGCTCGGGCGAGAGATCCGGGAAAAATTCCATTAGGGTCCGACGTCCTCCCCGAAAACAAAAAGAACATGACTAAAAGTAAGTACGTACCGTGCTTTTGCATGACTTGTAAGAATTTAATGACCACCTTGGACACCGGGCGGACTAATACCTGACGCTTTCCACGCTTTTCGGCGTTGTACATCGCCTGCGTAGTGATGATGATAAAGAAAAAGAGAGCGGTTGTGTGAGTACAAAATTTACTCGCGAGAGAGACGACACATCGACACTTTGATGCGCGTTCAAAAGGACTTCTCTCGAGGAAGGCGACGAGTGGACTTTGAGAGCCAACCTTTGACGCCGACGTCTTCTCTGAAGTCAGTCGTCGCGTCGCAGTCGTCGTTCGTCGAAGGCGTTGAAAACGTCTCGAGAAAGCCCCCTCCGCCCCCCTCTCTCGGTTCCGCAGAGAGCGCGAAAGAGCGCAAAAGGAGGAGAGAAAACAAAAAAAAAATCAACGTTCGCCGAAACGACGAACGCGCGAGGCACCGCGACGACGACGCGACCATTTCCTTCGCCTCGTCGCGTGTAATTCGCACGAAGTGCATTCGTAATCGCCTACCTTTAACGTGTCGTTGAGCACAGAAATTCGGACCATGGTTTAATAAGTATCTACTCGCGTAAACTTAATGACGCGTAACGTGGGATTTTGGTCCCAGTTTTTGGGTCTTGCGTTTTTTTGTCTCTCGAGAGAAAAACTGATGATGTTTTTGGGAAAAAAGAAGAGAGAAAAGAGAGCGGAGTGACAACACAAACGAGAGGGACAGACACACACACAAAAGAGCACGTAATATGTCTTCATCCAAAGCGACAAAGCTGGCGTCGGATCGCCGCAGATGGTGGGCTTTGGCGAAACGCGCGCAGATGATGAATCTTTTGGGGAAGAAAGGAGGAGGGAAAGGCATGCCGACGTTACCGAATCCCGACCCGAAGAAACGAGAGATTCATTTCCCGAATCTCCATTTGCGCTTGGTCGCCCCGACCGAGGAAGCGAGGATGCGAGGCATCGAAGTCGCGACGTTTATAACCACACCGAACGTGACAAAGACAGAGATTAAGACGTTTTTGACGGACGTGCACGGGATTGAGGTGTTGAAAGTGGACACCGCGAATTACGAAGGGAAGAAGAAGAGAAATTTAGAGCGGGGGAATTTGTTCCGGAAACCGGATTATAAGAAGGTGTACGTGACGCTGGGGCAGCGATGGTTTCCTCCGGAAAGGTTTTGCGTTCCGAGTAAATGAAAGTGATATTTTAGATACAACAAGTTAGGTAGTAGCTCATACAACAACACACATAGTTTGATTCGTTATCTCCGTAGCAGAGACGTTTGTATATTACATAGCGGTACAACAGCGTATATTTTACAACTCGCCGCAGTTCTCAATCATAGCTTTCACGCCCGGTTGCGGTTTCGTTTTGTCCAAGGCGTTGATGGCCCAAACGATGTCTTCACCAGATACGACTTCCCCAAAAATCGTGTAGTGCGTATCCAAATGTGGCGCCGGCGCGACGACTATTGAAAAGTGGCCCGTGTTGGTATTTGGACCTGAGTTGGCACTCGAGAGGAGTCCGAATCGATCGTGTTTTAAGCTATGTAACCCGTAGTCGTCGTCGTCGAACCTTTCCACGCCTTTTGATTTTACAGGGCCAGTTTGATCTATAAATTTATCGAGAATCCTATAGAAATGGGATCCTTTATAGCCGTCGTCATTTAGGCCTTGATTTTTGAGAAGCGCTCGAAACGCGTCGACGTGATTTGGACAGTCTTCTGCGTACAATATAAATTCTATGCGACCGCGAACGGTACTACCAATAGAAACATCAAAGAACGCCTTCACGTTCCCTGCTTTCATCCTTTGTTTCCTCCTCACCTCCTCTTCTTTCCTCTTCTCGCCTTGCGCGGAGAAGAACTCTTCGTTGGTATACAACGCTCCAGACGTCCATCGCACGTCCATTCCTTCCGACATCTTCACGCGCATAGCGCTGTTTGGCTCTTGTTTTTTCAACCAACACTCGCCAAACTTCCGTCCAGAACATCCGTTCGACCTATCGCCGCAAAACACGAACGCGTTGCACCCCTCGGTCGCCTCGCACGCTCGACAACATTCGTCCGCGGAATTCAAGATGTTATTCTCCCCCCATTTTCCAACCACTGCACCGGCGTATTCGGAGTGCAAATCGTACGGCAGACCGCATTTACCACCGATTTTATCTCCGTCCTCTATCCGTGGTCTCTTTCCTTGTTCTTCTTTACCTTCTTCTACTGCTACTCCCTCGTCGTTATTATTAAAAGTTTTCTTCAATTCCTTCGTATCTTTACCACCCGTAATCCTTTCTTGCACTTCTTCCTCGGCTGCTCGAAATTGCGCCGCCGCCAACCCGCGATGGTCGTGCGATCGGGACAGTTTCGCTAAAAACGTGAAAAACACCACGAGGAATGCGAAGCAGAGCAGCTTTTTTTTGATGTTGTTCGTCGATCGCCTCCTCGTCGTCGCGCTCATCATGATGTGATGCGTTTTTGTCACGATAACCACCCCCAAGTTTGAAAAATTTCCCGACACTCTTTCTTTTATTAATCGACGAAACGCTTATTTTAACACACACACACACACACAACAAAAATAACTAACAACAGAATAATAATGTGCGTGCTGTGCGCGATCGTGAACGCCCTGGAGAAGGCGAAGAAGAAAATTCCACTCTCCTTTTCGAATGCAAAGGAAGAGGAGAAGAAGAACGTCGAAGAACGTTTGAACGGGAACACTTCTTCGTCTCTTTCGTTCGTGGATGAGATCATAAATGAGAAGAAAAAAAAGCGCGTTGACACAAACAAAAATGTTTCAAAAGAATCGCTCGAGGAGGAGTTGAAAGAGCTCAGGAATTGGTCTTTCGATGCTTTTACGTACGCGTCTTCGAAAGATAAAGAGTTCCCTTTGGCTCGATTGTTTATGGCCGCGTTCGATGTCTTCGCGAACGGAGGCGTTGGCGAGAGGAAACGAGAGGACGTGAAGGAAATATTCGCTTTAATCAATCGCGAGAAGTTGTTCGAATTCGCGCAAAGCATCGAGCATGGGTACGTGGGTGTCGATGCGTTGCCGTATCACAACGTCGCGCACGGTTGTGAAGTCGTGCACGCGACATTTGCGATTTTGACGGACGTGATTACCGAGGAGACGGTCATGGATCCGCTCTCGGTGTTTTCGTTGCTCGTCGCAGCAATCGGGCACGATTGTTATCACCCGGGGTGCGATAACGCGACGTTGGCGAAAGATCGCGTAGATATTAAGCGACGGTATAACGGCCAATCGCTCTCGGAAATGGTTTCGTGCGAAGTCACTTTGGAGTTGTTGCGAAGGTCAGGCGCGTTGCAGAGCGACGATGGTTTAACGACTTCTCAAATCGCATTCGTCGAAGATGTCGTGGCGACGAGTATTCTGAGCACGGATTTATCGAAACACGAGGAAAATTTGAAGAAGAATACGGCTGAAAACGCTGCTCAGATCGTGCTCAAATCGGCAGATTTGGCGCACTTTGCTCGTCCGCGAGAAGTACATTTGAAGTGGGTTCACGCGGCTATGGATGAGCAAAGGAGAAATACGAAACGGCAGGTTGGTGTGAAGGACGGTCACGTTGATTGGAAAAATCAAGTTTTTTTCGCGGAAACGTTCGTACTTCCAACGTTCGCGACGCTTTCCGGAAACGTCTCGGTAGGCTCCACACCGATGTACGAGTATGCAAAAACGAACGTCGAGAAATCGAGAGAACTTATCGTTTGAGGAACTGTTTCATCAACGGGTACCAATGATACCAACGAGCTATTAGTAGACTACAACTAATATAATACACAGTATTCTACAAACCACGACCGTGGTTTCTTCCTCTTTCACTTCGCGCATCTGACCCGTCGCTTTCAATCGCGTGGTACAATCCATTACTCGAACTCGATTTCATGGCACTTCCGCCTCCGTTCGTATTGATATTCGCGTTGTTCAAAAACGGCTCATTTCGCCACGTTCCATTCGGCATGATGTGTCTCTGTGCGATTTTATACTCCAAGTTACTTCTATCGACGGTTTTCGAGACGCGGTATCCGCTCATTTTTGGCCACAACGCCATGTGCAACTGCGCGTCCAACGCCGCCACCGCGGCAAAGATAAAATCGGCCAAAGGCATGAGCAACCATTGGACTTGACTGGTAATTTGCCACCACAATGGCGCCGAGTTCGCCTCAAAATACTTTCGATCTTGCACGAGAAACATTCGGACGTAAAAGTCGCAGACTATATAGGCCCACGTGGCAAACAAAATCGGACCAAACGCAATTAACGCCATCGCGCGAATACCGATCCCAAACGGATATGTCTCCAGCTCTGGATTTAACCAAGCCGACATCATCCCCCCGAGCATAACGGTTAAAAAATACGACGACCAAGAAACGTGGTGTTCAATGACGTCGACGAAGAGCATGAATGCGCCGTGTTTGTCCAACACGTTTCTTTTTTGGTACCATTGCGATAAGATGTACGATAAATCAATCGCGCCCCAGGCGTCGCGTTTGGCGCGACGATATCGAGATCGCATGGCGCTAAACCAATTCGTATGTTCTTGCGCGTTATTTCCGGTGAGCATGAATATAGGCACCAGTCGGAAATGACCGTCCTTCTTGAAGAAACATTTCATAAAGTGATGGAAATCATCCGGAACAACGTCTACGTCCCACCCGTTGACGTCCATAATCGTCCTCAACGATTGCGAGTAACACACGTACGGGTAAGGCACCGCGTATTTAGAGGACAGCATCCCTAACATGTTGATTGAATCCACCACCGCCTTCACTCTTACTAAAGTCGGAACCATCCATATATTCGGAAACTCATTCTCGGCGGATTGATACGTGCAATTATACGGCTCCATGTTCTGCGCGTGCGTGTAACTCAAACACTCGCAAAACTGTTCGTCAAAGTACGTATCCGCATCACAAACAGTCACGAGAATCTGTTCTGGAACGTAGTTCCATTTTTCCAAGATCGTGTGTTGCACGCATCTCGCGCACCAGGCCACGTTACTGGACTTTCCATCCGTCTCCGCCGGGGATATTTTTTCGTGCACGGTGTAAAATAAGCCCAACAAATTCTTACTGTACTCCTCAATTAACGCCTCTACTTTCTCTATGGCTTCTTTATCGTTCTTTTCCGTGGCTATAACAACGATAACTTTACCCTTTGCGCAGGTTTGCGCAACTAGCGTGTTCAACGTCTTTCTCAACACATTCAACGGTTCCCTGTACGTCGGGACGATGACGACGTGCCTCAAATCGTTGAACTTCTCTGCCAAAGTCCTCTTCTCCTTGTTATCTAGCTTCGACGTCCACGTCGGAATATCCATATTCCGTCTCTGTTTGCTAACCGTCGCGCTCGTGTCGTAATCTTCCTTCACGCTCCCGAGGGAACTCGGATGCGCCATCCCCAACGGCTTCCCGTCCTCCTCGGAAACGCCCAACGTTCGTTCCAACAACGGACTCTTCTTCCGACTATCGTTCCCTAATTGCTTCCAATCCGCGGTTTTATACAAGTGTGCCCGCGGTACTCCAATAAACAGCGCCGAAAACGAATACAAAATCCCTTTAAACCACCCGTAGGAGATGAACGCGCATATAAAAAACACCGCGAACGGTGGGAACAACAACGCTCCCCAATACAAAACGAACGAAAGTAACGTCGCGGTGAAGAACAGAGGCGTGGCAAAACCAAGTCTGGCGAGAAGAACGTCTCGTCCTCGCTGTTGCTCGCCACGCGCGAATTCCAGTTTCGTTCCTTCGTGCGGCGTGTTTAAAAACCCAGTCGTTCTGATCGCGTTGTTGTTGTTGTTGTTGTTGTTGTTCCTGTTCACCCCGTGCTTGTTGTTTTGTGCGTTGGATTCTTCCGCTTCAGAGCGCGGCATCATTTTTCCAATTCGTCGCGTTTGTATCTTCTTATGGGGACAAACAGAGGGTTTGGGGGCACACGTTTTACCACCACCACTTTCACCACCACCACTTCTTCTTCGTCTTCTTCGGTATTTCAAACGCTCTCTGCCTCTCCGACGCTTTGACGCTCTCTCTCTCGTGATGCTTTCCTCCTCCTTTTTCTTCTCCTCCTTTCCTTGCAAGGAGTCGCTAGGGTTGTAAACCCTAAACAATTCCAAAAGGAAAAGAAAAATTCAAAAAAAAAAGCTCCAGAAGAGCAGAGACGCGAGCACCCGAACGCAACAAAAGAGAGAGAGCGAGAGAGAGAGATCAGAGTTTTGCGGTCTTTTATTACTGAAGTAACGGTTTTTGCCTTCTCTTTTCTTCCTCTTATTTATATATAAATAAAGAGAGATTCGCCGTTGTGTGCATGCTTCTTCTTCGAAAAAAAGGAGGAGCGAATTTAAAAATGATGCAGATGCGATATCCGGTTAATGGCTTCTTTAACGGCCGAAAGACAACCTCCCCTTCCTCCTCTGCCCTTTTCTCGTCGTCTTCGTCTTCGTCTTCTCCTTCTGCTCTGCGGAGAGGAAGAAGAACGTATGCGAGCAAAGCAAATAAGACGACTAATCCGAAGAAAATTATTCTTTCCCAAGAAGCTCGAGAACAAACGCACTTGCAAAGACTGCATTTGAAAGACTTCGCGTTGGTCTCGCAACAGACCATCCATTTTTCGCCGGGATTGAACGTCATTACCGGTAAGTCAGGGTCTGGGAAATCGGTTTTGTTATCCGCGATCGATCAAATTACCGGCGCGGCTGGCCGAGAAGATTCGATTCGAGTCCCGGCGAAGACGGCGAAAATAGCCGCGACGTTTTACTGCGCGGAAGATACGGTGCGGAAACTTCGTCGGTGTTTGTTAGAGAACGGGATGGATGTCGAATCTTTGTTGAACCGAGAAGGCGCGCAAACGGTGGACTTGTATCGCGAGTTACAAAGCACCGCGAATAACAGGTTGCGATCGTTGTGCAAGATTCAAAACAAGGCGATTCCGGTGAAAGTGTTGCGTCAAATCGGAAACATTTTGATTGATTTCAACGGCCAAAACGCGAGTTTAGCGTTAGCAAATGAAAGAGCGCAGTTGGATGAACTCGATAGTTGGGCGAACGTGAAGCAATACGGAGATGCGTTTGAAATTGCCATGCAAAATGTTCGAATAGCTACCAAATTAGTCGAGGCGAACGTCGAGTTAACCGAGGAGGAGAAGGAGGAAATCGAGGCGATTTTGGACGCGTTTTACAAAGTCGATCCGGTTCCGGGCGAAGATGCAAAGTTAAAGCTCGAATTGAGACAGATGGAAAGTCAGAGATCGAACTGGGAGACGTGCGCGTCGGCGTTGAATTCGTTATCGAACCACGAGTCTGGATCCAAAGCGTCCTTGAAGGAAGCGCTGTACGAATCGAGAAGCGTGCTCTCTCAGGCGGAAAGGAGAGCCGACCAAAAAAAGCCCGTTGGCGAGAACGACGACAACGGCGAAGAAGCCGGTGGGGAGGAGGAGGAGGGCAAGGATGAAAATAGTGAGGATATTGAGGCGTTGTCCGAGGCGATTGAGTTACTCCACGAGGCGGAAAACGCCACGGACAGAGCCGAAGACATGTTACAAAGATACATGGAATCCTTAAATTCGCGACCGGAGCGAAGAGAAGAAATTCAAGAACGACTGCGCGATCTCGACAAGCTCGGCAAAATGATGGGTAAAGGCATTCGCACGGCCACCTCAATGTGTGAGATTGCGGATGAATTGCGAGACAAGTTGGACGCCGCGGCCACTTCCGAGGACGAAAAAGAAGAAAACGAAGAAAAATTACGTTCGGCGAGAGCGAAAGCGGCTAGCTTAGCTTTAGATTTAGCCGTTGCGAGACGCGACGCCGGTTCGAGTTTACGCACAAACGTTACGGCTGCGATGGAATCTTTGGAAATGCAAGGCAGTAGATTCGACGTCACGTTGTCTTGGACGCCTTCTTCGTCCTCCTGGCGAGGAGAACGCGGCGATGATGAGGACGATGAAGAATCCGAGGATAACGTTAGCCACATAGAATCGACGGATTCCGGAGACGAAATAATTGATTTGGAAAAAACGTCGATTTTAAAAGCGAACGAGTTACAAGTCCCGGGATGTGGGGAAATCGGCGAAGACGAAACCGCGGCTTACGTGGTCCGTCCCCGCGGTCTCGATCGCGCGACGTTCCTCTTAGCCCCAGGTGCCTCGGAACCGTTACGTCCGATGAGTTCCATAGCCAGCGGCGGCGAAAAAGCGAGATTGATGCTCGCCATGAAAATGGCTCCCGCCATGGGCGAACGAAACGTCCGCAAGAACGAAACATCCGAATCTCCAACCATCTCCGTCTTTGACGAAGTCGACACCGGCGTCGGCGGGCGCGTCGGCACCAAAATTGGCGCCGCGCTCAAAAAACTCGCCCTCGACGGTTCCCAACAAGTCTTATGCGTCACCCATCTCCCTCAAGTCGCCGCGTTTGGCGAAACTCACGTCCGCGTCCGCAAGGAAGAAGACGATAAAGACGGTCGCCAAACCATCGCGTTCGACGCCATCGAAACCGAAATCCGCTTGGAAGAAATCGCGGACATGTTAGGCATCGGCAACGAACAAGGCTTGGAGAACGCCAAGAGGTTGTTGCAAGATGCCACGCATTAAATATTTATTATGTTGTACTCTTACGCCGTCTGTTTTAATAGTATTAAGATACTGATCCTTTCTACTGGTATACTAATTTCTCCTCGCGTATTTTTTTTTTGAAGCGCCGGTGGGAGGAGTGAGATGCCGACTACAGAGTCGTAAGAAATACACTTGTTTGTCATGCTCGTTGAAAAAGCGTCTTTTGGGAGTCTAATAAATTTAAAAGAGTCAGAAATTAATTTAAAAGGCGGAGTCAGAATTAATTTAAAAGGCTATCCTTCTCTCGTTTTCGTCACTTTAAATCACCACGCTTTTGCCACACACGCTCTCGAGAGAAGTCGTCGTGTATTACCACTCAAAATGGAGTCGGCGATGATCATCGAGGACGAGGAGGTGTTGAAAGAAAAACGGCGCTCGTCGGACGCCGAGCGCGAAAAGACGACGGGCGGCTCGACGTCGTTGTCGCCGAGACGACGGGAGCATCAACCTCATCATCATCATCATCATCAAGGTTTGTCGTCGTCGTTCGAGGACGAGATAATGAAGAAAGCAGGGGGTGGTGGTGGTTTGTCGTCGTCGTCTCAGGTGCAACAACCGCAGCGGCCGAAATCGCGAGGACCTCCCCCTGGTGGGAAAACGAAGGAGGCGCGCGAGTCGTCGTCGGCGACGGATTTAGCGCGATTGGAAGACACGACCCGGGTGGATCGATTAATTCGCGAACGAGAACAAATGCGAAGGAATCGGTCGTTTTCGATTTTGGACGACGATATGAAATCGGAAGTCTCCGGGGCGCGCGAGGATTTGGATCAGAAGAGCACGTCCGAGGGGGAGAATCAACCGTCGGTAGTTGGTGTGGATGTGCAGGATAAGATTGCACAGGCGGCGCAAGCGTCTACTGGACGATTGATTATCGCGGCGAATCGACTTCCCGTGAGCGTGAAGAAAGGCGAAGACGGGAAGTGGGGGTTGACGATTTCTAGTGGAGGGTTAGTGAGCGCTTTGTTAGGGGTGGGGAAGAGTTACGGTATGTTGTGGGTCGGGTGGCCCGGGGTGTTCATCGACGAAGGGCCGGATAGAGACGCGTTGACGGAGACGTTGTTGGAGAAGAGATGTCTGCCAATTTGGTTGACCCGGAACCAAGTCGAGTTGTATTACAACGGGTATTGCAATAACATTTTGTGGCCGCTGTTTAATTACGTTCCGTTGACGTTTGAACCGAAACTGAGTTCGACGAAAGATATGGCCAGTCAATGGTTGGCGTATATTTCCGCGAATCAGTTGTTCGAGGAGGCGATTATGAGCGTGTTCGTACCCGGGGATATCGTTTGGTGCCACGATTATCACTTGATGTTGTTACCGCAGATGTTGAGGAAAAACGACGATAAGATGAAGATTGGATGGTTTTTACACACACCGTTTCCGAGTTCGGAGATATATAGGACGTTACCGATGAGAGAAGAGTTGCTCATTTCGGTTCTGAAGGCAGATTTGGTCGGGTTTCACACGTACGATTACGCCAGGCATTTCGTGTCCTCGTGTTCGAGAATTCTAGCATTTGAAGGGAGACCGGATGGCGTGGAAGACGGAGGAAATTTCACGAGAGTGGCGGCGTTCCCGATTGGGATCGACCCGACGCGTTTCCACGACGCGTTGGCGACGAAAGTGGTGCAAGATCACATCTTGGTGTTGAAGGCGAGGTTTAAAGGACGGAAGGTTATGTTGGGCGTCGATCGTTTGGATATGATCAAAGGGATTCCGCAGAAACTGTTGGGATACGAAAAATTTCTAAACGAACACCCGGAGTGGCGAGACCAAGTTGTTTTGGTACAAATTGCCGTCCCGACGCGATCGGACGTTCCAGAGTACCAAAAGTTGACGTCGCAAGTGCACGAAATCGTCGGTAGAATTAACGGGAGGTTTGGGACGTTAGGGTCGGTTCCAATTCAACACTTGGACTGCTCTTTATCTTTTGCAGAATTGACCGCGTTGTATGCGGTGACTGATTGTTGTTTAGTGACGTCGTTGCGTGACGGGATGAATTTAGTCTCGTACGAGTACGTCTCGTGCCAAAGTCAAAACGCGGGCGTTTTGATATTGTCAGAATTTGCCGGCGCGGCGCAATCTTTGGGCGCTGGATCGATTTTAGTGAACCCGTGGAACGTGACAGAAGTCGCGCAAGCCATCGACGACGCCTTGACGATGCCGGAAACAGAACGAAGGGAGCGACACAAGTTTAACTTTTCGCATGTTGAGGTGCACACGTCGCAAGCGTGGGCGGATACGTTCATCGCCGAATTGAATGATACGCACGTAGAAGCTGAGTTGAGAAGATTACGAATTCCGCCGCGGTTACGCGCGAGTGATTTGATTGGTCCATTCACTGAATCGAGACAACGATTGGTTATTTTGGGATTTAACGCGACGCTGACAAAGAAAGATTCGCGTTCTCAAGCCGATCGTATAAAAAGCCGAAACGTAAACAAAATCATCAAACCGAAAACTGGCGATGTATCGCCGTTACACAGCGTTTCGCAAGAGTGCATCGCGAGATTGTGCGACGACCCAAATACGACCGTGTGCATCTTTTCTGGTTCAGAAAGACACAAGTTGGCGAAGAAGTTTGCCGTTTTACCGAAAGTTTGGATCGTCGCCGAAAACGGGTGCTTCATTCGCCCGCCGTTAATCACGAACGACGACGAGAACGAGGACAATAACGGCGACGACGACGATCAGGACGACGAAGACCACAGAGAAGAAAAGAAAGACGTCTTTAAAGTCCCGAAATTACCTCCGAAATGGCATACGCTCGTCGAAATGTCGCAACTTGATTGGCTCGAATCTGTTCAAGTCGTTTTCGAATACTTTTGCGAACGCACGCCGAGGAGTTACGTGGAAATTCGCGAAACTTCTTTGGTGTGGTCGTATAAGTATTCCGATCCCGATTTCGGGCGACAACAAGCGCGTGATTTGCTCCAGCATTTATGGACTGGGCCGATATCAAACGCGAACGTTGATATTATTCAAGGCATGAAATCGGTGGAAGCGAGACCGGTTGGACTTTCCAAAGGCGTCGCTGTCGATAAGATTGTACAGATGATTGCTAGAGACGGTAAAGGCGGTCAGAAAGAAATCGACTTTGCCTTTTGCGCTGGCCATTTTCTCGGCCGCGATGAAGATATTTTCACGTATTTGGATTCGCACACGGGTGATCACGACGTATCCGCGGAATCCTCGCGAGGCGGCTCTCCCGTGGATAAACAAGGGAACACCAAGAACGGCTACTCGCCGACGGAATTATCGTCGGGACTTGCGGATTCGTTCAAACAAGTCAACATCAACGGCAACGGTGATTTCAGAGACGATGCGTCTGGGCGCGAAACGCCACCAACCTACGAAACCGTAGATAGCGAGAACAATCCGCTTGTCGTGACGCCGATGAAACTCCCCGAGCGCTCGGCGCCGAGACGCCAATCCTCATTCCGAGGTGTCTCGGGAGTGCAAGGCTCATCGGCGGAGAAAACCGGCGAATTAGGAGGTCAAGGTCCTTCGTATTTGCACCCGAACGAATCGTTCGCGGAATCTCTCGGTTCTGTCGTCGAGACAAAAAAGAAAAAAGCGGACGTTCATTTCGGCTCGGTATTCACGTGTACGGTTGGACGCAAGCGTTCACCGGCGCATTACTTTGTGGACGACTCGGACCAAATCGCGGAATTGCTCATCGGTTTAGTCAACAACATGCACGATGGTAAGGGTTTAATCGAGCTTTTGCAATTTAACGACGTCGGCGACGAGGTCTCGCAAGAACCTCCGGAAAGAAGTCTTTCGCGAGCGCGTTCGGTGGACGAGTTCCATCAGTTTGCGTCGCAGAAACAACAAGAATCGAAACCAAGAACGCGAAGAAGCTCGATCGATTTCGAACGATTCGCGAATAGCCCAAACAAAGCTGGTTCGATGGTGAATCTCCCATTAGGTCGCGAAGGAAGTACGTCTCTATCGTCTTTACAAGAAGCGGAATATCAACCGAGAAACGGATTGGAAGGAGGCTTTACCAAAAGTTAACGAGAAGAAGAAGAAGAAGAAGAAGAAGAAGAGAGAGGGAGAGAGAAAGTAAAATCAAACTCACACTGTACAAACAAACATAAAGAGTCAAAAATATTGTCCATATAGCTACAGTACAACACATATCAGATACTATACATTACAACACGCAATCTATTACAATTCATCTCGTTTTGGTACATTTTATTTTCTATGCGCGCGTGGTGTTATTTATCGTTGCTCCTCGTCGTCGTCCTCGTTATCGCTACGAAATCTACTCCTCTTCAACTCCAAAATCGAATCGTATAACTGCTCGTCCTCTAAAACTGCTTTCAACTCGGAGATACCAACCCCATCGACTACGGACGTCACCATCGCCCCGCTTTCTTTCAACATCTTTGCCGCTGCCTCGGTACTTTTCGCATCCTTCTCCGTCCACGTGCTCTCTAAACTCTCGTCCAATTTCCCGCCTAAAGCGGGGACTAACTCACACTTGCTCAAAACGTCCAACCACGGTCGTCGGCTCGCAAACCTTTCGCGCAATTCCTCTCGCAACGCCAATTGGTCTTCCACGCTCGTTCCGCTCAACCCACTCAAATCGGTCACGAACACCGCGCACACCGGTAAATGTTCTAAAGTCGCGATGGCTAATCGTTCAATCTTGTTTCGCTCTTCGTCCACTCGAAAAATCAACCCGGGAGTATCCGTCACCACGTGCCGTCTGTCTTCGATGAAAAAATGTCCCATGATTACCCCTCTCGTCGTGAACGGATAATTGTTCACCTCGGGCACTCCGCTCGAGACACTCCTCACGAGACTCGATTTCCCTACGTTTGGAGCCCCGACCATAGCCACCGTCGGCGTCTCCAACTCCGCCACCGGCAATCGTCTCAACTTTTTCGCCATCTCCTTCAACTTTTCAAACTTTGCTTGCGACTTTACGAACCTTGCCTCCATATTTTTAAAGCCTTCTTCCCTGACCGCTTTCGTCTCTTTTTCCGTCTTGCCGTTCTTCGCCCTCGACGAGTACTCTTTCCCCATCGTCAACATCGATTTCCTCGCCTGGTCCACCTCGCTGATCGTCTTCGCGTACGTCTCCGGATCCACCGTTAACTCTAACAACGCTTTCTCAAACGGATGCAACCGATCAATTTTCGGAAATCCTTTCACGTACTCCCCTAAAGGTTTACACAGCGCGGTCGTTAACCCGTCCAGTTGTTTCGCCGACTTGTTTCTCTCCTTTAACAAAGGCACGCGTAACCCAGACGTGTGCGTAATTCTCGACGAGCGTTTCAAACCGCTCAAGAGAATATCCTTCGATTGCGCCACGTTCGGGACTCGGTTTAACACCCCGGTTTTCATATTTTTCGTCGTCGCCGCCGAAATCGTCCTCTCCTTCGTCTCTTTCTCGTCGCGGAGAGAATGCTTCGTCTCTTCTCCTCCCGAAGAAGAAGAAGAAGACGAAGAAGATGAATCAGAAGCGACGCTGAATGGTGTCGTTGTTTTTCGTCGATTTGTACAAAAAGTGCCTAAACTCCTGTGCCTTCTCCTCGTCGTCATTTTCCCTCCTCCTCCGCTCGAACGACACAAACAACAACAAACGCTCGTCGTCGTTTTCGTCAACGTCGCTCTCGAAAACGACGCTCTCATCGAAGAAAACATGTGTGTTTTTGTGTGTTGTTTTGATGAATGATGATGCGTGTGTGTTAAAGATGTCGCACGCCGCCGGAAAACAAACCAAAAATGCTTCTGAATTTTGAACCAAAAAATGTGCAATTTTTGGCCAATTAAATTCAGCCAAAATTCGCTTATACACAAATTCTCCTAAAAGTCGGACACACTGCACACACATCTCTCTCTCTCTCTCTCTCTCTTTTCTTTTCTTTTCTGTGCTCAAAATCTTTTCCGAAGTATTTAGGCGAGGAAACGACGATGAGTGCGACCTTTACGTGCTCGCGTCGCGCTACTTTTGCGGCGGCGTCTTTGCGCGGAAACGACGAGAGCATTAGGAAGGGACGAAAGATGATGCGCGAAAATCATCATCATCATCATCATCGTCGCTCTTGTATTGGAAACGAGAATTTCACCGATCGAGATTTTCGACGTCTTTGTTCTTCTTCTTCTTCTTCTTCTTCGAGAAGAGGAGGAAAAGGAAAAGGAGCAGAAGAACGACGACGACGATTTTCGTCGCTGACGGCGTCTTCTTCGTCCCCGTCGTCTTCTTCTTCGCAGCAAAAAAAGTATTGCGTTTCAACCGTGGACGCGTCGGCGATTTTAGTCCCTCATCCGGACAAATCTGCCACGGGAGGTGAAGATTCGTGTTTCGTGTTGAAACGGTCGAACGCGTTCGGGGTATTCGACGGCGTCGGCGGGTGGTCAGACGAAGGGGTAAACCCAGCGGAGTATTCAGAAACGTTCGCGTCTGAAGCCGCGAAAGCAGTGACAAAAGAGAAGATGAGGAATCCGGTGGATATAATGGTGCGAGCGCACAAGATGACGCGAGTGGTCGGGTCGAGCACGGCGTGCGTGTGCGTGGTGGAGGAAGGCGAGGCGACGTTTGCAAACGTAGGAGACGCGGGGGGGATTGTCGCCAGGAATGGCGCGTGCGTGTTTAAGACGGAACCGATGCAACACGAGTTTAACATGCCGTTTCAGTTGGGGTGGAAAGAGGCGTACCCGGAAACGGACGATCCAAGGAGAGCGGACGTGAAAAAAGTTCGATTAAAACGAGGGGATTGCGTCGTGTTGGGATCGGACGGGTTGTGGGATAACGTGCCGCACGAAGACGTTGCGATTTTGTGCGACGAGAACGAAGGAGACGCGGTGAAATGCGCGGAGCAGATTGCGAGGTTAGCGTTTTCGAGGAGCACGGACGAGGAGTACGATTCGCCGTTCATGATTGCCGCGAGGAGAGAAGGTATGGAGTTGACGTGGGCGGAGAAGTTACAAGGCGTTAAATTAACTGGAGGGAAGATGGATGATATCGCAGTCGTGGTGGCGTTCGTCGGTTAGATTAATAGTATTATTCTTGTTATTAGAATACAATGACTATAGTACTTAGTATTTGGTAGTACAAGGCAAAACATGTATATATATATCTGTCCTAATCGTGCTTGGAAAACGCGGCGACTAACAGTTGACTCGCTCGAAACGATTTTTCTTTGATGCTCAACCCGATGGCCGAGGCGACGACGGTTTTCGTCAGCTGCGCGTTTAAGCCCTGATACCAACCCGCGTAGCCTTCTCGCTTCTTCAAGTCGGCCATAATTTGTAACAACGATAGCGTCGCAAAATCGGTTGGTTTACTACTAGCGTTTCTTCTATTCTTTTGTTGCGAGTGTTGCTCGTTCGGATTCGTCGCCGCTTTCTGTAATACTTTCGCGCGAATCAAAGGATACGTGGCCACCGTCGCCGCCGCTTTCGATAACGCCGCGATAACAATCGCCTCAAACACCGGTAATTCTCTCACCGGTTTCCTTCTCCCAACGCTCAATCCTTTCAACGCTCTCTGTCTTAATTGCTCGTACATGGTATATTGAATGGTTGGATTCACCGTGAGCAACAACGACGCTCCTACGCCGGCGTATAAATTTGGCACAGTCGTGGTCAAAATCTCCACCGATCTCCGATACTCTCTTCGCACGCGTCGTTTATACATTCTCGCTTTCTTTTCCAGCATTTTCTTGGACGGCAACTTCATGCGCAACTTTCGAATGGTTTTCGAGGAGATGCGCTGCGCTCGCTCGAGTTTTCTATTCACGACGTCTCGAAACGAGCTCGAAGAAGTCACAAAACTCGCATTCCCTCTCTTCCCTCCTTTCGTCGCCGAGCTCTGTCCCGGAGTACTCGCGATGCTCTCGTCGTCGTCGTCGTCCGATTCTGATTCGGAATCACTTTCGTTCTCGGAATCTGAAACCTCCGAATCGCTCGCGTGAAACTTCTTCTTTCTTTCCTCTTCTTTCGAATCTCTCTGATTGAAACTCTGGCCCACGTTGCTAAAATCTCCCGATTCGTGCACAGACATCCCATCCCTCTCTCCTCCTCGCTCGCCTCTTTTCGTCGGACAACTCCCAACCTGCGCTCGCGTGCTCAACGTATCCAACGGTTCAGTCAACAAAACGTTCATCGCCGCCGCCGTCGTCGCGACTATTAAACTCATCCCAATCGATATCTTTTGGTTTGGATTTCTCTCCTCGACTTTCCGTTTCAACCCGCTAAAGGCGAAGAAATACACGAACGAAGAGGTCAACGCGTGGTAAAACTTTGGTTTCACGCCGTTGAACAGTTGCAAGACGCCGTCTCGATGGATGGACTCGTAAAACTGGAACAAGAATGGTTTCTTTTTCTTAGACAGGAGTAAAGGCTCCCGGGAGGAAATCGAGCGTCGGAAAAGACCGCCTCGTACGACTTCCTCTTTTCTCTCTGTCTGTTCGGCTTGGATTCTTGTTTTCACCGTATCGAGCGGGTATAAGAGCATGGCAGAGACGACGCCGCCGATGGCACCTGATTGATCGTCATCATTAATCGTCGGAGGAGGAGGAGAGAAGTGTCGTTGTTAGCGAATTACACGAACGAATCCAAATTCAAAACGGGTCGTCGTCTATTAATCTTCGCTCGCACGAAGTGAACAACAAACCGCGCTTTAAGAGTAAGAGAGACAGAAAGAAAGAGAAAAAAAAGCACAAAACGTACCGGCTAAAGCCTCCGTGGTCATCTTTTCCGTCGTCGTCAGCATAATAATAAACGTTGCGTGTGTGTTATAAGTGATGAAGTAAAGAGCGAATTTTATATGAATTGTAAGATCTCTGATTTTTTGTCTCTTTAAAAACACACACGTCTGTCTCTCTCTCTCTCTCTCTCTCTCTCTCTCTATGATGATAAAATAAAATAGAAGTCGATTAAAGCAACAACTCGGCGACTTGCACGGCATTTTGCGCGGCACCTTTTCTTATTTGATCCCCGCACACGAACAACTCCAAACCTTTGTTTCCTTTTTGCGAGATATCTCTTCGGATGCGACCGACGAAGCAATCGTCTTGGTCGCTCGCGTCCGAGGGCATCGGGAATCGGTTATTCGCGCGATCGTCGATTAAGGAAACGCCCGGGAATTCAGAGATGATTTTTCTCGCCTCTTCTTCGCTTAAGTCATTTTTTAAGGTCAAGTTGATGCTCTCCGCGTGCGCGCGCATGACCGGGACGCGGATGCACGTCGCGCAGATGCTGATGTCGTCGGTGTTCCAAATTTTCTTGGTTTCTTTCACCATTTTCATTTCTTCTTCGTTGTAGCCGTTGTCCATCATCGGCGCGTTGTGGGAAAACAAGTTGAACGCGTATCCCCACGGGAAGATTTCTTTCGTTTTTACTTCCCCGTCGTTGACGAGTTCCCTCGTTTGTTGTTCCAACTCGGCCATGGCTTGCGCGCCGGCGCCGGACGCCGCTTGGTACGTAGACACGACCATTCTCTCGATGCCAACTTTTCTTTGAATCGCAGTCGTCGCCATCAACGCGATAATCGTCGAGCAGTTCGGGTTGGCAATGATCCCGCCTTTACCGGAACCGATTTTCATATCGGCCATAGCTTCTGGGTTCACCTCCGGAATGACCAACGGCACGCCTTCCGTCATGCGAAACGCGCTCGAGTTATCGACGACGTAGCACCCTTTCTCCACCGCGATCGGGCCAAACTTTTTCGAAATGGACCCTCCGGCAGAAAACAACGCGATATCCATGTTATCGAAAGACGTTTCCGTCAACTCTTCCGTCGTGTACGTCTCCCCGTCGAATTCAACTTCCTTCCCCGCGCTTCTCGAGGACGCCAGCATCTTCATCTCGCTGTACGGGAAGTCTCTTTGTTTCAAAACTCTCAAAAACTCTTGCCCGACCGCTCCAGTCACGCCGGCGATGCACACTCTCGGCCCGTCCGGGGTTTTCTTCGCGAACGTTTGCACGACATTTCTTCTCGATCCACTTTTAACGCGGCTGTTCTGTTTCGTCTTCTTCAAAGATGAAACCGACGTCCTCGCCGCCGTGTTCGGGGAGGCTCCTACGCTAAACATTTTCTTTTACCTCGTTTATACTAAACTCTCGTTCTCTCTCTCTTTCTCTCTCTCTGTGCGCTATTATAGAATACTAAATAACCGACACAAAAAAGTAGGCTTCTGCTGCTGATGTGCGCGCGTGCGTGTGTGTGTGTCCCGTACCGCGAGCTCTCGCTGTCTGTCTGTCTCTCTCTGCGTGGAGATGATGAGGAAACAAAAACACGTGTGCTTTATCTGATTGAAAAAGTGTTCCTCTATCATCAGAGACGCAAAACTCTGCTCGAAAAATAAGCAAAAAAACACACGGAGGCAAAAAGGTTAGGGTTTTGATAGAGTTAGGGTTTACAGAGCGAGGAAAGAAAGGAAAAAAGGTCCTCACAAAAAACGCCACACGACGCAATCGATTGGGGGGTTTTGAATCGGATCTCTTCCTCTCATCGAGTATCGCACACGCGAAGAAAACGCGAGAAGAGCAGCGAAGAAACGAAAGAGCAGTGGTCTCGTATTCTTCTTTCTTTAGTAAACGTCATCGTAAAGCCAACGAAACGTGCGCGAGATGCCGTTACGATTAGACATCAAACGCAAACTGGTCCAACGCTCCGATCGCGTCAAAGGGGTGGATTTACACCCGGTGGAACCGTGGATTCTGGCGAACTTGTACTCCGGGAACGTGTTCATTTGGAACCACGCGACGAATAGTTTAGTGAAGAGCTTCGACGTGACGGAGTTACCGGTACGAACGGCGAAGTGGTGCCTGCGGAAACAATGGATCGTCTGCGGTTCGGACGATATGTTCATTCGAGTGTATAACTATAACACTTCGGAGCTTATTAAAGCGTTCGAGGCGCACGCGGATTACATTCGGTCGGTGTGCGTGCACCCGACGCAACCGTTCGTATTGTCGTGTTCGGACGATATGTTGATTAAGTTGTGGTCGTGGGAGAAAGATTGGGATTGCATGCAGATTTTTGAGGGCCATTCGCACTACGTGATGCAAGCGTGCTTTAACCCGAAAGATACGAACACGTTCGCGTCGGCGAGTTTGGATCGAACCGTCAAGGTGTGGTCGATTGGCCAACCGACGCCGAACTTTACGTTGGAAGGCCACGAGAAAGGGGTGAACTGCGTGGATTACTTTACCGGTGGGGATAGGCCGTATTTGATTTCTGGCGCGGACGATAAGTTGGTGAAGATTTGGGATTACCAAACGAAAACGTGCGTGCAAACGTTGGACGGGCACTCGCACAACGTCAGTGCTGTGGCGTTTCACCCGGAGTTGCCGATCATCATCACCGGTAGCGAAGACGGGACGTTGAGAATTTGGCACCAAACGACGTACAGATTGGAAAACACCTTGAATTACGGCTTAGAGCGCGTGTGGGCGATTGGAGTTATTAAAGGTTCCAACGCCGTCTCGGTCGGTTACGACGAAGGGACGGTCATGTTCAAGATTGGGAGAGAAGACCCGGTGGCGAGCATGGACGCGAGCGGTAAAATAGTGTACGCGAAGCATAACGAAGTGCAAACGGTTAACGTGAAAGCTTTACCGCAAGACTACGAGATCGCGGACGGGGAGAGATTGCCGTTAGCCGCGAAAGACTTTGGTTCGTGCGATTTGTACCCTCAATCCATTGAACACAACCCGAACGGGAGATTTATCACCGCGTGCGGCGACGGCGAGTATATCATTTACACCGCGTTGGCGTGGAGAAACAAAGCGTTTGGTTCAGCGTTAGAGTTTGGATGGTCTGCGGATGCGAGCGAATACGCCATTCGCGAGTCGCCGAGTAAGATTAAAATCTTCAAGAACTTTAAAGAAAAATTGGAGTTTCGCCCGCACTTCGCAGCAGAAGGCTTGCACGGCGGCGCTTTGTTGGGTTTGAGATCGACTGATTTTATTTGCTTTTACGATTGGGAACAAGCGAACGTCATTCAGCGCATCGACGCGACGGTGAGAGATGTGAAATGGTCAGAGTCCGGGGAAATGTGCTGCATCATCTCCGAAAACAGCTTCTATATTTTGAGGTACGACCCGGAAGTCGTCGCCGCGGCGTTTGAAAGCGGCGAGTTTGACGAAGGCGAAGGCGTCGAGGACTCGTTCGAGCTCTTGGCGGAAATTTCGGAAACTGTTTTGACCGGTATTTGGGTTGGCGATTGTTTCGTGTACAACAACTCGGATATGCGCTTGAACTACGTCATCGGCGGTGAAGTCACGACATTGTTCCACATGGATCGACCGATGTATTTGTTGGGGTACTTGGCCGCGCAAAGTCGCTTGTACTTGATCGACAAAGAGTTCCAAATCGTCACGTACACGATGCTTTTGAGCGTCATTGAGTTTAAAACGTTAGTTTTGCGAGGCGAATTAGAAGCCGCGGAGGAGTTGTTGACGTCTATTCCGACGGAACACCACAACTCCGTCGCTCGATTCTTGGAGGCTAGAGGTTTGGTCTCGGACGCTTTGAGAGTGGCGACTGATCCGGACTTTAAGTTTGAACTCGCGGTACAACTCGGCGAGCTTGGTATCGCGAAAGAAATCATCGAATCTTACAACGACGACGTCGGCGAGAGTAAGTGGAAACAGCTCGGCGAGCTCGCGATGTCTACCGGTGAGCTCGATTTAGCCGCCGCGTGCTTGGACCGCTCGGGCGATTTGAGCGGTCAACTCTTGTTGGCTTCCGCCGCGGCAAACCCGAAGCAGTTGATGCAACTCGCCGAAGCTGCCAAAGCCAAAGGCAAGAACAACGTCGCGTTCGTTTGTTTGTTTTCGTTGGGTGATATCGACGCGTGCTTGGACTTGCTCGTGGAAACTGGAAGAGTCCCCGAAGCCGCTTTCATGGCGCGAACGTACGCGCCGTCTAGAGTTTCCGAAATCGTCCAGTTATGGAAATCCGATTTAGGTAAGATTAACAAGAAAGCCGCCGAGGCATTAGCCGACCCCGCGGAGTTTGCAAACTTGTTTCCAAACTTTGACGAAGCTTTAGTGATGGAAGAAGACGCCAAAAAGACCAAAATGTCCAGCAAGAGACCGTCGGCGTCGGCGTACGGAGGGGAGCAAGAGTTAGCGAAACAGATGGAAAAATCGGCGACCGTAGCAGAAGAACAAGAAGAACAAACAAAAAACGAAACGAAAGAAGAAAAGGAAGAACCGGCGCAGAACGCGCCTCCGACGCCCAAGTCGGAGCCGCCGAAATCGCCAAAGAAAGAGGCGAAGAAAGCGACGCCACCGGCCAGTCCAAAAGCGCCGCCTTCTCCTTCGCCGAAAAAGGCGGAAAAGGAAGAAGAAAAACCGACGAAGGAAGTCCCGGCGCCGAAAATCCCCGCCCCGAAATCTCCAAAGAAAGCAGCGCCAGAGCCTCCGGCGAGCCCGAAGGCGGCTTCCGCAGCAACGCCTCCGGATGATTTCGTCGACGCGAACGAGGAAGGCCCCGCCGGGGACGAAGACGCCGACGAGTGGATCGACGAACCGACCGATTAATACTATTTCTTATATTATATATATATAAAAGAGAGAGAATAAGAGAGAGAAAGAGAAAGAGAGAGAGTGGATGTGTGCGTTTGTGAGTGAGTAAGTAGAGTCTTTTTAATGAATGAATTAAACCAAAATCTTTAATTGAAATCAAGTGTCAAGCAGGGCAGCACAAATTTTTTTTTCCTTCTTTTGCTTCTTCAAAGAACCACTCGCTCGGGAAAAGACAAAGAGAGAGAGATTCGTTTTATTATACCATCCCCCGCCCGCTTAAAGAGAGAGAGAGAGATCAACGTCTCTGCAGATTTACGGAGGAGCTTTACGGAGGAGCTTTGATTGACGAGAAATTATGTCTCGCTTCAGCAGGAAAGAGACGGAGATTGCGCCGGAAGAGGCACCGCTGCTCATTAATGCCGCGGATTTGGATTCTCGGGTCGCGTCATCACATTCCGCGTCGTCGTCGACCGCCTCGATGACGACGACGACTTCGAAAAAAGTCGTCGGACTCACAGGTCTGGCGTCGATGATGGTGCTTTTTGCCGTCGCCGGGTTTAAGAGTGGAAACGATGGGTTCGATGTCATTCACAAGGCGGAGTCGTCTGCTTCGAAATCAACTTCGAAACAACAACGAGAAAATGGTCGAATCGCGACGACGACGTCGGGAGGCCGCGCGAACAAACAGTCTTTGGGAGAAATTCCACTGACGGCACAATCGTACGACGCCATCAGAGACATGGTGATGAAAGACGAGGAAAAGTCGAAATCGAAGAAACGAGGATCGACTTCGTCTTCTTCTTCTTCGTCGGCGTACGCTTCGGACCCTTTGCTCACGTTGCTTTCGAAAGACGGCGCGGACGCGAAGAGTTTTCCGAGTTTAGTCCCGCAGTTTGACGAGAACGATTTCGCGTTCGCGGATGGGTCGTGGAAGCACAGGCCGGCGAAAGAACACAACGGGAAGTTTACCATGTGCTTAGCCGGTGGTAAGGATTCGTGGGACGGGACGTACACGGGAAACTTAAACACGTTGTATGAACCCGGTTTGTGCATCGGCGAGGTCAGAGAGGAGTTATCGGCTGATTGCGACGTGAGGTTGTTCAACCAAGGCGCGTTCTTATGGACCGCGGATTATAAAACCGAACACGCGGAAGGCGAAGACCCGCACTTTTTACCGCCCAAAAAGGATCACTCGAAACAAGTAGACTTTTACTACGCGCACGAATCCGCCGATCACTACGGGTACGAGTTGAAAGATCCGAAAAGTTTGAAGAACATGCAATACATCGCTGCGTTCCATCCGACCAAGACTGGATTATGGTACCCGTTCGGACCGTCTATCTCTGCCTTATTAACCGATTACGAGTTATGGAAGTTACCGAAAGAAGCGCGAGTGCCGGCCATCGCCTGGTGGGCCAAAGATTGCGCCGAAGATAGATCGGCCATCTTAAAACACATCGCCACGCGATTTCCAGTCATGTCCATGGGTGGATGTGAACACAACATGGACGCCTTGAACGATCCTGGACGCGACGGGAACCACATGGAACAAGATTTAATTAAATCGCAATTCATGTTTTACTTCGCCTTGGAAAACGGCGTCCAGTGTCCAAACTATATGACCGAAAAGCTCTGGGATAGTTTAACTCGAGGTTCCATCCCAATCTACGTCGGCTGGGATGGCATAGAAGATTACATCCCGTCCAAAGAGTCCGTCATCGACTTGCGCGATTTCAACTCCGTGGACGAACTCGCCGCCAAGTTGGAACAATACACCACGGACGAAAAGTTGTACCAAAAGGCGCACGAATGGCGAACGAAAAACCCCAAAACGTGGCCTGAAGGTTTCCGCAATCTCGTCCGTCACGTCTCATCGGACTTAAAAGCCGGCATGTGCAACACCCTTCGTCAAGGCTTACCCGGGAAAGGACACGCCAAGGACCAAGAATCGGAAACGTGCGACCACAACCCGACGGTGTTAGGCGAGCCCGCGCAACGGATCACAAATAACTATCGACAAGCCGCGATTAAATCGTGGCAAGAATTTTTGAGCAGAGATTGCAACGAAGACGAGTGCGCGTGGTACAAGTTGAGCGCGTTAGCCGCGGCGAACCGATGATTTGATTGATCATTAAATCCATCGAGTATTTTATTATAACAAGTATTTTTTTTAGAGTGTTCAAAAGCAAAAATTATCCACATAAAATTATGCTTTCCACGCACCGCGCAACCTCCGGACTCTCCGCCTCGTGTTCGTCTTATTCTTCTCGGGAATGCTCTCGTCAAAAGAGAACAAAGAGTACCACCATCCAATGCGGGAACAAATCCATCAAGTCCAACGAGAACAAGCGAAGAAAACCGCCTGCACATAAAGGTTTAGACGCGCACATTTTGAAAACAAATTCTTCCCCAAATTCGTCTTCTCCGTCTCCCGTTTATGTCGTTCCGAAACTGTTACAAAACCGCGACGCCTCGGTCGCTTTGTGCTTCACCTACCTGGGCGACGCCGTTTGGGAACTGTTCGCGAGACAACACTTAGTTTTACGTAGGTGCAAGAAATCCGAGAGGGAAAATCCACCGAACAGACAAGGAGGAAGAAGTGGTGGGAACTCGTCGACTTCGGTGAAAACGTTGAGGCCGCAAAGAGCGGCGCAAGACGGGTGGTGCTCGGCGGTCGCGATGCACTCGCATTTGGAGAGACTTCTCTCGTTAGAACAAGGGACGTTCTTGACGGAAGAAGAGATGGCGATTTTAAAGTGGGGGGCGGATTACGGCCACGAATCGAGAGCGAGACACAGCGGGGTGGAACATCGAGACGCTTCGGCGTTGGAGGCGTTGGTGGCGTATTTGTATTTGTTCGACGGCGAGAGATTGATGGAAGTTTTAGGGGCACTGGGTATGACTTTTATGGATGCCGGTGGTTTGCAGGTGTTGAGTGGGAGTGGGAGAGTTGAAGCTGTGGAGAGAGCTTTGGAGAGGTTTGAAGGCGGTGGAGGCCGCGAAGAGGAAAACGAAGAAGAAGTTAAAGAAGAAGAAGACTCGGAGAAAACAATGAGCGCTTTACAATTAGAAAACGAAACTTTAAAGAAAGAAATCGAAGAGTTGAAGCAGAAGGCACTGATAGCTCAGAGAGCCGTTCGATTAAAACGCTAGTAATTTTAAGAGAGAGATAAGAAGAGAACGCCTGCGTGTAATAGTATTGATTTTTATAGGCCTATTTGTATTATGATCGCAACGACAAGATTGTACCAGTACCGTGGTTATACAGTATAAATTTACTCTTTCGGTGGTTGCTCGTCAGCTAAATTCATGATGTTGATTTTCTCAATCGTGCCACCTAAGGCGTCGCCACCATCTCCGCTATCTTCTTTAAATGGACTCTTCTTCGCGTCGCCGGCTTTGGGACTGGTCGCCGCCGCGTACGTACTGATCGCTTGCGCGTTGATCCATTCGTTTTGCTTCTTCACCGTTTCCGGCATGTACCCATCCCCCATCTGATTCGTGACTGTTCCGTCCGTAAAGCCATTGTGCCTCCCTGGCACCACATCTTCGCTCGGCACCAAAAAGTCCGGAATATCCTCATCCTTCAACAATTTCTGCAACGCTTCGTACTGCAACTTTGGATCCGAAAACACCTTCACCTTGTGTTGCGTGTGCACCGCCAAAAACGGTTTCACCGCCGCGTACAAATAATCAAACGCCGTCGGCGCGTTCAAAACGTAAATCGCTTTACTCAACTCCGGATAGTTATGCGACGCGGTTGAATTCACAATCTTAAACACGTACAAACACTTCATCGCGCTCAAACCGACGTCTTTCAAATCCAACAACACCACTTGTTTATCCACCATCTGCGATTTCGTATCTTGATTCACGGCGCAGAAATCCTCCTTAATCTCCTCCTTCGTCTTCCCTTCCACTAATTTCTTCGCATTTTCCGTCGCCTCCGGGATAATCGACCGCATCAAATGCTCCCCTCTTATGATCGTCGAATACACGTGAACCTCGTCCGAAACCTCCAACGCTAAACTCGAATCTCCTTTGCCAATCCTCAACAAATACACCGGATACCCTTGTTTCGTGTAACAGTGAAACGGCGTGTTGGGTAATATTTTCCTCGACAACTCTAACAAATCCCACCGAGGCGCTGCTTTTAATATGTTCTCCACGCCTACCGCGTCGCCGATGCGCACCGAATTTCTAAACTCGATCGCTTTTCGCATCATCAACTCCGCCGCTTCCACGTTGTACCGTCTTGCGACGAGAAATCTTCGGCACGTCGCTTCCACGTCCCCTAAGGGGCACATCTTCGAAGGAACTTCCGTGTTTGTCTTTTTCAAGTTTTCTAAAACCTCTCTCACTCGTTCGTGCCAATCTTGAGGGTGCGGAAACTCGTGGAACAGTTTCGTCGGATCGACTCGTTCCGTGCTTTCGCCCCCCTCGGTCGTGTTCGCATCGTTGGGATTCGTCGTGGAAGAACCCATCGCCCAGGACGCCGCCGAGGACGCCGCGGAGGATAAAGAGCTGAACATGACGTATCTCTCTTAAATCTCTCTTTTTCCCTCTTCTCTTCGTCAGTTAAAGTGTCTCTCTCTTATCTCCCTCTTCCTCTTCTTCTTCTCGTGCGTCTCTCTCTCTCTCCGTTTGACTGCTTTTCTTAGGATAAAAAATGTTCCAAAAGTGGATAGAAAAGTACAGTTTAGGGTTTATATACAAACCCTAAATGGACCAAAAACGCAAAAATTCCTTCTTCGTTGTTTTCGTTGTTCGTTCGTTTCATGCACATCGACACTTCATCTCTCTCTCGTATACTATGCCACCGAAGAAGAAGACCAAGAAAGCGACCGCGACCACTCGGTCCACCGAGGAGGACGACGACGGTGGTGGTGGTGCAGGTGATGTTGCTGCTACTGCTGCTGTGAAGAAAAAGAAGAGAGCAAAGTCACCGTCGCCTTTCGTGAAAGAAGATGAATCCGAAGGAGAAAACAACAACAACGCGAACGCTTTGAATACTAAAAGGAAATCGACCGCGCGAAGAGGGAAATCGCAAACGCCGAACGATGAGGACGACGACGGCGGAAAAGAAGAAGCGGAGGAGAAGAAAGTTTCGACGACGATTCAGACGAGTCAAATGGGGAAGCGAACAGAAAGGAGACAAAGAAAGGAAGCGAAGAGAAATTTAGTCCTCGAGTCTGGGAACAAAGTCGCTTTGACGCCTCTATTGGGAGGCATTCGGGAGGACGACGGCGCGCGAGGCGGCACGACGACGACGACTGAACCGCTGTGCTATTTATTGCAAATAGACCAGGCGAACATACTTTTAGATTGCGGATGGGACGACAGGTTCGATCAAACCGAGTACGTGAAAGAGTTGGAGAAAATCGCGCCTACGTTGGATTGCGTGTTGATCTCGCACTGCACGCAACGACACGTCGGCGCGGTACCTTTGCTCTTCTCCGAGCGAGTGAAATGTAACCCAAACTGTAAAATTTACGCGTCGATACCGACGCACAAGTTGGGGCAAATGTTGTGTTACGACATTGCGCTCGGGTATTCCGAGTTTCGAGGGGAGTTTGGAGAAGATGTGGGATACAGTCTAGATGACGTGGATTTGGCGTTTAGTAAGTTTGTTCCGGTGAAGTATCAGCAACATTCGAGGGTGAGCGTGAGGAGAGAAAGCGCAGGGGGTGGTGGTGGTGGTGAGAGCGACGCGGGTACTAATAGCAAAAATAGTGGTGGTGCTACCAATAGCGATATTGTCGTCGAAGCTATCAACGCCGGTCACACGTTAGGCGGTTCATGTTGGCGCATATCAAAAGACGCCGAGGATATCGTCTACGCGGTTGATTACAACATGCGGAAAGAACGACATTTAGCCGGGACGAGTTTAGCAGAGACTGTGCATCGACCGTCGGTTTTAATTACAGATTGTCGGAACGTGGATCGAAAAGCGCCCGAGTCGAGGTTGCAAGTGAGAGATTTGCCGTTAGTCGATTGCGTCTTAAAACACGCGCGCATGGAAGGGAACGTGGTTATTTGTTGCGACGCCGTTGGAAGGACGTTAGAGTTGGCTTTATTATTAGAAGAGACGTGGAAGAATCAAAATTTAGGAAGCTATCAGTTAGTGTTGTTCAATAACGTCGCCGCAAACGCGTTGGAGTTCGCGCGGTCCCATTTAGAATGGATGAACGAAGACGTTGGTTTGAAATTCGATAGCACGCGACAGAACGTGTTCGACGTGAAAAGATTGTTTCCGTGTCACTCGTACGAAGATTTTACGAGATTACCTCCGGGACCGAAAGTTGTCCTTGCATCGTTGGCGTCTTTAGAAGGTGGGTTTGCGAGGAAGTTGTTCGTTGAATGGGCCTCGGACGCGAAGAATTGTTTCATTTGGCCGGACGAAATTGGTCGCCAAGTTGGATTAGCGAGAGAGATTGTCGAAAAGTGCAGTAAGGGAGGAGCAAAGACGACTTCTTCAAAGACGAAAAAGAAAGACGTGATCATGAAAGTTGAATTAGCGAGGCGAGAATTGCTGTCTGGGAAAGAGTTGGAAGCGTGGGAGCACGAACAAGAAGAGAAACGTCTCGAAGCGGAAAAGAGGAGAGAAGAAGAAGCGAAGCGACTGGCCGAAGAAGAAGAGAAGAAACGTATGTTGGAGGAAGAGATGGATGTGGACGCTGCGACGCTCTCGCAACCAGTTGAAGACGAAAATATTTACGGTGAAAAGAAAGCGGGTGTCGCAGAGGAAGAAGAAAAAGTTGAGCGTTTGGTACCGCCACCTCAAGTAAACGAGGAAACTGGTATTGCGCTGCGAGACAAGCAAATGTCGTTTGAGCGACGCGAGTGCATCGTCGATGGATTTATTCCCGAAAGTTTCGAGCATCTCGTCTTTCCGGACGAAACGAAATTATCTTCTTCATCATCCGATCCCTCGGGTATGAGTGCAAAAACTGAGTACGGGGAAGCCATCGATGCGGACGCGTTCTTTAGAGTCGCGAACGAATTAAGACCGGAAATGACGAGAGATCAATCGTTTGAAAGTACCGGCGACGTCGATAAACTCGCGGGCGTAGATGGCATCATGGACGCGACGATGGGAATAGCAGCGAAATTGACTAACAAACAACCGGATATGGATATAGATGCGAATGCGGGTAAAGAAGAGAAAGCTCTCGAACGACCGGTGGGAATACCAACGAAAGTCGTCAAGGAAACGAAAGAAATCGTCGTGAAAGCGGCAATTGAATCAAACTTTGATTACGACGGATTAGCCGATGGTCGATCAGTGAAAGCAATCATCCCGCGTCTAGAACCGCGACGAGTAATTCTCGTGAGTGGTACTGTGAAAGATGCCGAGAAGCTTGCTTCGCACTTATACAACGATTCCGAACACTTCCCGAAGAGCTCGAAGATTGATTATCCGAAGAACAACGAGACGTTAGATGCATCCTCGGTACATCCGACGTACAAGGTTCGACTTTCTGAAGCGGTTTTATCCTCCGCGCGTTTGCGACAGGTGAGTGGCTATGCCGTCGGTTGGATCGATGGCGTCATTGGGCCAATCCCTGAAGATGGCTCGGCGCCGGAGTTGCTCCCGGTCCCAGTGAATGCTTTGAAATTAACCGTATCAAAAACAGTTAAAGACGAATCTTTACTCGCTGGAAAAGTCACCGGTCCTTCTTTAATAAAGAAAGAACCAACCGCCGCCGCTCTCGTGGTAGAAGACAACGAAGAAAATGAAGGTACAGAAATCAACATCGTGACTAAACATCACCGACGCTCGGCGTTCGTGGGTGACGTTCGTTTGTCCGAGTTTAGAAGGTATTTGCAGAGAATGGGCGTACCCGCCGAGTTTGGCGAAGGCGGTGCTTTAGTTTGCGCGAATGGACAAGTCGTCGTTCGTCGAAGAGCCGAAGACGATGAGTTGATTGTTGAAGGATCAATCTCGGATGCGTACTTCAACGTCAGAGACATGCTCTATGCGCAATACTCAATTATTTAAGATACATCTTTGCGTGCGTTTGACAACTTTCTTTACTTTACATTCACTCTCTCTTCCAACTTTTTCACTGATTTCCTCAACATCGCCACATCTTTCGCCACCTGTTTTGAATCCGTGTTCAATTCTTTTAGCGAGTCCATTTGTTCCTCCAATTCACCTCGCGCTCGCGCGGATTCCGAGGCCTCGGCGACGTCTCGAGAGATTTTCGCAAACGTCTTGTGCATGTCGTGCAAATATCTATACGCCATTTTCATCGTCTCGTCCGTTTTTGCGGATTTAAAGATGGCGTCCTCAACGACTGCGTATATCCTGCGTAAACTTTCCGCACTTTCGGCCACCTGTAATTCCGCCGCTTTCGCGTCGCGAACAATCTTGGCAATTTCTACGTCTTGTTTCTTTATGTTCTTCACGATGGTGGTGACTTTTTGAACTAAACTCGGACGATTGACGCCTCTTGGCGCTCGCTCTAACGCTTGCGATAACCGATCGCGCTCTTCCGCCTTTCGTCGAGCTAATTGAACTTGCTCTTTTGCCTCTTCTTTCCATCTTTGAATCTCTTCAAGTTGCTCTTTAGCTCGCATTCGTTCCGCTTCCGCTTTCGCGTTTCTCTTCTCGATTTCGTGTTCCAAAGGAAGGCGAGCGTCGTCCCACTCTTTTTGTAATTCTTGACGTCTGTTTTCGTCCTCTCGAACGAGCTTTTCCATTTCCTCTTTCGCTTTTTCCGGCGATCCCTTTGATGCGTTTGGACCGACGACCATATCCGTCGCCATTTTTCGAATTAAATATTCCTCCTCTAAATCTGGGAACTTCGCGCATTCTTCCTTCTCCAATCGAGCGTATTCGAGCATTTCCTCCAACGCTTTTTCGCATCTCGACACGTACGCTTCCATCGTCTGTCGAGTCGTTTCAACGTCGTTTTGTAAATCTTCTAAATCCTTTTCCCGCGCTTGAGCTCTTTGTTCGAGGGTTTCGTTTGCAGAATCTTCTCGGTTCTTTTTCGCTTCCGCAGCGGATTTGATTCTATCGCCTAAACGTTGCATTTCTTCTTCGCCCCCATCCTTTCCTGCAATCCTGCTATTTTTACTACTATTTGACGCAAGTTTATCGCCACCGGCAACTCGCAAAGCGGCGGCAACCAACCCTCCGACGCCATTCGATGCCAACACGTTAACAGCGATCCCGTCGTCGTTCTCCGGTCCCTCAGGCCACAACCCGTTTTCTTTCGTCCACGCCACTTCTTTGTTCTTCGTCAAAGCGAACCCTTCTCTGTCTCGCATTCGCTGTCTGTTCGCCACAACTCTCGCCTGTGCGTTGACAATCTCTCGCATCCTTCTCTTTCTCTCGCTCCTCCTCAAACTACTTTCAAAGGGACTCGCCGCTTCCCCGAAAGACGAGGACGTTTTCACGCCGTTCGCCACTCGCACCGCTCTCTCCAACGCAGAGACCACCGAACCATCCTCACCACGACCAAAAAAAGTCGACGACGTCGCGTTACTCTTCCTTCGCTCGTCCTCTGGTATCATCTCGCACAGCAACGCCACGATTTCTCTCGCGTATTCCTCCGACGGGTACAAGAAATGACTGAAGCCAACTCTCCTTTTGCCGCCACCATCACCATCGCCACCACCATCACCATCACCACCACTACGAGTGCTGCTCCCACTATTCGCATTCTTATTAAAAACCACCCCGTTTAAAGCTCTGGCGTAACTCGTCGCCACTCGAAACCTCCCGCTCGGATCCGACGCGCGTCCTAACGCGTTCGGTAATCGTTTCGCCAGTTTCTCGTGGCCAAATTGGAGGAAGCATTCCCGACACAAACTGACGAGAGAAGTCGAAGTAGAAGAAGGCCCATCGTCGTCTAAATCGTCGTTCTTCGCACCTTGTTGTTGTTGTTGTTGTTGTATCAAGTCCGCGAAGGAAGTCACGCGGTCGTCGAAACGCACTCCAGCGCGACGCAAAGAGAGGAGCGAGAGCGAATTCTCCCCTCCGAGAGCGTCGTCCATTTCCAGTCCAACTTCTGTGCTCGGTCACCCTCAAAGCTCTCGTTTTGTGCGAGGAAAGGAAACAGCGTATTAAAAGAGTGAAAGAGTCAAAGACTCTCTCTCACGCTCGTTCGTTTCCTCTTATTCTGGTGCCACAAACAACAACAAGAACAACAACACAGTGCCGGGTAAGTGTGCACTCGATTTAAGAAGTTTTCCAATTAATTTCCCCTCAAAAGCAGCACTTTTTGGTCCGCGGGGAGCTCTTTACAACAGCAACCCGACGACGGGTTTTGCTCTCCGACTTGTCCGTGGGAGGGGAAGGGCGACCGACTCATCGCGGAAGAAGAAGACACGCGCGAGAATGAAAACACCAGACGGAGAGGAACCGTTGTTAACATCGTCTTCTGCCGAGTACGGAGCGGCTTCGAGAGATGAAGTGCGCGAGAATAAAAACACCCCCAAACTGCTTCAAAGCTCGAAAGAAGCGAACTCGACGACGACGACGGGAATGTTATTCTTCCAATCGTTCGACGACCAACACCCGGCGATTTTCTGGGACAACTTTTCCACCGCCATGTGGCTCATCACGGATATTTTGTGGACGGAAAATAACTCGTTGGCGGTATGCATAGCCCCATTCGTGGTGGTTGGATACGCCAAAGCGTTCTTTTCGTTTCAAGGCGAATGGGAGAGATACGCGATTGACTTGGCGAGGACGATGGCGTTGTGTTTTTGGATTTTAGCGAACACGGTGTGGTTGTTTCAGGAACTCACGGAGGAGAAGAGAAGGACTAGGGTAGACGCGACGTTTATGATGCCGTATAATGCCGGGGTCATTTTGACTTTATTGGCGATGACGGTGGTGATTGAACCCGGGATATTTCTTTATTATCGCTCGCGAGGGATTAATTGCTTCGAAATGAATACGGTTTTAAAGCCTATAGGGAACATGGGGATTACATTTTGGGCGGCGAAGGACTTTGCGTGGTACTTGGCGGATGAGGAGATGTTGAGAGAAGAGTATAGATGGATTCCAAAAGTTGCATGGGTGATAGCGGACGGGACGATCATGTTTCAGTTGTTCCCGCTTTTCTTTAAAGCGTTGCAAGGGTGGGGGATATTTTCGTGTTTTAGCAACTACGCTTCGTACAAGCAAAAACAGAAGACGTTTATGAGACGATTTGCGCACGTCATCGATGAGCTAGCCATGACGTCCTGGGCTGTATCCATGACGTTGTGGTCTTTTGGAGAGATTTTTATGCCGGAGGATACGTTCGCGCAAAAATTAGCCAAACAGCCTACTTATCCGAATTTAAGGTGGTGGTGTGGACACGTCTTGATTTTCGGTGGATTTCCGTTTTTCGTGAAAACGGCGATGGAGGTATTCATGGAGATGAGCTGCACGGCGAAAAGCCACCGCCGCCGAACGGTTGCCTTGGATACATAAAAACATAATATCCCGACGGTTTTAGATTTAGAATAGTATTTTTGTTTTGCAAGTTGCTTCAAGTATTTAGTATTGTCTTGATTTAAAATGCTGTGCAGATCACTAAAATGCGCTAGTTGCTAATGTTGTTTTGTCGCCGCGATCAATTTCGCTTCGTATAAGTCCGTTTCCGCGACCACGCCTTTCTTTTTCAACATATCAATCCAATTCGCCCTTTCGCTCGGAGAAAAGCCTTCGTTCCACGCGATCCCATCAAGCCAGAACTTTTTGTCGTATGGAATCGAACGAATACCTCGCAGAAATACGCTTCTCGCGTACTCTGTGTTGTGAACCTCAGAATTAAAATACGTCTGCCACAGTAGCGGGCACCGCTCGACGGATTCGTGCGAGCGGATGGCTCTTTCAAAAATTTTCCGCCTCGCCTTGTCGTCGTCGCCGCACGCCTTGACTTGCGCGAGCCAAATTTGCGTCAAGAAAGGAGGCGTCGGAAGCAATGTCGTTATTACGAGCGCGCTTCTGCTACTATCACTGGTACCATCCTGCGTCGCGTCGTCGTTTCTAGATTCTTCGCGCGCACGGGAGAAACACAGTTCTCGAGCGAGTCCAAGCGCGAGTTTCAGCTTCAACTTTGACTCGAACGTCTCCGCTTTGAACATAGAACTCACTGCCAATTGCGATGACGGCACGTCATGAAACAGAGCGTTTACGATTTCTTTATATCCATCCGTCACTGTTATTGCAAGTTCTCCGGATTCCGACAAATACGGGATAACGTCGCGTAACAAATCCGAACACGTCTTCTCCAAGGCAAAATTAGAAAGGTTGCGTAAATCTCGAAAAATGTCAATCCTTGTTTGCTCCGCCGAAGATGACGCACAAAAAAGGCGCAGAAGAATCGCACACACGCGCATATCGGATTTGAATTCCAGCACTTCGCGATGATATGTCTTGAGACTATCCTCGAGTTGCGTGGAACTACTTTCTTCCATGAGAACTTTAATAGCCTCTTGCGCGAGCGAGCGCAAGTTCTCTGCGCTCGCATTTGCGGGAACACTTTCATCAAAACTACCGCCTTTGGAAGACATGACATGCGCACGCGCTAAAGCGAGTATGTATCGCGCAATGTTTGTATTTTTGGGTGAATCGTATCGCAAAAGGTAAAGCGCGCTTTCTTTTACGAGTCGACATAAGCCGCGAACAGTTTCACGAGTATCTCCATCCTGAATGCGCGAAGCGTTTTGAATCGTCGTCTCGACGATTTTCTGAGCCGGGTCGACGAATTTCTTCTTCTTCTTCTTCGTATCTCCTTGTTTTATCTTCGTACATCGAGTCAAATATGCACATTCAGTGTAAAGGTGTAAATTATTGCGGTACTCTGGTCCGCTCAGCAATGATTTTACCCACGCGAGCGCAACCTCTGGTCCGTTCAATTCTCGTTCGAGTTTCACCGCGGCGTACGCGAAAGGTGCCATACAGGCTAATGACGAAGACGTGGCCAAAACGCGCACACTTCGGAGTACCTCTTCTCGTGGAACGAATGGAAATAGGCCATCTTCTCGTCTTTGATCGTCTTCAGAAGCGTTTTCGTTTCGAAAGAGACGAGCGATTGCGGCGTCTGGATTACCAATCAACGCGCCAAAGAGAGAGTGCAATCCGAAGAGAGCGAAACACTGCTCGATAAACTGCGTGTTTATGTCGGCAAGATTGCTATCGCAAAACATATTACACAAGCCCGCAGTAATCGATCCGAAATCTTCCTCATCATCGTTGTCGTCGTTATTAACGTCTTTTCGATAGCTTCGCATTTTTGCACTTTCCGCTCGAGACCATTCGCGAAGCGTGTTTTCGTCCACGGCTGCGTTCACGGCAGAATCAAACTCGGCTGCAAACTCAGCCGCTAAAGCGTCCTCGTCGATATCATCGTCGGAGGAGTCGTCGCCATCAGATTCTTTATTTCCAAGATCTACTTCTACTTCTTTTTTTACGCTCGGTTCTCGCGCTTTCACTTTCGAAGATTCTGGTGGCGAGGATTTTCCTTCTTCCTCTTCTTCTTCTTCTTCCTGAACACGTGTTTTCTCCCAAGAATCGTCGTTCGCGGTGGACCCATTTTTTTCATCCATCCACCAACTCTTAATCTCCCCGTCGTCGTTAACGCTATCCAATAAACGAGGTTTCTTGCTTTTCCAAAACTTCTCAAACTCGCGAAGAAGTCTCGAGTTATCTCCAATGTGCTTTTGCGGCATTCCAAACCCGCGAAATTCAAGATGCGCTTGAACTCTTCGGAACGCTTTCCTCGCCCTTCCCGATTTCGCTTCAAATTGTACGAGTTCCAAGAACATGTTCCCGATATCCCTGCTCAAAATTTGGCGACGGCAACTGCTCGATGTATTTCGCTGAGAGCTCAGTTTCCGGAATTCTTTTGTCAACGTTCGTAACGCGTCTTCGTACGCTTGCACGACATCTTCGCAATTGAACTCTGCGAACGACGTCGCGTGTTTCACAAACTCGACGTAGTCGTACCACAAAACGACCGACGTCGGTAACTTTCTCAGCGTTAAAACCCACCTCTCTTTCGTTTGGTCTTTCGATTCGCACTCTTGCGAACACTTCAACAGGCACGCGTGCAATCTCGCGTCGTTCGGATTCCACTCTAAAGCCCGCTCGCAAATGGCAATCGTTTTCTCCTTGATGCGTTCGCGTTCGGAACGTTTTTTACTCCTCGCCAAAAAGTTATCCTGGTGATTGATAAACGCAATCCATCTCTTCACGTTTCGCGGTTCTCTTCGGGTCAACGCGTTGTGTATTTTGGTCAACTCGCGAAGCTGTTCACTTTCGTTGGTGGTGCTTTTGAGAAGAACGTCTACGGACTCTAGCAAAGCTTTATCGTTGAGCTTATAGATGTCCTCGATCGTGCCTTTCGTTGCGCCAAACACCGTCTGCGTGAGCTTTTGTATCATCCTCCTTTTATCCTCATCATCGGTATTTCTATTCCCGTGCGAGATGTTGTAGTTAGTATTGACGTCGACGTAGTCATCGCGAAGCAATGGGATGAATATTTCCTCTTCTCCTCCCCCTCCTTCTTCTCCGTCTTTGCCGTTTTCCTTCTCCAACTTTTCCAGCGTCGTCGTCGTCGTCGTCGTCGTCGCTTTTGGTCCAAGCGCTTCACCTCCATTCCAATCCTCTTCCCGCTTAAACTTCACCTTTTCATTCGCCGCTGGCTTTCCAAACGCCAAATTCCCGCTATCCGGTCGCGTATCGGAGAAGAACGTCATCGCTCCTCCTTCAACGCCAAATGTTTTCCGGTCGTCCTCGCCAAAATTCCTCACGTACGATCGATCGTCGAACGCTCTCTCGTCTTTCGCCATATCTCGACCGTACTTCTCCTCCATCTCGGCTATTTTCTCCGCATCCGATTTGAGTTTCTTTCTCTTTTCTTTCTTCTTCTTTGACTTCTTCTTCTCTCTTTTCCTCTTTTTCTTCAACTGTTCTTCTTCTCCTTTTGACTCCTCCTCGAACTCACGGTCCTCGTCCGAAGAAGAAGACGAATCCTCCTCCGTCCCGGAAACAACCACGCGCGGTGATTCTGAATCGTCGTCCAAACGTTCTTTGTCTTCTTCTTCTTCCTTCTTCTTCTTCTTCTTGAACGAGGAAAACTTCTTCATCTCACTCGGTAACGTATGAACGAAATCGACGGCGAGTTATGCTTTCCTTTTAGACGACGAGCATTTGAACGAGCGCTGTGCAAAACGCCGCAGCGATGAAGCATAGACTCCCTCGCCACGCGTGCGCGCACAGCTTTTCAGAAGAAGACGTCGTCGCTCTTTTCGTCTCGCTCGTCTTCTCGCGCTTTCTCTCTCTCTCTCTCCTCTCTCTTTTTCTCCCGGTGTGTATTTAGGGTGTTGTAATGTAACCCTAAACTCTTGTGTGGGGGTGGTCGAATCCGCGGCAAAACATCATCAACGCGCTTTGTGGCAAATATCTCGGGGTTGCAGAGAGAGAAATGAGACCGATCGTGACGAAGAACAGCAGTTCTTCGACTGCTAAGAACACGAGCAGCAAAAATGTGTTGGGAAAACCAAACGCGCCGCCAGATGATGTCCTCTCATCGGGAGGAGGAAAGTCCGCCATCGCGGAGAAGTATAAAACGAATGCCACCACCACGGGGAGAAAATCAGTCTCGTTCGCGGAAACCGACGTGCTCTTAGGAGGAGGAGGAGCACACGAAACAGGGAGGGGATGGATATTCTCGAACAACGTGAGAACGGTGTACGCGATATCGTTGGCGTGCGCGGCTTTGTTCGCCATGCCGTTCGCATACATCGCCGGGTTCAACTCTGCCACCACCTCTTTGTTGTACAAATTCGGCATCTCTCCAGTACCGAGCGTTTCCGTGATTGGCGAATATTACCACGACGCGTTGTCGGGAATGTTCCCGGATGGGATCCCGCAATGGCCGTTGGATGTTAACTTAATGATCATAACCAGACACCAAAACAAAGACGATTACAGAGGTTTTCACGCGATTAAAGCGGTATTTCCGAGAGCCGAGCAGACATGGGGGGTGGACCCGTTGACGTGGCCGAAATATATCGACGAGGCGGAGCACGCGGTGTCGAACATAAGGAGTATTAACGCGAGGAATTTTGCGGACTCGAATAAGTTAGCCATGAGTAAAGACCGATATTGGGACGAGAGAAGATCGCCAGAGAGTTTAGTTGGAGTGCCGTGGATTGACGCGATTGATTTAAGAGAGGAGGAAACCGGCGCTTTGACTCAGGAAAGGGTCGGATTGTCGCACCACATCGGGTGTTTGTTCGCACACATGAAGGCGTGGCAGAACATGAAAGATTTAGGAATGGACAAAGCGTGGATCATGGAATCCGACGGGTTGATGAAGATGCAAGAGTACTCGAATATCCCGCTCTGGGCGATGACCAGCGTCGCGCAAAACTTACCCGAAGACGCTGATTTCGTTTTGTTGCACAAAGGCATGGACAAATTCTGTGGTGTAGATGGGAGTTTGTGCGCCATGCACTCGACGTTCGAGGCGAAGAACTTGTTTGACCCCTCCGATCGCGAGATGTTAGCCTTCCGCCACTGGCCTATCGAAGGTTCCGAAGCTGGTTTGCAAACATACATCGTCAGCGAACGCTTCGTCGATAAAATGCAAGAATTCTTAGCGGCGCATGGAAGTGACATGATCGACGCGTATTTATACGGCAACTTGTGCCAAAACGAATATAAATCCCCGGAGGAAAGAGACAAGTTATGGGCGATGAATTACATGAGCCAACACGCGCAGAAAGCGCCGCACAGCTCCGCCGACGAAAGAGGTTTAAAAATCCTCAATTGTTACATAGTTACGCCGGCGTAATAGTTTCTTTCTTTCCCTTTTGAGAGAGAGAAAGAAAGAAAGAGAACGCGCGAGTCACAGAGAAAGAGAGAGCTCGCGCATCCTGTATTTATATAACATCCATCGATTTTACCGAAAATATCATCGTCAACCGCCGAACGACTGAGCGGCGCTTTCGCCAAAGCTCTCCTTTTTTTCTTCCCCTTTCTTGTCCTCTTCGTCATCGAAAACACCACACAAAATTTGGTTTCTTGCCCCCACAATAAAACACCAAACATGGGTGACAAGGTACGAATCTCTCTCTCTCTCTCTCTCTCTCTCTCTCTCTCTGATGATGATGATGATGATGACGCGCGAAACGACGACGAGCGAAGTCTTCTCTTCCCGCTTTGTTTCTCTGTCTCTCTGTCTCTCTCTTTCTCTAAAGAACCGCTGCTGCTTTTGAGATGTTTTTACTTCTTTCTCCGTTGTGGAGATAAAGAAGGATGACGAGAAATCTCTCATCCTTTTGGGCGCTCATCAGGGGCACGCATACATCTCAACCGAACGCTCGCTGACGACGACGACACTCTTTCTCCTTTTTCTTTCTTTCTCTTTTCTTTTTACGACGATCAACGACAGGAGGATAAATCGCAAGAGTTGCGCGAAAAGCTCGTCAACTCTGACTCTGGTTCCAACTTATCGTCTTCAAGTGCTGGCGCAGGCATGGAAGATTGGGGCCGCAAATCGGTCGTCACGTTAGCGTTGACGGTTTTGACGTCATCGCAAGGTTTGTTAATCGCGGCGTCGAAGGCGAACGGGGTGAAGTACGATTACGCGGTGACGAGTGCGAATTGCACGGTAGAAACGACGAAGATGTTGATGTCTTTGTTGGCTTTGGTGAAGATTTGGAGAACGGTTGGCGTGAACGAGGACAACCGAATCAGCACGAGTTGGTCCGAGTTGTGGGTGTATCCGATTCCGGCGGCGTTGTATTTAGTGAAGAATCTGTTGCAGTATTACGTGTTTTTGTACGTGGACGCTCCGTCGTATCAGATTTTGAAGAACTTGAACATCATATCGACTGGGATTTTGTATAGAATCTTCTTGAAGAAGATCTTGAGCGGCGTGCAGTGGTCGGCGTTGATTTTGTTGGCTCTGGGGTGCACGATCGCGCAGTTGACGAGTGGTAGCGATCAGGTGTTGTCAACGCCGTTTATGGGTTTGATGATGGCGATTGTGATGGCTATTTTGTCCGGAGCGGCGGGGGTGTATACGGAGTTGATCATGAAGAAGCAACCGAAGAGAAACGTAAACGCGCAGAACGTGTATTTGTACTTGTTTGGGGTCATCTTTAACATGGTGGCGATCTTTTTGTACGATTACGACGCGGTGTTTGGACGGGGGTATTTTTACGGATACAATGCGATCGTGTGTACGATGATTTTAAATCATTCGTTGAGCGGTATCGCGGTGTCGTTGGTGATGAAGTACGCGGATAATATCGTCAAGGTGTATTCAACCTCGGTGGCGATGATTTTGACAACGCTAGTGTCTATTCCGTTATTTGGGTTTCAGTTGACGTTGCCGTTTGTGCTGGGGACGAGCGTGGTGTCGGTGGCGGTGTATTTGCACTACCAATCGAAAGATACGCCGCAACCGCCAGGGGCTTTGACAAAGTAAAGTAAAAATTCTTTTTCTTCTCTATATTACTCTTATACTCTCCGTTGGTTAAGTATCAAAACGAGAACGAACGAGATTGTTATTACTACTATATATATAAATCTAAATTACATTATAATCATCAAGGCGTTGATCATGTCTTCTTCTTCGTCGTCGTCGCCTTCTTCTTCTTCGTGCCCTTCTTTGACCTTTTCTTTTTATTCTTTTTCGATCGAAACGCCTTCTGAATCACCCTCGCCGCTCGCGCGCGATTCAATCCATCCGCAACGGCATCATTCCGTGCCTTCTCCTCTCCTTCCTCGCGATCGTTTTCCAATTTCACCTCCTCTAACTCTCTCTCCACTTCTTTCAGTGCTTTTTCAATCGCCTCTTCCGCTTTGTTTTTTGCTCTTCTTTCCTTTCTCGCTTCGCCAACCTCTCGATCGTAGGACGATATCGCCTGTTCCAACTCTTTCGCCGCTTTCTTCCGCGCCAGACGAGCGCGTCTCTCTTCTTTCTCCGCGCATTCTTTTTCCCTCAACTTCTCCTCCTCCGTCGACGACGATTCTCCTCCGCGCATTTCTCGAATAATACTCATCAACCGTTGCGTTTCCGCGACGAAGTTTGCCTCTCGCTTCCTCTCTTCTTCCTCCCGAAGTGTCTTCAGTTGACCTTTCTTCTTTTTCCCGAGAGCGACGGTGTGCTCGAACAACTGGCGCGCGGACAGGAGACGATTGGAGGCGCGCACAAACTCGCTCTCTTCTTCTTCTTTTTCTTCTTCCTCGTCGCTTATTTCGTCGGTGGAATCCGACATCGCGTCGCCATCATGAGTGGTGGTTTCCGTGTTTTGAAGACACATGTGTCTTTTTATGAAGTTAAAATTGTCCGGAATGGGGGTGATGTCTCGTATTTTAACAATTTCTATTTTTAGTAATACGTCGTCCGCGTGCGATGATGCGGTCGCCAATTGGTATCGTCCCGCCTTTTTTCCCCGTATTCCCACAACCACCAATCGACCGTCACCGCGGTGCACTTATCGTTGACACTCGCGGAGTATTTTTCGTTGAGTTTATCTCGTATGCGCTCGACGGCTTGTATCGTCGCGCATCGGATCTCGACTTCTAACTCGCACCCGATGACTAAATTCAGTTTTTTATCCACTCGTTTGTGTAAGTATTCGGAGTGGTAGTCTAAAATGTTGCTTTCTCTTAAAACGACCGGGACTCGGTAATCTGCAAACGTCGTCAGTTTGTCGATGTCCGTAAATTCGCCGGCGCCCGAATTTTTCAACGCGCCGTACACATCCGCTACAAAAATCTGAGCTCTCTTCAAGAACCAAATTTCGTTCGCAAAGAATTGTCCTTCTCTGCACTCCCCCGTGTGTCTGCTCATATCCGTAAACCCGACTGGAAAGGTTTGCACGACTAAATCTACTAACTTTGCCGCCGATTTCTTCGCCGCCTTGACGAGTTCAATCGCCTCGCCGCCGAAACTCCTCGCCAACCCTTCCCCAATCTCTCGCAACCGTTTCGCGCGCACCTCCTCGAACGGCAACTCGCGAGGCCATTCTAACATCTCTCTCAGCTTCTCCCCGGTCATTTTACCTAAATTCTCCGCGCTTAAAATCTCAATCCCGTCTCGCTCGACGGATTTTTTCAACCCTCCAGCGACGTGTTCGTATTCTAATCCAATCGGGTGCTCCTCCGTCACCGCATCGTGGTCCGGCCAAAAGCAGAAATTAATAGCATCCAACACCAACAAATACTGAATCGTATCTTTCTCCTCTTTCCCTATAAAATGCACAGAACTGTCGAACCGATTAAACCCGGTTTTCGAGGTCATTCCAGCGAACTGATGCCCGGGAACGGTGTGCACTAATTTCGCGATGGCGTCGTCGTTTATTTTCACGTGGTTGCATTTTTCCAGGACGATCATTTTCGTGCTCGATCGAACTCGGTCGCATAAGTTCGTCAATGCGTTCGCTTCCTCTTCTTCCGTCTTTGTCTTTGTTGGTGTTGTCATCTGTGTGTTTTTACTAATAGGGGAATTTTGTTATTCCAAACGCTTCGATTTCATTTCTAAAAAAAAAAATACGAGCGAAAAAAAAGTTTGACTATTTTTAGCGCAATAAACGGTGTTGTGTTCTTCTTCCCGCACTCCAACACCTCGAACGGCAAGAACAAGAACCCGCGTCGTAAACTAAGAGGGGCTACTCCTCGTATTACTACCGACAGAAGTTGAAGAAGAAGAGGAAGGATGACGACGACGGCGCAAAAAAACGCGAAAGCAGGAGGCGCGACGGGGAAAAACAGATCTAGTATGGTGGTGGTGCACTTGCGCGCGAGACCACCAAGGTGTAAAAAAGACGAGAGAGGCGAAGGGTGCGTGCTGGTGACGAGCGAAGGCCCGCGAGGGTCGGTTTTGGTGAAATTTCGCGATCGGAGGATGCCGTCGTCGGGAGGAGGAGGACGAGGACGACAACAAGAACAACAACAACAACAACAACAACACGCGTCGTTTCAATTCACGGGGAACGTTTTACGGGAAGCTACAAACGACGAAGTTTTTGAGGCGGTGGCGAAAGAGGCGGTGGAAGCTGCCACGGATGGGTTCAACGCGACGATATTGGCATACGGGCAAACTGGGAGTGGTAAGACGTATACCATGGGAAGCGGAGATGGGAGTTACGAGAATCGAGGGATCATACCGCGAGCGTTGACGATGGTATTTGAGAAATTGGCGGTGGGCCGAAGCGTCGTCGGCCGCGCGAAGGATAAGGTGTCGGTGAGTTTCGTTGAAATATATAACGAGAATCTCATTGATTTGTTGAGTTCGCACGAGGATCCAAAAAACGCGCCGGCGTGCGTGATTTCCGACGCCGGTCCCGATTCTGGCGTTTTCATCCGAGGCTTAACGACGAAAGAGGTATCTTCAGAAGACGAGGCATTGGCGTTGTGGTTTGAAGGCGACGCGCAAAGAGCGATTGGATCGCACGCTATGAACGACCGGTCGTCGAGGTCACACGCGGTGTTTACCTTAAATATCGAAACCGCGAGTTTTAAGAGCACCGAAACGTCTTCTTTGTCTTCGGCGACTTTGCATCGATCGAAGATACATCTGGTCGATCTTGCAGGTTCTGAAAGGTTGAGGAAAACGAAATCAACCGGTACTGTGATGCGTGAAGCTACGTTCATAAATAAATCTCTCTCGGTACTCGAGAGAGTGATTATTTCGTTGGGCGAACGCAACCAATCGAATCGCGTGGACCACGTGCCGTATCGTAGCTCGAAACTGACCCATTTGCTTCGCGACGCGCTCGGTGGGAATTGTAAAACAGTCATGATTGCGCACGTTTCCAGCGATTATCAACACGCGGAAGAAACGTTAACGACGTGTCAACTCGCAAAACGGATGATGCGCGTGGAAAATAACGCGAAATTAAACGAGTGCGTGGAAACGCCGAGTGAAAAACTGACGCGCTTGGAGCGAGAGATTAAAAAGTTGCGAGCGGAACTGAAGTTGTTAAAGAGTAACGCCGCGGCGAGTAAGAAGAACGGTAGCGTTGATAACGATGAGAAACATCAGCGACGAGAAGAAGAAGAAGAAGAAGACGAAACGAATACTGCGCAACCATCGGTGGTGCAAGAAGAAGAAGAAGAAGAAGAAGAAGAAGAAGTATGCTGCGCGACCGACGCGGTGAGTGAAGACGACGCTTCAATCTCATCGCTCGGATCGTACGAATCAGCGCGTTTAAACGATGAGGCGCGCGCGTATGATGAATTCAAACAAACAAACGGTCGCGAGAAAGTGAGAGAGTTATCAAACGGAAAGGCAGCTTCACGAGCGTGTAAACACCGCGTGAGAGCGCTTTCGGAACGAGTCAACGATATCAAACGCGAGATGGACGCCACTGAGAAAGAGTACGAACGGAGACGAAAAGAACGCTCAGAAGCGGGAACAAAAACCGGGACGTCGTCGTCTTACGGTAGCACACGAAGAGAAACAGGATCTCAAGAACGCGAAGAAAATGAAAATCCAGATGTCGTCGCGAATCTGGTTGTCGACGAAGTCTTAGCGGCTCTCAGGCACGACATCGAAACTCAAACAACTGGCGCAGAGAACGTAGCGGACGAAGAAGAAAAAGAGGAAGAAAGCGAAGAAACGTCGAATGAAAAACAAGACCGCGACGACGAAAAAGGAGAAGAAGAAGAAGAAGAAGAAGAAGAAGAAGAAGAAACCCTCCATTCGCTCCTCCGCCCGCTCAAAGCGTCCTACCGCCTCGCGTTCGACCAACTCCTCTCTGCGAAGGACAGCCTCAACGCGGCTGAACTCGTCGTCGGCGATTTGAGCGCGAAACTACACGACGCTTTCGTCTCCTTCTGGGCGGAGAAGAAAACCACCGCGAATAGTAGTAGTAGTAGTACTGCTCCTCCTCCTCCTACTCCTTCGCGACAAAACGCGTCAAGGTCGTCGTCGCCGCTTTCGTCTCCTTCTGGGCGGGACAAGAAACCGTCTTCTTCTGCTCCTCCTCTGCATCCTCCTTCTGCTTCTTCTTCGAAAAAAGGGCTTTTCTACGCGCAGTTGACCGAACAGTGGTCCTCCTCCTCCTCTGCATCCTCCTCCTCGAACCAACCGACTGTTTCAAATAGTACTCGAATTCGACTTAGTATTTAGGGTTTACATATTTCTCTTTTGGGATCGCTTTAACACTCCTTCATACTTAGTTTTCTTTCGACGACGACACGACGACGACGAAGATATAATAACGCGGAAGGGATAACCTGTGTCACAGAAGAAGCGTTTTTGGAGAGGCAGACGCGTTCACTCGCACACACGCACACTCTCTCTTTTCACATCCTCTCGCTCTTGTGAGTTGGAGATTTTGTTTGCACTCATCTCCGGGAAAAAATTCAAAATAAGAAGAAGAGTAGTTCATCAGTGAGCGAAGGAAAAGAAGAAGAAGAAGAAGAAAACGGATTAAGAAGATGGAAGAAGCGAACCGCCACGCGTCCATGTCGACGAACGTCCAAGGTTCGGACATCGTCTATAACACGTTCCTCAATTTTCTCAACGAGTTGTTTCCGGTGGTAAATCCTGAAACCAACGAGTTAGAATCGAGGAAAATTTACGTCGAACAGCTGTACGAGATGCACGAAACGTCGAGCACGACCATGCACGTGAACTTTCACCATTTGAAAAATTTCGACCCGGACGTGGCGACTGAGGCGGTGGAGGCGAATTTTTATACATACGAACCATTTTTAAGGCAAGCGGTGAAAGATTTTTGTCGAGAACACGTTCCGGAGATGGTTCGATGGGGCGCCTCCGCGAGCAACAATCAAGGCGCGCAGGAGAAGGATTTTTGGGTGTCGTTTTCGAATTTACCGGGGACGAAACGGTTGAGAGACTTGAAAGCGGAACACGTCGGGCAGTTGGCGTCGTTTAGTGGGGTGGTGACGAGGACGAGCGAGGTGAGGCCGGAGTTGATTATCGGAAAATTTATGTGCGGCGAGTGCGGCGAGGTGATTCCAAACGTCGAGCAGCAGTGTCGGTACACGGAACCGACTATTTGTCTGAAACAGACGTGCTCAAATAGGAAGAAGTTCGTGTTGATGAAAGAAGGGTGTACTTTCATCGATTGGCAGAGGGTGAGAGTGCAAGAGAACGCGGACGAGGTGCCGGCTGGGAGTTTGCCGAGATCTATGGATGTGATTTTGAGACACGAAACCGTGGAGATGGCCAGGGCTGGGGATAAAGCGGTGTTTACCGGAACGCTGACGGTAGTACCTGAGACCGCGCCGGCGAATATGGCCGGGGATAGGACAGAGCTGGGGAGTTCCGGGAAAGGGAGCGCAGCTGGGACGATGTCGACTGGCGTCGGCGGCTTGAGAGATTTCGGGGTGAGGGAGTTGTTTTATCGAACGTGCTTCGTGGCACATTCTGTCGTTAACGTAGCTGGGCCAACGGCTGGTGGGAACGAAAACGTGTCCGCGAATACCGGAGTGAACATCCGAGGTGGAGACGACGAGAAGGAGGTTGTGAACTCGTTCACGCAAGAACAGTTGAACGATATCGAACGCATGTCGAAAGACCCGAAAATTTACGAAAAGTTTGTTCGCTCGATCGCGCCAACCGTCCACGGGCACTTGGACATTAAAAGAGCCATTGCTTTGATGTTATTTGGCGGAGTGCACAAAATGACAAAACAAGGTGGGACGAATCTAAGAGGTGACATCAATGTTTTAGTCGTCGGCGATCCGTCGTGCGCGAAATCGCAATTTTTGAAATACGTCACCGCATTTCTCCCTCGCGCGGTGTATACGTCTGGTAAATCGTCCTCGGCAGCGGGTTTAACCGCAACAGTCGGGAAGGATATGGAAACTGGGGAATATTGCATCGAGGCTGGAGCGTTGATGTTGGCGGATAATGGGATTTGTTGCATCGACGAGTTTGATAAGATGGAAGTGAAAGATCAAGTAGCCATTCACGAAGCCATGGAACAACAAACGATTTCCATTTCTAAAGCCGGTATCAACGCCACGTTGAACGCGCGAACATCTATTTTAGCCGCCGCGAACCCGTTGGGTGGTAGATACGATAAATCGAAAAAGTTGAAACACAACTTGGCGTTGCCGGCGCCAATTTTGTCTCGATTCGATTTAGTCCACGTGATGATTGACGAACCGGACGATTACAGAGACCACATGCTCGCGAGACACATCGTCTCGTTGCACAGGATGAAAGAAAAAGCCATCGAAGTAGATTTCACGCTAGAGCAATTGCAAAGGTACATCCGTTACTCGCGATGTATTAAACCGCAAATGACACCAGAGGCACAGAGAGAAATCGTAGACGCGTATGTGAAGCTGAGAAGAGGCGACGCGCAGCCCGGGTCGACAACAAGTTATAGAATTACCGTGAGACAGTTGGAAGCGCTCGTGCGTTTATCCGAAGCGCTAGCGAGACTGTATTGTCGCGCAAAGATTTTACCCAAGCATGTGCGCGAGGCGAGACGTTTGCTTTCGGAATCAATCATCGCGGTTGAAGCCAGGGATGTTACGTTAGAGGAAGACGACGACGAGATTGACGAAGATGCAGATAAAGGACCGATATTGCCGAGTACGATGAGAGCGTCGATCGCCAAGGAAGAGCGAAAGATGGAGAACGAACGCGAGGAAGTCAGAAGACGCAGCGACGCTGGACTACCCGCAAAAACGAATAGGGAACGTGAGGATAGGGAAGAGAGAGAAGAGTTAGCGTGGGAACGACGCACCGATGATACTGATGCTGGGGTTAGTGGTGGTTGTGTTGGTGAAGATGATGACGGCATGGTGCGCGATAATAATGCCGCTCCATCTTCGCAACAGCCCGCCGGCGTGGTTGCAAGCACGCAAATCATCGCGCAAGAAAACATTCCTCCAACCGCCGGAAAGAAACCAAAAAAGAAAATAACCATCAGCAGCGAAAAGTACCAAAGCGTGAAGAAGATGATCGTCAATCACATCCACGCGAAAGAGCACGATAATCCAGAACAAGATACATTGGGCGTAAAACAAAGAGACATTGTCGAGTGGTACATGGAGGAGTTCGCAAACAACGAAGCCGACGCCACGGAAACGGAGGATCTCACGAAAGAGCTCAAGCTGCTCAAGATGATCATCAACAAAATGATAAACGAGAATACGTTAATCGTTATTCAAGAAGCCCCCGAGCCAGCAGACGAAGGGGACGTGCCCATGCTACCAGACGCCGGCGAGGGAGACGTTGACGCCGAAGAAACCGCGCTGGCACTCACCGAGGAACAAAAGAAGAAGCCAAAGAAAAAGAAGCCGGATTTGATGGAGCGAATTTTGGGTCTCCATCCAAACTACGCGCACGAGTAGTAAATTATGTCGTCCGTCGTTTGGATAATACAATAAGAATAATGTGCGCACTTTTCATCATCAGCACATCAGCAATACATCAGCTCCTTTTTTCAACCCCTATTGTCGCCTACAAAAAGGAGAGAATTAATTCCTCACACAAAACACACACCCATCTCTCTCTTTCGTGACGATGATGCTATCCACCGAGAAAGATGAAGCAGAAGAAGTAGACGACCTGAACAACAGCACGGACGACCGCATGTACGCCCGTCTCGCCTCTCTCGAAGTCGATCGATCCATCTTACTCGAAGCGTTTTTGATTTCCAATTGGGGAAACCGAGAGGTGTTAAGATTACCTGCGAACGCGGAAACGGTGAAAGATATCGATTTCGCACGCGTGGACGTGCCGAAAATGATGAACAGTTGCGAGAATGGGATTCCGTTTGATTTGAGCATGTGCGGGAGCTCGTTTTACGGTGCGGGTTTGCCGTTGAAAGAGAGCAGAGGAGGAGGAGAAAAAGACGTGCCTTTCTCGAGCAAAGGCAACGAACAGGAGGAGGGGGAGATGGAAGAGCCGAAGACGACGACGACGGCGACGAAACCGCCACCACCCGAAAAAAGAGGAACAGAGAGTACCAGTTGGAACGCGAAGAACGACAACGATCAACAAAATAATGGAATAAGGAGAGATGATGTCGGTAACGACGTCGCGAGAGACGACGAGGGGAATAACAACGACGACGACGATGATAGCACCGCGGAGAACATACAACAGTTGCGAGAAACTATACAGAAAGAGTACGAGAATAAAGCAGACTCACAAGAGGAACAGAAATTGGACGATTCGCCGTTGGTGAAGTCTATGCGCGAACTTGGAGTTGGGTCACCCGCTGCAACCGCGTCGCCGAAAGTAGGGGGAGAGGACGCCGACGAAGGAGAATTTCCGCGAGAACAAAAATCGAAAGAAAATCAGCAACCAGAGCAAGCATCGACGTCGAGGACTTCGACAGATAAGAGTAGCAACAAAGAAAAGTTCCAAATCATGGAATTACTTTTAAAATCGGCGCTGGATGATATTGTTGAACCGACGTTTTCGGCGTTTTCCGAGTCTGATTTTGCCGAGCTCGCGTTGGAGGTGTGGTTGTGTCGAACGCCGTCGTGGTCGAATGATGCCACATCGGAAGTCATTAAAGCTCTAGATATAGATGAGGCAGTAGGGAAGACGATTGCAAATATTGCGACGAAATGCCAAGGGTACGCACCGATGGAACCGGAACAGTCGGCGAGGACGCATTTGATGTCTATGAGTTTAGGTAATGTTCATCGCGCGACGGACATTTTGTGTCCAGAGATTGACTTTTTTACATCGAGATCGATTGCAATTTGCGAGGTTTTGCGAGCGGCGAAGAAGATAGAAGACGAGAACTCGACGCACGGGAAAACCAATCCGTTTTTACCAGCAGGTGGAGGAGGAAATGGACAGAACGACGACGGACAAAAGCCAGTATCCATGTCGCTCATGCTGCAAGAACTCACGAGATTCATCTCCGAATCGAGAGGAGATGTTCGAGCGTTTTTTACTTCGCAGGAAGATTGCGACCAAATACTCGAAGCTATCGAGCACGCGCTCGATAACGTTGACAACGAATCGCACGGGGCTAAGATTTCATCCGCGCATCCGCCCTCCGTCGCGGCGCGAGCGTATTACCAACTTTTCAAAACCGCACTCGATCCTGTTGAAGAGAGATCGCTCGCGTTCGATTGCGAGGATACTCTGAACATTTTAAAGAGTACCGTTCGCGTCGGGTTAGGTCCGTCCATCACGGAAGCTGCGCATAGCGCGTTACTTGTGCTCTTCTTGACTAAAGTTGCCACGAGGACGAATGAAGACGACGATTTAGATACGCTCGATGTTGACGAAGAGTTTGAGAAGCGCGCAAGTATTTTGACTCGAGCTGGTACAGAACTCGAGCGAGCGATTTTCTGTCGCACGGACGGTTACGACTATGTCGTCGTCTTCAAGAACGATAAGATAGCTGCGTCGACTTTGATGAAATTGGTGCGTTGGTGCGAAGCCGCAATTAGCGATTACATCTTCGATGTTTCTCCTCCAGCTGATTTCAAGGTCACCGAGCACCCTCTGAACACGTACGATACCGAAGCTTTCGCTGCGATACTGCGTTTGTATCGTTACGTAATGATTGCGCTTGGACAGAGCGACGATGACTTTGAGCACGCTTTGATGAGGGCGAGCACGGCGAGTGCGAAGAAATGTTACGAACGCATTCGCGTACAAGCCATGGAAAATGAAGTCTCCTCTGAAAATTCGAACGATACTTTGGCGCACAATCCAGCTGCGGCTGCCGCTCGAGTTCTCGAAGTTATCGCCTCGGAAGTTTCTAGAATTGCCGACGAGTACGCCGCGCACGTCGCGCCACGCATCAAATCTTGTTTTTTTCCGTCCGAGTACGAATCGTTCGCCGCGAAGTCAGATATTCAGAAAAGACAAGAACGAGCGGACGTGGTCTTCCCACGCGAGCTCGCAAATTTATTCGTCGATGAATTCACGTGGTGGTTAGAGTCCGATCCGCCTTTAACGACGGTAAGTTTGCGAGCGTTGTGGGCGAGTGGCGACGCGCAAGCCGCATTAAGCGTTTGCTGTGACGCGGACGCTTTAAGAAGACACCAAAGAACATCTAATAACAATGATGGTGTAGCGATGATCAGAGCAACCGATGCTGATGCGGAACCAAGCGCTACTAATGCTGCGAGAGACCCGTATGCGACCTTTCCTCAACTCAACGTAAAGGAAAAAGCCGCGCCGCTCATTTTTAAATGGATCGGTACCAAAATCGACGATGCCAACATTTTTGCCGAGCGCGCAGCGCAATCTGAAAAATGGACCAATGACCGTCGGCAGAAAAATCATCCAGCGCAAAGCGCGGTTGAGTTACTCAGACTCGCCAACGAAACTTTAGAAGGGTTTTGGGGTTTGGGTATTCCGTGTTCGGTCTCGGCGATTCGCGCATTAACCGAAGGCCTCGACGGCGCATTTCAAAGGTACGCCAGCGAGCTCTTAAAAGACGTTGGAGATGTGAAAGATGGGGACGAGTTACCGGAGAAACCGCGCCTGACGAGATATAAAAAAGATATCGTCGACAAGATGCAACAAGACGCTTTAGAAAGTATTAAACGGCGTAAATGGGTATCAGAAAACGCGCAGTCGTTAGACGCGACATCTCACTCATACTGCGCCAAGTTATCGGCTTTAGATTTCATATTGGATGAACTAGAGAACGGATCCATCGAGCGGGATCTACCGAACAGATGGATTCGCATGCAGCGCGATTGCGTGGCGTTAACGAATGGATTAGTCGACGAGAACAACAACATTAACGGCGAAGAAGATGGTGACCACCAAGACGACTTTGAAGCCTCGAAATGGCTCGAGGACGTTTTCGCCTCTGCGCGCCAAGCTCTGGCGTCGACTATTGATACGCTCTCGAATTTACTCGCCGCTCGCATCGTGTTTACGAACATGAAGGAAATCTTTCACGACGGTGCCTACGTCACGAAAGATAAGAGTTTGTCGCGTTTATCTGTAGTTGTCGTTCCAGCTTTAGACGATTATATGGGATCGATTGTGTTTTCCATAGGTCCCAGAGCCGCCGCGAGGTTGTTAGAAATCGTCGCTTCGGCCATGTTGCGCAAATTTTGCGAGATGTTCGTTCGAATAACTTTAGACGGAGGCCCGGGAAGAGCCTTTGAAGTCGCCGACGCGAGAGCCTTTGTTTTAGCGGATTTGGAAAGTATACGTGAGACGTTCGAGGCGAATGGCGATGGTTTGAGGGAAGAAGACGTGAGAGTAGTGATGAAAGAAGCCGAGCACATCGCTGCAACCATGGCCTCGGAAACCGATCCGTTGATTAAAGCAATAGAAAATAACGAAGGCGCGAATCCCACGCAGCAGGAGATTATGTTTCGCGTCTTGTGTCATCGAGCGGAACACGCGGCGTCGAAGTTTTTGAAAATTAACGCTAAGTTGCCGAAGAAATAGTTTAGCTCATTTAGAGTGTATTAATATATGTGTTCGTATGATGTTGCATGACAAAAGTACAGTGTACGAGTACCCAGTACAATTCCTTTTTCTAAAGTTGTTTTTAATTGTTTTTTAAATCTCATGTGATTAACCAGCGACCATGGTTTGCTTGACCCCTTCCACCTCGATCGGTTTCGACAACGCTTGGAAGCAGTTCAAAATTGGCTTCTCGCCTTTTGAGATATCCGCTTGGTTCCACCAATCCTTGTATGCGCACATGTTCCCGGCAGTAAACGCATCCACCATGTCTGCCCCGTACGTCGCTATGAAATTATGCGCCTTTTTAATAAAGCTCTGAGTGATGACGTACGATTGCAACCCACTCAACGCGCTCGCGCGAGTGTTCATCTTATAAATGTCAATCTTTGCGAACGCTCCGTTTGGACCTTTCACTCCGACGCTCTTAAAGTGTGGCCCTTCAAACCCGGGTTCTCGCATGAAGTTTTGCAAAAACAACACGTCCGCCTCCTTGGGCATGTTTTCCGTCAACGTTTGTACCGCCCAAAACGGCACGTTCGTCATCTTATTCCCATCTGACTCCATAATCCACGCGATTGGCCACCCTTGATCTTTTACCCACTGCCACTGATACAAGTGCGCGTACAAGCACCCGACGTGATGCGACAAACCTTTATCCAATGAAAACTGGTCCAAAGTCCCGTCTGCTTTCCTCGTGTCGATGTGTTTCAACAATCCCATCAACTGGTAAAAATCTTTCACGTCCGACGCGAAAACCGTCCCGTCTTTCACTTTCTTATGAAACAATTTCCTTATATCTTTCACCGCGTACTCCGCGTTCGCGATATCTTTCGGCCATTTCTTGGCATCGATCCCTTGCGAAATACTCACCGTCTCCGCCAAATCTTCGTAATTCACTCTCGTTTCCCCGGCTAAAGTTTCAATCGTTCGTCGGACTTTCCATAAATCCTCGTCGTTATCTCGCAACGCGATGAACACCACCGGTACGTCTAACACCGGTTCGTACACTTCGTTCAACGGTTTGTACGCGCCAGTCACCACGTGTGGACCGTCGCTGGATGATGCTTTCTTCCCTAAAGTTGGCAACGGTGTTCGATGTTCCGTCGTCGTATCGTATCGTTCTTGGTGGAAGGTGTTGTACGAATTCGACGGATCGTGATGCACGTCCGCTCGGTTGAACACCTCGAACGAATTCTCGATCGCTTTTTCAATCTTCTGAAAACCTTTCGATGGATTCATCATTCCCAGTTGCGCAGAAGAGGAACTCGTCACGAGCGCGTGTTTGCTCACCGCGGCGACGCCAATCGTGCTCAGCGCAAAGAGCGCGGCAGAAATGGCGAAGAGTGTGTATTTGCTGCTCGACGTGGAAGGTTGTCGATCGAACGGTTCATTTTCCTGGATCGGGGCGAGTAAGTGTTCGCGCTCGTTCGCGTTTTTCGTCGTCATCGCGCGTATTGGTGGTGGTCGTGTTGTGTGTATGCCGCGCGCGCGTCTTGTGGAGATTTTCTTTGATTTCCCCGCGGTCCTTTTTGGGTCTTTAGGGTTTTACAAGAACTCAAAGGGGGGGAAGCGGTTTAATACTATGCAAAGAGTAGCGTATATGAATATATATATAATGATGTGAACAACCTCTTTCTCTCCTTCTCTAATGCTCTCTCCTTTGCATTCTTCTTTTCCTTTGTCTTCTTCTTTATTATCCGTGATGGTGACTTTTTTTCGAAGACGAAGACGAAGCGCCGCCGTGCTTATTAGATTTTTCCTCTTTCTTCTTGTTATGGGCGACGATTTCGTTGTCGTTGTCGTCTTTTTCTACTTCGCCCAACTGACTGGCGGGCATTTTACGCCTCCCAATCAACGTTCCGGCGTCGTCTACGGTCATCATCGAGTCTTTCGGCTTCGTCAAACCTTGGCCCGGGATTTGCTTGAATTTCTTTTGCCAATCGCGTTCCTTCATCGGAATGTAGTTGGCGGAGTAATCGCCGTTGGTAAACACGACGTGTTCTGTCGCCCAACTCATCCGGTAGTTATCCACCGTCGTTCTTCCCATTGGTGCGGTGTTGATGTTTCCATTTTCATCCAACGTGACCACTTTCCCGTGCACTTTTTTCGTCGACGCCATGCCGCCGGAGCTGCTCGTTTCCACCGGTTCCACGTGCTCCGGTAACTTGCTCCCGTCCGGAATATCAAAATCTAACGCTTCTTCTTCTTCTCTCTTCTTTTTGCTGCTACTTTTTTTATTGCTCTTCCCGAGTTGCGGAAGTTCTTGTACGCGCGCCTCGCCTAAACTCGCGCTCATCATCGCTCTTACTTTCGGATGCGTCGTCACCCAATTCGTCGCCTCGTACGGCACGGATTCCGTGTCGATTAGACCGTTTTTCCACTTTGATTTCTCGTACTTTTGGCCGTTGAAATATACCTCGTTGCTTTTGCCTTTGTACGTTCTTCGATCGCTGTTCAGCGGGTAGGAGAAATGTTCCGCGTCAGCGCCGTAACTGCCTCCTTTTCCTCCTCCTTTCGTCATCATCATCATCGTCGCAGACGATCCTCCGCCGGCGGACGACGTAAACGACGACGACGACAGAGCCGTCGAGGCGACACCAAACGCGGCTAAAGATACCGCGCATCCCATCGCAAACGACGACACGATGTTGTTCGCACTCGATTTGGTATTCGCAGAAGAAGAAGACGCATCACGTCCGCCGCGGGGGGATTGGAAGGGGCGCGTCTGCTCGACATCATCATTCTCGTCGGAAGGAATCGCGTCGTAGTGCTTCGCCAGCATCGCCACTCGACCACCCATTTATTATTGTTATTCGAACTTCTTCTCTGAGGTAGTAGTGGTAATGAAAGTCGCAGTCGTGGTAGTAGTCCTCTGCGAAACGCAGCAGCACAAGCAGTCAAGGAATGGCGTATCTCTTCCGTGTCTCTTGTTTTTCGTGGTGAACGCTTGACTCTTTTTTTTCAGAGGGGCATTTCAAGTTTAGGGTGTAGGGTTGAGTGAGAGGATTTTTCTCTTTTTTGAAAATACGCGAGCGATTCCTTTCTTCATACTACGACTCGCAAGAGATGGGGGCATCATCATCATCGTCGTTGACGGAAGCGGAGATCGACAAACTGACCGCGTCGAAGTTGAGAAAACTTTTAGATGCGAAAGGAATCGCGCACGAGAAGAAAGAGTTAAAAGCGGCTCTGGCGGCGAAATTGAAAGACGCGATGAGGAAAGAAAAAGAAGGAAAAGAAGAAGAAGAAGAAGAAGAAGAAGAAGAAGAAGAAGAAGAAGAAGAAGAAGAAGAAGAAGAAGATTCAGACGAAGAAGACTTCGACGAGTACGAGGACGACGGATCCGTGGAATGGATGTTGAGAATGCACCAAAAGATCGCGCGACCAAAAAACAAAAGAGACTGGGAAATCCGCGAAAGCGTCCTGTCAGGTGGAGGCATTCCCTGACAACTAAGAAAGAAAACGTCAGATACGAGTACTCACAAAAAGACACGAGAGACACGCACAAAAAGATAGATACAAAAGCGAGAGTGTAAATCTTTTCTACTTAAGGTGCCTTTAGTTACTTTACTATTACTTTACTATGCACTCGAGTCTCTCTTTTTCTCCTCTCTCTCTTGCTTGGTTTCGGAAGACTCTTTTCTTCAAACGCCTAATCCGCTCGCGCTTCCGCTTCCATGCGAATGTTCAAGTCGTGATAATACTCCGGATCCGCCAACGCTTTGTAGCAGTTCAAAATAGTCGGCGTCGGATTTTGCGGATCGAACGGGTGCGTGTACTTTTGCATGTCATACATAGTCCAAGCGATGTTTTTCGCCTCTTCGTTGTTGTAAGACGTCGTGCACAGCTTGTTCAAAATGTACCCGTCGATCATGTCCGCGCCGTGTAAAGCTAAAAAGTGTTGGATTTTCTCGACGAACGTGTCCGTGGCGATGTACGAGGCTAAGCCGGCGTAGCCTTGTTGCGGATGGTAGTTGAGTTTGTCGAAGGAGTATGTTTTGTGCTCGCCGGAAGTTGGGTGTTTGATTTCTACGTTGCGTCGTTCCACGCCGGCGGGTTCGTACGGATACAACTGCAACGTGACAAAGTCCGCGTCGCCGGGCATTTGTTTCGCGACGGACGGGATGGACTCCAAAGGCACTCTGGTTAAACTCAATCCGTCAGATTCTAAAATCAGCGCCTTTTTCAAACCTGTATCTTTAATTTTCTGCCACTGGTATAAGTGCGCGTACAGACATCCGTAGTGGTGGGATAAACCTTGCGATTGCGCGCGAAAGTATCCGTTTTGGTCTCGCTTTTCCACCTCTCCGATCCAAGGAAGTTCGGCAACCGTGCGACGTTCGGGAGGTAAATCGGCGTACAACGGATCGTTTTGATGAATGTTCCAAAACAAACGCGCGAAACCAGTTGCGTATAATGCTTCTTGCAAACCGCTTTGCGGCCACGCTTTCGGGTCCACGCCTGGGGATTTCTCCGCGTGAATCAATGGAATCTCTTTCAAGCGCTCTTGCGTGCGCTCCCACATGGTCGTATCAGTATCGCTATCCGCAGAATCCAAATCTAAGCGTTTGTCGAGCGTGATGACGAACGCGTGCAAGTCAGTCGCGTCCGGGATCGGCTTTTTCTTTTGCGCTTCAGTTTGGGGGTATACGAATAATGTCTTGCCGTTGTTCCAAAGTTCGTGCGCTTTCGGTTGCATGTACTCTCTCCCGTCGCCGTCAATCAACTTCACGTTATCGGCCAAGATTCTAGGGATTTTGAGTTGGCCTTCTTCTTTTTGCTCGTCGACTCCAACATTCGCTTCTTGCGCTTGATGTTCTTGCGCGTATTGTTGTGCTTTGACTTCCTTTTCCTTTATCGGCACTTGCGAAAGGTACACCACCGGTCGATCCTGTCCTTCTTCTTTGCGTTCTTCCTCAACTTGAGCGTTGTCCTGTACTTGCTCCTCGGCTTTCGGCATAACGCCAGCTTCTGGTTGTTGTTCTGGTTCTTGTTGCTGCTGTTGTTCTTGTCCGTCTTTTTGCTCTTGCTGCTGTTGTTCTTGTTCTTTTTGTTCTTGTTGTTGTTCTCCTCCTTCTTTGCGCTCTTCATTTTCCGCGGCAATCTCATTGGCGGCTTCCGCAACTACATCCTCAGTTTTCGGCATCTCGTGCACTTGTTGACCTTGAGCTGGTTCTCCTTCTTCTTGCTGCTCGTTGTTGATGTTGTTGTTGTTGTCGTTGTTTGTACTTTCAAGAGGCGTCGACGCTTCAGAGGAATCCGCCGCCGCCGCCGCCACCGCTTTGTTCGCGTCATCCGTATCTTCGCCCAACTTGGGTACCCACGATCGTTTCGGAATCTTTTTTCCTTCCTCGTCTTGAGCGGAGGCTATCGACTTATCTCGTAAGGTCGAAGTCATCTCTTTCACTGTGGTGGACTTCAATGCCGACGTCGATGCAAAAGATTTCTCCGCGTCGAGATTCACGCCAGCTTTTAAAAGCATTTGTCTCGCGGCGGCTAAAATCTCCGGCGTAGGCTTTCCAAGCACGCCGTCTATCTTTTTCGCTTCCGCTTCGTTACCATCAGCCGGTTCGACTTTCTTAACCTCGCCTGCTAACAGTAACTTGGCAAACTCGATAGCTTTTGGCGACGGTTTGTCGTCCTCTTCTTCCGCGGAGGCCTCTACTTTTCCTTCATCCTCTTTTTTCTCCTCGCTTGGTTGTCCTTCTACTCCTTCTTTTCTCTCCTCTTTCGCCGCGGCTTCAATCTCCGCCTCGGCTCGTGCTTTTGCCTCTTCTTCGCTCTTCAAAAAGTTCTGCGCGATTTCGAGCAAAGACTGCGGCTGAGAAGGCTTAATTTTGTCAACATCTTCTTTTTTATCCTCCGTCGGCGACGAGATGGTGGTAGAAGAAGGTTCAGAGGTTTCAGAAGAACCTTTCTTCTTCTTACTCTGCGCGACGACGCTTTTCTCCGCTCTGACCAGCGCGATCGTATTTGCCGTCATTTCTTCCGCATCTCGTTGCTGCTTGGCGTCCAATGGCGTCTCTTCGCCGTGCTTCTCTCTCAACAACTTCGTCGCCGCTTCCAGCAACGCCGGCGACGGTTTCTCCACTTCACCGAGTGCCGCTAAAAACTCTTTCGTCTCTCGCGATTGCTCTTCTTTCGCCTTCTCCGACGACTTCTTCCAGCTTCTTCTCGGCATAGCGCCTAATCCAGCCGCCTCCGCGTTCGCAAAGGCGGTATCGTCCTCGCTTCCTTGTCCTTCCCGTCGACGAGTATCATCGTATCCGCCTAAACTCGCCGCCGCCGCTTCCTCGGTTTCCATCTTCTCAATCTCTCTCCTCGACGGAATCTTCGTCGTGTACTTCTGCAACAACGCCCTCTCGTCCTCGCGAACGATTAACCCGTTGAAAAAATGGTTTTTCCCGCCGACGGGTGCGTTCGCGGCGACGCCTTCACTGATCACCCCTAACTTGGCCGAGGGCAAGATACCGCGCGGCCTTCGGTGGCCTCCTCCAGCAACAGCAGTATTCGCCGCACCAACACTCCCGCGAGGACTCGAAGTAGTCGTAGTATTTCCGGTAGCGATCGCAACACCGGCGCCGACGGCTAACGCGATCGCGATGAACGTCTTCTTCCTCGACCAATAAAACGACGACGACGATGATGTCGAGGACGCGGCTCCTCCCTCGTGATGATTGCGGAGAATCAATCGCTCGCGTTCATCGTCCATCATCACTTCCTTGTTCCTATTCATATATATATAAGAATGAAAAGAGCGAATGAATCAAAAGTCGCAGCAGCGGTGCTCTCTCTTTCCTCAAAGTGTTTTATGCGCGAAGTGTTACAATACTTTCAACTTTTAAGCGCGCGTTTCTATCTCTGTCGCGTGTTTTGCAAAACGCAGACAGCGCCCTCTTTCTTAAACCCTACACCCTAAATCAAAAAACTCTGGTTTTTTTTCTCTCGAGCGAAAAACGAGATTCGTCACTTTCTCGGGGAGGAACACCACCAGAGACATGACTTTGCCTTTTCAGTACTCAAATGAAGAGGAGTCCTCTCTTTTGTTATTAAATCGCGACGACGATGGTAAGAGGAAGAAGAGTTCTTCTTCTTCGTCATCGTCTGTTATTATTCGTGCGGCGGTTTTGGGTGCGTGTGTGACGCTCGGTTCGCTCGCATTCGTGGCATCATCATCATCATCATCATCTTCCCGCGCCCCACAGATGATGATGATGCGAAAATTGGGCGACGCGACGAGCGGCGAAGAGGCGTATTTAGGCACGCTTCCGAAACGAACGTGGGGAAGTAACGGTGCGAGTGGAAGTACGAGCGCGCCTGGCGATGGTGGTGCGTCGACGACGACGACGACATCGACGAGTATTGATCATCCTCTTCTGAGTGTCGATCGGCTGGGAAAAGAAGAGCAGGGTGATGGTGGCGTTGCGAGCGGGGAAATGACTTCCAACAACATCGAGCAGCAGAAGCAGCAGCCCGTGGCACAACAACAACAACAACAAGGACCGACGAAGCCGCAAGCGCTGGAAGCGAGAGTGTGGCAAAAGAGCGAGTCGTTCGTCGAAGACGACGAGGAGGAACGCGCTGCGATGAAGGAACAAGAACAACGAGAACAACAACATCCGGAAGAGCGAGAACAAGAACAACAGCAACAACCGAACCAAGAGCAGCAGGTGGAAGAGCAGCCGCAGCAGCAGCGCGAGGAAGAGCAGTTGCAACCGGAAGAACAAAAACCTCGCGAAGAGTTGGAAGTTTTAGAAGTTTTAGAAGCTCCCGCCGACGCGGTTTTGGTCGAAGACAACAAAGAAGAATCAAAAGTTGCGGAAAGCGCGCGTGCGGAAGAAGGACCGAACGTCGTCGTCGCGGTTACGAGGGAAGAGAAAGAAGACGTTAAAGAAGTCGTTGTTCCCGCCTCCGTAGAAGAAGTCAAAGAAGAAGTCCAAGAAGAAGTTAAAGAAGAGGAGAAACAACCGATTCCGAGATGGCGCTTGAACATGCAAAATATCGCGCATAGCGCGAGCGATGCGTTGAAGAGGAGAACGTCTACGATATCCAACGAGCGAGAACAACAACAAGAACAGCACGTAGTAGAAGACGGTAAAGAGCAAGAGAAACAAAGAATCGACGCAGAAATAGAAGAGCAACGACGACAAATTGACATGGAAAACGAACAAAAACGAAAAGAAGAAGAAGAAGAAGAAGAAGAAGCGGCGAAAGTAGTAGAACCGGAAATGGGCGAGGACGAAGCTCCACCGCGAGGTGTGATGGAAAACTTATACGACATCGATAACGGAAGATACGAAGGCGAGGTTGTTCAAGTCCCGTTTGCGTTTTACGCCAACACGAAATGGGCCGGCGCAGATTTCTGGAAACACGATTGGGATACTCCGAACATGAGCGACGAGCAAAAAGCGAAACCGGACCCGACGAAATTCATGCCGGTGTTTAAAACCCACGGTGTAGATTCCGCAGACGTCGTCGTTACCGCTCACGCGACAAACATCAAATCAACTGGATGGGTTATCGTCGATTCCGCGAAGCGAAACGGTTTACAAGTAGTCATCTCGGGCAACGGGACCGATTTCCACGGTTTCGCGGATAAAATGATGGGTTTAAAAGCCGCTTTACATTCCATCAACGGCAACCCGATCGTCATCAACACCGATGCCAACGATGTCATGCTTCAATGTTCCGGCCAAGAATTTAAAAACCGATTCAACCAAGCGAACGCGGATTTCATTTTCGGCGGCGAAACGCAGTTATGGCCGGAAATCCACGCCTACTTTGAGAAAACCGACGAAATAGCCTGGAAAGAGAAAATGTCCGACACTCTCGGTAAAATCGGCGCGGCTGGACCACCGGCGCAGCTTACCGGCGCACATCCGAACGTTTGGGCCAACGCCGGGTCATTCATGGCGAGGAAAAACGACATGTTAAAATACATCGAAGAAACCGAACAGCGCATGGCGAGACACCCGGGATCAGAGCCAGACGAGTGGGGAATGACGTGCCGCCCGGCGGGCGTCACCGACGAAGACTTTGCCGACGTCAACGGTTCCGGATGGGTCAACTGGTTCGACGACCAAGAGTGCTTAACCTCCTTCCAAATGCGACATTTAATGGATCGATCCTTGCGTCACAAATTAGACGCGGACGGGTCCATCTTATTTAGCGCCGGCGGCACGCCCATGGACCAAATCGGCAAAGACAACAAAAACATGGTCTTCCACAAAGAAACCGGCAAAGCCTCGTGTTTGTGGCACTTTAACAATCCGCAGGCGAAAATCCGTTTAAAAGATTTCGCGAACGCCTTCCCGGATAAATTCTTAACCCCGCACGGAAGAGAAGTGATGTTGAGCACCTCGGACGAACATCCGGGAAATCGAGACCCGGGACCTTCGTCTGCGGCTGCGTTTAGCGCTCGATCGAGCGCTCGAGCGGCGGCGAATTGAATGAAGTTATAATATACTAAGAGAATAGGAAGAAAAAGTGAGAGAGAAAGAGATGAGAGAATATGAGAGGAGAATAATGCGTATATATATACATAATAAGATTAATCAAACGCGTGTTGTGTACTAATTTAAAACGAATACATACTTAAACGAAAAATGCTCCTTGATGGACAGCTCCTTTTTCCTTCCTTTCTGCTTGTATTGGAAAAAAATCACATCAAACAAAACACGCGCGTGAAGGAAGAGAAGAAATGGCAACGAGTCACGCCACCACGAGCGCGGAAGAGGCGGCACCTTTATTGCTAGCTTCGTCGTCTACGTCTGCTAATAATGCGTTTCGTCGCGATGAGAGCGGTTTGGAGACGTCTTCGTCGTCCGCATCATCATCGTGTAAGAGATACGGAATTTTAGCCGCGGCTGGATTGGGGGCTCTTTTCGTGTTGTCTTCGTCCAAGACGAACAGCGGCGTAACGTTGACGACGACGAGGGGAGGAGGTCGACCAGAACACGTCGCATCGGTTAAACTGGGTTCCTTCGAAACCGGCTACGACTTGGACGCGAACGCGTTCGATGGCGACGTTTGGCACGTCCCGTTTGAGTTTTACAGAGACACCAAGTGGGCGCAGGCGAAGTTTTGGCGACCCGGGTCGAACGCGGATCTCGACGGCGACGTGACGATGTTAAGTGAAGAAGAAAAAATGCACCCAGACGAGAAGAAATACATGCCAGTGTTTAAATCGAAAGGCGTGGATTCCGCTCCGGTGGTAGTGACGGCGCACGCGACGAACTTGAAGAGCAACGGGTGGGTGATTCTGGACTCGGCGAAGAAGAACGGGTTGGAGATTGTGATCTCGGGGAACGGGACGACTTTTCACGGGTTTGCGGATAAGATGATGGGTTTGAAAGCGGCGTTGCATTCTATTCCAGGGAACCCTATTATTGTCAACGCGGACGCGACGGATGTTTTGTTGCAGTGCGGGCCGGAGGAGTTTCAAAAGAGGTTCGAACAAGCGGACGCGGATTTCATTTTCGGAGGCGAGACCCAGTTATGGCCGGAGATTAGGAAATATTTCGACATGGAAGACGAGCAACAGTTTAAAAGAGAGATGAGTTTGACGTTTGGTGAGATTGGTAAAGCGGCTGGGGATGACGTCGAGTTAACCGGCGAGCACCCGAACGTCTGGGCCAACGCCGGTTCCTTCATGGGACGAAAAGAAGAGTTGATCAAGTACATCGAAGCGACCGAGAATAGAATGATGCGACACAACGATTGGAAAGAAGAAGACGGTTTCGGGATGACGTGCAAACCCGCGGCAACAACAGACGAAGAATTCAACAACGTCTTCCCAGGTATGCGTCAATTTGACGACCAAGAGTGCCTCACGGCGTTTCAAATGCAAAAACTCATCGAACGCTCGCAACGCCACAAGTTAGACGCGGACGGCTCAATCCTCTTCTCCGCCGGCGGCGCGCCAATGTCGCAGCTCGGTCAAGACGCCAACGGCATGGTGTACAACAAACAAACCGGGAAAGCCTCGTGTTTGTGGCACTTCAACAACCCCTCGGCGAAAATCCGCTTGAAAGATTTCGCCAACGCCTACCCGACGAAATTTTTAACCGAAGTCGGCAGAGGCGCGATGTTGAGAACGCCGGACGAACATCCTGGGAACAGAAACGGTGAAGTCGGCCCAGCCCCGAGCGAAAGTCCTTGATATGATAATACTAACTGTGTAAATAAAAACGTAAAGAGAGAGAATTTTGTGTCTTACTTCAATGCCTCGTACGCACGCTCGGTTGGTTTCATTTTTGAATTTTCCCCTACTTTGAGTAATCCAATCGCGTCACTCTTTCGCACAACACAATGACCAAAACCATGGCAACAGCGGCAAACAACAACAACAACACCAACATCGAAGATACCATCGACTCGCGCGAGTTCATCGCGAACCCTCGAAAAGTAATCGCGGAGAAGCTGTTCACCGCGTACGGTTTCAAAAGTGTAAGCGCTGCAACCTCGTCTGCGTTGGAACCGATCGACGGCGATTGGAACCTTTCGAAAGTGCTCAAAAAAAGCATCTCGGAGAGCGAGGAGGAGGAGAAGGACGCGACGAAGACGACGAAGTGGTTAAGTATTCCAGAAATAAACCACGCGGATGGGAAAGGCGTCGGGATTGAAAGCGTACCGGAAGGGAAACTGTGCCGGTTTCGGTGCGTGGTGCAAGATATGAGAGACCCGGAGTATTACGTGGGATGTTTTAAGAGCAAGAGAGCGAGCTCGGGGTGGCAGACGACGAAGTTCGCGGAACACGGCGGCGACGAGACGTCGAGAATGGAGGAAGAGGACGACGAGGAGCGTTTGTTTACATTCGAGAACCCGCAGCAGCAGTCTTCGAACGTTCGGATGTGGGAGAGGAAGGTGTTCTATTGCGTCCCGATACCGGGCGAGGCGAAGTGGGTGCAGGAGAGAGATTGTTTGGAGAGAGAAGATACGCACTCGAACGGCGATGGGGTGGTAGATTTTACGAGCATCGGCGGTAATACTGGTGCGAGCGTGGGAGGAGGAAGCGCGAAGAAGAGAACCCGAGAGGAGAATAACGAGGAGGAAAAAATTAAAGACGACAAAGAGGCAAAGATGAAGGAAGAGAAAAACGAGCCGGCGAAATCTGAAGACACCATGGAAGCGATGCCAATAAATGGGTCGCAGAAAACGGAAGATTTTACTGCCATGAATAATAAGAATCGAAATAAAAGTTTCGCCAGAGAGACGCTGGACGAGGCGAGGAATTTGCCGTTACCGAACGACCAGCGAGGACCGTGTATCGTTTGCGTGTACGATTCACCGGAGGATGACGAGGGCGACAAGGAAAATAATTCGGAAACAATGAATTCAGCGACAATTACAAATCCACCATCGAGGAGGTCTTCCACGCAATTGAAATTGAACGACATCGTTGAGTTTTACGGCGTTTTGAGTCTCAATCCAGAACACGCGGCTGAAGCGTTTGGGAACATTGGATTGAACGATAGTATCGAGGAGGACGGTGACGGCGCGACTACGACACAACCTTCGGACGATGACTTTTACGGACACGCAGAAAGGGCGGCGTTGTTTCCAGCGAGTTCTATCGCGCCAAGGTTCCACGCTTTCGGCTTTACAAAGTTGAAACTCGAAGATCTCGTTTTGAAGACGCCGGCGGAGCGTTATCTTTTGGACGAGGAGGAAAACGTCAAAGAAGCGTCGGCTTCCGTATCTGTGGTGCGACCGTTCGACGCTGCAACAACAAACGCGATGTGCGAAAAGATGATCGATATTTTCACCGAAGCGCTCGGTGGAGATAAAGTTGCCGCGAGTTACGCTTTGTTCCTCGCGTGCGCGAGGATTCGTTTACGCACGGATGAATTCCCAGTCGGTTCATTGTGCGTCAACTTTTCGATCGATTGTGCGCTCTCAAAAGAGGATGGAGAGAGCAAGCGTAAACGTAACGACAATCTCGTCAATGCACTCGCGTCTGCGTTGCAATCTCTTTGCCCTGCGACCGCGTGTTTATCCGTAGACGTTCCTTCGCTCAACGCGCGAACGTGGGTGCCTAAAAAAGACTACGACCGTAATCGTTTACGCGCTGGACCTTTACAGCTCGCGGACGGTACCGTTTGTGTCTTGGACGAAACGAAATTACAAACGGGTATTCTCGCAGAAACTGGCGTGAAGAACGCCCGAGCCGTGAAGGATATCATTCAAATGCAAAAAGCGGAGTACGATTTCGATTACCATCAAATGTCTTTGCCGACGGATATTAGCTTTGTCGCTGTTTCCGAAGGCAAGTCGATTTTATTTAGCGAAGACACGGAAGGGTTAGTCGTCCCATTACGCCCGACGAAGAACGAATCCAACACAACGCTCTTGTATGCCCTTGACAAACAAACTTTGGACGACATGCGAACGCTCGTTGCGTTTGTTCGCAACGCGCCGCACATGGACATTTCGGAATCGTGCGGCAAAACCATCGAAGCGTCCATGGTGCAAAAAAGACAAGACGATCCAAAAGAAGCCACGCAAGCGAAAATGCACTCGTGGTTAACCATGTCCAGATTGCAAAGTTTACTCAAAGGAAGAAACGAAATCACGGTGGATTCTTGGGAGGAAATCATGGAACTCGAGAGAACGGTGAAGAATCGACGCCGCGTTCTGTAGTAAAACAAAGAAAAACATCGCGCTCTCTCAATAGAACTGAAAAGTTCGTCTTCAACCGCGCGTATTCATTCAATATTTCATAAATACAAAAACTAAACTTAATGCATACTCATTCTAAACCTATTCTAAAGACGCGCTCGTTCGAATCTTTCACTTCTCTTCCTTCAGTCGAGCTCGCCACGCTTCCAGCTCGTCTTCGTCAAACTCCAACGTCCCATCCGCCTCTATTTTCGCTCGCATCATCGTCGCCTTCTCCTCCTCCTCTTTCCCTCCCTTCTTCTTCTTTTCCTTCTCCTGGATAAAATCCCCCGCGTCGCCTTTCTCGCCGAACCACCCCAGTCTATCCGCCACCACGTGTTTCCTCTCGCACCCAGGGCAGGTGACGACGACCACGCCAAAGTGATACGCGCGTTTGCTAAACCCTTTGATCGATCTCGTCTCGCATTTCCCGCACGTGAACGCCATGTATAACTCTTTTTTCTTCTCCTTCTTTTGCTCTTCTTCTGCTTCTTTTCCTCCTCCTCCATCCGAAGTCGTAAACGCACGCCAGGACGAGCAGATGGAATGCCGACGAAGCGAATTTCCCCTAAAGACACATCCACGAGCAGCAGAAGCAGAAGCGGCGGAGGATGATGCAAAAGTGCCCGAGTTCGTCTTTGTAAAAGCTGATGCGCTCGATGAAGCCAACCGTCGTAACAAGAGCGCTCCTCCCCGCTTCATCATCTTCACCGAGCGTTTTGTTTCATCATTTGTGGGGAAATGCAGTTGAAATTCATCCCGCACACATCGTATCTTCGTAAGACGTATTAGCTTACGTGAAAGACAAAGACATGGAGCAACTGCAAAAGCAACTGGAACAATTCACGGACTCTTTAGACAAAACCACGTTTCGACCGTTACAGAAAAAAACCTTCGACTGTTCCTCCAAGTGTTGCGACGACGCGAAGCAATCGCACGAAACCTTCCAGCGATGCATACAGAACTGCGCGGCGACGATGCAGGAGAAAGAAACGGTCGTGAATAACGAACTGCAAATATTTCAACAGAAAGTGCAAAGGTGCGCGCAAACGTGCAACGATAAAGCGCAGAGTTTTTTAGAGAGCGATGGAATCGGAGGAATGGATAAAGCGCAGAGGAAAGCGATGGAGTGCATAGACGAGTGCGCGAGGGATTACGGGAAGGAGTTGAAAGCGATTCAGAGGAGGGTGGTCGGGTAGTCGATGATGTTGTTGTAGTCGTTTATTCTATTTACTCGTAGCTAATTCTATTCTAATTCTAATTCTAATCTACCTTCCCGCGATGAAAGCTAGACGCGAGCTCCTCGAAACACCTTCTTCGAGCGAGGTACCGAGCGAACTCTCGTGCGAACCGCACGGTAAAAGCGACGAGTAAAGGAAGCACGAGCGGCATAGCGAGCGCGAGTTCGTGTTCGAAAGGGAACGTGACGTCTTCGCGGACGTTTATGGATTCGCGACTGGTTTGAAACGCGAGTTTTCTGGCTTTGGCGACGAGTTTGAATGCTTCTTGTCGTCGGTTCTCGTCCATCATCGCGACGGCGTCTCGGAGCATCGCTAAGGACTCTTTCGAACGCGAGGCGAGATAGGAAGCGTCTTTTGCGTCGATATCACCAAGGTTCGTGGCACCACGGAGAATTTCTATGATTTCTAACATATCCGCGCGGACTCGAGTTGAACTTAAAGCGTCCATTTCTATCATCGATAAGATGTTCGCCGCATCCGGCAAAGCGTACTTCGCGTAGGTTTCGTCTGAAGTTATATCCACGCCGAGCAGTCTCGCGCGAACGTTTGCAAAAAGGAACGGAAGGATATCAGTAACACTTTCACGACGCTCCAAAATCGTTATCCCAACGTTATCGCGCTTGACAAACCAGTTCTTTGGAAGAAAAGCGTCGTCGTTGTTGTCGTTTTTTCTGAACACTACGAATTTCCCGCTCGGCATGGACGGTATCAAGTCCACGTCCATTTTTCTGAGAGGTAACGCCCGCGTGAACCTTTCCGCGGCTTCCTGATTCGTCGTCGAAGCATGAGAGTCGCCCACTTTGTCCTCTTCAGCGCGGCTGTGGTACACGACGCGAGACTCGGCTTCGATGTTTAAAAAATGTTCGAGACGTTTCGAGAGATTGCTCACAAACGGTTCGCGCACGTCTTTCCTATAATTCCACGAAAGTGTTTCGTTTTCTTCATCGTCATCGGGAAGCACCAGAACGAACGAGAGTGACGCCGCCGACGCGCCAAAATGGCCATCAAACTTAGCGTCCTCTCTCGCGACTTTCCACGCGGACGAATAGAGTTTCTGAACCGATTCTCGAATTTTTGTCATCGCGTCAAAGCCGCCTCGAGACCCCCACTCAGAAGAGGTCCACTTCGCGTCGACGAACGCGTTTCGGTCGGTGCCAAAGTGTAGGTGAAAGTTCGCTTTTATGCTGTCGTCTTCTACTTCGTTTTCGTCGTCGAAAAAGTACGCGTAAATTTCATTCGGATACGTCGCGTAGTTCATTCTCATCTCGTTCTCCAGGTGCGCGTACATTCCACTCTTCGCGCTCTCGCCGTCGCCATTCTCGTTCTCGTCGCGCTCATCTCCGCTCGCTCTCGTGGACCTCGCGTAAAACCTCGCGCGTCTCGCTAATTCGCTCCTACCTTTGTCACACGCTACGAAAGACTTTCGCGCCTCTTCCTCTGCCGATTTCTCGTTACTTGTCGACGCCTCAAACGCCTCGCCGTCGAGAACGTCCGCGCACCCGCGAAACGTCACTCTCGCAACCTCTTCGGTCTTTCTACCTCTCTCCAAAGCATCACCATCAAAACTCCCCAAAACCCACTCCTTGAACTTCTCTCGAATATCTCTCGCCATCTTCGTTTCCATCGGGCCTCGCTTTCGCACGAAGTGCGCGCGAACGACCACTTCCATCTCGCCTTCTCTCTCTTCGTCGTTCAAGACTCTCTTCGCCAGCGCGTCCAGCTTCTTTGTCTCCGTCATCATCATCACCTTCGAAGCCGCAAACTGTCGATCTCTTTCCGGCGACGCCCAAAACCACCAACTCGCGACTAAAACCAATCCGAATGCGAGGAAAACCAACGACACGAGCAACCGTTTTTTCTTCGGAACTTTCTCCGACGACGACTTCGAGTGCAACGCAAAGTTGGCCAACGCGAGCGCGTCTAGCGATGCACTTTTTATCGTTACTGATGCCCCCGTGCTCTCCTTCGTCGTTACGTCGTTCAAAATCGAACGCGCGCGTGCGACGAACGCGTCTTTGTCTTCGTCTTCCATTTTCAAAGCTTTGAGCGCGTTCCCGGTCGGGGGAAGAAACTTCAGGCAGTCGTAGACCGATTTTACCACGCGGAGGAAGAGGAGGAGGAAGAGGAAGATCAGGTAAAGGCGCTCGTCGTCCTCCATTCTTTCTTGTGGCGGTCTTCTCCTTTACCGGGTGTGGTGTGAAATGGTGTCAAATTTAGCGCAGAGGAGAGAGGAGAGAGGAGCTTTTTGTGAGGCGTAGACGCGTATGCGTACACATATACAATGAATGCTTCACACACGCGTTTAAAGCTTTGAACGGCCTTTATTATTATTACTAGTGTTACTATTACTACTCGCATTGAATCGAGGCCAGAGCAAATGGTCGTAACCGGGCGGCTTGTGCGAGCTGTTGAACGGCGCTTTTTGCGCGGCGGCGAAGAGGTTTTCGTAAACGTTCCCGTCTCTCGCGCCTAAGGTTGAGTTCAAGAAGTAATCGTCCAAACCTAAGGAGTCGGCTAAGGCTGCCGCGTCTGGGCGCAGTTCTTGGAGGAGCTGGGCGATTTCTTCTCGAACGAGTTGGCATTGCATGGCTTCGAGGTAGCCGTCTTCGACCCAGTCGCCGAGTTCGTCTTCGACGCCGCAGAGGGCGTGGAGCGTGGCGAGGCGTTTTAGAACTGCTATGGTTTCTTTGCTCACTTTGAGTTTTTCAGCTTCGTGAATGCCGTCGAAGAAGTTCGCGAGGACGACTAAAGCGCAGTGCGATTTGGCGACTTTAATCCAGCTTACCATGTCCAAACGCATGGCTTCGTCCACGGAGAGGTTCCCGGCGCGGGCGGTTGCTTGCGAACACAAACGCCAAGCTCGATGCTCGTACGCGCGCAACAAAGCGTCCTCGTCGCGAATGCCTACTTCGTGCCCGAGGGTGGAGGTAAACGTGTTGCCACTTTCGGAAAGATACTTCATTTGGCCAACCAGTTTGACCTCGGTGACTAATTTCGCTTGCAACGCGCGCATGGTTTTGAGCAAATAACGCGAGGTTTGCAAACACAAAACGTTATTGTCGCCTTCGTACGTGACGTTTGGTGCGTAACTCGCAAACGTGGTTCCAAATCCGGCATTCGCAAGGTATCCGTGTCCGCCGCACGTCAGTCGACAACTCTCAATCGCGTCTTTGGTTTTCCAAGAACAAAAGGCTTTTAAGCCCGAACTCGTCGCGTGTAATTCCGGCAAGGCGTCAAAATCTTTCTCGGAGGACTGCGAACGTTTCAGAAACTCAAAATACATTCTTCGCATATAATCGCTCGTCGTGTGAAACGCGAACGAAGAGGCGAGAATAGGAAAGAGCGTTCGTTGCGAGTGTTGATAATCCAACACTTGTGTCTCGACGTTGTTGTTCTTACTATCCGCGTTGGATTGACGTCGCACGAGATTATATCGTAACGCAATCGTCACAGCTTTCTTCATGTATAACGCCGCGTTCATGACGATATCGGATCGAACAAATACCATGGTTCCATACGCCGCTTTCTTGACTGGCGGAGGGACGTACGTCCCGTCGTCTAATACTTTCGAGTGACCCATAAGCATGGCATCTTTCGGTACTCGAACGTGATCGAAGCGTAAAAACCCGTTATCTACCGCGTTATATCCCATTTTATCGCCGATATCTCCACACTGGACGCCTGGCAACGGCAAATGGTCCTTTGTTGACCGAATTTGGACGACAAACGCGTGAATGCCTTTATCTGAGAATACCGGTTCCGAATGAGAAGCAAAAGAAGAAGAAGAAGAAGAAGAAGAAGGCACGAATAGCCTCGCCATGACAATCGCGTGCGTCGCCGTTTTCCCTAATCCTCCCGGCCACCATTTTGTCGCAGTCAACGTCGGCGAGTGCACGATGAACTCCTTCTTTCGAACGTCGTACGTACACGTCGTCTCCAATCCTCTGATGAACGTCCCGTGGCCCAACTCCGTTTGCGCGTACGTCCCAACAATTTCTAAATTCACGCACTTAGGTAACCAATACTTCTTCTGTTCGTCCGTTCCTTGCCCTTGGATGGTAGGTATGAACATCCCGAGGTGTAAATCCAGCCCGCCCGGTTCGTCGATGAACTCGCGCACGACGCGAGCGATGGCTATCAACTTGTTATTGTTACTCTTGTTAACGCCGTTCCCGCTATCCCCGCTATTCCCGCTACGACTACGCGTCGCACCGCCGCCACTACCCCCCCCGCCACCGCCACCGTTGTCGCCATGAATCTTCGCCAAAATCTCCCTCGCGACTCTCGGAATCTCCAAATACTTCTCCAGCGTCGTCCTGTACAGCTCCTCCCTTGGCAAAGAGTACTTCTCGCTCGTTTTGTTCTTGAAAACTCTGTCCTTGGTTAACGTCTCCGCCACGAGTTTTCTCAGCTTGACGTTCTCCACGCCGCCGGCTAATAAAACTTCCAACTCTCTCGAGTTAAACGAAGCTCGCTCGCGCTCGCGAAGTAAATCTTTCCTCGGGTCCACCGACGATTGCGCTATCTGTTTGGACACGGGAGTTTGCAGTTTTCTCGCGAGAGTGATGTCGTCCTCGTCGGCCTCCGCCTCGTTCGTACTCTCACTCTTCCACGCCGTATTCATCATCAACGAGTGACTTTAAGTGGTGGTAATCAGCGAAGAAGACAACAGGACGACAAACGAAAACAACCAGGAGAAGGAGGAGGAGAAAAGAGATCCGTCGTCGTCGTCGTCGTCGTCCAAAGTGCAACACCAAAGCGCGCGCGTGAGTGTGTCGTAACGCTCGTTTCCCAACAAAATTTCTCTGTCGTCACCGTTTTAGGGTGTTAAACCCTAAGGATGATTTGGCAAGAGGAAAAGGGGGCGCGTCAAAAGACTTCGTCGTTCACACGAACGCCTCGAGGCTTTTACCGCAGAGAGATCAACGCGCTGTTTTTATAAACATCACCACTCTGTTCTGCGAGTACTTTGCGACGAGCACTCAGAAGAGAGCGTCAGAGAGAAAAGGAGAGAGAGAGCACACACACACACACGCGCGCGCACAGAAACAAACATCACACATCACAATGGGAAAAATGATGCAAACGTCCTCGTACGACCAGAGTCAAATCTTCTGGGCGTTGTGTTACGGCGTCGCGTACTTACTCTTCTCCGCGACGACGGTGATCTCGAACAAGCACTTGATCATGAACACGAATTTTCACTCGGCGATATTCGTGTCGAGTTTAGGTTCGTGGTTCGGATGGTTCGTTTCCTTAGGGATGGTGTGGTCGAAGCGGACGACTTTGGTGCATAATTTGAGTTTGAAAGAGTGGACGACGTCGGTGTTGCCGATTGGATTGGCGACGGCGTTTTCACTCGCGGCGGCGAATATGGCGTATTTTTATCTCTCGTTAGCGTTTATACAGGTTCTGAAAGCGTTCGCGCCGGTGATTACGTTTGGCGTTTTGATCGCGTTTGGGCTGGATAGGCACAACGCGAAAATTTTAGGCGCTTTGTGCGTCATCGTGTGCGGGTCGTTGATCGCGTGTTACGGGGAGATGCATTTTACCGTCATGGGATTGCTGTGCATGTTTATCGCAGAGGTGAGCGAGGCGTTGAGGTCGGTTGGGATACAGTTGTTGTTGGTCAATCGGAAAATGGGTTTGATCGAAGGGATGTACTATTTTTGTCCGGCGACGTTGCTCTTTTTGACAATCTTTACGGCCATTTTTGAAGGAGAGACGTTGTTTAATCGAGAACACATGCAAGTCGTGCACGATTATTGGTATTTGTTTTGCATTAGCGCCGGGTTGGGTTTTTTGGTGACTTTGAGCGGGTTAGGAGTGGTACAAAACGCCGGGGCGACGTTGTTCAAGGCGATGTCGCAGATAAAAAACGCGTGCGTTATTTTGTTCGCCGTGGTGGTTTACGGAGAGACGTTGACGTGGATGGAAATTGGGGGTTACGGGATCGCCGTCGTTGGATTTGGGTTGTTCAACGTGGCAAAGAATAGAGATATGGAGGAGGTCAGAAATGAGAGAGGGATGCGGGAGGCGACTTTAGGTAAAGAAGGGGAAGGCACGATGACGACGCCGTTGTTAGGCGATCCTTCTTCTCAAGGCGGAGGAGGGATGAAGAAAAAGTCGAGCGGGTCATTTCTTGGTAAATTAGGTTCATTCTCGGGGAGTTTCAGCGGCGGGTCAAACGGAGGCGGCGGCGAGAGCAAGTAGTTGCGAAATTTTATTCGCTCGATACGATTAGTCCTTTTAACGCCTCTTCCTTGTGGCGGTTGTGTAATAATACGAATAACCACTGATGCTATTTATGCGGTACTACCATACAGGTGGTACATACAGGTACACGTGAATAACAATATACATATACACGACAACTCTTTCCTCTTAAAAAAATCTATAAAACAGTATTAACTTTATTTAAATCGGGCAGGTGGGAAAGAACTCGATATCTTTGGCCAACAGTCTTTCGCTGCCTAAATTCGCGGAAACTTCAGAGTTCATGTGTCGATTGTGTTTGCCGCTGCGATGCCTGGAAGACGCCAAACTTGCCGTCTCTTCGGTATCTGCCTTTGGTGACGACGACGACGACGACGCAAAAAGATTCTCAACGGTTTCCAAACTCTTACTCACCGCTTTCACCGCGGGGTGTTCGTAATTTATCCCCCCTAGCGCCGCGGTGTCTCCGTCCATCTGCGGCGGCATCAAATCGTACCCATACGCCCTGAAATCGGGAGAGTATCCCAACTGAAACTTGCCTAACGTTTCTGCGTCGATGCTTCCGTCTGTCCAGCAACCTTTCACGCTCGGTTTCTTTAAATCCTTTCTCAACCCAACTCCGTTACCTTCGTAATACGTAATCTTCGGCGAAAAGTAATGTTGCAAATACGCCAACAAGTTCGGCATAGTCTTCCCGTACGTCGATGACTCCACGTTCACGTCCACACACGTCCCACTTTCTTTTTGCACGCACGTTTCCAACGGGAAAACCGTCTTCACTTTCCTCGCCAACACGTATTGCGGCACGTGGTGCGAGTGTGCCAACGGCACCGACGCGGTTGGAAAATACTGCGCGTTACACTCTTGCATCCCGTCCGGCGAGTAATGATTTTCTAAATAACACGACAACAGCGGATGTCCCGTGGCAAAATTGCTCACGTCTTTAATAAAGGTCGCAAACTCTCTACAAGTGTCCTCGCTATAGCCAACCGCCATCTCGTCGTACTTGTCCGGCGTATACCTCGCCACCCCCCACAAAAATTCCGACTCCATTCTCGTGTACGGATTTCTCACCGTAGTAAACCCGTTTTCCAAATACGTCGCCGGTGGGGTGTGCATATCTTCCGATCCACCTCTCACCCAAGGTTCCGATAACTCAAACGGTCTCTTCCCCGCGGTATCGCCCGAGTTGCACGAACCAATCTTCCCTCCCGCTTGGCCAACCATAGACTCCACCGACGTCCCTCCAGCTTTCGGAATGTGCACAAAAATCGGCAGCTCTTCGCCTTCCGTCTTCGATTGTAAGTTCAAATCGTACTTGGACGTGTCTCTGGCGTACGTTTCCGGTGGATACGCGCCTAAAAAGTGGTGTTGGCCAGAAACCAGAGATGCATTTTTCCCCGACGATGATGCAATCGCAAACGTCAAGCCGACCGCGGAGACGACGACCGCGACAATACCCTTCTTCAAATTCGCAGAGGAAGAAGAGGAGGAAGACGAAGAGGAGGAGGAGGAAGTCCTCGCGTCCTCGGCTGAGAGTAACAAAGGTGCCCTTTCTGGAAGCATCTCTTTAATGGAATAGTATCTAGCCGCGGCAAAATTTTGTGTCGCTTCAGCAGAGTTTGGAAAAATTTTGTACTGTGTTGTTTAGGGTATCAGTGGTACGCACAGCTGTTTTTTAAATTTCACACACACATACCATACAAAAGCAGCACCATGATCATCATGATCATCATCATTATCACCATCTCATTTATCGTCGTCAATATTATTTTATCATCATCGATCGTCTTTTTTGATTCTTTTTTATTCTTCTATCAAGAGCTTTTTCCGTTTCGCGTCCATGCGCGCTTTGAGCGAGCGCATGGTTAAACCGCCGCCGGAGCCGAAACCGTCGACGACGCCGTCGGCGCCTTTGAATTCGCCACCTCTTTGCTCGCTCGTTCGAACGACGACGGAATGTGCGCCGGCTTCGGTGGCAGCTTTACACGTCGAGTTACTCGCGCCGACGAAAATGACGTCAAAATCAACGTCGAAGCCTCTCTGCTCGCTCGCCGTGCGGATGGCGGCTTTCGTCAGCGACGACCTTCGCGAAGTCGAAAACATGCTCGAGTCGATGACGACGTCGCTGCTAAAGTTTTGTCTTTGCAAGTCTCCACCGACTTCAGGTGCCATTAATTCTCCCTTTTTCTTCTTCTTATCGCGCTCTACGCGTTTATACAACGCGTCCTCGTAGTTGTCCTCCCCGGCGAGCGTTTCCGGCGACCCGGCGACGCTCACGCCCGCCGCGCGCAGTTCGCCCATTTGCGTCAAGCACGCGGATAAAACCCCTTCACCTGGCGACGAGGCCGTTTCACCAACTAACAAAACTCTCACGTTCGGATTCGAGTGCGTCAAACACTCGTCCATAAACGCTAAAGCGCCTCGACGAAGCGGTAATCGGCCTTCTCGACACATTTCGCTAAACGTTTCGTCCTTCGTCTCGGCCACTTCCTTTATAAACTCCCGTCGTCTCATTCTCAAAGCATCCGACGTCGGTTGCACGACTGGATTCAAATTCGCTCCCTTTTGTGGACCCCCCATAAACGTATCCTTCTTCGCGTCTGCGCCTTGTTGTTTCCTAACGTACGCCTCGTACGCGCTCTCCATATCGTTCTCCTCGGCGACAACCTCGTCGCGTAAATCCGAGCGCGGGTACCCGTAAAAATGAAAATAGCGCTCAATCATGCCCTCTGCGGTCCCACCGCCCGAACGCAACAAGCTCGCGTACTCTGCCGGCGTCCAATCCGCGCTCATGATGGACATTTTTTTAAACGCTTCGTTAAAGGCCACCCTGTGCCCGTCGGTTTGGACGTCAATCATCACCCCGTCGCACTCGACGATGACGAGTAAAGGCCGATCGAGATTGTATTCCTCGTTTGTGTTGTTGTTGTCATTCTCGTCGTCCTCGTCGTTCTTCGCAGCTTTGGCTCTCGTCGTCGTCTTTGTCGTTCTCCTCCTTTGTCGGTGAGCATAACGCGTCCGAACCGCAGTTTTCCAAGAACTTTGTTTTTGAACCGTCGCGGAAGTCGTCGCCGTCGCCGTCGACCTCATCCTCGTCGCGTCGTTCGTTTTGGCAGACAAACTCTGAAGAATACAAAGAATACAAATGAGAACGCGATGGCGTTTTGGAGAGACTCGCTGCGCTCTTTTCGCCCCGTCGTTCAGAGCGTTTTGTCGTCGTTCAAAGCGACAAAAGAGAGATTTTGAAGATTTTGATGAAGCGCACACGTGTTGAAACAGAGAGTGATGAAAACAAAAGAGTCGACAAAGAGTCGCTCTTTTGGTCCTCCTTTTCTTCGGTCCTTCCTTCCTTTTTTTTTCAAAGATTTATTTGAATTTTGTGGCTCCTGTTCTTCGTTGTTCTCGTTTTTTTTTTTTCACTTTTTTTCTTCTTTTTTTCTCCTCTTCTCCTTTTCTCTCGTGTGTGTCGTACGCCAGAGTCTTAAGTCGCCAGAGTTAAAGTTGTTCTTTCTTTCTTTCTTTCTTTCCGAGCGAGTGTTTTTGAAGAACGAGAGAGAAGAGAGAGAGAGAGGAAACAAAACCGAAATTTGCGTCTCTCATTAGGTTTCTTCGGTGTTGATTCGCAAAACGGAAAGAGCGAGCGAGAGCGAGAGATTCTTCTTCTTTGCTCGAGAAAAAGAAGACGTCAGACGAGAGAGTGAGAGATTTTAGAGAGAGAAGAAAAAAGATGGAGTACGAAGATTACGCTCCAGACTCGACGAACTCTTCGTTCAAATCGGCAAAAACCTACCGGTATCTCGGACACTCGTTGGCGACGTACCAACAGTACGTGGTGTACGTCAGCGAAGGGGTGATAAAAAACTGCTACAACCAAATCAAAGGGATAAAAGATTGGCGAACGGACGACGAGAACGGCGAAAGGAACGACTTGTTACCGCTCTCAAAAGGGAAGGCGAAGGATTTCTTTTACATCGCGAATTTATACGGGAACATCGAGGATACGTTCAACAGGCCGATTTATTCACCTCCGGAAGATTTCATCGACGTGGCTATTCGGGAACCGAATAATCGGAGAGGGTACTTCGCGCGGTTGGTCAACACGCCGGCGTCGAGGAGATGTTTGAACTTGGGGAGTTACAATTACTTGGGGTTTGGTGGGGTGAATTCGTTTTGCACGCCGAGGGTGATGAAAGCGGCGATGGAGAATCCAGTGACGAGCGGGTCGTGCGCGGCAGAGTTGGGAAGGACGAAGCTGTTGACGGAGGTGGAAGAGTACACGGCGAGGTACGTAGGAAAAGAAGCGGCGATGGTGGTCGGGATGGGGTTTGCGACGAACAGTACCGTTTTACCCGCGTTAGTAAGTAAAGGAGATTTGATTATTTCGGATAAGTTAAACCACAACTCGATTGTAGAAGGGGCGAGGTTATCTGGAGCGAAGATTATTCCTTTTGAACATAACTGCGCGGGGCATTTGGAATTAGTTTTGCAAGAGGCGACCAACGGCGCGTATAAATACGGGAAAATTGTCGTGGTCGTGGAAGGGATTTATTCCATGGAAGGAGAGTTGTGCAATTTGAAAGAGATTGTTGAGGTGTGCAAATTATACAAAGCGCACGTGTACTTGGACGAGGCGCACTCGATTGGGGCGATCGGGAAGACTGGTCGAGGGGTGACGGAGGAACTCGGCGTAGATCCGAAGGATATTAGTATCATGATGGGGACGTATACGAAGTCGTTCGGGGCAGCTGGAGGGTACGTTGCCGGCGACAAGAAAGTGATCAATGCTATTAGAAGGTTTTCGATAGGCTACACCGATGCTACGGCAATGCCCGCGGCGGTGTGCGCGCAAGTTTTAGAATCGTTGCGAGTCATCGCCGGCGACGACGGGACAGATATTGGGAGGAAAAAGTTGGAGAAGTTGAGAGAGAATTCGTTGTTCTTTCGAAACGGGTTAAAAGAGTTAGGATTAGAAGTGCTCGGCGACCATCCGTCGCCGATTATGCCGGTGATGTTGTACCAACCGTATAAAATTGGGGATTTCAGTCGATTGGCGTTTAATAAAGGTTTGGCGGTGGTGGTGGTTGGGGCGCCGGCGACGCCGGTGACGTTGCCTAGAGTCCGCTTTTGCATCTCCGCGGCGCACGAGACGAAAGATTTACAGAATGCGTTAGATGCGATCAGCGAAATCGCGGACACGTTGAGCTTGAAGTTTAAGTTACATCCGCCGTCGAAACTGTTCGGCGACGGCGGGTGTTTGCAAGCGTTGGAGAGGAAAGCGGAAATTGCGTCTGAGAAAGCGAAAAAGTTAGCCTTGAGCCGACGCAAGGAGTGCGTGGAAAAGGTAAACAAGATGACGTTCGGTGATTTAGCGTCCGGGTCAGTATTGAGTTTGGAATTGAAACGCGAACTCGGGGATATTCACACGACGGAGGGCGACGTTCGGCCTGGGACGGTGTTCAAAAAGACGATTTCAACGAGAGATATGCTTAATTTAACCAACGACGAAACCATGCGCTCGGCGTGCGCGGAAACCGTCGGTCGGTACGGGTTAGGCTCGTGTTCTCCTCGCGGATTCTACGGAACGTTTCAACCTCACGTCGATTTGGAAAACAAAATCGCGGAGTTTCTGAACGTCGGCGAAGCGGTTTTGTATTCTTTTGGCGCGTGCACGGCATCCTCCGCTATTCAATCATTGACGCACAAATCGGATGTCGCTGTCGTAGATCGTGCGGTTGGACCGGCTATTTTAGCCGGTTTACGACTGGCGAAGTTGGAGGTTCGATGGTACGATCACGCGGATGCGGAGGATTGCGCGCGAGTGTTTGCCAAGATTGAAACGGAAGATGGGAACACGTCCGCGAGGTTGGCGAAACCGGTCCGAAGACGATGGTTAATCACCGAAGCCGTCTTTGAAAAGACCGGGAAAATCGCGCCTTTGAAAGAGCTCGTCGCTTTGAAGAATTTCCATCACGCTCGAATGATTTTAGACGAATCGTACTCGTTCGGGACGATGGGCGAAACCGGGAGAGGTTTAACCGAACACTTCCGCATGCCAGCTACGGCGGTGGATGTGATTGTCGCGAGTTTAGAAAATGCGTGCGCCTCGGTCGGTGGGTTTGTCGCCGGGGATACTGGCGTCGTCGCGTATCAGCGATTGATGGGATCCGGGTACGTGTTTTCGGCATCGTTGCCGCCGTACTTAGCCACGGCGTCTTTACACGCCATCGAGCGAATTATCGCCGAACCGGAAAGAGTCGAGAAGTTACAATCCATAGCGAGGAGTTTTCATTCTGCCTTAGTCGCCGGGGACTGTCCCGGGTTAACCACCGATGCCGATCCCGGATCGCCGGTTGTCCCTATTCGATTAGTGTCAGAAGGCGCCGCCGGGGACGAGTTCAAAATCATACGAGACATCGCCGAGTACGCGCGATCGCAGACGAGTGTAGGCGTCGTCGCGGCAAAGTATAACCCCGTCGTCGCCGCACCAGCTTTGTTGCACACATCTGCAACGAAAGCGACGCTTCGATGCTTTGCTTCAGCTTCTTGGGACGAATCCGACGTTGAATTTATCATTGAAAAACTCGGCGAAGCAGCGTTCAAGTGTTTGCCTGCGCACGCGCTGAAATCGCCGACAAAACGCGACCCGAACCCGAACCGGTTTCGACAGTCTGAGCGAGGATCGTTCCGAGATACTGGAAATTACAGACTCTCTTTTGACACTAATAACAATAGTAACGGACACCAGCGGAGAGCATCGTCGTCGCAACTGGAAGCGGTGCGGAGGAAGATTGAACTGGACGAGGAAGTCGCCGAAACAAAGGAGTGGAAAAATTTCTTCGTTTCAGGAGATTACGAAGAAGAGCCGGCATCATTATCGGTTCCTTTACTCGTCGTCTTATTGCACGCGCACAACTTGTTCCGTCGCTACATCATCGGTCAAATCAACGTCACGTCGCAATTGGTGCCGGCGTTGTTGCGCTCCATCGGTATGCACCCGACGGAGAACAAATCCGCGTTTGTTCGCTTATTCTATTTCGTTAGTACGTATTTAGGATCGCGATCGTTTTATGAGTTCACACTGCCTGTATTGGTATGGGTATGCGCGGAGGAGAGCAAACAAGCGCGTTTCTTAGTGCTCTGGTATTGCTTGACGTCTTCTTTTGGATGTTTGTGCAAAGGCGCGTTGGCGACGCAAAAGAGTACGATACGCAGTAACCGCGAAGTTTCCGCCTTGGGTGCTTTGCGCAACTCCGGATCTGTCCACGCGTGGCCGTCCGTCGCGGGCATGAATGCCTCGTTTATTCCGTTTTTCTTGTTGCGTTGGAAACACGGATCAGTGTGGCTGTGGGAGATGGAGAATCCGTACTCGGTCGTCGGCGATTACGCCGTCGCGTTTGCGTTTATGTTGCTCATCGTCGTCAGTAGACTAGCGAACGGCGATTCTCCCGCAAATGTCCAAGGTGGCGTCGTTTTAGGTGCCATTCTTCTCCGCATGGCATTACCGACCGCGGAGTGGACGCACCACGGTTTGTCGTCAACGTCCGTGCGCAACGCGCAGGGCTTTTCCTTGGCAGCGGTCGTGTTCGCGTTGATTGCGCTCGTGCCGATGCCTCTGAACAGCCGAGGTAAAATCTTACCCGCTGCGGCCATGTGTTATCGACGCATGTGGAGAACGCTGTTCTATGCGTTGTTCTTCTACGCCGGTTGCGTGTGGAGACGTCCACCGTCTCTTTCTGCTTCGCAGACAACATCGACCAAAGCGACGACGAAAATGACGACTCTACTCTCCCCAATCCTCCTCCTCTCGGAAGCATCGAAGGACGGCAACTCCCTCGCCTTTCTCTGCATCGTCCTCTTCAAAGCCGCACTCGGACACTTCATCCTCAAACTCTCCGTTCTTGCCATCTCCAACGTCGCGCAACTCTTCTGGGAATACGTCTTGAAAGTTTACATCCACTCGATTAAACCGAGATTCCAAAAGCCGGGCGAAAAATCCGCCTCGGTTGGCACCGTCCACATGCGTTCGGCGGCGTTGCACTTTGTCGAGCTCACCGTAGATATCACCTCGGCCTTGGTGTGCGCGCACGGCGTCCCGAGAGTTTTCGATAAGCTTAGCGTATGAATATAATATAACATATAGTACACAGTAATAAGTAATACCTACATCATTGTTTGGAAATGAAAGTAGTGTTGTCTCGTTGTTTGACTTCAACTCGTACGCTTTTCAGAGATTGGATATGGATTAGTGCACAGAATTTACGACAGAGAAACACACGCGCGCAACACACACACACACACATTTTAAAAGTGGAGAAAAATCATGTCAAATACCATCAAATTTTCATCGTTCTCATCTGTTACTGCCAGTTCGAACCGCCAATCGCGACTTAAATGGAAGCAACAACGTGCGGTCGTTCGCGCGTCGACCAACAAAAACGATGACGACGACGCTTCAAAAAATGGAGAAGAGGAGGACAACAATCAAGCGACGACGACGAGAGCGACGAGGACGACGACGCAGCGACAACCACCGCTATTCGACGCGCAAATACTTCAATTGAAATCGAACATATACGCGTTAGCGGCGACCACCAGTCGCGGCGCCGAAGCTTCCGCGGACGAAAAAGAAAAAATGCAAAAGAAAATATCAGAGTTGAACAGATTGAATCCAACACCGATGCCGGCACGAAGCGAATTAATCAACGGCCGGTGGGAATTGGTGTACACGGATACGTACGCGTTCAGAGCTTCACCTTTCTTTTGGCAACTCGGAAAGGCGTTGAATGAGAATGCGAATTTGTTTTACGACGCGCACGCGCATCAGACTTCGTTGTTTGGCGGCGGCGTCGGGAGAGTGATTCAAGACATTGATACCAATGATATGACATTAACGAGCGATTGCATCGTCAAAGCGAGTGTCGGGATCCCGTTCGTTGGATTCGCGCCAATTTTTAGCGGGTTTGGTTCTGTCATCTCGAAAGCGAATATCATCGGCGGCGGCGGGGAAGAGGCGAACGACAAATTATATTGCGTGATGGAGAGCACGACGATTCGACAGGACGATACGGAGGTGATTCCGGCGTTGAATTTTTTAAATAACACCGTGGTTCCAGTCGGAGAGGTTTTTGAAAATATCGTAGGAGGCGGGACGCCACCACCGACGGTGGAGATGAAGATTTCATACTTGGACGAAGAAACGAGAGTGTCGAGTTTAGAAGACGGCTCGATACTCCTTTTCAAAAGAGTTGTTGCTTAAAGAATAATAGACCGCGTGTGATACTGTATACTACTTTTCCTACTTCATACTATCTCTGCCTACTGCTACATGCTTATGTGCACCAGTCGAATGCCTAAATCTTTATCGTTCTCGCTAAATTGGTAGCCTCTCGCGTAGAGTTTCGAGTACGCTACGAAGAGTTTACATCCGCTCTGAACGACGCTCGGCGAGTGAAATCGGAGTCCCGGCGCCGTAGTCGTACCTCGAACGGCACCTACTTTCACCCACGTTTTCCCATCGTCCGGAGAAATTGCCAACAGCATGTTCGTGATGCACTTGATTGGTAAACGAACCTCTTTCCCGACAGCGTTTGTGATGGTTGATCGTTTGTGCGCGTTGTACGCCATCAAAAGCGGTCCTTTCTGATCGCCATCGAAATAGAGTCTCTGGACGAGCGTTTTCGATTCCGGAGCATCGATGCCTATGGATGAAGGTTCGGACCACGTTTTCCCGTCGTCAGCCGAGTTTGAACCGTAAATAGCCCCAGCGGTTGTCTTGAAATACATCGAAAGCGTCTTCGCGTCCGCGCTTTGGAACAAACTGCCGTCCATTAAATCGGTCGTTTTCTGACCCACCGACCATCCTCCTCCACCGCTCGAATCGTCGTCTGGGTACGGCGCGGGTTCTAAATACCCTCTCGCCGTCCACGTTTCACCATAATCTTCACTGACGAGTAACCCTGCCGAATGTTCCGCCGTGTTTGTCCACTTTTGCCCGTGACGATTGTTTCGCACGCGACAATGCGCTAACCTCGTCGGCCACGCGTACGTCGCCATCCCGGCGTGCTCTCGCCATATCGGTAACGCCCAGGTTTTCCCGTCGTCTAACACGACTAAGTTATTCGAAACCATTTTTGGTATAGTTTTATCCTCGTCTAAGCTATAAATTGTTTTCGGCGTGGACCATTTCGAATCCTCCGTGATTTTCAAATCTTCCGTGTACGTCATCTTGATCGACCCACCGGGCGGCCATTGTGGCGGTTTCGTTGGCTTTATGCAATCACCCTCGGATTCGCTGTAAAAAACGTAAACTCTTCCACTCGAATCGATGTGCACGACTGGGTTCCACTGCGCCCGTCGTCTCGGCACTTTCAATTTGAACGAGTTTGACCACGACTTGCCGTTGTGGTCCGAAGTCGAAACGCGAATGTGTTGCGACCGTTCGCCCTCGACCTCCGGAGAAGCGTGCCACATCGCTACGAACCCGCCGTTAGGCAACCGTGCCAAAGATGGCGCGTGATGATACCGCAACGATTTGTACACCTTATCTGCCGCGTTTTCTCTCTGACCGGTTTTCTTATTCAACTCCGCCGCTTTCAACTGCGCCGCCGTGTTGTTCCCGTGCGTTTGAATCCACACCGCGCGTTTGATCTTCACCTGCGGGCCATCACCATCTTCCACGTTCCAACTTTCGCACTTTGGACCTCCAAACGCGAACTTTGTTCGCGAGAAATCAAAACTTCCACCTTTTGACGGCGTCGGCTCGAACGTTTCCACCGACGCGTCCTCGGGATTCTCGCTATCTTCGGCCCAGTTTTCGTTTTTCTTACTCCCTCGACTACTCCCATTTTCGCCATCCTCGTACTCTCCGTCCTCTTCTCCTTCGCCGTCGTCCTCTTCCTCTCTCCCTTCTCCTCCTCTGCCTCTTCCGTCCTCGTCGTCCTCGTCGTCCTCGTCCTCGCCTTCTCCGCCGCCGTCTCTTTCTCCGTGCGTCTTCAATCTCGCCCGCCGCGCTTGGCTCATACTTTTCATCGACTCGTTCTCCTTCGCGTACTCCTTCTCTTGGCCTTTCTTTCTGTTCTCTCTCGCCGCTTTGCGTTTCTCGTACGCCCACTGCACCTCTTTCTGCTTTTGCGACAGAGGCGGAGGCGTTTTTTTCGTCGTCGTCGGCATCATCGTCGTCGACTCCTCCTCCTTCTCCTCCTCTCCTCCGAGTCCTCGTAACGATGATTCCGCTTTGCTCGCGGCTTGGTGCAACATCACGCACAAACGCACGGCGGCGACGAAGACGAGACACATCACGAATTTCCGAACGACTCCGTGTCTTCGTTTCCTCGGTGCTGCGCCTCCTCGGCGCTGTTGCAACATCGCGAGATGATTGGAGAGAGACGAGACAAAAGAGAGCGCGCGCACAAACGCAGAACGAAAACGCAGCTACTTCTCTCTCTCTCTTCTTATCTCGCCATCGTATCGCCTCTTCTCGTTCTCTCCCTCCTCTTCGCGTCAAATGATGATGATGATGATGATGATGATGATGGTTCAAAACTGTAGGGGAAACAACAGAACAGCTCCCCTTGTTGTGTTTCGAGGGGGGCAGGGCCAGCGTCTCGAGAGACATTTTTTTCATTTTCGTTCCAAAGTCGCGTTTTTAAATAGATGCGAAAAAGCGAATGTGTGAGCGAAACCTTTTTCTTGCTTCTTTTCCAAGTCTCGTCTTTTTTTTACGAAAGACTTTTCCGCAAAGCTGCCACGTCTGTCCCTTCGGGAGATATTTTACTCTTTTTCGCGGGCTTTTCTCTTCCGAACTTTTTTTTTCGCTTTTTCTTCTCTCGTTGCGAATTAGTGCATCGGAGATTCCTTATTCTTATATATATTTCTTTTTAGTCGCACAAAAGAGCTTCTCACATCATGCAGGTGCGCGCAAAGAACGTTTGCGTGTGTGTTGTTTTTGGACGTCGTCGTCCATCTCTCGTCGCGTGCTGGCGGCGTTTTTTTTACTAAGATGATCGGCTAAAATTTAGGGCGATTATCACGATGGACATTTTTAACACAATTCGATCGGCTGTTTTCTCTCTCTCTCTCGATCTGCGCGCGTCGCGTAAAAATCGCTCCTTTCGAAAGCGAAGAGTAGCGCTCGAAAGGCGATATATCTGTCGTTGACTGACGCGGTGTTCTTTTTTTCTTTCTCTCTTTTTAAATGCTCCTTTATCCTCCGTATCAATACTAAACAACAGGCTATTCAACAATCGACTTTTTTAAAGTCATCGCAATTCAACAAGTCTTCTTCTTCTAAGAAGGTTGTCACCAGTCGTCGCAAGGCGACGACGACGACGAAGGCGATGTTGTCCTCCTCCGCTGGTCCGGCCACGTTGGAAGGCTACGGTTCTTGCTCGTTTAAAGGTGCGGTCGCGGACAAGTACTTGAAAGAACAAGGGTACGATGCGTCTTTGTTGAAGGATTTGTCCTGGCCGAAGAACGAGGCCAAGGCGAAAGCCGTCGCCGCGGCGTTGCTCTCTTGGGCCACGGATAACGGCGCGAAGCAATATTCGCACTGGTTCCAACCGATGGCGAGCGCTGGCGTTCGTCACGGTAACGCTGGTTGCTTGCAAATGGCTATGTTTGACTTTGACGCGGACGGAGTTCCGTACCCGTCGTTTTCGCACGAAAACTTGTTGCAAGGTGAAACTGATGGTTCCTCCTACCCGAACGGCGGGTTGAGAGCCACGCACACCGCGGGTGGCTATTTGTCCTTGGACCCGTTGTCCCCGATCTTCATTCGCGAAGACACCATGTACATTCCGTCCTGCTTTGTCTCGTACAACGGCGACGCTTTGGACGAAAAGACGCCTATGCACAGAGCCACGGAGGCGATGTCCAGCCAAGGTAAGAGATTGTTGAAGTTGATGGGCTACAACCCGGAAGGCGATTTGATCAACAACATTGGTTTGGAGCAAGAGATTTTCTTGACGACGAGATCGGCATTCTATAACCGCCCGGATTTACAGTTCACCGGGAGAACGGTTATGGGCAAAGACGCCGCGAGAGGCCAAGAATTGTCGGACCATTACATGGCCCCGATCTCTCGCGCGACTGGTGCTTTCGAAACCATGAAGCAAATCCAAGCCGAATGCTACAAAATTGGTATTCTGTTGAAGACGCGTCACCGAGAAGTCGCGCCGAACCAGTACGAGTTTGCGCCGATGTTTGGCAACGTCATCAACCAAATCGACCAAAACTTGATGGTCATGCAAATTATCGAAGAAGTCGCCTCGGAGAACGGCATGGCGGCCTTGTTGCACGAAAAGCCATTCGCGGGTATCAACGGTTCCGGTAAGCACAATAACTGGTCTATCGGTACGTCCACTGGCGTCAACTTGCTCAACCCGAAACAGTTGAACAAGGCGTCTGGCAACGCGGAAATCTTCCCGGTCATCATGGCTGCTTTGGTTTCTGCCATCGACAAACACGGCGACTTAATGCGTTTGTCCATTGCTTCCCCGGGTAACGATTTCCGATTGGGTGCTATGGAAGCGCCGCCGGCGGTTATGTCCACGTACTTGGGCTCGTCCTTGACGGAATACTTGGAACAAATCAAGAACGGTAAGATGTCCGAGTACTCTCCGGAAAAGAAATCGCTGTCTTTTGGCGCCGCGAACGTCCCAGATATCACCGTACCGGCGGAAGATCGTAACAGAACTTCGCCGTTCCCGTACGGTGGCGCGAGATTTGAGTTCAGAGCCGCCGGTTCCACTCAAAACGTTTCTTTGATCAACACGTGCTTGGACTCCATGGCTGCGGAAGCGTTCAAGATTGTCGCCGACCGCATCGAAGGCGGCGAAAAGCCGCTCGACATTGCCGCGGACCTTTTGAAGCAACACGAAAAGTGCATCTTCAACGGTAACGGTTACGATCCGAACTGGCCGGATGATGCCGTCAAGAGAGGCGTGTGGAGAATCGACTCTGGCGTCGACGCCATCGACCAATTGGACTCCGAAAAGAACGTCGCCATGTTCTCGAGCATTGGCGTCTTCTCTGAAAGAGAATTGCAAGCGAGAAAGTCCGTCTTATTGACGTACTACACCGGTGTCGTCGAGATGGAAGCGTTGACGATGATTGACATGATCAACAAACACGTCATTCCGTCCGTGAAGAAGGCGGACGTCGGCAACCCGAACAAGTTGAACGACGGCATCAAGCAAATCAAATCCGCGTTGAAGAAGATTCACGGCGAAGAAAACGAAACGAAACAAGCCCAAATGGCGAGATCCTTGCGTTTGGAAACCATGGCGGATGTCCGTAAGGTTTGCGACGACTTCGAAGCCAAGGTTCCGGCCGAGCACTGGACTTTGGCCACGTACGACGAGTTGTTGTTCTTAGACACGTTTCCGGAAGGCGAGATGTGGTAATCGTCAATATTTTGATGATTGGAGATGAAGAATAAGCCGGTGATACATAATACGCGCCCAAGATACACTAATAAAACGAGATATTTTGAAACTTATTTATGATTCTATTTAGAGCGATAAACTCGGGTATTTTTTTTATGTGCATCATTTTACTTTTGAACAAACAAACAAACAAAAACTGTCAGTAATTCATTCAATAAAACACTTTATTCATCTTCTCCTTCTTTTACTAATTGCGTTGCTATGTGTATACATTACATTAGTTATCACTGCGCGTGCTAATCATATCTACTAACATTTTCATTTCTTTACTTCAGCGGAGGGTGACCAGGGAGGCGGCAAAACGCATCCGATGCCCTCGTCGCACAGGTGTGTCGCTTTCTCTGGTTGTTTCTTCCCGAGAGGTCCTGCTCTTTCTCTAGATTCCCTAAACCCTGACTCACGTCTCTCTTTACTCGATGTTGAATCCGTGAGCAAAATCTTGATGTGTTCTTCGTCCGATAGTCCTCCTAAGCGTTTTGTAGTATTCTTGTTGTTGTTGTTGCTGTTTTGCTTCAACGCGTCTCCTAGTCGTCCTTGTAAAAACTGTCTTTCCGAACGGTCAATATCATCTCTCGTTTGTAAATCGTTGGTTGCTTTGGGGAAGAATGTTAAACCAGACACTGCTTCTAAACTTTCCAATGGAACCGCAAAGTTCGATAACGGCGTGTTAGGATCGATGTACGCGTTTGGTAACACAAACGCGGCAACTTTTGCGGATTTGGGAGGCGCGTTGTAATCAACAACATCTCCAAGAAGAGTGACGTCTTTTTCTGGATCGTTCGCGTGTTCATCGACGAGGATAACTTTGAAAAAGTGCGTCGGGACGGCGACGAGTTCCGGTGCTTCGCCAATTAAAGGATATCGCATCTCCCATTTGACAGCTTTTTTGCGCTTCTCTTCGTCAGGATCAATCGGACGAACTTTATTTTGCTGCTGCTGCTGTTTCTGCTGGATAGTATTCGAAGAAGGCTGCTGAGAGGCAACGATTGCATTCGTTACCGAATGCTCGTGGTTCTCTTTCGTATCGTTTGTTGCGGTATTCTTTTCCTGGTGGTTCTGCTGTTGTTGAAGCGAGGCGTCGTCCAACGCGATGGCCATTTTCGATTGTTGCATCGTCTGCGGTTCCAAAGCAGACGCAGTGCTCCTACTGTTTACGACTTCTTCTACCCCGTGTTGTTGTTCTTGTTTTTGTTGTTCTACCACCGGCGTCGGTAAAAATAACGGCCCAGTCACTACGAACACCTTCGCTTTCCTATGTTTCTCCTCTCTCGTCCAATTACGAATAAAACTTTCAAACCTGGCCCAGTAGTCTCGATTAAACCCGTTTCCGACTTGCGGACTGACATTGGCTAAAGTAAACGTCGCGTCCTTCTCCTCCTGTTTCCTCACAAAGTTCCCCGCCGCGGCTAAATGCCCGCGATCGAACCCAGAGTTTCGAAAATCGTTCAGTTTCGCCCGAAACGTCTTCGGCACGCCTTCATCTTCTGAAAACGACGGAGATTTCTTCCTCGAAGCCGCGCTACTGCCGAAATCACCTATCTCGTCCGGATACATCAAACTCTCCCTATCCATGACCTCTAACGTCCATCTGGGATTCCTCGTCCTCCCGTCATACTGCGCGACGAACGCGTTCCCAAACAACCTCGCGCCGATACTTTCCGTCACGTCTCGAGGAAACCCGTACCTCGCGCACGGGTGTCGCTTCAACGACGACCCGCTGCTCGCCTCGTCTCGTTTCTCTCCTAATATCATCGAGGACGCGGACGTGCCGTCGAAATCGGAATCGTTCGCGTGCTCTAAATAGTCGTCCACCTGGTGCAACTCGGAGACGAACAAGGAGGCGAAGCCACCTATGAAGGCGCCTAACGTCGCCCCGGCGAGAAAGGTTGGTATTTTTGCATCACCACCAAAACCACCACTCGAAGACCCGGAAGAAGAAGATGAAAAATGCAGGCGTCCTCGTCCTACTCGCGTCGTCGAAATCGTCTTCCCAAAGCTCCTGCTGTTATTAAAAGAAGACCTTCCTCCCGTCGTCGAGTTTTTGAAGATGTTTTTGTTGTTCGGTCCTCCTCCTCCTCCTCCTCCTCGGAAAAAGAAGAAGAAGGACGACAAAGAGGAAGACGACATTTTTGCGACGACGACGACGACGACGAGAAGGCGAGAGAGGATCGGTCGCAGATGTGAGGGTTTTACTGAAACTCGCTTTTGTCTTCTTCTTCTTTGATGAAAACTTTAATGATGATGATGATGAGAACGAATGTGTTTGCTTTTGTGACGTACTTTACTCGTATAAATTCATCAAAAGAACTAAAAAACATCTCTCTCTCTCTCTCTCTCTCTCACTCTCTCTCTCTAAGTACCGCGGAAAAAAAAGACTTTATTATTTTACCCCTGCGCGGCTCTGGCCGCCTCTTCCGCGGCCTGCGCTCGTCGCTTCTTCGCCTCCTCCGCGGCTGCTTTTTCGTCTTCAATTTTCTTAATCACCGCGTCGACGACGGTTTCGTCCAACGTGTCCGCGCCGTCCAGGCCTTTCCTCACGACGGCAATTTCTACGTGTTTCGATCCCGGTTCGCACACCTCCAGAAGCGCTTTGACGCATAACTCGACGCACTCGTCGCCACTTTTCTCCTCGTAGTTCTTTTCCAACCACTCTCTTACTGGTTTGCTCGATCGACCGATGGCGTTCGCTTTCCACGCCGTGTACGTGCCGCTCGGATCGGTGTGCCACAATTCCGCGTTCCCTTCCGGAGAGAAACCGCAAATCAACGTCGACAAACCAAACGGCCGAACGCCACCACTTTGCGTGTACTTTTGCTGCACCCCACCGATATATCTCGCCATGTGCTCCACGCTCGCCGAGTCTTCCAAAGTTAACCTGTGCGACTGCGCTTCCACTCGCGCTCGGTTGATGAGCACCCTCGCGTCCGCGGTTAACCCGGCGAACGCCACCGCGACGTGATCATCAATCATTTGAATCTTCCGCATCGTTCGTGGATCTTGTAACTTCGCGACCATTTTCTTCTCCACGCCGATGACGACCACGTCCGTGCCTCGAACGGCGACTGCCAAAGTGCCTTTCCGGACCGCCTCCATGGCGTACTCCACTTGGAACAAATGGCCGTCCGGGGAGAACACCGTGATGGCACTGTCGTAAGCCATTCGTATTTCTTTCTTCTGTTTTGTCTAAATGTATTCTCTTTAACTCTCTCTCTTAGAGCAGCGCACGTTGTGTAGCTCTCTTTGCGCGCGAAGCTTTCTCGTCAAAAAGCGCGGTTTGAGTATGTATTCTTCTTCTTCTTCTTCTTCTTCTTCTCTTATTCGATGATGATGAGATCGCGAGGAGAGTGTTTTCCGTCTAACGAACGATGACGAGATCTCTCTTTTAGTATCCGTATAAATATATCTCTGAAAGCGAATAATCAGTTAAAACGAATTCTCCCTCTCTCTCTCGCTGCAAAAGTCGCGCGTTAACGTGTGAACGACTGTACTACTATTACTACTCTGCGACTCTCTGTGTAAAGGTACAGACCAAAGTGAAGAAATCTGCCAAGTTTGTGCTCAAAAAATGTTTCGCGTGTGGCTTTTCTCGTCCGCCAGACGATGGTCATCAGAAAGAGAACGCGGAGAGGACGGACGGAGGATTTTCGCCACGTTTGCTGCTACTGATGATGATGATGGTGTGCTAATTATTATTCTAAATCGCGGCGTTTAATTACATTTCGAAGCATCTCTATTTATCGTATATCTAGCGTATCACGCTCGGCGCTGAATACCGCCCATCCCGGGCGGCGCGATGACCAAGTCTTTTCCTTTGTTGTTGTTGTTATTGCTGTGGACGTTGTTATTGTAATTACTGTTGGCACTCTTCGCGGTCGAAACGCGTCCCAAACTCGCGTCGCCGACGACGACGTCTAACGTTTCCAAAGTGAACGTATCCACTCTCCAAACGACGATGGATAAAACTTTCCCTGGGTCAGCTTCGAGAACAATTCTTCGGACTTGGTTCGCGTCGACGATGGCTTCGCCGTTACAATCAATGATAACATCACCGATGCGAACGCCCGCGAGGTGAGCTGGGGAGGCATCGGAGACCTTGACGATGAGCGCGCCTTCGCGAGGCGGGTTTTTCGTTGTATTATCGGTGGCATTGGCGTTGTTGTCTCCTGATGACGCCTGCATGGATGACGCCGGGGATGAGGATGTTCCGCCCTCCAATAACGTGGCCATTTCTATTCCCAGGTACGGCCGCGCGATTATCTCGCCTCTCGAGAGCGCCTCTGCGACTCGACGAACGGTGTTGATTGGAATCGCGAATCCAATACCATCGGCATCTTGTCGTATAGCCGCGTTGATGGCGATAACCTCGGAAAACTCGTTCACTAACGGGCCACCGCTATTACCTGGGTTTATCGCACAATCTGTTTGGAAGAATTCCACGCTTCGTCGTTCGGGTATGCCCAACTCCGTGGACGTTCTCGCTAAGTTTGATATTATTCCTAAAGCAACCGAATTGTCCAGACCAAAAGGATTGCCTACGGCGACCGCCCAATCCCCGACGTCAACTTCGTCTGAATTCCCAATATCGCAACTCGGCAACACGTGCGAAGCTCTCAAATTCAACTTCAAAAGCGCGATATCAGCAGTTTGATCTACGCCTTTCACGTCCGCGATGTACGTTCGACCATCAGTGAACGTCACTCTGACTTTCTGCGCGTCTCCGACGACGTGCGCGTTGGTCACCACTCGCCCTAAAGTCGCGTCCAAAACTAAACCACAACCCCCGCCCGCATGCCACTCGTCGTAACGAGTATCGTTGCCGTTCTCGTTTCTGTTATTCTTCTTCCGTTTCGGGGCTTCGTCCTCGTCCTCGTTCTTCTTCTTCGGCGACGGACCTTCATCTTCCCGCTGTTGTTGTTGTTCTTTTTGTTGTTGTTGTTGTTCCTTCTGCGATGAAGAAGGCGAAGGCATCAACGCGTCCACCCGTACCACGCACGGTCCGACCGATTCCGCCGCTTGTCGCACGAAACTGTTCCGCTTTGCTCTCGATTTTTTATTCGTCGTCCCTTTCAAAATCCGAAACGTAGTGGACGAGTTGTTGTTGTTCTTGCTAGTATTGGTGGTCGCGTTGGCACGCGCGGGCAACAGCGCGCTTTGAAGAAAAAACAACAACAACTGCCACGATAAAAAACTCGTCGTCGCGATCGCCAACGTCGTTCTTAGCGCGAGATGTGATTGTTCTTCTTCTTCTTCTTCTTCTTCTTCTTTTCCTAATTCCCGATTCGATTCAATTCGGCGACGAGATGAATGCCAACAACGGTTTCCAATTACGTTGTTTACTCTCGTCCTCTTTTCCTCCTCAAAATCTATTCTGTCTTCATTCGTTCTGTCGCCGTTGTCGTTGAACGAAAACAAAGACCAAAACCCTTTCGTCGTCCTCCTCCTCCTCCTCCTCCTCCTCTCGTTGTTGTTGTTCTTGTTGTTGTTCGTTATCCGATGACGATGATTCTTCTTAACAGACGACGACGATAACGAAAGGTGTTGTTGGTGTTGAAAAGCGACAGAAAAACGAATAACACGCATGACTCTTCTTTACCGGTCGTCCGTCTCTCTTCTCCGTTCGTACGACGCTTCGTGTTATTTCTATCGACCAAAAGCGTGCGCACTAATGAGGAAATGATAAAATTCTCTTTAAAATATAAATATTACAAGTTGTGTGTTGTTTAAGTCTTTAATTGTCCATTTAATAGTCGCTGTCCCAAACTTCAGGCTTCCCGCTGGCTTTGTTGTTATGCTTTTTGGAGGAGGACTTTTTGGCTTTCGTTTCGGCGTCTTCGGCTACTTTGGTCGTGGATGTGGATTTATCTTGACCTTCTCGTTCTTCTTCAGTCGCCGCGTCTTCGACCGGCACGTCTTCGATCGGCGCGTCGTCCTCCTTCGTGGCCATTTTCTTCGCTTGCGCTTCAATTTTCTTTTGTTGTTGTTTCTTCGTGTTGGCGGCGTTCTTCTCGTCGTCCTCTTTGTGGTTTACGAGTTGATCCTTGCGTTGTAACTCCTCGCGGATGCGTTCTTTGAGGACCAAAGCTTCCACGGAATCTTTCAAGATTTCCTCCTTCTCAGTCGTGGACTTGTTCAACTTTTCGACGGAGTCGCCATCGACTCTGCCCCAGCCGTTTTTGCAGCAACCGACGCCCGGGATCGGGACGCCTGGCGTGCACTTCGGGTCCGGGTTGCACGTTTCCTTGGAAGAAGAAGCGAGCGATTTCGCCAAAGCCGAGTCTTTTTGCGCGTCCACGTTTTGCGCTTGCGGCTGACGCTGGAAGCAGCAAGGGATACCCGCGAGCGGCACACCAGCGACGCAGGTTTCCTTCGGTTCTGGGTTGCAAATATCCGGTGCATTGCAGCACGGAATGCCTGGGATAGGGACACCGGCGACGCACCCTTCGGTTTGCTGGTTGCAAAACAACGGCTTGGATGCCGCTTCCGGAGCGTCTTCCTTCTCTTCAACTACGACGGTACCTTCGTCGCCGATCAACTCTTGGAACTCCTTGGTTACTTCAGCTTTCGCGTTCGCGTCTTGCTCATCTTGACCCTCGGCCGCGTCTTCCGGGGCCGCTTCCTCCTCGGTAGTTTTACCTTGGATGAAATCGGCGATGACTTTGTCTTCCGGCGCTTCCACGTTCGCGCTAGACAAGTCGATGTCGTCTTTACCGACGATGGATTCGTACGAAACCTTCGGCTTTTCGACGCCCGGGATATCCAAAGACTTTGTCGCCATCATAAATTGTAAATCTTGCTGAGTGACTTCCTTGTACTCGATTTTCTTGAATCGATTTTCCTTGTCGTCCCATCGATAGGTGCTCTTGTCCGAGCAGCACCCAAAGCCAGGCATCGGGGTACCAGCTTGGCAATTCGGAGATGGATCCGGATTGCACGAATCTGGCGTGCAGCATCCGACGCCTGGCCAGCGTTGACCGGGGGAGCAATTTTCGCTGTTGTCACAAAACATCGGTGGGTCGTACTTGCCGTCCTTCATGAAGTTGTTGCCTTTGGCAGCTTGGTTGTTGTTGGCAGCCCCGCCCGCGGCTCCGGATTTCCAGGTCGCCTCTACCGCGGTTTCGACTTTGGACATGTCAAACATGTCTGCGGACTTGGTTTTCGCGTCCGCCTTGTCGTCACCGGCTTTTTCGGTGTGGTGGTGGTGCTTACCCAACGCCGCCATGAGCTCTTCCTCCGTCGGCGCCGCCATGCCAAGCTGCGCGTGCTTGGAAGAGTGATGTTTCTTCGTCTTCACCGCCTCCTCTTCGAGTTCGAAGAGCATCTTTTGCTCCTTTGGATTTTTCAACTTCTTCACAACAATCTTCGTCTTCGCTGCCGGTACGATGGTGTCGTCACCATCTTCGCCGCCTTCGATATCGCTGCCGCCCTCAACGCCGTCAACCGGCGACGGGTTGGTCATTTGTAAAACTCTCGCGTTGACGTAATCGTCCAACTCGGAGACCATGATGGACTTCGGAGTGCCGTCTTCCAAGATGACGTTGACCAAAGCGTTCGGGTTGGATCGATCAATTCGACTCGCTCCCCACTCCGGGCGCCAATCCTCGGCGTCTTTGCAACAGCCAATACCCGGAATCGGCACGCCTGGCATGCACGAATCCGCCGGGTTGCACGACGTTCGGTCGCAACACCCTTGGCCTGGGCACGGGATGCCGCCGACGCACTGCAACGCCGGGTTGCAAAAGAGATCTTTAAAAGACTCCGTGCACGTGGACTGATCGCCGACCAAATCAGCGTTCGGGTCGACAACAGGAGTCGCAATTACTCCATCTTCAAAACCAGTCGAAGCCGCCTCTTCGCCGGCTTCGATGACTTCTGGTTGCGGCGTTTCGTTGAACGCCACGGCGTCTTCGACAATTTCTTCAGATTGGTGTTGTTCTTTTTGTTGCAACAACAACGTCTTCGCCGCGGCTTCTTGCGCGGCCTCGATCGCCGACTTAGCGGCAAGTTGTTGCGCGGAAATCATAGCCTCGTTTTCAGCTTCTTGCTTCGCGATGGCCGCTTGAGCCTCTTCTTGCTCTTTACGCAAAGCCAACTTTTGTTGGTCGACGACCGTTTTCACTTGCACGCCGTAATCGCCCATCTTGGCTTCTTCGCGCATCAAGTCGTGCTCCGAGCCGAATGAATGCCCTTCCCACATTTGTCTTTGATTGGACAAAGACGTGGAAAAGTAATTCGTCCTCGACGCGTTGTCGTTTTCGGCGTCCTCGGGTAAAGCGTACACCGTAGTCGACGCGCAAAAGTGTCTCGTCAACGTCGTGTACGCGAGAAATCCAGACGACCACAACTTATTCTCGGCGCCAGATAACGGCTTGAACAACTCTGTCGCTTCGTTGGAGATGACTTCCGGCGTGACCACCCACCCTGGGTTGGCGTCCAAAAATCGATACACGTCCTCCGGCTTGGCCGATCCCGGATCTTGGTACGGAATTTCCGCACTGACGGTCGACGAACCCAGTGCAGTCTTTTTCTCCTCCAACGCTCTCAAAACCAAAATCTTATGCTTCACGTTCTTATCGATCATCGAGTGATCGCCTCTGTTCAACTCGTCCAAGGTGTGCGGAACGACGTTGGCGAACACGAAATCGGTCTTGCTCCCGAAATCTTCGCGAAACTTCGCGTTCTTCTCGTCCGCGGCATCCAAGTAGTGCGTGTTGATTCTCGCGACGCAATCGTGCGAATCAATTTCTTTGCCAAAAGACTGACCGTTCATATCCGGCGACGGAAGTACGAGCGCGCACGATTGACATTCCATCGGGACCCCGAGATCCGCCGTTTTCGCCGGTCTCTTTTCCTCTTGTTGCGCTTCTGCCAATTGCGCTTCATCCGCCGAAAAGGATTCTTCTTCGTCACCAATCGTTTCCGTTTCTTCTCTGCGGTGTTCTTCCGCGAATCGCTCCTGCATTCTCGCAAAACCGGCGTTCACTTTCGGCAGTGAAGATGATTTCACCGAGGACGCGGCCCCCCGGGAAAACCCACGCGAGGCAAACGGCTTCGCTCGTCTCACGCCTCCCCCTAACTCCGCCTCGTTCGCGATGGGAAGAGCAAAAGAAGGGTGGTCGATGTTGGCGACATGTCCACCTCTTGTTTTAGAGGACGCGACGACGGCAAACCCCACCGCTGCCGCGCTGAACGCCAACAGTGCGATTTTCTTCCCCGTATTCGAAGTATCACTCGACGATAAAATCATCGATCGATTCTGCGATTCCAAGTCCACGCTGTTATTCGCGAAATCATCCGCGTCTTCCTCATCGTTCGAGACGGTCCCGTAGGAAGACACAGAACTCTTCTTACGCGTCGTCGTCATTTGTGTTATATCTCAGTCGTCGTTTGTACGCGACGACACACTTTTATCGCGGAAGCGTTTCTTTCTCACGAGTTTTCTCTCGAATTTCTTTTTTCCCAAACAGAGCAGCCCCGCGGTCTTTTCTCGAGTCTCTCGGGAAAAAAGAACGAAACTTTGAGCGATTGCGCGACACTTCAACAGCGCGCGCGATTGTCGCGTAGTATCATTAGGAGAAGAAGAAGAAGAAGAAGACGAAAGGAGAACGCGCGAAACACGCAGCAAAAGGGGCGGTTCTTTAGTAAGAGCGAGAGTGAGAGAGTGAGAGATGACGTTTGCAAACAATCACGACGAGCGAGAACGATTGCTCGTGAAGCACCACCACGCGGCTGATGAGGATGTGCGCGAATTCGACGCGTTGAAGACGACGAAAACGACGACGAGATCTTCTTGGATGAAATCTTCGCTTTTCGCAACAATTGGCGTTTCGGTATCGTTGTTGATCTGTTGCGCGTTCGTTGCGATGACGGCGTCGTCGTCGGAGTCGTCGTCGCTCGGTGTCTCGAAGTTCAGTACGAACAACAAAGGAGTCCTTTTGAACGTGTACGGCTCGAAAGAAGCGGGCGCGAGCACGGCGTCGAGAGCGAAATTCTCCGCGACGACCAACACGGAAGAAGAAAGTGTGACTCAACTCGCACAACTGGGCTACGCGGACGTGGATTTAGATACCGCCGCGTTGGGTGCGAAGGAAAGGAACATGATCCAAGCGTCGCTGGCGATTGAGAACGTGCAGCGAAAGATCAAGCGCTTGGAAAAGGCGAAGCGGCAACGCGCTTTGAACGTACAAGACGAGGACGAGTACTTGGAAGACGAAGTTACCGCCGACGAGAATGTCGGAGAGGGCGAAGAAGAGGCGGTGGCGACGGCCACGACGGGGGCGGAAGAAGAAGGAGAAGAAGAAGTGAAAGAAGTGAAAGAAGAAGAAGAAGTGAAAGAAAAAGAGCGAGAAGCGGAGGACGAACGAAACGCGGCGGTGCGAATGTTAACCGGAGAAGACCCGGTCGTTGAAGAAAATGAAGAGAAAGAAGGAGATGAAAGTAACAACGATGAAGCAGAGAAGGCGTTACCGCAAGCGTCTTCTACGATCGTGAACCAAAAGTTGGAGGAAGAGTTGAAAGAAGAAGAGAAGAACAACGCCTCCGCCGAGTCAGAGGAGAGCGTCGAGGAAAAGAAAAGCTCTTTGGAGGAGATGGCTTTGGCGTTCGAAAAAGAGATGGAACGCGCGGCATTAGAGGATGAATTTACCGCGATACCGGAAGAAGAAGTGAAAGAAGGGGAACAAGAACCAGAAGCGACGGCGACAGCAGAAGTAGATCCATCTGAAACGGCCAACGAGAAGACGTCCGAAGAAGGAGAAGAAGAAGAACAACAACAACAACAAGGAGAACAAGGAGAAATAATTACTCCGTTGGAATCGCTTACGACGACGACGACGACAATAACACCGCGTCAAACTTCGTTGCTCCGAGGTTCGACCAAACGCGACTTATCGGACACCGAGTTTTCCAAGCTTCAAAAGCTACTCGAATACAACGCCAAGAAACGCGGCGTCGACTTGAAATCATCGTCGTCCGCGGACACGACGCCAGAACAGCCTCCGAAAGCAGAACTGTGCCCGTCCTCTGCTATTTACGCCGGTAAATGCGAATGCTCAACGTGCGCGTTGGTTTTACCGATGCCAGATATGGTTGGAACATCGCTCGGCAAAGAAATTGACTCGCACGAATGTGTCGCCAGAATGAACGCGCAATACATCGAAGTCCAGAATCCATCCGATTCGAACAAATTAGCCAACCCGAGAGATTACGGTTCGAAAACCGATTTCGTCTTTTCCAACGTCGTCGATCACACGTTAAAAGATTTAAGGAAAAACTTGAACACGACGGAAGGTAAAAAGTTGAACCAAAAAGTCAAACACAAGTTTCTGCACGTGCCGTTTTGGAGACCGGCTTCGGAAGTGTTTGATTTCTTGGAAGCTCACAACGATTGGAAGACGATCCCACATGCGGTCACGAAGGAAACGACCGATTTGTTCTCGCAGATGAAAGGTGCGGAAGGCAAACAGTGGAGTTCAGGATTCCTGGCGTACGTCATGTTGTCGAGACACTATTGCGCCAAGACGACGGTGTATTCCTATTGGAGAGCGGAGGAGGACCCGGCGAGTCAAGTGTACGTGACCAACTCGAAAGGTGGAGCGCGGAAGATGTGGAGCGGACACTCGTTCGGTGGCGAACACGAATTTATTAAAAATGCGGCGGAAAGCCACGATTTTGGAACTAGAGTACGATATTTAGACGCGCTTAAAGAAGGCGCAAATAAAGGTGAAGAAGTCGGGGGTATAACGCCTTGATTTCTACATTATCTATCATCACGAGTTGCTGTATAAACAAACTATTACTACTACCACAACAACAACACCATCATCATATTATTATTATTAACGCGAGCGCTTCCGGCCCGCTTTTCTTTTCACTTTCGCGCCTACTTCTTCTCGAGTCTTTTTCTGCTTTCCTCCTTCTCTCTTATCTTTGCGTCGGCGTTTCTTCTTCTGTCCAAACTCGGCGACGTCCACGTCTAACCGCATGGCAGCCCATTTTGCCTCGTCCCCGTCTTCCGTTTCGACCGCATTGATTGCGTTCTTTTTCCTCTTCTTTTTACTCGCGTTGCGAAGATACGCAGGAAGATGACTCAAGTGCTTGTTTGCGTCGTCTCTTTTCGAAATGGAGCTATCGTGTCGCAAGAGATTTAAGTCGTCCGGATTTTCTTCAAAGTGGGACGCGAGACGCTCGGAGTTTAAGAGTTCCACGCGAAGTTCACGCAAACGCGCGTCTTTAACCGCGCTTTTACTAATCGAGCGTAAAGTATCTTCCGCTCTGTATCGTAACGCTTCCGTAGCTTCTTTCGGAAGGCGCTCGAACGGTTTCAAAAAGTCGTCGACATCCTCTTCCTCTCGTTCATCTTCTTCCTCGTCATCGTCCTCTTCCTTCGCTTCCGCCGCTTTCGCCACTGCGGCTGCATCGGCGTATCCCTTCAATAAGACGTGATACGCTTCCTCGTCCGATGGACCGAAAAAAGTAATCGCCACGCCCGTCGCGCCGGCTCTACCCGTTCGCCCGACTCTGTGTTGATACGCCTCGAACGTCTTCGGAACCTCAAAATTAATCACCGTGTGTACCTTCTTAAAGTCAACGCCGCGAGAAACGCCAAATTCAGAATCTTTCTTCGCCGCCTGGTTCCTTTTTTCTTTCTCCTTCTTCCTTTCTTTTTTAGATTTTCGCGTTGGTTGTTCTTCTTCCTCCTCTTCTTCCTCTTTTGCGTTTTCTTTTTCGTTCGCGTTACTCCCATCGTTACTACTATTACTGCTGCTATCGTCCTCCGCGGCGGCGACCAACACGTCGTGCACGCCGCGATTAAACTCCTCTAATATGTGCGCCCTCGAATTTGCCGGTAACTCCGAGTGCAAAGCCACGCACAAAACGCCAAACTTATGTAAAAACAGTCTCGCTCTCACGGCTTCGTCCGCATCCTTCACGAAGATCAAAATCTTCTTCTTACACAAACCTAGACGTAACAGCGCCATTAAATACAACAACTTGTCGTTCTTCCCTTTTTTAATCTCCAAACCAAAGTGGGTGATTAGCGGTTTCTTTTTCTTCTTCAGCTCCTTCCTCATCTCCCGTTCTTCTCTTTCTTTCTGCTCCATCTCTTCCACGTCGTCGCAATCCACCTCGGCTGGTTTCGATAACAACAACGACTTCAAATTCCCAACCTCTTCGCTCGTCGTCGTCGCGCTCACCATCACCGTCTGCACGCCTTCTCGACACCTCTCGAATATGTACTTGATATCTTTCTCGTGGCCAAACGATAACAACAAATCGCACTCGTCTAAAACCATCATCTCTAACCCGTCGCCGTTTACGCTCTTCGGCGGGAAGAGTTTATCCTTCAGACATTGCGCCACGCGCGCCGGCGTAGACACCAACACGTCCGGACAGTTCCTCGCCGCTTCTCGAACCGCCGCGGAGGCGCTCGAACCTTGCGGTAACTCCCCGACGCGGTATTTCTTTTCATCGTCGTCGCCGCAGTGTTTCAAAATCTCTTGACACTCTTTCCTCACCTGCGTCGCCAACTCCCTCGTCGGCACCAAAACAATCACTCTCGGATTTGTCGTCTTCTCCCTGCTCGTCTTCTTCTTCTTCTCTTGCAAGAAAACCTTGTGCAAACTCGGCAATAAATACGCCAAGGTTTTCCCGCTCCCGGTGTGCGCTCTGCACGACACGTCCAAACCTTTCAACGTCAGCGGTATCGACCGGATCTGCGCGTGCGTCGGCCGAAGCAAATTCCGGGACACGCACGAACGAATCAGCCGCTCGTCCAGTCCCAATTGCTCCCACGTCGTCGTCGTCGTCGTCGTCGTAGTGGTAGTATCGCGCTCCTCTTTCATCGTCGTCGTCGTCCAACGCTCTTTTTGCTTTCGAGCGGCAGCTAAGAGCGCGCGCGCGAGTGTACTAAAGTGTTGTTGTTGTTGTTGTTGGTAAAGCGTGTCGTAAAACAAAGAAAACTCTGGCGGCGCACAAAAAGTGGTTTTTTGGCAATTCTCTGACTGAAAAAGATTTTGTCACTTTTTCACAGAAGTTTTGAACACACCTACAACACCTTCGTGCAAAACTGATGATTGGAAACCAATTATGATAACTGTTCCTCACGAACGACTTTAAAACACCGAACGAAGAATCCCTAAATATGGACTCTGCCTCTTTTTTCTTCAAACTCCTCGCGAAAAAGAATGGAATCGACGTCATTCTGAAGAACTTATTAATAAGTGTGCAAAACTGGACACCAACTGTTTCTAACTGTTTTCCCGACTTCTATAAATATACCCTCCGAATACAAAATGTCCACCGAGAAAGGATACCCGCTCGAAGAGCAACCGAAACAATCGCCGTACGCCGCGTTGGCGTTCGCCGCGGCGTCCTTCGCCGGCGTGATGTCGATAGGTATTATTAACTTGAAAACGTCTCGTTTTTTTTTTGAGGAATATTCTTCGACGTTGAATTCTCGTTAGGGGATTTGATGTGTTCGTCGCGCGCGCGCGCGCGCTGACGCGCACGCCATCGACGACGATTTAGACGACGACGGAACCAGATCACATCACTGACACACTTTTTCTCTCATCATCATTATTCATCATCATCATCATCATCATCATCAATATTCATCAGCCTCTGTCGCACTCGTGAATAATCTCAACGACGATACCAACATTCTCTTGGCGAATGAATGCTTGGGCACAGATTCTTTATCTGGCATTACCAACGCCGGCGTCGCTCGCGACGCCCACCTCGCTCGAATGGAACACGCGATCAGCGATTTTCAATCCCCGGAAGCGTTCGAAGCCATTCACAATAACTACGACTCCATCTACCCGAAAATGTCAAACGCGGCGGACAGGTGCGCACATTATTTTTCTATTATTCTTTTTTCGGCCGTCGTTTTTCTTTTTTTTTGCGATCGCAAAAAATATTCTTTTTGCTGCTTTTGATGACGTCGAACGCACAAAACAAGAAGAACGACTGTGAAATTGCTGACATGTGATGATCTCTCTCTCTCTCTCTCTCTCTCTCTCTCTGTCTCTCTCTCTCTCTCTCTTTCTCTTTCTCGATTTGAAGGAAGAGTGCGTTCATGAAGCAACTCAAGCCTCTCGGCTGGCACACGGCGAGAATGGCGGAAGCGAGCGACGCCGGCTCCAAGGCGGAGTACCGCGTAGACGGCAAAGACGGGGACGTTGATTTCCCCCACGGGAACTTGAAACCAATCTATACGATCGGCGAGTACGATGCAACGACGGGTTACATGCCCACGGGTGTGCCGGATGGTATGGGTGCGATGAAATTGAATGATGTTACGATGCGTTTCATTTCCCAATCCGAGTCGTACGGTTTCCTTGGGGACGCTGGAGAGGAATTCCCCACTTTCCCCATGGATGTAAACAATGGTGCCGCTAAGTTCACCGGGTCGAAGGCCTACTACGTCGATTACGACATCGCCCAGATGAAGGAATTCATGACGCATTCTGGACCTGCCGCGCCGATGATTCGCGGTGCTGGAAGTATTATCGAAACCGTGGTGAACCTGAAGGGTGAACAAGTCGAGGCGCGTTCCACTGTCGCGAACACGCCTCACTCCAAGCCGCACTATTCGCAAACTTCGGCGAGTGGTGTTCACGTTCAAATTGATGCTACCAACGCGGACTCATTGACATCGCAGACGTGGAACTTCATGAGCTTCTGCTCTTCCCACTTGGAAGAGAAGCATCAATGGGGTGAAAATATTGGTTTTGAAGACGATATTTACCTCGTTCCAGAAGAGTGGGCCGAGTGTGAGGACAGCAGAGTGAGAGACTACGGCTACGTCGGTTTGCCTATGCACGCTGTTGATCTTCAAACCAAAACTTCGTACGCCGTCGGCGCCATTGGTCAAGGTGGCTACGAAAAGGTCGTGGAAGTGAATTGCGGCAACTCCAGATTTGCCTGCTTATCTATCTCCGGATACAACGGCAACTTTGGTGATGACGTTGTAAAACCGACTTTTGTTGCTCGCAAGGCAGCTGTCACTCCGACGCGTAGCGACGGTAGTGCCTGGGTTTACACGCAAAACGTTGTCCCTGCGAGAGTGTACATCGGTTTGAAGGGGTACACCGCTGCGGGTGTTGATTGCGCTGCTACCAGCTCTTGCGGGTTCCTCGAAAAGAACGGTTTGGCTTACGGGAAAGTGTATGGCTTTGCTGTCGACTCCAGTACTGCGGACAGAGATGCGTTCCACAAAGATGCGCTCCACGCATCTACTCCTACTTTGTCAGGCACGTGGGCTTCCACGAACTGGCAATGGGATGGCACCGTCAAGGATTTTGAACATGACCTTGCGTGGGAGTTCCAAGAGTCTCCGATTATTGACGGCGCAGCGTCTACTACGCACAAATTTTGGACCGCCAAGGGAAGAGACGAAGATGGTGCAAAGACTGAGCACAACTCTCCAGACCCTGGGTTTGATAAGTTTGGTACATTCGTCCAAGGTTCAACTGCTGGTTATTACGGCATTTATTCTACCCCGACCCTCAAAACAGTCTTGGACGGTTTGACGGGTAGTGCCTTGCCGTCTTCCATCCCAGCGACGTACGAGCTCCTCGAAGGAGAATCTGACGTTACTGCTCGTATCCACTTAGGCGGTAAGGGGAAGCGCGCAGATGGTGGAAACCAAACGATGATGTATGACGGTAAAGACAAAGCAACCTTTGAAGACATTGATGGTTTGGAATGGATCCGTGCCTCTGATGGAGATTACTTCGTCATCCAAGAGGATGGTGGTAATAAATATGGTGAGCGCATGTTCATCTCGAAAAGGCCGGAGGCGGGTGCTAATCCGCAATATCACTTTATCGCGCAAGCCGGTGGATCGAAGAACACGAGATCGATGTCTAAAGTTTCCGTGCCTCCGAAAACGTGGGCAAGGGCAGCCTCATTCGAGTTCTCTGGTGTCGTTGATTTCTCAGGCATCCTCTCCCAATCGACTTTGGGTGGTTTCGCGAGAAGAACTGCAGAAGCAGCTGTGGCCATCAACGACAAGATCATCGCTCTCGGTCTCCAAGCCCATGGAATTGCCGGCGGTTTGATCCAAGCTTTCGGTCTCGACCGCGGAGGACAAGTATATGCCTGGAAGCCACAGCTCTGAGCTCGCAAGTTCCGAGGACCTGCTTTCCAGAAAGAGGACTTTATAAAAACCCGCCGCGCGTGGTTTATTTATGTGCATATAAACGCGCTCGAAACAAAACGTCTTCTTTTGGGACGTGTGAATGTATGAAAGATGAGTGCGATTAATGATCGCGACAATGGTAAAAAGGTACAAGTTGTAATGTATATATATTATTTCAACAATGGTACGCGCTCAAATCCATCCATCGCTTTCGCGAAAGTAGTTGCTTTACGCGTCTCCCGCTCTGTAACCATGCACCCCTAAATCTTCTTTTTTTACGAAGGGGAAGAATTTTCGTGAGAATTCAATTCAATTCTCTCGTCAAAAAAGAAGAGCGCTCTCTCCTGCGCACATATATATACACACACACATAACGCATTACACACACACACACGTAAACGTAACGCGCGCGAGACGAGGAGAGGGAAGAGCTTCCACGTTTATATACATAAGAGGTATCTATCATGGTGGCAAAGAAGAAGAAAATTGCAGCTTCAAAACCGGGAGCACCCCCGGCATCATCACCCGTAACGGGAAAGAAGAAGACGATTCACGCGACGACGACGACGACGACGGGGGATGATCATCGCGCGCATCGCGCTCAAGAACAACAGCAGAAGGAGCAGAAGCAGCAGCAGCAACCGCCACAACAACAACAACAACAACAAAGAGTCTCTCGTTTAGGCAAAGCGGTCCAAGATGCGGCGACGATAAAAAAGAAGCCCAAGAACAAGGGGCAACACCAACACCAAGCTAAAAAAAAATCGACTGTAATTCCGATGATGAATCGAATGGATTCTCGAGTGGACCCGTCTCGCATGGGAAAGAATCGGAGCCGAGAAGGGACGTCGGAACGGTTGACGCCTCGAACGCAAAGTCAGAGTCAGCAGAGAATGCCGGCGCCGAGAAGACCGGGGGGGATCGACGCGTCGATGTTGTCTTCGCCGCACCGGGTGACGAGTCCGGAACGCGCGGCGGCGGGGAGAATGCAGTCGCCGGCGGTGGCCGCGCAGAGAGAGAAGGAGTTGCGAGCGCAGATGCAGCAGAAGCGCGAGAGAGAGGAGCGGGAGAAACGGGCGATGCAGCAGCAGCAACAGCAGAGGGAGAAAGCAGAGCAAGAGAAGCAAAAGAAGTTGCAAAGAGAGAGAGAGGCGCAGATGCAAAGGCAACGCGAACAGCAACAACAACGCGAACAGCAACAGCGACAACAACGCGAACAGCAACAGCGACAACAACAATTGTTGTTACAGCAGCAGCAGCAGCAACAACAACAACAACAGCAACAACAACAGCAACAGCCCGCACAGCAACAGGAAAGACGCGTGCCGCGACAACCGCTCCCGCGAACGAGAGCGCCGCCGGCTCCTGTACCCAGCAAAGCGGTGCCACGACAACCAGTGGGGAGAGTTGGTGTCTCGGTACCGCCGCCCGAACCTCCGCAACAAGCGGCACAGCCGAGATTGGTAGATAACGTAGTTTTTAGCGAACCTCAACCGACTTCGATACGAGATATAATGGTGAGGAAAGCGAGAGATGAACGAAAAGCAGAAATGCACGCGAGGAAAGAGAAACGAAGACGTGATCAGTTGTTGACGCTCCCGTCGGGTTTGATGTTCGGCGACGGCGTTGGATCGTTGGAGGATGGTGAAAACCAGCCCCAGGCGACTGGCGGGACACCAACCTTAGTGCACTTTGCAGAAGATGCAAACAAAGATCAAAACGGAACCAAAGAAACGCCAGCTGCGGAGAACGGACGAAGAACGCGTCTGAGATCTTCTTCGCTCGGAGCGGCGGCTGGTGAGAAACCGAGTGCGACTGCTGCACCGTCGGCAAAAGCTCCGAACGTGAAAACGACTGGCGCCGCGGGGCTTTTAAAATCCGCGCTAAAAAAGGTCTCCCAAGTTGCAAACGCCTTAGCCTTGGCGAACGCGCCCACCGCTGCCGCGCAGCAACAACAAGCACAAAATGTGCACACGCCGAGAGTAAAGCTTGGGCCAAATGGTCAAATAGTAGCCGACCAAGCGACGCTCACAGTGCAAGCCTCGCACGAAAATCGAATAAGTGAGAGCGAGTTTACGCGAAAAACAGGAGACAAAATGATGATTAATTCGCAGACGTATGGGAATCGGTCAAAACCGACAAAGTGGACGAGGCAAGAGACGGAGTTGTTTTACAAAGCCATGGAGCAATTCGGTACTGATTTCACTCTCATTCAAAGATTGTTTCCTTCTCGAACGAGAAGGCAAGTAAAGGCGAAATATTTGAAGGAGCAAAACAACAACGACGATCGCATAGAGTCTTGCATGAACAACATGGCCAGAAATAACGAGACGTATCAAAACTTGATCGACGTGTTACAATCGGATACGAATAATCGAGTTGAGGTTGCTGCGGGGAAAGGCGTCGATAGGATCATTCCTGGGGCGAACAACGTCGCCGCTCAAGTGTTGCACGGCGACGCGCCCATGCAAGAGAACGTGCAGAATACTGTTCCTCAAGCCTCCATCTCCGCCGCTACTCCTGCTGCGCATTGATTTTGAGAAGCGCAAATAAAAAAGATTTAGTGCAAACTAAAAGTAGAAAGCAAAATCAAATGTGTATATGAAACAATACACCTAGGTATTTTCATTACTATGATAACATCAAGTCTCTCTCTCTCTCTCTATCGCTTTCGCGTTCCTTTCACTACTATTCCTCGCTGCCGCTGCGTTGCCTTGTTCTGATGGTTTCTAACTTTTTTGCGATCGTATTTACTTATTTTGCGCTCGAATCTCAGCTCGAATTTCCTTCATGGAAGACTCGATTTCGAGCTCAACCGATATCGTCTCTGCCATCGCCAACGAAAGAGGAGCGTTCTTAATCTTCGCAACCTGACCTTTAATCTTCTCCAAAATGGCTTCAAATCCTTCCAAGTAATTTAAAACTTGTTCTTGATAAGCAGCCGCGCGCACTTCCTCCATCGTCGTCGTATCTTCACTTAGTCCTTCTTCTTGATCTTCTTTTTCTCCATAGCGTTGCCCTTCTACGCTAAACTTTTGTAACTTTTCTGACGCTAACCGCTTCAGTCTTTCGGCGCTCTCGTAAACCTGCTTCGGCGTCATCGCGACGGATTCTCTATGTGGCTTCATCACCGTGACTGCCTCTAACGGCGGCGGCATCGAACCGTCTCTTCTCTGCCTTGGCGCCGCCGGCGTTTCCATTAAAATATCTTCTTCTTCTTCTTCTTCTTCTTCAGCCGCTTCTTCCTCTTCGAAGATTCCACCTTCGGATTCCGGCGAGGAATCGAAACGAGTGTGGTGCGGCTCGGCTACGCGTTGTTGTTGTCGTTGTTGTTGTTGTTGTTGTTGTTGTTGTTGAGGGGGCGTGTTCATGACTTTCCCAGAAACTTTAAACGCTTCTTCTTCTTCTTCTTCTTCTTCTTCTTCTTCAATTTCGCACTCACCATCAATAGGTATCTCAATCATGACCGCTTTTTTCAATTGTTTCTTCCGAACGCTGGGCGACAAAGACGCCTTCGTCTCCGCGCCACCGCTCGTCTTCGTCTTGGACTGTTCTCCCCCAAAACCATCGTCGACATTCTCATCGTTATTCTCATCACCACCTTTACTCCTCGCGCTCCCCATCAAATCCTCCATCAAGCTTTCCACGATGAGCCGATTGGAGACGAATCTTTTGAACTCGTCGCTAAACATCGGACTTCTTTCTTTCAACTGTCTCGTCCCCCACTGGTGAAACCCAACCGATAAGTTTGCGATTCGTTCCAAGTCTAATTTCGAAAATTTCGAGGTGTCGTCTTGCCGAATTTCTTTCATGAGAGTTAAAAGAGCGCGCCAACTGCCGTAGTTTTTCGAGACGACTTCCTCGATGGTCGTGGTTTTTGAGATCGCGAGCTGCGAGAACAAATTGCACGCCTCGATCGTCGCATCTTCGGCAGCCATCCTTACTACAAAAGAGTTTTGATTTGTGCGGGCATAATCTTCCCCCAGAAAAAACAAAGAATTCCTTCCTCAAAAAATTTTTAAAAATTGCAACCCTAAATAATTGTGTTTCAACGGCTTCCAAGGAAAACCTCTCCATAAAAAAAGAGAGATCTGTCGCGACGACGAGAGGAACAACGCGCAGTACTCATGGTGCAACAAGTCGTCGAAAACCCGGACTCCGAGGACTCCGAGGACAAGAAAGACAAGAAAATCATCCCGCTCGACGCGGACGACATCGCTTTGTTGAAAACGTACGGCGTTGGACCGTACGGGACGTTGATAAAAAATCTGGAAACCGATTTGGTGTCCTGCGTGTCTCGCGTGGAAAAGTTGTGCGGGATAAAAGAGTCGGACACTGGGTTGGCGCCACCGTCGAGATGGGATTTAACCGCGGATAAGCAAGCGACGCAAGAGGAGCATCCGTTGCAAGTGGCGAGGTGCACGAAGATAATCAACCCGGGGACGACGGACGCGCAGTACGTCATCAACGTGAAACAGATCGCGAAGTTTGTGGTTGGTTTGGGGCAACACGTGGCGCCGACGGACATCGAGGAAGGGATGCGAGTTGGCGTGGATAGGACAAAATATAGCATACAAATTCCACTTCCGCCGAAGATTGATCCGAGCGTGACGATGATGACGGTGGAGGAGAAACCGGACGTGACGTACGCAGACGTCGGCGGGAATAAAGATCAGATTGAAAAGTTAAGAGAAGTCGTGGAGTTGCCGTTGCTGCATCCGGAGAAGTTCGTTACGCTAGGGATTGACCCTCCGAAAGGGATTTTGTGTTACGGGCCTCCTGGGACTGGGAAGACGTTGTTAGCGAGAGCGGTGGCGAATAGGACGGACGCGTGTTTTATACGCGTGATTGGTTCAGAGTTGGTGCAGAAATACGTCGGCGAAGGCGCGAGGTTGGTCCGAGAGTTGTTTCAAATGGCCAGGAGTAAAAAAGCGTGCTTGATTTTCTTCGACGAAGTCGATGCAATTGGCGGTGCGAGATTTGACGACGGCCAAGGTGGAGATAACGAGGTGCAAAGGACGATGTTGGAAATTGTGAATCAGTTGGACGGGTTCGACGCGAGAGGGAACATTAAAGTTTTAATGGCTACAAACAGACCAGATACGTTAGATCCCGCGTTATTGAGACCGGGTAGATTGGATAGAAAAGTTGAGTTTGGGTTGCCGGATTTAGAAGGTAGGACGCAGATTTTTAAGATTCACACTCGATCGATGGCTGTGGAAAGAGACATTCGATTCGAGTTGTTGAGTCGATTGTGTCCGAACAGCACCGGCGCAGAAATCCACAGCGTCTGCACCGAAGCCGGCATGTTTGCCATTCGACAGAGAAGGAAAACCGTCAGCGAAAAAGATTTCTTAGACGCCGTGAACAAAGTCATCAAAGGCTTCAAAAAGTTTAGCAGTACGGCGAAATACATGCAGTATCAATAAAAAATTCACACATAAACGAACGAAACAAGAGAAGAGAGCGAGAGAGCGAGCGAGAGAGATACGTCGCTTTGGGCCGTAGCGTAAAGTAACACGCACGCACACGCACTATGTAGTAGTTTTGTAGCAATTTAATAAAAAGGCGGTGTATAAATTTATATACGCGCACGTACTGTACACACACGTAAACTTATTGAAACGCTCACCAGGAAGAGAGAGAAAAGAGAGAGGGGAGAGAAAAAGGAAAAAAAACTGCCTCCTCCCACAAAACTCGTTGCACCACAGAAAATTTGAAACGGGGAGATCTGCCTCTTTTGATCATCAAAAAAGTCATAAACGTGCTTTTTTCCCTCTCAGAGCGTATCTTCTCCTTTCAAATACGACTGAATATATCTTTTTTCCAATCTCGTCATACACACACACGCGCGCGTTTACTCTCGCAAGAATCACCCACACCGCGCGCACTTAAACAGTCACGCACAAAGACAACATCTCTGTTCTCTTCGCACACGCAAAACACACCACAAAGTAAAAAAGATGTCCTTCTCTACCACTTTCACCGGCGCGAAAATCGCCCAAAAATCAATCCTCCAAAAGCAATCGGTTGACAAACAAATCTCCGCGAGACGCACGAAAGCGTCCTCGCCGTCCACGCAGAAGAAGGCCCAAATCGCCTCCTTCGGTTCGTTGGCGCCGCCGGATTTGTACCCGGAATTTGGTACCTACCCGGGCGGGGGTAACTCCTTGATTATCCCGTACACGGATGAGAAAAACGCGGAGAGAGAGTTGATCCACGGTCGATGGGCGCAGTTGGGCGTCACCGGCGCCTGGGCCGCCGAGAACGGCACCGGCATTCCGTGGTTTACCGCGGGTACCTTGTGCACTCCGGATGACTGCACGGCCGTCGCGGACAAGTTTCCGGGCGCCGTGGCACCGTTGGCGCCGGAAGGCTCTGGCTACCCGAACTTTTGGGCAGTTTTGGCCATCGAAGTCTTCTTGGTCGGCAACGCCGAGGCGTACAGAACGGGTATCTTTGAAAACCCGTTCCCAGAGTTGGAATTGTCCGTCTCCCCGGGCGGTAGATTCGACCCGTTGGGTTTTGCGGAAGCCGGTGACTTAGAGGAGTTGAAAATCAAGGAGTTGAAGCACTGCAGATTGTCCATGTTCGCGTGGTTGGGCTGCATCTTCCAAGCTTTGGCCACCCAAGAAGGTCCGATCGCCAACTGGCAAGCGCACGTCGCTGATCCGGTGCACGCGAACGTCTTGACCAACGCGGCCAAGGGTTTCAGCTTCTATTAAGTCTTTAATAAAGGCTATACATTTATATACAATTTTTAATTACCAAAACTTTCTACATTCAAAATTTTAGATCTCGTACCTCTCACTTCTTTTTCTTCTTCTTCTTCTTCGTCGTCGTCTTCTACAGCTCGTCGTTCTTGTTCGCACCACCGCCACCAGTGTATTTCTTACTACTCTTGTTGACATTATTGTCGCTATTATTGTTTTCCATGCGCAAATGTCTTCGTTTCTCTACCACAGATGGAGCTAAAATTGCACCAAACATGCTCGGCGTTCTTTTACGTTTCTCTTCGTAGACTTGCTCCAGACCGTCGAAATCTTTAAACAGTTTCGATAATGTTACGTTCGCAGCATCGTAGTTTCCTACTTTTTGTAACAACAAGCCGTTTCTCCATCGAGGCTGCCAATCGTTCGTTCCGTCCGTTATCTCAATCGCTCTTAAATACATTTGCCCAGCTTCGGGGAATTTCCCGTTTGATTCAAAGTAAATCCCAAGCATGAGAGCCGGCATTGCCGCACGTTGAAACTTGGTCAATTTCGCGGTGAGCGTGTCCACAATCTCTCTCGTAACGTCTCTCTCGTTGAACATGTCGTGTGCGGATAATATGAGTTCGACTGGATAAGTTATTGGGTTTAACATGCGCACGCTGGCGAGAGCGAACAACTCGTTTTTACCGTCAATCATAGATTGGAGCATGGAGCCTTTGCGCAAGCGATACTTAAACAACGGTTCGCGAATGTTTACTGGCTTTAAACCGACGTACTTTTCAGCCTCGAGCCAAAAGGCCCAATCTTCATAGCCGAACAACGTCGTTCGCGGGTATCCACCGGGTGTATTATCCCATAAAGACTTCAAAATGACCGCCGAACAGTGGAAGGCGTTGAAGTAGCGCAGATCTTGCGGATCGTATTTTGGTAAATTCCAACTGTACTCCCAGTCGCCAAAGCCTACGAGATCCGCCACGGCTAAGTTGTAATCGTTGTTCGGATCTTCGAGCAAGTCGATGGCTTTTTCAATAAACGTTTCGTCGATCAAATCGTCCGCATCGAGTGGTAAAACGTACTTACCGATTGCACGATCGAAACCAAAGTTCCGCGCGTCTCCTAAACCGCCGTTTTGTTTCTCGTGGACTTGGATTTGGAACAACCGTCCGCCTTTTTGGTTGAACCGATCGACAAGCTGCCTCGCAACTTCGGAAGACCCATCTTTACTTCCATCGTCGATAAGTAACACTTCGATATTTTTATACGTTTGCGAATAGACGCTCGATAAAGTTTCCTCTAAAGTCTCCTTCGCCCCGTTGTAAAACGGAACGACGACGGAGACAAACGGTAAAGCGCCAATCGCACTGTCTTCGATGAATTCTGAAACGATTTCTCTTCTCTCTCGATCCGTCTTCTCGACAAATTCAGCGTACTCGCGTTTCGGACGGATCTGACGTACTTCTTTGCGTTTTTCCGTACACGATCCGGCACCGATGCGAGAGGCTTTCAAGCTATCGAAAACTTGGCACAACTCTGGTTGTTCGGTGATGTCGACTAAAACAGTTCTCATGGACCACGGTATATCTTCGTCGTTGACATCCGTTCCGTCTTCGATGATTTTCGCTTCAAACACGATCGTCGCGCATTCCATATCCAAATCATCGGTTTCCCATTCTAACTCCAATGGCGCCATTTCAACAAAGACGCTTCGAGCGAGAGCGTTTAAATTTTTAATATCTTTGGGATCTAACGACGGATCAATCGTGTACGATGTATCGATGACAACGTTCTCACCGTCCTCGTATTTGTCGAATTTGTCATAACGCAGAGATAATTGGATTAAGTCGCTCGGATAGACAGATATAACGCGGAAAACGAGCTTGGCGTTTTTACCACCTTCTTCATAATCGACGTTGAGATCAATTTTCTCTCTCGGTATATCTTTTCTGGCATCATCGCTATCGTCGTGCGAAGAGTAACTACTCTTTGACACGCACGGAATTCGACTCGGTGGCGCGTCGTTTACGTATCTCTTTGGCATACGACTCCCACGTCCTAAATATGCCACGTTTCCTCGTCCGCTTGAGTCGTGCAGAAACACTTCCTTGTTGCCTTCCCCATGCATCGTCGTCGTTTCCTCGTCAAACGTCCAAAACGCGACGCAATCTTTAACCATCCAAATCAAAGTTGGATCGTCTAATTTGTTCATATTCGACGCTTCATCAAAAGACGAGGACATTCCGACCACCATCAAGCGTCTCACCTCCGCTGGAGTCAACGCTCGATTCCATATGCTCACGTCATCCAACCTCCCGTCGAATGGATCCCACTCCGCGCCGCCAATCGTCACATGTCCATCGAAATCCAGACCGCTTTCCTCTAAGGGTACCTGTGGACCTGCCGCTCCGTCCACGAACACCGTGATCGCCCTCCCGTCGTACGTCCCGCAGACAAAATGCCACCTGTTTAAGAACAAAACCTTCCCTGCGCTGAAATCTTTATTCTCCTTGCCGATGCCGAACCTCGCAACGCCTTGTGTGTCCGTGTACAAATTCCATCCCCAGTTAATCCACTCGTGACTGACGATTCGATTAAAGCTTTTATGCCTATTCACAAAAACCCACGCGCAGGCGGATATCGTTCGAGACGGTAAACCGCGCACGTCCCTGGCGATGATGTAATCGTCCACGCCATCAAACGCGTAATACGCGCCGGACGGGCCGATACTTTCTCGGCGCAGACTCTCTAATACTACTATCGATGAAGATCTTTCTTCATCGCTTTGTTGTTGTTGATCGCTAGTGTTTCGGTTTACCGTTGTCGTCGAAATAGCTTTCGCTTCGTTCGAAAGAACGACGACGATGATGCACAAGACCAAAATCAACAGACGCGGCGCCGGGCGGCGGCGAAAGCGGCGGTGAAAGCAATCCATCGCGAAAATTTTCTTCTCTCTTAAACTCCTCTCCACTTTCTCTCTCTCTCTTTTCTTTTCAATACTTTGGCGGCGGCATCATCGATTGCGGTTGCTGTTGACCCATCAACATCGGTGGCGGCATCAAAGTCGTAGGCGGCATCATTTGCCCACCACCACCACCACCCACACCACCACCACCCATCATCATCCCGGGCATCGCCATCGCATTCGGCGGCATCATAGTCGTAGGCGTCGTCATCGTCGCGTTCGGGTTCGTGTTGAAGTCGGTAAACTGTAAGTAGTAATTCCTCACGTTCGCTTTGTGTTTAAATCCGGAAATGTGTTGTCTTCGAACGGTCGGGGAATCGTGCGTGAGGTACGCGTCGCAGTATTCGCAGTAATATCGCGGCATATCCGTCGTAGATATTCTCTTTTGTTCTCTCTCTCTCTCGTTCTTCTTCTTCTTCTTCTTCTTCTTCGTGCTGCTTTATTACTCTTTTACTTATGTATGGGTTGTGTTTGGATGGAATATTTGTTGTGAAGAAAGAGATAAAGCGTCTTTTGGGCAGCTTTTTTCTTTTCTTGGTTGGATTGATTTTTGCGATTTTTTCGCCTTTTTGGCAATCGACCCACTTTGCAAAAAACTCTTCTCCTTCTTCTTCAGAATTTACGAGAGGAAGCATTTTCCACATTTACACTCCACAACACACCTTATTGGGTGGACGAGAGAGAGAGGAGAGGACTTCAGAGAGCACGCGACGGGAAAAGTAAAACGAGGGTTTGCGTGTCCTCCGTCGTGCGTTCGAAAGAGAGAGAGAGAGAGAGAGAGAGAAGCTGTACTGCCGCATACTACTACCAGTAGAGATAGAAAATGGGAAAAAACGTGGAACCTCGCTTGTGGATCAACGTGAAAAAAACGAAACGAGGGAAAGTGATACCGTGCATGGAGGAAACGACGGCGCTGATGACGGCGCTGAAGAAAAACAACTTCGACATGAGCAAGTGCATGCGGGAGTCAGATTTGTTGGATAAGTGCACGAGCACGCACGCGAAAACGCCAAAGGTGAAGAATACGATTAACTTTCACTTGCAAAGGCTGGCGAGGATGGCGAAAGTTGCGAGATGAAAGATTTTATAGAGGGAGAGAGATACTAGAGAAATAGAGATAGCGAGACATTAGAAACAAGACGTGTACAACATGCGATATAGGAAACTACTAACTCTTAAGTTTATTATTATTGACAACAGCTTTTGATATAGATTCGATTACGTTTTGGTGGTTCTTTTTATGCTCCTTTTTTCTTTTCTCTCTTCATGTTTTTGTATGTTTATTCGCGCAAAAAATTAGTTCTTGAACTCACTGCCGTCGATGGCGTTTTGGAGTCTCGGGTTGGCCCACATTTCAACCTTCTTCGGGATGTTCTCTTCCGGGATGGTCGCGTATTTAGCTAATATTTCGCGGAATCGAGCACCGTCCATAGTTTCTACCTCCAAAAGCTCCTCAACGATTTCGTCCAACGCTTCTCTGTTATCCGAGATGTGCTTGAGCGCCATGACGTACGCCTCGTCCGCGATTCTCTTCACCGCGACGTCGATGTCGTTCTGTAATTTTTCAGACATTGAGTTCTTAGCCATCATTCTCATGATCATGTCGCCAGATTGTTGGTCTTGGACCGCCCACGGTCCGACATCGGACATGCCAAACGCGGTGACCATTTGTTTCGCCATCGAGGAGACTTGTTGCAAGTCACCGCCGGCGCCCGTGGTGACTTCAGCTTCGCCAAAGACAATCTCTTCCGCGGCTCTGCCTCCCAACGCACCGACAACTCTCGCGAAGATTTGTTGTTTGGAAATTAAACTCGGGTCTTCGCCCGGGATGAACCAGGTCAAACCCTTGGCTTGGCCTCTCGGGACGATGGTGACTTTTTGAACCGGGTCGTGACCGGCTTGCAAGGTACCGCAGATGGCGTGGCCAACTTCGTGGTACGCGACCAAAGTCTTCGCTTTACCGTCCGTTAATCGAGTACCTTCCATACCGGCGACGATTCTATCGACGGAGTCATCGATTTCGAGTAAAGTGATGGAGTCCTTGTTTCTTCGACCAGTCAAGATGGCCGCTTCGTTCAACAAGTTGGACAAATCCGCACCAGAGAAGCCCGGGGTTCTCTTGGCGATGGTTTCGATGTCAACTTCACCTTCGAATCTCTTGTTTTTCGCGTGCACTTTCAAGATTTCAATTCTGCCCTTCAAGTCGGGGTTGTCCACAGAGACTTGTCTGTCGAAACGTCCCGGACGCAACAACGCCGGATCAAGAATGTCCGCTCTGTTCGTCGCCGCAACGACAATGACGCCAGTGTTACCTTCGAAACCATCCATTTCCGTCAACAGCTGGTTCAACGTTTGCTCTCTTTCGTCATTACCGCCACCAACGCCGGTACCTCTGGATCGACCGACGGCATCGATTTCATCGACGAAAACGATGCACGGCGCGTTCTCCTTCGCCTTCTTGAACAAATCTCTCACTCTGGACGCACCAACACCGACGAACATTTCAACAAACTCGGAACCGGAGATGGAAAAGAATGGAACACCGGCTTCACCGGCGATCGCTTTGGCGAGCAAAGTCTTACCGGTACCCGGCGGACCGACCAGCAAAACGCCCTTCGGGATCTTCGCGCCGACGGCGGTGAATCGTTCCGGTTTCTTCAAAAACTCGACAACCTCCATGAAATCTTGCTTGGCTTCGTCGACACCGGCAACGTCATCGAACGTGACGCCCGTGTTCGGCTCCATTTGAAACTTGGCTTTGGATTTACCAAACGCCATCGGGTTGTTGCCGCCCATGCCTCCCGGCATGCCCGGTCCGCCGCCGGCGCCACCGGATCGTCTGGTGAGCAGAAACAAACCGCCAACGAGCAACAAAGGAAACGCCAAGTTACCCAACAAGTTCAAGAAGACGCCACCGGTATCTTCGGACTCGCTGTGCGCCGCAAAGTCGACATTCTTTTCTCTGAATTTTTGCAAAAGCTCGCCGGAGGTGCCTGGCAATTGCACTCTGACTCTTTGCACTCTGTTGCCCAATTCCGGCGAAACCGCTTCCACGATCGCGATCGTACCGTTGGCGTACAAATCAACCTTCTTGACTCGGCCCATGTCCAAGTATTCCAAAAATCGAGAGTAGGACATTCTCGACGACGCGACGCCTTGGTCGTCCGCAGCGTTGGCTTGGCCATTGGCACCCAAAGCGGCAAACGCGGCGGAGACGCCGAGCGCGTTCTTGAGCACGTCTCTGCGAGAGTTGGAGACCTCTTCGGAAGCCTGTGGTATAGCAGAGCGAAAGAAGTAGAAACAGAGAGGTCAGCGATGCGAAAAAATACCTCCGAAAGCGAGAAGAGAGGGAGGGAAGAAATTCTCGACGGGATGACGACACACATCTATCCAATGTGGACGTCATCGCCTTCGCGCGTAATCATTTCCATTCGCGCGCCCGTGCGGACCAACGCGACCACAGAAATCCACATTTGCTCCGCGCAAATCGCGACGAAGAAACGCACGAACACATTTCTTCCCAAAAATCAATACTACGAAACCAAAAAGAACATCTGCGCGCGCGCGTACCTCTTCTCTTTTCGCCGCTCTGACAAATGAAGATCGACGACTTTTAAAACTCGTCGATTTCTTCTGTGCGGGCAACTGCGCGATGCGCGCCACGGACGATAACGCGGAGGAGGAACTCATTTATGTAGTTCTTAAGTTTCTTAGTTTACTTTATGCGATAGATTTATGCGATAGGAATGTCGCGTAAATGTATATACTGCGTGTCTTGTGTAAACAACGAGCGCTAGTTTTGTGAAGACTGTACGTAACTACTTGCGTGTCTGACGTGTGCAGAAATTGGTGGCTCTCGATGCTTCAAAGACCAAAAAAACGGATGATTTTTTGCATGGGGGCGGAAACAACAACCCGAAACGCATCAAAACAACGACACAGAAACGACTTTGACGACTCTCGAGAGAAGAATGGCCTCGAGCGAAGAAGAAGAGCGTTTGCACGAGTACCCAAAGAAGAGAACGACGACGACGGGTGGTGGTTCTTCTTCTCAAACGACGACGACGAAAGCGAACGGGAAAACGCTGATTGCGTTCGTCTTTGGGTTCCTGCTCTCGTTCATCCTGTTCCACGCGGACGCGTTCAACCATCGACAGTCGATCGTGAACCGGTGGCGAGGGATTTCGAACGATTTAGTGTTGGAAAGAGAACACTGCCGGCAAGTTTTGGCCGAGCACAAGGACGCTTTGAGCAGCGTGCACGAGGAGTTTGAGAGTTTGAAAGAGAAGCATCAGGAGGCGTCCGGCGCGTTGAAGGAGAAACACGACATGTTGACGCACGCGTCGAGCTTGTTGGAAGAGAAACATCTGGAGTTGGAACATAAGACGACGCAGTTGGAGGTGATGAAAGAAGCTCTGAGCGAAGTGGACGTGGATGGGCATAATGGTGGTGGTAGCGGCGTTGAGGACAACCACGAGGAGGAAGAGGAGGACGACGCTTTAAGCGAAGAAGAGCCGGCGGAGCAACCGAGCGGGCGATCCTCGAGAGGCGGCGGTAAGCATAGCAGTAAGCGTAGTAAGCGTGGTGGACACGGTAGCAAAAAGAGCTCGTCGAAACCGCACGGCGGCGAAGAGCACGGGGAAGAGGATTTAGATGAAGGCGCGCACGACGAGGCGGACGATACCGCGTCGGCGGAAGAACCTTTGCAAGAGGAGATGGATGTTTCCACAGAATAATGACAGTTTTCTCTGATTAACTCGAGTACACCTTTCTACTTCTTCTAATTTATAATCTAACGTAATTCTCTTTCTCTCTCTCTCTCTCTCTTTCTAAATACCTTTACGAATGCAAGTTACTGTGTAAGAACATAACGCCTGGATTTTGCAGGTAATCGTTCAAATACATCCCATCCAACAAACTGCCGCGACCGCTTTCTTCGCTCAAAACGTCGTAATACGCATCGCTCGCGTCACCAAACTTAAACTTGTTCTTGGAAACTAAATCAAATATCCATTGCTCAAAATCGTGCTCTCCCGTGGCTTCGTTGATCACGCGAACGACTTTGGAGCCGAGAAAGGCGCTCTCTTCCCACCTTCGGATGTACTTCGTCGAGGAAAAATCGGCGAAATCTGGAACATGGTTGGTCATTTTCCCTTTATTCGCGTGTAAAAACAACGGGTCACCGTTTAAGTCGCGATGCAACATTGTATTTCCGAAGATGTTTCCGTTCGAACCGTCTCGAATGCCCACGTGGTCCGGGTCGTGTGGCACGATGGTGAAGTCGTCTTTGAAGTAGCGCATGGCTACGGCGAATACCTCTTTATCACCGATACCCATGAACCCACCGAACAAAGGGTAGAAGATATGATCGAACGCGTTAAAATATAACGCTAAAAACAACGCGTTACAATGTTTACTCTTATCGACGAGCATTTGGCCGCTCTCGTGCGTAAACTTTGGCCACGAAGGCGCATTTTCGTCTCCAAAAAGGGCCAATCGCGCATCCGGCGCGCTCGAATCTCTCCAGAAGTCTCGCCACAACACCGCCCCGGTTCTTTTATACTCCTCACTGTTGAATAGTTTCGTCTCTGGATCTCTTAACACCAAATTATCCGCGTCAACGCTCAACGCTTCTTTGAACGACGAAAACGTTAGCGCTAAAAGCTTATACGCGAATCGACTCGGTTTGCGTTTTCCTTTACTCGCAAAGTTTAACGCGTCCCCGAGCTCGCTAAACGAGCGAACGATAACGCCTAAATCCCTTAAATCTTCGACATCTTCGCAGGAAGGTAACTCGTTCGCCGGGAACCACAATTCGATTGGTAATCGTGACTTGGCGCGCCGCACGGCGTGTATGGCTATCCAATACGACGTCTTGATGCTATACTTTGACCCACCGACGATGACAATACCTCGTTGATTCTCAAAATACTCCTCGATGTTTCTTTGCATACCACTAATCTCCTCCTCGACGCTCTTCACGTACGCCTCCGTCTTCCCGCGGATCTCTTCCACTTGCGCTTTCGCCAGCCGTTCCCCGGCCAACACGAAATCTCTCTTCAAACTCGCTCGTCTCCTATCACTCGGCAGCGTAAACGAAAACCCATTCGGCATTGTCTTCACGATCACTTTTTTAAACATCGCGTGCATCCTCTTCGTATTCTTCATCGCGTTTTCATAGCCACCCGGTCGCTCCTCGAACACTTTTTTCAAAGGACACTCTTTTACATCCGCGCCGCCGCCGTACTCTTTCCATCGCGGACGCTTCTTACTCGCACCTCTGCTTCCCACAATCTCTTCTCTGCACGCGCTTTGACAATCAATCTCCACCTGGTCGCCGCAATTTCTCAAACCGGCTACTTTATGCCCATCGCACAGACAAAACCCGCTCGTTTTTTCGTCCTCTTTCGCGACGAAACATTTTTTCCCTCCTCTCTGTGGTCGATTGAGAAGAAAATCGAAACCAAATTTGGACGTTTTCCAATCCTCTTTCGCCGAGGCATTTTTATGGCACGCGCGCGTTTCCAAGAACCCGTATTTGGAGTGTGGGCCGCACGAAGCGAGGAATTCGCGGTGAAGGAAGAATGCAGCGAGAATCAGAAGGAGCGGGCGTCTGTTTTGTCCGAGAGATTTCCAAACGATTTGCGTGCGCTGAGTTTTTGAGAAGAAGAAGAAGAAGACCAATCGAGAGAAGAAAGACGCGTTCGAGGAGGAGGATGATTTCGGTTTGACTCTCGGGACGATTGGCATGACGCTGATGTCTTCTTCCTCGTCTTCTTCTTCCTTCCTATCGGTGAGGCGTCATGGTTTCTCGCCCTCTCGGGTTTTGTATTTGGAAAAGCGGTGCTTTTGTGAAGAAGATGATTGTTTCAATATCAACGAAAAGATAGCAAAAGCAAAAGCAGGTGTGTGTGTGTATATATATATTACAAAGGTTTTGTACGATGAAGTTAGATTCGCGCGCGTGCATACGCGCGCTTATTGTTTCTCCTTTTGTTTTTCGTCGGAGTGTACCTTCCCGAACGGAATCCCTTTCACGCTCGGGTCGACGTATTCCGCCGCCATATCTTTCACGTCCGGCAAGAAATCTTCCTCCTGACAATTGGCGCCGTCTTCGAAGCACGGGAAGTTCGCAAAATCGTCGTGTTTCATCCCAGTCCATCTTCCAGGAGTTGCCCACGCGACTTCGTCTTCGATGCCTAAACTTTTCTTTCCGCGGACGATGCGGAAAAAGCCCATCTCGCCCCAATATTGGCCCCAACTGTTTCGAACGATCCAATACTTCGTGTTTGTTTTCTTCTCTACGCCCCAACCGACGATGCTGACGATGTGATTGATTTCATAAGACGGGGTGTCGGTATAAATACCTTTAGTATAAGAACGTAAACCGTCGGCATCAATACCAGCCGCCACGGGGCCTCGCGCGTAGAGTTCCTTCATAATCGCCTCTTCCCCCGAAATCGTCCCGTATTCTTTGACCGTCGCGTTTGGAAACGTCGCCAACGGCGCGCAAAAACCACCCAACTGCGAAAAAGTCGAGCACGTCCGGCACGTGTTAATCGCGTTGCACTTGTATCTATCCGTCACGTACCCGCACGAGCCTTCGATCGATTCGTTCGAGCACGCCTCGTAACTCAAACACGTATCGTACGGCACAAAGCCGACGTCGTGTACAAACTGATACGCGCCGGTATGCGAGCCTCCGTGGCACGAGCCGGCAACTTCCGTCCCACAATTCAGAATAAACTGAATCGCCAAGTTCACGTCTTGCATTCGTTTCTTCCCGCTCGCGATTTGGATCCTATCCGCGAGCGCCGACATCGCGCCGTGCGCCCAACACGACCCGCAATACTGCGGTATGTGTTGGTTCAAGCTCTTGCTGAGAAAGTTGTGTCCGGAAACGTTCGACCAGGTGAAAGATTCCGGAAGATCTTCCGAGGAGACGTACGCATCTGGCGTAGTCGAGATAATTTTTTGCTTTTTGTCGTGTCCACGGAGCACGCGATACTCGTTCACGTGTCCCGCTTTCGTCAGCTTCAAGGCACCTTCCCTCGTGGAAAAGTCGTCATCGGTTTTGATTTTCAAGAAGGATTCATCCGTTCGTGCGTCCACGCTCTCGACCAAAAAGAGGGAGAGAAAGGAACACGTCGCGAAAAGGAACAACAACGCGAGCGTCATCGTCGGCATCGCTTTTAGCGCGCGGTAGTGCGTAAAAGGCATTTTATTCTCGAGTGTGAAGCAGAAGGGTGAGAGAATATAAATGAAGCGAAGTGGATTTTTTTTGCCCGAAAACATCTCGAAAAGACACCAAACCACCAGACCTTTAACAGTACGGGGAGTGAGTAGTTATTAGAGGCTACTTTTGCGAAAGTTTTTTTAAGAGAAGACTGGGCGCGTATATTCGATCGAAGACGCCGGAGTGGACGAGTGCGGCGGTCTCGTTGACGTCCTCGAAGACGATTCGCTCGTTGTACCAGGCTTCTGCTCTTCTTCTTCTTCCTTCCAGTCTTTCGCTTTCTTCGTCTTCGCCTTCCCCGTTTAAGACCAAAGCGACAAAGGCCTGCCGATCAAAGTCGAGGAGGAAGGTTTGGTTTATTTTTTCAGCGTCGAGAGATGAAGTCACGTCGCGTGGGCAGCAGTTGCGCAATCGTTTGATCGATTCGTCGAGGTTCATGTACGGGTAGTGTAAGATTTTCGCTTCCGAGTGCGTGACTTCGTTGAAGCGCTGTCGCGAAGAGGGAGATTTTGATATTGGCCGAAATTTGAACCTGTGCGCACCGTTTGAGCGTAATCTATTTCGAGCGACTCGCGCGATTGATTTTCCGTTCGCATAAGCCAGAAAGAAGTTCGGGAGAGATTTGTTACGAACGACTACACCGCCGAGTTTCTTCCACGTTTTCTTATCGGCGTGCGCGTAATTGCATTTGAAAAGCGTCGCGTCGACAAACGGATCTTGCACTCCACCTTTTGTTTCTGGCACCGCTTCATAATTTGGCAACACAATCCCGTCTATATCCCTCGGTTGATATTCTCGTAAAAGTTCACGAATATCTAGGTTTGCTACGCCAGCGGGAAACAACAACTCATCGGTATCGATGTGCGCTATCCAATCCACGTTATCCTCTGTCGCCATCTCAATTGCCATCTCCACATTTTGGGACTGCTTTACGAATAACTCTGCGTTACAGCCTCGCTTACGAATCCAAGGCACCAACCATTGCTCTTTATTACAAAGCAATTTACTTCGAATACTTTCCATTTCAGATTCGCTAAACAATTTCACATTCTCCTTTTTCTGGGAAAAAGCATCGTACTTCTTTGTCCTATCGTCCACGAACACGTAAAAAAGCCCGATTCCTACCTGCTCGTGATAACGCACCCATTGCTCGAATCGTCTTCCGCTCGCGTCTTTGGTCGTCGTCACCACGGCGACGAGTAATCCGTGATGATTTCCGTCTGCTCGTAGCGTGGTCGATCTCGTGCTCTCTCCTCGCGTATTTTTTGACAACCAACACCAGGGGAAAAAAAAGAACAGAGAAAGGAGGAACGAGAACGAGAACAACATCATCGAAGGCGAAAGAAAGTCGCGAACTATTCGTCTCCTTTCTCTCCTCGTTGAGATGTTGTTGAAGATGATGTTGTTGTTATTGTTTGCGGCGCGACGAAGAGACATTCGTGTGAAAGAGAGTTTTAATAAAGAAATATGGATAAGTTTTGTCATTAAAAGTGCATTATTGGGACGTCGCTCGCGCGCGAGAGAGAGATTTGGTTTTGTACACGCGATGCGAATAGTAAGTAGTCGTCATCGTCTCTATCGTCTCCTTTCTGCAATCGATTTCTATCCGCCCAAATACTACGGGTTATTTTGTGTAAAATAAGTATAAAGTTTCTTTTCCTTTTTCTCCGCTTCGGACCGGGTTCGCGGTCTGCCTCGGAGAAAGGAGATATTGTGATATTACCATTTTATTGTCGGTTTAGACAGTTGCCTCAGACGTTGTACCATATGCTGAAGTGTCTTGTTCTTCCGAAGGAGGCGGTTGTTCTTCATTTGTAGAATTCGGATGTATTGGTATGTGCGACTCATCGTCTTCATCATCAATAGCGTCATCAATAGCATCTTGCGCCTTTTCGATGTCTGTCATCGATTTGTCGATTTCATCTTGGGCGGCGTCGATTTTCTCGGCCATTCTGGTGAGTTTACCCTCAACGTGATTGACGGCATCTTCCACCTCCTTTTCCGCCTCTTCTTCCGCGCTTGCCGATTCCGCTTCGGCCTGCGCGACGGATTCCGTTTCAGACGGCGCCGGGACTTCCGAATCTCCTGAATCTTCATCTTCAGACGGCGCCGGGACTTCCGAATCTCCTGAATCTTCATCTTCAGACGGCGTCGGGTCTTCCGAATCTCCTGAATCTTCATCTTCAGACGGCGCCGGGACTTCCGAATCTCCTGAATCTTCATCTTCAGACGGCGCCGGGACTTCCGAATCTCCTGAATCTTCATCTTCAGACGGCGCCGGGACTTCCGAATCTCCTGAATCTTCATCTTCAGACGGCGCCGGGACTTCCGAATCTCCTGAATCTTCATCTTCAGACGGCGTCGGGTCTTCCGAATCTCCTGAATCTTCATCTTCAGATGGCGTCGAGTCTTCCGAATTTCCTGAATCTTCATCTTCAGATTCCTCCTCTTCTTCCTCTCCGTTGGCAGCAACTGCAGATTTGGTTTTGCTCGAGTGATGTTTTTTACCGACCTTTGCTTCTTCGTCCTCATCGTCTTCATCGTCATCGTCCTCCTCTTCTGCAGCTTGTTCAGTCTCCGCCACATCTTCGTTCGTCGGATGAACAGTAGTATCGATAACATCGTGAACTTCGTCGTCAATATCTTTATTGGCTTCATCGATTTGATCCAAACCTTCCGTGATCTCTTCTTGCGAATCTTCAACCCTTTCGGAAAAGTGTTCAATAGCTTTATCGACATGGGCAGTATACTCGTCGATGTGTTCAAAGGTGGCCGCCGTGGTGTCTTCCTCTTCTTCTTTCGGCGGGCACGATTTCGGTATTCCGTCGTGGTGGCAATCAGGTGCATCATCATCTCCCGAATTTCCCGAATCTTCATCTTCAGACGGCGTCGAGTCTTCCGAATCTCCCGAATCTTCATCTTCAGATGGCGTCGGGTCTTCCGAATTTCCCGAATCTTCATCTTCAGATGGCGTCGGGTCTTCCGAACTTCCTGAATCTTCATCTTCAGACGGCGCCGGGACTTCCGAATCTCCTGAATCTTCATCTTCAGACGGCGCCGGGTCTTCCGAATTTCCCGAATCTTCATCTTCAGATGGCGTCGAGTCTTCTTCATCTTCATCTCCCTCGTCATCATCTTCGCCACCTTGGCCAGTAATCTCGTTCCATGTATTATTAACTTGTTGAAAACCATCTTGAACCACATCCGTTACGTTATCCGCAGCTGCCTCGGCTTGCTGCGCCGCCTCGTCGACGCTGTCTTGCAAGTTCTGGTTGAACTTTTGCGTATCCGCGACGACGGTTTTGTCGTTCATGGCGCCAGAAACAGAACCAGAAGAAGGTTTCTTCGAGCTCATCTCTTTTCTGCCAACTTTCGAAACAGACATTGTCTGCGAAGCGTGTCCTTCCGGCCACGCCGCGCACGGCCCCGTCGCGTACATCTTCACCTGCGCTTTCGACGTCGCGCATTGCACCGAATCCAAAAGCTTCTCAGCTTCGCTCGAGCCTAATTTTGCACTCGGGCACTGCGGAATCGCGCTCAAATCCCCGCACTTTTCCGCCAACGCCGACGATGTCCCGAGACCGAACACTCGCATCGACGAGCTGCCGCTCGCGATCGCTATCACTCCACCGGCGAGACCGACCGTCAAGAGGGCGATTTTACTCGCCGTGGCGAATTTCGTTTGCTTCTCTCTTTTTATCAAAGGCGCATCTTCCGTGGAAGAATTGACGACTCCGTAGACGCGCATGTTAATTGGTTTATTATTATTATGTCGCAAAACAACACGTTTGAACGTTTAAACTCTCGAAGCGTTGTTTTTCCCGTGCGTGTGTGTTTTGTGCAATATTCGATTTCCAACGAAAGGGTGTTGAAATTGCTCAGGAACCCTAAACTAGTATTTGACTAAAACCTCTCTATCTGCTACTCTCTATCATAACTACTACCACCAATACGAGACGCTGATGCTGTTCGAAACGCTTTTCACGAAGTGCCACCACCCTTTGGGAATGAAGAGCGCGTCACCGGCGTCGAGTTGGACGTCGTAAAAAGGTCTCCGATAGAGCCTCGGGAACGCTCGAGGAGAAAAAGAAGCGAGCGAAATATCGCCCGCTTTGGAGGTGTTGGTGAGTTTGGTGTTTTCTGTGGAGGAGGCGGTGTACGGGTACATCGTGGTCGTCGTTGTCGCGTTCTGGTTCATTGCGTTTTCGTCGTCGTCGTCGTCGTTATCGTCTTTGTCTGTGTCCGTATCTAACGGTTTCCAGAGACGAACGCGCTTGGCGCCACAAATTTGGACAAACAAGTTATCTCGAGGGTCCGTGTGCGGCGGAGAGACCGTGTTTTTCGGACCTATCCAAAAATTCTTCGCGACGATGTTTATCTTACTTCCACCGTTTCCTTCGTCCTCCTCTTCCTCTCGAAAACAGCCGTGGACGTACTCTGGTTCGCGGATATCCTCTAAAAGTTTCGGAAATTGGTCTGCGAGCGTTTGCTGCGCTAAATAAGCGCCGCATTTGTCATCCGTCATGTGCTTTAAAAGAAACTCCTCGAACGTCACGACGTTTATTTTCCAGTTTTCGCTCGAATACGAGCTTCCAAATTCTACTGGCACGGCTCGAGCGCCAAAGTTGTCGAGGAAATACGAGGGATCTTTCCACTTCTCGTGGGCAGGCCAATGCGTGCAAAAGCGTCGCATGGCGCATGGTTTCTTTGGCAAGTAAAACTGCGTCATGAAGGTCTCCAACGATAGCGGTTCCTTGAATTTAGGCACTTTCAACGGTGGCTGTCCTCCTCTGTCTTTCTCGAGTATCGGAAATAAGACGTTCTTTTCTTCTTCTTCTTCTTCTTCCTCTTCCTCTTCGCTTGCTTCTCTCTTTCGTTTCTTCCCATCGTCCTCTACGTCTTCCTCGCTCGCGTTCTCCACGTCCTCGCATTCAAATCTCCAATTCAGCACTCTCTTATCTCCTTCCCCGACATTCGCATCCATCATCTTTCTCACCTCTTTCAAACGCTCGCTCACTTCCTCCGCGACTTTCGCCAACGTCTTCCCTCCGCCGACGTCGCCCGCGAGCAACGTTCCCACATCCAGCTCTTTTATCACCCTTTTCAACACGCGCTCGACGTATTTCGCTCCCACTTCATCACTCTTCACTCGCGCTCGCGCGTATCTCACGCACATCCGGCAATACGCGAAAATAACCAACCCTTCGCCTTCTCGCCATTTATCCTCCGCGTCTTTCCAGTCCCCCGTGTGGAGCTCTTCCCAGACGAAATCTTTCGCGTGTTGCAGTTTGACGAGCTTTGGCGCGAGGCGCGATGCCACGGCCTCGTCGTCATCATCGTCGTCGTCAAATGCCCCCGAAAAATGCGCGGGAGAATACCGCTCGATCGATTCCTTCCCTTCTTTACACCGGCGACGCACGTCTTTCAGCGTTGACGCACCTAAACCGTTAGCGTTGTGAAGGAGAGAATTGAGAAGACGAAGGAGATGTTGTTGACGATTATCATCATCATCATCATCATCATCGTCGGCGGCAATTGTTGTTGTTGTTGGACCACCGACGACGAGCCATTCGGGAAGGAACTCCTCCTCGGGGTTCATTCGATTTCAATCATAAACGCGCGCGTGGTGTAAGAGCACATCGTTTGGGGAAAAATTCTTCACACGTGCACTCAAAATGGATGGCAAACCATGACTGATAAAAAGAAGACGACGATGAAGAAGGAACAGTCCCCAGACGGAGAAGACGACGAAGAAAACGACGAGTCCTCGGAACAACGGCATCTTCTTCCCCCAGGTCTGGAAACCGATTGCTTTGACCTCGTTCGCGCGTGGCAATTTCGACGTCAGCAAATTCGTAGGGGGAAATTCGACGACGAAGAAGAAGAAGAAGAAGGAAAAGAAAAAGACGGAGGAAAAGAGAAGAGGAGAATAAGAGACGCTAAAATCTCGTCGCCTTCGTCGCCGTCGTCGTCGTCGTCGAA